AAGTAGTCATTACCTCGCTCTCATAATCAACCTCGCTACCTTTCCATGGCTGGTCCGATATCCTAACAGATTCTCGACAAGCGCTGAGAAGGGTTTGGTCCGGATCCTCTCCATGATACTACATGATACTACCAGCAGATTACCAGACAGGGGCAACCGAGTTCAATACCATGACGCACACAGCATTGCCATGAATTGCTTCCTCCACCAACAGCGCTCGTACATTCGACGATTCCCAGCGTTCCCTTTTCATTCGAGCATGTTGCGTTCCATGACCAGTACCTGTCCAGTCGAAGCGGCTCGATAATAAAGGCGTCAATATGCTTCCGGACATGCGCAACCCTTGACCGCCCCCGTTGCACTCTTGCAATCTAAAACACAATCACATTACTCAAATGCAACGACAAGTAAAGCAAACGCCCTGCCATGTCGGTTCAAATCTCGGGTAGCCCGCCTTCACCGCGGCCATCAGACGACACGAAACGGCCATGCTTCACCACTGCAATCTGGAACGGCAAACTCCTCGCCGGGAGGCATATAATCACCGGTCAGTGATACATGGACTTTCTATGGTGTTTGGCATTTCGTTGAATCTCCAAGAATGCCGAGACTGGCGACACACGCTCCGTCCTGCGTAGAACGCGGTACGTGAAAACACACAATGCTAAAGCGTGTTTCAGTGGACAGTAAAACTGCAGCCCTCCCGCCGAAACAACATGCTATTCCCAGCATCCCAGTGCCTTCCACGGGCACAGTCCGAGCGCCGTCCTAAGCCAGCATGTACGGAGTACTCCGTATGCCTTGTCGCATGGCGCGGCTCCCAAGCCGCCTTGTGTACGTACATACTTGAGGCTGACCGACTCGGACAGACGCGCCGCCTGGACCGCATGTGACGGCTTCAATTCAAAAGGCCCGGGACGGAACGGGCTGGTCGGTAGGTGCAGCAGCCTTTGTTGCCGGCCTATTCGCGTATTGGAGTTTCCCTTGGTGGTCCACGTCTGAACGCGGCTCAATGACTCACTTGGCAGGTTGGCTTTGAACGAACGGCGCTCCGGTGAGTAGACGCGATGCTCCCGTGGAGGAGTTTGCCAAATTCCTACGACAGGGCGCAATGTCTGTAGCCTGCGTGGATGCAGAACCGGGGCCAAGCACACTTTTCGTGGGCAATCCAGCCACTCCGGGACACGGGTTTATGAAGAAGCAGGTGTGCGCTTCCCGACCTCGTGTAACACGCAAGTAAAAAGGACGCTCGTTATCCGGTCATCCATCGAGGCTGAGTCTGAGGCCGGCGTCTCACAGCCTACAGGCCACAGGAAGGTTCTTGGAGGCCCAAAGGCACCAACCAAGGCATCAAGGCCTAGCTGCCTCATTGTGTGTATGTAGACCTCGAGGTCAGGTCCTGGCGTCAAATCCATCCAGCATCTTGGGCACTGCGTGATGCTATCCCCGTATAGAGTCGTGACTGCGCCGAGCCCTGTTCATACATCCACGCGTGGAAGGATTACAACGTCGCCAAGGGCAAGCGTGTGCCGCGCTGCTTTGCCGAGAAAACATGGTCCTCGTGACGAGCAACCATCTGACACCGGGTACTGTCAATGACGCACCGAGGTGAGCGTGTTTCAGGGCGAGGCGACCGGGCTCGAGGGCGTGAGCTGGTGCTGAATCAAGGTCCGGCAATGGAATATACATGAGTATACTCTACAGTGCGCCAAGGAGACGACGCTTGAACCGCGTACTGGGTCTGCAGGTCGGACGCGGATCTGGCTCAGAGCTACAACCACCAACGCTTGTGTATAATTCCTGTTTGTGTAGCTCTATTCGCGTACCCAGCGGCTCAACTCAACTGCCAACTACTGCAGTCCACGGTGTAACTTGTCGGTGAACAGCACATCTTCCGGCAAACTTTGCCCCTCTCCCAACGAAGAGTTGGGCTGTGGAGCTGCCGTGCTCGTGAGCCCGTTCTGGGGTCCTGCAGAAGTCATTGGCCCTGCTTGAATACACAATGTCTGCTCCCGAGCACCAAAGGAGCAGTGATGGGTACCGAGCGTGCCCCCATTGTAGCAAGATTGCATTGTGCACTTGACCAGGTCGTGAAGACGGAGGAGGGATAGTAGTTGCGTGTACTCTGACGGAGCTTATTGCCAGTCGGAAAGGCGTTTCGGGCCGAGGACATATCCTCATCCAAAGTGAAAGAATGTCAATGTCGTGCCAGAGTTGAATCTCAACTACTTGCCTGTTATCGTGATGACTGATTTCAGCCGCGCATCATGCTGTCGTGGGATAGATATCCATTGCGTCCTTTGGGCTAGCTGTTCGACAACCTCATGTCCAATGTAAACGAGGCGTAGGCGGTAGACCAAGACAAAACTTCCAGGAATATTGGGAGAGAAAGGTTTCCGGGGAAAGACGTCGATAACGAGGGCACTGCAACGGAATTCTTGACGAATCACAATGCAAGAGTTGGGGTAAGCGGTCCGACGGTGGCGATGTTGTTTGTTGTCCTTTCTGGGAGCGCCGTTTCAATGTACGCTCGTGGCAACTTGGAGCCGCAAGGTCTTGCCCCCGAACCCAGTGCTTTTTCTCCCGAGCCAACAGTTCCGTCCCGCCTTGTGGGCTGACCCTGGCTTCGTGGTTCCCCGGCAGACGGTGGTGGATCTTGATGGAGGGGGGAATCGTCCAGCTTTATAAAGTTCAACTCCCGATGACTCGCAACTTTGCGCCGGCTCGAGGCCAGACTTTGAACCGATAGTGCCAGCCACACTTGCTTGACGGCCGTCTTGGCGTCTGGGCCGCAACGACTCCTTCGGTCATGATTCCAAGGGATGGCGTGTTGGTGGCTAAGTGGCCAAGCAAGGCAGGAGTAGGCTGTAGCGTTCATAATCGCTTCCGTCTACTAAGCGCACAAGCGGGCGTCGTCGGGACTTTGCTGCTAGTCAGGCTGCTTATACTCGACTCTTCAAAACGTTCCACCGCGTGTTTGGTCCCTACGATCCCCAGCTAGTCCTGCAAGGCAGGGGGGGAACGAAATACTAGTCAATTGCCAGGCTGCGCAGATTCGCCGTCCCATCCGCGAAACTGAAAAGGTTCTTCACGACACGTCGGTTCGATATGGCCGCATTCCAAATACCGCCGCATAGCCGATGCCGACTGTCTTGATTTGTCGTGTTTCACTTGCCGAGCCAATTCGTTCATGCCTTAAAGGTGCGTCCTTTTGGGCTATTCGGCAGGTAACAATAGATCGTGCCACCACGTGACCCAGCTTGGTTTAGTTTAGGTTGGTTTTTCTTTTTTGGAAAAGCATGGTTGATCCCGGAATGTCATGTTCGGCAGTGCTAGTTCCACGAACGTCAACACGAACGTGCTGATAGCACTGAGAAGCGAAACACAACTTAACGGCAACCCTGGTCTCTTTCAGTACAACTCATTAGCAGGCACTCCGTAGTACTAGTTGGTCGTTGTAGCATCCCGCACGGATCAGTTGTCAAGCTTGGTTTTGGGCCCTCCTTTCAGGGACTTGGGGCGCCACGGCCATCCGTGCCTCTAGGGCCAATGCCCTTAGTTAGTTACGGCCGAGGCGGGAGTCTAGCGCCTTGAGGATTATCTTGCGCTCTTCTCAGCTGGCTGCTGTATCAGCACTGTCTTTTGGGGCATGGTGCTTTCAAGAACTTCGCCAGTGTCGATAAGCTTTCGAGTCGCCGAGTTCTGACTATGCGGAATTCCCTTCCCGAGCTGCGCCTAGCCGGTTGCCATGCCGCGTAACCAGCCACAGATCGTGGCAAAAGACTTGCAGTAGTCCGTACTTTGCTGCCGATCAGGGCGTGGCTCAACAGGTCTGGCGATCACTTGGCCACCATCTTGGCTCCCGCGCCCCTTGGACCCCAATTGGTCCCCGTTGTTGATCAGAAACGGTTGACCCAGGTCTCCCTTTCGGACAATTTTTTTTTATCCCTTTCGCCGCCTCCCCCCTCGGCCGACGTATCTGTCCATAGAGGCGATGGAACGACCTTGGTGTTCTGGAAAGCGGACCTTGCAGCCCTTCAGTAAGCGCTGCTCGGCCCGTTCAGCCTATCACAAGGGAGATGGAGCTTTTGCTCCGATCCTTCACCTGCGTGCCCATTCGTCCTGCATCAGACGTCGAGTGCGAGTGCGAGTGCGAGTGCGGGTGCTGCTGCGCGAGTTCTCGCTCTCGCTCTCTTGTCCCCGCGGGGCTTTTGCGAGACTCTGTCCCAAGTCTTTGTTCGTCGTCGCGGTGGCAAGGTCACTGACTGAAACGTCGCAGGACCGCCGTATACCCGTAGAGTCGAGGTTGATGACCGGTTGAGCCAAAGTCCCCCGTGCCCATTCGTCAGCCCATGCAACTTCGGCCTAGCCTCCGACGGTGGCAACCGTTTGGTGTTTCTGTTCCGTTCCGAAGGCTGTTTGCCCTGCCTGCTCCATGCCTCCGCCTATATCAACGGGGCCCTGACAGCTTGTCCCTTCGATACTCGCTTCTCCCGGACCGAGTTGGACAACACCTTCGCGGATTGGAATTATTCTTCCTCTCTTCGCCTCGAACATTTTCGACTCCATGTCAACAATATTCAAAACCTGCCTTGTACATGATCCCTCATCACTTACTACACGCTGCGCTGCGATAGGTGGTCAAGGCAATCTTCAGCCACGATAAATGTGCAAGGAGCATTCGGCTGAGTGCCCAGTTTGCGGGAAAGAATATCTTTTCTATGTTGCGTTTTGCCATTCGTTCCACCCGCCGTTACTGTCTTGCCCCAACGGCCTCATCACCGTTCGAGAGGAGATGCGCAACGGCCAATGCCCAAGCCCCGTCTGCCCCAATAGTCTCCGCGGTGGTTGCAGAGTCATGTAACGACCATGCATGACGAATATGTGAAAGAGGAAAAAAGGACAGCCTACGTCAGAAAATCAAGGCATTGCCGCAAGGAAATCAAGGGCATTTCATCGTTAGCGATTGTGTACGACTATGGACGCTTCTTACTTGGTACTCAAAGCTTCTCACTGGTTGTGGGCACCTCGACAATCTGATCCACACCAAAATATTCTGGCACCTCGAAACCGTACTTCTTGGCAATGGACGGCGAAACGAAGCTTCTGGACGTGTGAGTCCACTTGTCAAACCCGAGTCGAAATCACGCCTGTACGTACCGGCCACCAACGAAGTGGCGTCCCTTGAAGAATTTGACCAAGGGTTTCGGGGCCGTCAGACTGACGAGTGTGGCAGGCATGAAAGCACTACCTAATCCAGACTTTGGAGGACCACATTCGACGTCCCATGATGATGGAGTGTCAACTGAAGTCACTGGAACTTTTGTTTCTTCTAGCGTTTGAATGACCTTTGGAAACGGCTCGCGAACGTCACCAGAGAAGCTGAATCCTGCCGTGGAGTTGTCAGCATATCGCCATGGCAACACACAGTGGCGAGTACGAACCAAAAATCGCATCCACAATATGATCCGTCAAACCCACTGCTGATTGGAAGTCTTCGACGAAAGGGACGTCGAGGTCTTCAAGCTGTTTAGCTAGGCGCTACGAAAATGGAGAACGTCAGTATTATTATCGCCGTGGTTACCCAGCATGCCCCCTCTCGACCGTTGTGCTAGACAAGACAGGGCCAGAGAGAATCTGGTGTTGCACTGGACCTCAAACCCGCTGCTCGACAACGCTGTGGAAGTCGGATAAGGAATGGGCGGCATAGAAAAGAGTAACGCAATTCAAAAGGGTTGAACGCATGCAGTCGGGGACGAGTGATTGTGCAGCTATACGACATCTCAAAAAACTTATTTCGACCTGATGCCCAACTCCCCAAGGCCGCTCACCTGATACAGCTCGTTCTTGCTCCGTTTCGGATAGAAGACGGTAGGTTGGTATCCATAGTAGAAAAGATGTCGAGCTGCCACGAGCCCATCTCCTCCTTGACGGTTGTCAGAATCCCAAATAATCGACGGTAACAAGAGCTGGGGCGGCATACCATTGTTTCCAGGACCACAGGCGACGAGAACTCGGCGACCTTTGCTCAGTGGGTGAACTCGATAAACTCGGGCAAGGTTAGGGACCCCGATATAGCCATGGAATGTTGGTTAACGGCTCACCAGCCTGGGAAACGGACAAGCCAGCAAGCTCCATCAGCTGGTCAATAGAAAAGGCACAGGTGCTCATTAACTCCTGGTCCAGGGCTGCAGCCGCTTTAGCTCCGAGAGTCTGCGCAACATGTAGAATTAGCATCGTCTCTGCCCTCGAAGCCAAGCAGACGGCACTCCAAACGAGCCGGGGCTAGAGCGCCCGGAGCAGGAGCTTAGCTACCTTGAGAGCCATGTCGGATGATAGAATATCCTGAGGGTTCAAGGCAGGCTATCCAAGAGCCGTGCCGCGTAGAGTGAAAATCCCTGCAGAGGTGAGAACGGCTATATACTCCGCCGTATTCACCGTCATGGAAGCTGTCAGGTTATGTGGGGCGAGGCCACTGACATCACAAGGAAGGGAAGGTGGGAGGTTGACCGCATTCAATCCGCTTCCCAGGCGCCACCGCCGACCACCGCTGATTGGTCGGCGCGGCAAAACCAGACTCCGGTCAAAATTCCTCCCAGAGCCTCTTCGTGACCGGAATCTCTGATGGCTTTCTACCTGGCGGATTCTCAATCCCCCGAGTCCGTTTCCACGGCTTCACGACGCCAAGTCCACCATGGTGGTCAAGATCCGTCTCGCCCGATTCGGGCGCCGGAACTCCCCATTCTACAACATCGTCGTGGCCCATGCACGGTACGCACCTGCGGCTTCTTGGGCCAACCACCAATGCGACGATTGCTAACGGGCAAACACGCAGCACGGCACGAAACTCTCGCCCCCTCGAGGTTCTCGGCACCTACGACCCTGTTCCTAAGCCAGATCCCTACGACAATTCCGGGAAGCTCCACAAAGACATCAAACTCGATACACAGCGTGCCAGATACTGGATAGGCGTCGGCGCCCAGCCAACCGACACAGCATGGCGACTGCTGTCCATGATTGGAATCCTGCCGAAGAAGGCATTCGGACCCAAGCCCAGCGAGAGAAATGGCACGGTCGAAGCGACAAAGGTCAAAATTCGATAAGAAGATGAAGTTGCGGGTCGGGAACGGAAGGAACTCAATGTACTACTTGTTGATCGCGTGGTGAACGCATTGTACCAATACACGGCGCGTTGAGCTTTGAAGGCGTTGGCTTGGGTTCTGAATACCATTTGTTTTAAAGGCAAGCAACAGGATCAGATGGAAACATGCACATCACACCGCCAAACATCGCCACCACAAGCAAAAGCATTAAAGCACGCTGTTACCGAAAGACGGCGAATGAAGCTGTTGATTTACTACAGAAGACTAAGATGCATGGCCAGAGTAGTGGAAAGAGGTGATGATCTCGCCCGCCTTATGCTAATGGTACTGATACGCTTTTGAATAGCTCAAACATGTACCCATTACTCTTTGATCCAAAAAGAAAGACAATTAATGTGCCAGCTGCTTAAAACTTGTGCCGGTTAAGACGAAACATGTCCGCCCATCAACCAAAGAAAATGTCTATTTTTGGATTCTCCCGACCCGCGCGCAGTCTTTTTCGCATGTATGGTTTTATAAGCACTGTTCATCAAGCACCCATATTTCAACATTCAACCCTAATGAGACGCTGCAAAAAAAATGTTCATGAACAAGCACACGACCATGACCACCACGCCGTAAACGGACAAGGCAAGGGCGAGTTTCCTAACCAAGCCGTGGTCGAGATGCTCCAAGTCCCATCGCCATTTTCTTCTCCAGCGCCATGGGCTTCTGTTTGATGGTTGTGACATGTCGCCCAGAGCCCTGGCGCCGCTTTCTACCAGGGGCGCAGAATCTTCAATATCTGATGGTGCCGAGTCTTCCATATCGTCGTCTTCTTTCATGAGTCGCTGGTGATGGGAGCTTTCAGGGTGGCTTATCCTGTAATAGAAGAGGCCTGGTAGGATAAAACTAATGGACGTCGAGCCCGTGCTTCCTACGAAGGCAAGCACGCGATCCAGACTGCTGACTGACAGGGCGGTGAAGTATGCTAGCGTTAAAATAAGGGTAGTGAGGAGCGCAAAGCGCGTGTCGGACATGGGAATGGTGCTATGGTCGCCCCGAAGTACCGTAGCTGCGGTTGAGGCAGATGATGATGTGCGGCCATTGCTCAACTGTGAGCGGCTTGGTCGCCATTTCAGAACCGCATCTAACGAGGCACGGCAAGGGTGAACTTGAAGGGGGATGGAAAATAAAACCAAAATGACAATCGCGGTCTTGCCAATAGTCGACGCGACGCCAGTGGGGTCTGAGAGGGATTAGAAGAGGCTACCATGCCAAGACCAGTGGAAGGGCGCTTACACATTAAAACGATGTTGCCGACAATATCATTACCGAATGTGATGTATCCAGTAATGGCGACTACAATGTAGATGCTGGCGGCTGAGCCGATACTCGAAACAATTACCCGGGTCACGCTCGACGGGGTGTTGTCCTTGATTTCATTTACAATAGAAAACATCTTACATCTGATTAGCAACGCACACAGCCAGCAGATTTTGCGAGACTCGACTTACATTTTGATGACAGGTATAGGCAAAGACAACAATTGGCAAAGCACTCAGTGTTTCCACAGCACCGGCCCATTTGACGACTCGAATATTGCCAGGGTCTGCATGAGGATCAACAGCAAAGTGGTATATAACCAAAACAATGAGGTACCCAATCGAAACCAAGGCAACAAGACTAGTGTACTTGAGCGAATCAAGTCTTCGAAGAAAACTGAGAGGAATAACCAGAAGCATGAAAGCCGTGATCCAGAAATGACGGTCGACGAGATAAGGTATGTGGTCGGCACGCCTGCTGAAGCCCAGCATCACTCCAGGCATCAAGTCTCCAATGATAATCATGTATGATACACCTACGCCAAAGCACTTGATAGCGATGGCAGCGTCGAATACGACGGAAGCTTGCGAATAAGTGATTTGCGACAGGGCGAAGAAAGAAGCGGTACCACGTTCCAAATAACGAGCGCATTTCGACTGGAGGTAAAGACCAAAAGCAGCGGTCAATCCAGACCATATCACTAGTAAAACACCAAGCATAATTCCCATATGAGACAAGACGGATGGCATCGCCAGCGTACCCGCACCGACAACTACAAAAGGCAACTATTAGTTGTGACACCAATACAGGAACTGGGAAGGGGATGCGGACTCGTATTCAGTAGATTGACGATGCTGCTGATCGTCGAAGCATGCCCGCCGTGACCGCCATCTTTGCCGCCACGTCGCCTTGTCCTACAACGAAAGGCGCCGGTCAGTATTCTGCCATGTTGTGTAGCGCAAGTAAGGACCATGTATGGGTTCGCACCTGGGCATGTCGCTACGCGATGCGGCAGAATTACCATCCGAAATGGTTGAATAGTTGGTCATAGCAGGCTGCAAATATGTCAACACCACGCAGCACCAGGTGCTGTGTGCGTTTTCTCGTCGTCGCCGTCGAAGTCGGATTCTCCCGCTGTCGGGTGATGACCCGCGAGCCAGTCTGTTCTTTGCCCTCCTCCCAGCACCGTCCCGGCCGCCGTGGTGAGTGCGTAGAGCAGTGTGTGCGGGCGTCGTAGCGAGCGAAAAGTCCGAAATTCGTGGACAGGCAGGTGCCAAGAACAATGGGGGTTCGTAAAGAATCGACCGGCAGCAACGTTTGTTGAAGAGTTGCAGATGGACGGATGGACGAAGACACCGTTGGCCATGGACGTCTGTGTGGGTCACGCATGAGACAAGCTTGACTACCTACCTAGTTGATAGCCTGAGTGGGGCGCTTGCTGACAGCCAATCAGTCGTGGCCATTGCAACTTGTAACCAGGCCGCATTATAGATTCACTGTTTGCCTCTTGACGACTTGGCAGACGCAGTCTTGTCCTCCTCCCAACAATGGCAATACCTCCTACTGACATGGACAACACCCTTGATCGGACAACCCTCGCTACAATTGATCTCCTCGAGTCGCGTCTTCTCCGCATCGAGCATCTCCTCTATGGCCATGCGGCAGCCGTCCCTCCCATATACCAAGAAGACTCTGCGGCCCAGAAGTTGAAGGATATGGAAAGACGGTTTTCCATGGTGGTCTCCCATTTCCGCGTCTACGGCGAACTCCTCAAGATTTGTTAGTGCTGCACTGAAAGCAACCGCGACTATGCTCTAGACCCGACTCACACGAGCTCAGACAAGTCCAATCCAGATTTCTTCCACGCCCCGGACGCCTCCGTACCGCCGTCTCAACTCCCAAGCGACGCGATTCAATCAATCGTACTATCGCAGGCGTCTGCCTATTTCTCGACATTATCCTCCCTCGCATCCATCAAAGACAGCCCCATACCCGATCCGTCGGAGAGTTCATCCCTCGTTGCCCTGACGGACAGAATGAAAGCCATGGAAGCAACCCGGATTGCACAATCGGCGGAAATGGCTGATTTGCGGCGGAGAAGCGAGATGGTCATGCGAGCTTGGTATGAGAACTGGGTGCTGGTCAATTCGCAATCACTTGCCGACGTCGAAACACGCGTAGAACGAGTGGAGAAGCAGGTTCGGCAGAAAGAGCGGGCTGCTGAGGACGCGAGGCAAATATAACTCAAGACCACCAATATAAACAGTCTTAGTCGGTGCAGGCAGGCATATGAACTGCACCATGACTCCTAGCTGCTGGACAGCTGCGCGGTAGCTCATCAGGATTATTTTCGGCAATTTGCTTGTCAAAACTACGAGGAGACCTTGAAGGAGACCTTGAAAGCATTCATGATACCCTGTATTTCTGAGGAGAGGCTTTTGTCGACGACATATCCTTGCTTCAGTCGTTACGAATCTATGACAGTACATAGCTAGCAACCAGATCAGGCGGACTGATTCATGTTGGAGCCTTGGAATGCCGAATTGGCATCTGGTTCCCATCGGCCAACAACCATTTGACCTGCTGCAAGTGTTTGCTGTAACGGGCGTTTCATACAGTCCGTATCGCTCCACAAGTCACACGAACCAGAGCAGTATTTCCTAGCTGTGAATTCACAACCACACTCATCCGATACTCGAGCACCTTCATCATCAAGAACTGTATCAAAGATTATAGACTCCTACAATAGTAACATTTTTGAATCCTACTGTAGGCGTCGGCTTCACATCCCAGTCCGGCACTAAACATGTCAGCGTTTCAGGTCCAGAGCGGCACCAGCAACACACACACAGAAGGGTTGGACTTCAATTCTGGCTCAGACTTAGAAACATGTCACGGATAGCTTTTGTAACACATCCAAAACTGAGGCCCCAGGTGTGATTGATCGGTGGCGCTATCAAGTGTGAGCAATTGCCAAGCTCAGACACAAAGGCTTAGATTCCAATACCAGATGTTCGTATGATTGGAGCCTGGGGCTGGAAGAAGAAAAAAGACGAGCAGCCATGACTGAGGTTCTTCAAGGATATGACAGACCTTGGGCTACAGTCTGAAGCCCGGACTATTGTTGGCCTCCCATTGAGCACACGGCTATATTTCACGGCCACGCTGTGACGTAACGCATAGATTGTTTCCTTTTGTGAGCTGCAAAACGGAACTCGAAGTTATCATGTTGCCCGGACTTGCCATCTGGGACCGGCGCTTTGTAGCACGCAAGCGCTGAACTGGGCTACGGGAAGCCCATGTTTCTTCGTACAAAAGGAGCCAGCCCGTGTCATTCTGCGATGGCATGAATGTTGCCCAAGTCATTACGGAATCAATACCTCGGCCTAAGCGAAAAAGTCAAGTCAACTTGGTCGAATATTATTTTCGCACTTGAAACAATGTTCATCTAACCTGACGGTCGCTCAAAGCCCGAGCTTACCAACGGGAAGCAATAGTATGTTCTTCAGCAACATGTTCTTGACACAGGAAGACTTCTGTGCTAGCCGGAGAGCAAGCACGGAAGGACGGCGAGGGTTAAAGCGGCGCCCAAGCACTGTCTCAAGACACAAACTCTCGAACCCACTGGGGAACAGACTTTGAAAGAGCCTCGTTTCAACCAAAGAGAGTGGATCATACACATGAGCTCAGGCCAAAGCGGAACTCCGAAAGACCTTCGCAATCGTTCTTTCAATCATGTAGATAACTTTTCTGGGCAGAGGGCCGATTGTTTCCGAGTCTTTTCCACTCGATACTCGTACCTGACCTAGCTCCTGACCGGGTTTCCAAGGCGACTACAGACGTGGAGGCAACATACCTCGCTCACCCAGCCACTTTAATGCTGAATCATCGCCCCGAAGAGTCGAGAGCACAAAGAATAGTTTGGCTTCCCAGTTGGATTCGCCCGCAAGAGCGTATAATGAACGTACTTGCTAATGCGGCGCTTTCTATCTTTCACCTCTGGCAGTTAGTATTTTCATTACCGAGACCAAACCATCCAGTGTTTGTCATGACGGCAGCCGACTAGACTAGCCTTACATGATGGGAACGTTGGTGTGGATCAATGAGTAGAGGGAACCGCAGTTAATTTGGAAAAAACCAAGTTCTGCCCGAGACGCAATGAGCACGGAGCAGACGCAAATGCGAGACCCACGATTTCACTGCTGAAACGCTTGTGTAGCATGCTTGTCCTGCGCCCATGAGCAGGGATCATGGCTTCAACGGAGGGCGGGGAGCCTATAATGAGCTTCGTTATTTGCGTCCAGTCGCTTAGGCCGGCGGCATCTAAACTTTGTCGAGCATTGGCGATGTACGTACGTGGCACGCAATAATCTAGGGCGGAGTGGAAATCAGCGAAAAAGTGGCGCCATCCACGCATTGTGCTTGGGCGATTCTCTGTGGATTTGGTGTGCCTTGGACCACGTCTCATTTATTAGCCGCTTATTAGTCTGCACAAGATGAGGCGCTGTAGCACGCTCACAAGTCGTTCTTATCTTTTCTGTGCGCGCGCGAAAAGGAGCGCCCCAAGGCGTTGACAACGGCTTAGCCCAGACTGCGCTGGCGCGTTTCGGGGAGCGCGACTCTTTTTCTGGCCTCGCCTGCATCTGGTTAGTTGCTAGCACAGGCAAAGACACCGCAACTCATTCCCCTTGCTCGAACATTCCAGCAAGAGGCGTAGGGCATTCTGTGACGGCGCCCAGGTCACAATGGACAGTGCCGAGGACAATCCGTTGTTCGTACTCGCTCGCCCTCCATTCCTGTAGGCGCGACACGGACATGGAGCGGTCCGAAGAATCGTAAACGCCGCGCTCGTCACCCGTGTATCGAAGATGATGTGACGGGGGTTGTTTGCTGCGCCGTTTTCGATCTCTCGTGAAGTATTGCATCGTGGTCGTTATGAGGGACCCGTGGTGAGAAGGCGCCTGGCAGATGACAACAGGAAGGGAGGGGAAGGAACAACCGAGAATCTCTCCGTGCCTGCAAATTTATTAGTTGTGCCTGGCTCAATGTTTGCACTGCACCTTCCGCAGCTTCAATGTTGACTGTACGCACGAGCGACACGGGATTCCACCGCCCAATCGCCACCAACAAACCACAACACCACGCCACACCATCCGTCCATCGGCAGCAACCTTGCTAAAGAATTTTCCTCGTCCTCGTACGGTTGCTAGGTTGGTTGGCTATCCGGTCTCTCACTTCGCGCGCCATCCAGGTCTCTGGTTGTCAACCATTGTCTCTCTTTTTCGATCAAGCGCCGTTCTCGGGTAATCTGGAACACCATGAGAGCTAGTCGTCTGCACAGCCACTCAAATATCCTCCCCCCCCGACGTGCCTCGACGTTCCTCGACTCGTCCTTCATCGAGGCCTGCCCTGCCACGGCAACAAAGCAGCCTAGCTTATCCAACCGTTAGTTTGGCGTCTGAAGTTCCTGAGCCAGCACACCATACATACCGAGTACTCCGTACATGGCCTTGTGTTCCGGCTTCTGTTCCGCATGCCATTGAGTCCTTGGGGTCATCCCAGCCCTTTAACAATTGTGTCACCACTGCATCCCTCTCGCTTTTTCTCGCTGCGTCTGCAGCCCTACTTGAAAAACTCGCCCATCCAGCTTCGGCTTGACTTGGTAATCGTGCCCGCCCCACTTTATGTGGTTCGGCTAGCAAAAGCCCTCACCACCAAAGGTGGTGCTCGACAGCAAGGCGGGCCGGACACCAAGGCGGGCCAATTTTCAACCTAATAACGCTATTAACCTCTTCGCCTATAATGTACACCCTTCTCGTCCCAAATTTCTAGTAGATCTAGTACAGAATCCAGACGCCATTTACGTGCCTTTTTAGCTGCTTCAAAAAACGTCCTCTTGGCGTGGTTGTGGCGCCTTTTGTCGGCATGCTCTTTATGCTTGCTGTTCGCCTGATGAACTCGAGAAAGGTCTTTGCAAAGGCGTGATTGGAAGGAGAAACGGCGAATGGTTGACGCGACAGGTATGCATTTGTTGGCGGTGACGGGAGGGGAGCCATATGAAGAGGTGCATTATCTGTTGACTGTTTTTCTAGACCGGGAAATAAAAATAGGACATGTATAGAAAACCAGATATTACAGCCCTTTTTAAAAAAAAAATCAAAAAAATCAAAGGTCGTCACTCATTCATTGGAAGCTTCAACGAAAAAAAAAACCCCGGATGTAATTACGCAGCTCATTAAAGATCCACCTGATCAATCGCCGGCCACCATTGAGACCAGGCCCCCTGCTCGTCGAGGTTATTGCTGACTTCCGCGAAAAGCTGGTTCAACAAGGTATTAGTGTCGAGCTCGTGCTCGTGCTCGTGCTCGTGCTCGTGCCCTTGAACCGGCCAAGTCGCCTGCGCCGAGGGCCGCTCCGCGCCCCGAATCTCCCGAGTATGCGCGTCGGATCTATCCACGACACGGAACTCGTGGACAGACTGGTGTAGAGTATCAAAGTCTGCTCGTGTGCGCCCCTGGTATCGTGTCCGGTCCTCGGTTGCTCGCTCGTAGAGCACGGATGCATGGTGTATCGTTTTGATCTTGCGCGTGCCGCCCTCTCAATGTTAGCGCAACGGTGGCCACGGTCGTGTCATGCTTGCGGGCGGCTTACCCATCCGTCGGCGATTTTCCAGACAAGTCGAAACTTTTCCAGGTAGTCGAGACACATTTTGAGACAGTCGCTTGCTCGCGGGCTGCGGCCCAGGTTCATTCGGGGGTATTTCGCCACGTAGAGGTTGAGGTAGCCGGCTGAGAATGCGCAGAACCCGGCAAAGGGCGTCATGAGATGCACGCCACACTCGGAGGCCTCGTGTAGAATGGCGGCGATGTGCTCTGCCGCGCCGAAGAGGAGTCGGGAGCTGTCGTCCCACCAGCCCTCGGGGGCGGGCGCCCCCAGCATGGGCTGGTCGACTGGACCCCGTGGCTCCGACTCCGGGGTCGGCAGGAAGGGGAAGTACTCGCGGTGAAGCATGAGGGTGCTGACAAGGCGTAAGCAGGGGCGGCGGCGGCAAGTTGGGAGCCCCGTCGACCGCTACCGCTGTGGGAAGGGGATTCTTACCTCACGTAGTACAGGAGATTGAGGTAGACGAACGTCTCGCCGAAGCCGAGCGTCATCTCCCCATTGACTCGGACGGTAATTTACGACCTCGCCTCTTCACATCAAAGCGTATCCCTGCAATCCACGACCAACCAACTCCACCGTCCTCCCGTGGCGCGAATTAGGGCCTTGTCAATCCAACACGAGCTGCACTCGAGTCCACTTGAGCGACAACGGGTCACCAAGTCGCAAGTAACCCGGACGCAGGACGCAGTCGCTCGAATTGTGACCTCCTTTGCAAGGAGCATCTCGAGGCTGGCAGCCCAAAAGACCAGCTCGGAACCCCGACTGACACACCATAACCCAACCACACGGGCTCCACGGAAAGCCACGTACCGCCTCCCGCCGCACCTGGCGCGCTCACACGAGGCGGACGCACACGCACGCTTGCTCATCGAAGGCCAAACGGTCCCCGACTCATTCTCCAGCTCAACGATCTTTCCTCTCCATCCAGCCCGTCGCCCGGTCGGTCAATTGCCGCTCTCGTCCATTTTCGCTTGAACGACTACCGAATTGACAAATTTTGACCATTTTTTAGAGCCTCTTGCTCCGTCACTCTTTTTTTTTTTAAACCCACGACTTGCTTCATCTGTTTCGTTTCTCCTTGCGGCTGTGCCGGTCCGGTCCTCCTTGGCCACTTTGTCCTTGGCCTTTGTCTTTCCCCTTGTGCCTCGCGTCCCTCGCCCAGTCGCCCAGTCGCCCACTCAATCCCCTCGCCCGCCGATACCTCGTGCTCGAGCACTCATTTCTGCCAGACGAGCTCCCGTATCGACTTGTTGACACGACTGACTTCGCCTGCCCTCCCACGACCCAACACCGCCGTGTCCTGCGATCCGAATCGCTGTTTCGTTCCCTATGCCAGGTTACGCTTCGCAGTACTCTCCGTCACTAGTGAAAATGGAACACTCGCGACCATATGGCGGCAGAAAGCGAATGTCGCTGGGCAATATTCTCGGTGATCCTTTTGCGCTGGCTACCATTTCCATCTCTCTTGTTGGTCGACCCTGATTCCCATGAATTTAACCTCGGCGTGTCTCGTCAATGTCGCTCAACAACAGAGCGCCGTAATGGCATGGACTCTCACTAACAAAGCGTCAATAGCTCGCATGGTTCATTACGTTCATATCGTGCATCATTGCGCAAGTCCAGGCCAACAAAAATAAAGGACTGCCTGAGAAGGACAACCCCGACGGTAACTTCCCTCCGTTTGCTTGGTGGGCTGTCGTCTACAGTCTGTTCCTTGTCATTGGTGTTGTAGTGGTTGTCGCCAGCGATGCTATCCAAACATACCATGTTGCCGTTACTGGTTATCTGGCTGGGGGTATGGTTTTGGTGACATCTGGAGTCAATTCCCTGGTCTATTCCAAGAATGGGGCCAGAGAGGCAGCGGCTGCTGGCTTCATACTCCTGTCCATGGTCGTAATTGTTTGGATCTTCTACTTCGGCTCGACGCCTTCTTCAACACCGCGGGCGTTTTTGGATTCATTCGCGCTGACCAAGGATTCCGGCGCGATGCACAACCAGGCGGTGAACGGTTATGGTACCGGCCGTCCAGAGACCTCCAACTCTGTTCAGCCGCCCCAGATGTATACATCTGCCCAGCTTAGTGGTTTCGAGAACCCCTCGCCCGTCGGCGGTGCGTCCCAGGCCCCAACCGCACCGACAATGCCAACATACGGCAACAACACGCTGCCGTCAAACAACAAGTCCAACGATGAAGAGGTTCTGCCTCCCATTGACTACCCATATCAGGCCAAGGCCATCTACAGCTACGAGGCCAATCCTTCAGACGCAAATGAGATTTCGTTCAGCAAGCATGAAATCCTGGATGTATCCGACGTCAGTGGACGGTGGTGGCAGGCCCGAAGACGAGGCACCAACGAAATTGGAATCGCTCCGAGCAACTACCTCATTCTATTATGAGCTAACGACGAGGAAAAGACACAACAACGAAGCACGCACATATATAACATATTTTCGCACGGAGAGTTTGTTGGAGAAAAAGATATGACTTTGGACGAATCACACCACGTATTATATCGTCACGCCCAGCTTCCTCCCCATTCACTTCACCGCCAGTCATCATCGGCCTTCCTCGACTCCCTGGCTCTCTGTTTTTTTGACGCAATGCCTCAAAGACATGGCTGCAGTGTAGCTGTACTATTGGGGTTTTCTTTTCTTCCCCCCCTTTTTTTTCTGTGGTCTCTGCAATTGATGTTTTATTACCCCATTCGCAAAACTATGGGTTTCCGGGACATGTATCGGATGGAGTACATTGGGACGACGATCCCGCATTGGTATTGGCAAGAATGATCGTGCCACAGCCTCATTTTCTTGATTTCTGTTCTTTACTTTTCTTTCTTTCAATCTTGTTTATTTCGAACATGGATGATGTTCTTGACAAAGGGTCGATTGGTTCTGTCATCTGGGACCTGGTATCTCGGTAAAGGTTTGACAACGGGGTAGTGGCACTTGGGCTCACTGGAATGTCGTAGGACCTGGGCTAAAGGAGGAAGTATACGGAGGGCGAAGTGAAGGAGAAGGCTTGCGCGACAGGTATACATTGTGAAGTCGCCGTAGCGATTGAGAGACTTGGATGCCTTTCTAGCTGGTGGAGTGTCTAGTCTATAGATGGGTCAATCAACAAAAAAGGTGAACTGACATTTCAAGGCTGTGCAGAGACTGCAGAGAGTGCATATGCCCAGTTACATACACCGTGACGAATAGTATTGTGCAGAGGTTGCTGGGTGACATGACATGGGCGGCAGAGCGAGCCTCCTTGCAACTCTCACTGACAACTCCGTCGTCGCTTCATACGGGCAATCTCCCCATGCTCGCAGATCCACACCTTGGCGCGCATCAAGCGGTGATAATGTGATTGGATGGATGGACCGCTGCAAACGCAATCGTCATGGACGTCTGACCTCGTCAGCTTTTGCTGTTCAAGATGTAGAATACTCTGGGCGGCGGACTGAGCCATGAGAAGAGACGTATGTGAACCGAGGTCTACAGGCCAAGTCATCCATCTACCCTCACCTTAACGCCGAGGTCCTCCATATCCGCATCATCAAGCAGCGGGCAAGGCCACGACCACGGGAACCAAGCAAACTGGAGCATGGTGAAAATGCGCCTCGCCCCTCCTCGCCTTGCTCCCCCTCACCACAGCTCTTCAGGCGGCCAGCTTCAATGTCTCGCGGGCCCTCGCCAACGCCCACTCCTGCGGTCAAGACTGCCAGCGGCGCCTCAACAGGACCGTCGTGGCAGACAGATCCGTGGTCCGCCTCGACTACCCCTTGTGCGAAACAGCCATCAACTTCGCCTCGTCTCTGCGGCCGGGGGGGATCCTCAAGCTCCAGCCCCTCGACTCCCAGAACCTCACGATAAACGGCGGCGCGACCGAATTCCGCTTCCAGTACACGTCCCTTGACTACGACGGCTCCGTCGTCACCGCCGTGCCGTCCAACGGCCCTGCGCTGTACGACCACTCCCCGTGGCAGCCCGTCCTGAAAAGGGCTACGCCGTCGTCGCCACCGACCAGGCCGGCCTGGGAAACAACTACACGAGCCACAAGTATATCAGTCTCCCGGCGCAGGCAAACGACGTGTGCTATTCCGTGGCGGCGGCGTGCACGGCCTTCTCCGGGATCCGTTGCCAAAGACTGAATGAGCTTCGGGCATTCGCAAGGCGAGAGGCGCGGTCCGGAAGCTCGCAGAGAGCAGATATGTGCGCAACGACGCGGCGTACCTCGGCAGCGTGGCCATTGCTCCCGCGATGTACTTCGTGCCTCAGTTCGTGGATAGCTTCCCAGGGGCTAACTTGACATCTGGAGGCGCCGGATTCCTGCCGTAGCTAGCTTGTCGCGGCACAGCGCGCCGTGCCGTCGTACAGAGAGTCCACGTCGTCGCCAGTCCTGCGGGACAGGACGCAGCTGGCTGTCGAGGCGCAGCTGTGTCTGGAATCAGTGATTGGCATCAGTCTAGACCCTGAAGCCAGCCAGCTCGTCTCGGTGGGAGGCGCCGAGAGGGATATTCCCACGCTGCTGGAGTGGGAGAAGATGGTGGCTTCGACACAGGAGATTCGAGTCCGGCGCCGATTTTCGTTGTCCAGGGGGGAGAATGATACGGCTGTATCGTAGAAGACGACAGTCTAGGCGTGGAATACTTCCCGTCGTGACGGTATCGAGCTGTACCTGAGGTTGTATCCTACCCATGGACATCGGCCGAGCTTCACGGCTGGGGCAGCCGAGTGGATGGCCTGGATGGATCATCAGTTTGACAAGGGGAACGAAGAGCCCAAGAACAAGTGTACCAAGATTGCCAGGATGCCGGTCAACTTGGACTGTGTCACGGCTCCGATTGATGTAGGCTTGAAGCCGTTTCTCGACTAGGTGAACGAGCTGGGGGTCCCGCAGGGGAACGCTTCGCCAACGCGAGAACGTCAACGTTTCATCTGCAGTACCATGAGATCAGACTAGACCATCATATCTAGATCTGATGGACAGCTCGATGCCTAACGTTGTGATAGACATGGTCTTGGGGCGCCGCTCCTAGCCACCAATCAACGGCTTGACATAAGACTGAGTACATTCATGAGTTGTCGGTCAGTCCTCCAGCGCACTGGTTTCGCGCAGTTGTTACCTCGCGTCCATCTCGAACAAGATTGATATTCAGCCCATATCTAGCAGACCCGGTTAATTTGTGTCCGGGTCGGCTGAGCTGCTCCTTCATCACTGCATGAGAGTGAGACCTCAAGATGAAGAGGGGCCAAGCAAGTGATGATGGACTGAAAACCTGTGGGCGGAACAGGCCGACTATAAACATACCAGTCATGTTGCTACCGCCGCCGCAGCCAGTCTGAGCCACATCACTAGGCGAAAGTGTTGCATTGGCTTCCCACCGAGGCTTGGCCACGCTTTGTGAGGTCTCAATCGCCTCCGTCGGAGAAATTTCGAACAATCCCCAACTAGTGGCAGAGTTGGATACCACGCCAATGAGGTACTAGCGCACCAACACATGTCAAAAAATCCCAAATAGGATGGTTCTCGCCTCATGACGGCCCTTTCACGGAAGCAATAGCATTAAGTGTCGAGACGCTTGCGTAGTTCTCTTTCTTTCTGAAGCACTTCGAGTTCTAACCGTTCAACTCCGTAACGAAGCGCTTCTTTCCGTTGACGAATAAGGCGGGCTCTTAATTTGTCTTCTCCGGTCAACTTGCGACCCCGAGCGGCAACTCTCTTATCAACCTCATCCGGCCGCGCGAGGCGACCTTGTTGAAGCTCTGCACGGGCTTTGAGTGTTTCAATCCGCCGTTCTTGTCGCTCGATTTGTGCATCGGCTCGAGAGAGCAAGAGTGCGATATACGGACCAATCTCGTCTCGGAGTGAGGATTCAGCAGCAGCAAGAGTTGTTTGGGGAATGAGTTCGTAGTGCTGCAAAATCATGCACGTTAGGTTTTGAGCATGGTAAAACGGAATTCTAGAAAAGATATTGTTCGCACCCGAACAGTTTTCAAAGCCTTGACGAGCCGTGGAAAGTCGGCTACGCCTCCATCCAAAGTATCGACCGACGATTCAAGGAAATTAAGAGCCCTGCGCAGCGAGGAGACACAGCCGGCATACGTTGCGGTGGTGCCAGGGGCGGAGGCTGTCGTAGCCATTGCTGGGGCCGGCAGGGACAGCAGGCCCTGAAGCGACTCCAAGTCACCAGTCAAAGAGGTCACGATGCTCGGACCTGGGGTTGTTGCCTCGACGGGTACCGTGATGCTCTCAGAGGATCGTGAGAAAAGACGGCCTGTTGTAGCTCGGAAGTCGAGGGGCGGAGGCCTCAGAGGTTTCAAGAATGCGGGCTCTTGTCTCGTCGTAATAAGAGGGAGACGCCGGCGGGGGGAAGGGGCCGGCTCAGGGCGGGGAAGGGCAGCACTGCAACGAGAAAAAAAACTCACGATGCTTCAAATGGTGTGGTTGTTCAGTCGAGCCCCGGTGGAGCGTTCGAGGCACAACATCGCGCGTCTCGAGGCGTCTGGGGGCGTCAACTCGTCTCGCGGCTTTCAAGTGTGGCAAGCGGCAAGTTGAAATGGCAGTGGCCGGGCAGCACCTCCACCATTTAGCGCCATCAGCGCTGGCCCACCTGCCTGTTTAAGCACCAGGACCTCGCGTGTCTCGCGTCTCGTTCCTGCCTCCTCGAGAGATGTCACTCAGACGGCAGCCCAGCTGACAAGGTACATGTCTCCTGTGACTTCGACTGCAGATGTCTTCTTCATATTCGAACCTTGACCTGCAGTCTCCAACTGTCATGTCTCACCATCTACGCGCGCTTACTCCGTATTTGCACTGGAATGCCATCAAATGCATGCCAGGTGCTTTCTCGCAAAGGCTCCCGGATTTACCGGCCATCTTTTTTGCCGGCTCAGGCCTCGCCAACGGCCCTTGGACGAACCCTCTCCACCACAGTGCCAGACAATCCATCTCTCTTCCGCCGAGCTTGGATGCTTCCCCGTGGAACGAGAAAATACACGGACAGGCCCACGTTTCGGCGCAACACCTCATTCGATACCGACAGTATCTCTTGCATCTGAGATGCCTTGAGTTATAATTGACCAACTCCTCTGCTTCTATATATGCTGTCAAACTTCCGCCATGGCCATTTCGCAAGGCCCCGTCGTCCCCGGAAACCGTCACCAGGCTGTGTCTCTAAGAGTCATGTCCTCCTTGTGCCATCGTCACTTGACCGAACATCGTGTTGACCAGGCATGCAACGCAGCATGCCAGCTGCTATGAGCGGTCCCCCCCCTCCCCCCCCCGGCTGCGGGACATGAAGCCATCGTGACCGAATTCGGGCTAACGGCCATCTCCCAGCCCATAATGCGGTGCATCGTGAGATTGGTAGAGGAGATGACGCTTCCCAAGCATGTTATGACCCAACGATGCGGCCAATCCTCCCTTTCTGACTGAGACCCTCATGTACCCCATGCTGTACGCTTGCCAGCCCACCCCAAAGTCCCAGCGCTTTTCACCCATATAACACCGTGGTCGCCGGTCTTTGTATTTCTCTCCGGTGTCTAAAGCTAGGCTCTTGTGTCGGTTGTTCCTTGGTGGGTGAGTATGAATTTGACCTGGAAGCCACCTTTCACGGCCGCCACCATCCCGAACTGGGATACCATCGCCAGTCTCTCATATGGCTCACCAGCCGGCAGCTGCTGCTGTCGCCTATGGTGTCAACGGCCATGGCTTGCGATTTCTGAACGAAGATTGGAACGACAGCATTTCCAACGGGAACCCATTCACCCTGACGTGGAATCAGTCCTTGCTCAAAGCCGGTGCTGAGCTGGCTCTCTTCAAGGTTGCATATCCTGCGGATGGTGTTGTCGTGTATGACTTGGTGGCCAACTTGACTGGTCTGTATCCTGGCTGTAACCCCTTGGACAGTTCAACTGACTAACAGAGTCGTGTAATAGATGCCATGAATTCCACGTCTTGTGTGTGGACTCCAGAAGCATTGGAGAATGAATTGTATGCTATCTGGCTTACCAACGGCCAGCACGTTCATCCAAACTGGACAATTTCCCCTCCTTGGACTCCAAAAGAACCGGTATGTCCCTCCCCCGGTAACCGCCCTCTCTCTCTTCATGGCCATGCGAAAGTTGAAGTTGATACCTTGCTCCACACTTTCCGCAGCGTCCAGCTCTCTGCCATATTTCTTTTTATTATTTTATTATTATTTTTTTTGGCCACAAGCTCTTCAAATGCCTAACGAGAAAATACTCAAGTCAAAATCCCGTTTCCATTGGGCGGCGACCATAGCTATTCCACTTGCTTCCCTCCTTGTTCTATATGCCGTATGTTTGTCAATATATCTTGCATTTCGTCGACGGAGGATGGAGAAGAGAAAAAAGGAGGACGCAACTCCCCACCAGGATGTTGCTCGAAATGGCTCTGCAAACTCTGCTATCGCTGTGCAGAATTTCACGGAGTCGGACGGCGGCATCAAGTCAAAATCGAGCCTTTGGCTCATCACTCGTCCTCCCGAGAGGCAAGACATCACCACTAGCGAAGTCCGAGAGGATGAAGAAATGACTGCGGCGCCTGTTGGTGGAGGCAACAGGTCGACTACACAATCACCCGTGTAACAGTACAGAATACGAAAGGGCTGACATTATCTATCACACCTCGCGGTCATGGAAGCAAAGACGCAGAGAAGACGGGAAAATAGTTCATAAGGCATGAGTGCGTATCTATTATTCATGTGTCTTCTCATTGTAAGCATTGGGTTAAAATAGGACAATTGGTGTTTGGGACTTTGGTAAAGCATGTACACACACAAGTAGTGTTTGGGTCACCCGTCAGGACCGTCCTGGGCATCAGCACCTCAACTAGAGTTGACTCGAAATATACATGAGCGAGTATTCCTCGTTCAATCATGGGTAATTTCTCGACGAGTTTGTTCTACAGTGGTCCAGCCTTCATTAGGTTGGGCCGGGTATAATTAGCATGCCATGTCAAAGCACTCAAGTGGTCACTCACTAGAGATATCCAGGCAGAATACGAGCAAACCGGTTGTCTGAACATCCCAGAGTATGTTCGACCGGGAGCCTGGGACTATCTACCTAGGTTCAGTAGGTAGTTGTGACCTCACCACAGCTCATGATGTACACCGTAGAGTAGCGCTCTTTACCTGATCTGGTACCAAGACATGCATTGTCAGGCAGGCAAAGAGGTGGTAAGACTTATTCTGGAAGGAAAAACAGTTGGACACCGTCAGAGTTGGCGGACAATGCCGCATGCGTGCCAAATACGATCATGGCTATGGCCGCTCCGAGGCGTGGGAGTGACGATTGCTTCAAAGGACAGATGGCAGCAGGCTCTACTTGACACGCCACATCAAACCAAGGTCAGTATCAAGCCAAGAGACGCGGTTTTTCATTCGGCAGCTATTTGCCAATGAGCGTTGAATCGGCTCAGAGTGGTCCTCGATCATGACGAATACCCACAAGCAGCGACGGGCCGTTTGAGTCGTGCTGACGCGGGGCAAGATCAGCATTTTGAAGCGGGATCGCATTCTGAAAGCGGGCGAGATGACCTGCTCTTGTGAGGAAGACTGAAAATTGACAGTGATGTCGTATTACTCGATGAAATGCCATGGCCTGCAAGGCATTCGCAGCGCCTTGCCCCGAGTGACACGTAACAAAGTAACGTTACGTATTCAATACGTGTGTGCCAACAAAGCCTGGGCCATTCAGAAGATGAATCCATGCAGCTGCCACAAGAGCGGGATGGATGATTAGCTGCAAAATGCGAATGCTCTCCTCTTCAGTGACAGGAAACATAGGGAGTAACAAAGGAAAAGATGGGTTGTGAACAGACAGGACGTACGAAGTCTCCCGCTTCAGGTCACCTGACCCACATGGGGATGGTTCCTAGATCCTAGATCGGAACCGCGGTCTTAAGATTTTCCCATGCAGGCTGGCCAGCTCCACGCACGACAACTTAGCGCCGTCACCGTGAGCTGCAGGCAGGAACCTCTTGCGTTACGAGCCGTCTCACGAATTGGCCAACTCCGACAGGCACCAAACGCGCTTCTTTAACCCGTGCGACACCACGGAGAACATCACAGCGCTACTGTGACGGCGTTTCATCCCTCCGAAGCCATACGTAACCTATCGTCAGCAGGATACAGGTGCCAACGATTACAGACAAAACCGCAACCATGTCCGAAACTACCTTGAAGCCCGAGAAGGACTTCACGAAGGAGGTCGACCAGCAGCTTCCGGAAGCTGAGACTCTGGCAAAGGTTCGACCCATCCAGCAGAAGACGATAGCAAAAAAGATGTATATGAAGCTAACTCTAGCGTGCAGACCGACCTTCAGGGCGCCATCGAGAAGCTTACTGCGCTCGAGAAGCAGACCCGGCAAGTACGGCTTGTGCGCGGCCTAACTAGCAGTTGCATTAAACACTAACGGGCTCGAAGGCGTCTGATTTAGCATCAACATCGAGGGTCTTGATTGCTGTTGTGACACTTTGCAAAAATGCCGGAGACTGGAGCTTGATGAACGAGCAAACGCTTGTCCTTTCCAAGAAGCATAGCCAGCTGAAGCAGGCCATTACCAAAATGGTCCAGACCGTGGTTGGCTATCTCGACGAGACACCAGACCTCAAGACGAAGCTTTCAGTTATCGAGACCCTTCGAACTGTCACGGAAGGAAAGATATTTGTCGAAGTAGAGCGAGCCCGGGTAACGAAAATCCTTTCTGACATCAAAAAGGAGCAGGGTGACCTGAAAGCCGCCACAGAGATTTTGTGCGAATTGCAGGTCGAGACATTTGGTTCTATGGATCGACGGGAAAAGACCGAGTTCATTTTGGCACAAGTTGCACTGTGCATTGAGAGTCAGGACTGGACTCAGGCCGGCATACTGGGCCGCAAGATCAGCACACGATACTTGGCACGCAAGCCCAAGAAGTCTGCCGAGCAGTTGGAAAAGGAACAAAAAGAGCGGGAGAAGAAGAGGGCCAGAGGCGAGGAAGTCCCAGAGGAGAAAGAAGACGACACCACAGACCTCAAGTTGCGGTACTATGAACAGCAAATCGCCCTTGCGAAGCATGATGACAAATATCTAGATGTGTGCAAGCACTACAGACAAGTTCTCGACACCGAAGCGGTCGAGGAAGACCCTGCTAAACTTCATCCCGTGAGTCAACGATGTAGGCTTCAAGTCGACATGGAATGCTGACAAGACTTCAGGTGCTCCAGCGCATCATCTTTTTCGTCATCCTTTCCCCTTATGACAACGAGCAACACGACTTACTTCACCGCATATCCAAGGACACGCGGAACTCCCAAGTGCCTTTGAATGCCGAACTACTCCGGCTGTTCACTGTCCACGAACTGATGCGATGGCCAGAGATTGCCAAGAAGTTTGGCCCCCACCTGTGTAGCACCGACGTCTTCGATGCGCAGCCCGGCCAGTCGTCGGATGGAAAGGCTCACCAGCGATGGGAGGACCTTCGAAAGCGTGTCATCGAGCACAACGTCCGTGTCGTTGCCAAGTACTACACTCGCATCCGCATGAACCGCCTTACCGAGTTGCTTGATTTGGCCGAGGATGAAACCGAAAAGTATATTAGCGAATTGGTCACTTCAAAGACTGTCTACGCAAAAATTGATCGGCCCGCCGGAATCGTCAGCTTTGCCAAACCCAGGGGTGCGGACGATGTCTTGAACGAATGGAGCCATAACATGAAGAGTCTATTGGGATTACTGGAGAGAATCGATCATTTGATCACGAAAGAGGAGATGATGGCCCGCATTCAACCCACGAGTACAAAGTAGGTGGACATGGGGATAGAGCGAGGCTGTAGACGGCTGACTTGCGAAGGGGGTTGAACAAACAGGTTCAATGGCCAAGGGGGGCTGATGGTCATGCGACAATGGCGTGTACAGATTTGGAACAACAGGTGCTCTCAAGGACCGAGGACATTGAATGTAACATCTAGTTTTGGCTTGCATCTATATCTATCTGTTCTCCTTGTGTATTCGTCTAGGCGTCTAAAAAAAAAGGCTGCACTTGGCATCAAACTCGGCGACTTGTCACAGCTCAGCCTTGGGCGCTGCATCGCAAACATGCTGCTTGATAAACGCGGCCAGAGGCATCACCCACTCCCTGGACACGGGCACATGATGGCCACCGGGATGGACCAGCGTCGTCGCGCCCTCGCACCTCTCGACCAAGGCCCGGCTCCTGCTCTCGTCGACGACCGTATCCAGGCCGCCGAGATAGTGCAGCGACGGCGTGCGTATCCTGGGCTTATACAAGAACCGCAACGACTCGGGCGTCGCCCAGAAGCCAGAATAGGACACGGCGAACCTCGCGGCCCTGCCGCCGTTGGCCTCCCTCAGCTCCCGTACCCAGTCGCCCGCCGGTCCCGCGGGTACGGCTCCCCCGAGCGCCGCGGCGACGATGCCCGCCGCCGCACCGCCCTGGCTGAACCCGCAGACGCCGTCTATGCCGCCTGCTTGGCGGATGGCCTGGGCGACGGCCTCCATGCCCTCGTCCAGGTGGACGTATTCGCCTGACGCGTCGTCCTTGCGCCACCACGCCCACGCGTCCGGCTGGTAGGCGTCCGCCTCGGCTGCCGGGTCCGACGGCGGCTCGTAGGACGGCATGTCCTGCGGCAGGAGGCGGCAGGGACCGGTGGGATAGATGAGCACGGGGCGCAGGGAGACGGGGGACAGCGCCTTGGCGAGGAGCTTCTCCAGGGCGCGGGTTTTGGCGCGGAACTGAGGCCCCGACTGGGTGTAGCCTGGGCGGCGCGGGCGTGTCAGCGACGTGCGTGCCGGGGGTTTGCGAGCGGGCTGGCCGAGCGGCCTTGCGGACGGGCGCGCGACGTACCGTGAAGCATGAGGATCTTGACGTCTGCCTTGCCGCCGTTGGCGTTGGCGTTGGACGACTCGGTCGAGGCCGTCATTGCGCGCAGGGCTCGGGGGGCGGCGGCGGAAACGCGCGGTAGCAGGGGGGGTCTGGGTCGCGCGATGGCCTGCGGCGATGCGAACATCTATGGAAGAGGCGGCGATGGTGTGCGCCTGGCTCGGGCGGTCGTGGACATGTGAGAGTTTAGTTTGAGCGGGGGATGGTCTCGACTATCGGGTGGGTGGATGTGGTCGCCTCGCTTCGGGGGGATGCGCCAGCCGGTGAGGAGACCATGCATGCACCGGATATCAGTGATAGGAGATGGGTCAAGGTACCGGGACAAAGGGGCATGACGGATGTTGGTATCCGGACGGCGGACTGTGAGGAGCTGGGTATCTACGACGACACGTTTGCGTCTCTCGGAGTGATGCCGGGGCTCGTGATGCTGCCACGATGGCGCCGTCGGCTCATGCGGCAACCCGACAGCGGTTCCTGAGTCACGCCGTGGTCCGCATGCCGGGCTGGGAGCCTGATGCACAAGGTCTATTGAATCCCCGGATGCGAGTCTATGATACAACATCAACCCCCGGGTCCCCTGCCCGGCGCGCGCGTCTTCCGCTCGATCGAACCCGACTGTGCTTCGCTCTCATCGACTGCTTGTCCCCTCTACGCGCTCCCACAACTCACAACCAACTTAGTGACCGCCCGACTTGGCCTTGGGGTTGCGAGGGTCGTTCTTCCACTCATCGGCTGATGCATCGTTAGCAATCCGTGCATGTTTTGCGCAATTGCAGGCGTGGGGGGTGCGTACAGGCCATCATGGCGTTCTGGGCAGAGTTGACACCGTAGGCAATGACCAGACCTGGGTCTCGAGTTAGTCCCTAGTTTCACACGACAATTCCAATTCCCGGCGGATATTCGAGAAGAGACCATGGATGGCTGCTCAAGGACGTACCGGCAGCAAAGAAAGGCCACATCGGTTTTACTGTTCGCAATTGTTAGCGTCGACGTCGCCGTCCAAGCATCGGGGGTGCGCTTTGCGTTTGCGGAGCCATCGGGCGCCTCAACTGGATAGCTCTGGGTTGACGTACGGAAAGGAGCCGGGAACTTCTTGAAGGGAGCGACGCCGAGCCAAGACATGATTGCGGTCTGGTCTTCGTGGGTATCTCGAGGGATGGGAACGGTGGCTTGGATGTGTTGGATAGAGTGCCTCGCGGTGAAGTCGTGGAGCGAGCCTTTTTCGATGGCCGATCCAGCAGAAGCTCCGTCTGGCGGTTTGAGCCGACGAGTTTCAGCCTCAGGCAGCGACGGGCTGGCTGCGTTGGAGCTGCGGACCATCGCGGCTTCCGTTGATCCGCCAGCTCCACTGCGGCTGCGGAGATGCACGTGACCCGACAGGGTGACATCACAAAGCTGTGCTTGCTTGCTGCTGGGCGACTGCACCCGGCTCTGGAACTGGCATTCGTACCGCCGCCTCCTCACGTCCTGTCTGTCAAGAAACCGTGTTCAGACGGGTCAGTCAATCAGCATTGAGCCATTGTCCTTCTCACGGCCCGATCCCCTCCCCTGGCCAATCCATCCAAACACATTCTCTCGCAACTCCCAGTTGGCAAGGTGCGGGGTGCCGACGTCTGCGCCGCGCATCCAATTGACGGCCAAGGCTGCCCTCCTTTCTCAACAGCTTCACTCACCAACCACGCCACGACACCGACGTCTGGACGCTACACGCTCCTTCTGCCCAAGTTCTCGAGGGGAACCGCCGTGCTGCCGCTGTCGCTGCCGCTGTCGCTGTCACTGCGGTCGCTGTTGCCTTCCCCGCGCGCGACGTGACAACACGCCACCCATTCTTCAGAGCCCAAACCCTTGGCGTTTCCCCGAGGGACTTCTTTTCTCTATCCGTCTCATCTCAAATTTCAGCCCTGCCAACCTTGAGTGGCTGCTCCGGCCCTCGAAACTTGGAGCTTCTCAGACGTCTTTTTAGGCCACCTACTCCCTCGCCATGCTGTCACGATCCCTTCCTCGCCGTAGAGTCACGGCAGACCTGCATGGTGTTTGGAGAGCCTTCGGCACTGCCGCCGCCAGGCAGTCCAAAACCCCGTCGATGGGAGACATCAATCCCTCCAGGGCGCAAATCGACTCGTTCAATAGGAAGCAGGCACAGTTTCGAGAGATGCTGGTGGAGGCGCAGAAAGAACAGGGAGCACGTGCGTTAGCTGCCAATAATTTCTCTGCGTCCGAGACGTCAGGCCAAGGCTCATCCGAGACTGATGCAGGAGTCACTGCCGAGGCGAGCAAGCACGAGACTGATCGAAAGCCCAATGTCCTGTCAAATCTCATCTACGGCACCAAGGAGGGCAGGGAGATGGAGGCGCAGATCCAAGCCAGCTTCAGTCAGGTGCTGGCTCGCGGCAAATACGTCCACTCCATTGTCTTCCACGAGGTGAAGCCCGACAGGGTGGACGAGTACATGGCGCTCGTTGGCCACTATTATCCCAAGATAGCAAACCTTCCCGAGAACAAGGTGCACCTTGTCGGCAGTTGGCGAGTTGAAATCGGCGACTGCGACACGTTTGGTGCGGCGTGAATCTACTACTTGGTGCCGAACAAGGAGGCAGAGGCTGACCATTGCTACAGTCCACATCTGGGAATACCAAAAGTACGAGGGCTATCACCAGTCTCGATACTCCATCACCCATCACCCCGAGTTCGCCGACTTTGACAGTGAACTGAAACTGTTGATCAACTCCAAGCATATTTCACTCATGCAGGAGTTCTCCTTCTGGCCCACGACGCCCCCGCGACAGCTGGGCGGCATTTTCGAGCTTCGCTCGTATACCCTGCACCCCGGGAACTTGTTGGAATGGGAGTTTCACTGGCGGCGCGGCCTCGAGGCTCGACGAGAGGTGATGGAGGGCGTAGGCGCTTGGTTTGTCCAAATCGGAGAGCTCAACACGGTCCATCATTTGTGGCAGTTTGCCAATCTGGAGGAGCGCCGAGAGCGCCGCGAGAAGAGCTGGTCGGTCGAGGGATGGAGTGACACGGTCCATAAGACGGTACCCCTTATCCAGAGCATGAAGTCGCGGATCTTGGTTCCCATGCCTTGGTCACCGGTAGCATGAGTCCAACCCCACCCCCGTTGGTTATATCGAGCATGGAAACACGGACGGTACGGAGACGGGGAGCCGACTGGGGAGAGATTGCTTGTTGAGAATTGGGAACCACGCAGCCGCATTTTTCTTGCAGAAGCATTTCTATTTCTATTTCTATTTTTTACAGTTCTTGTTCATTTGTCAATGACGACGGTGCAACACACACCATGTATCATCAGTCAAGGCCCCCCTGGTAGAAGATATACCACATGTATTAGGCGTTGAACACTGTCATGACGCACGTCTCGTCTTGCATATCTGCGCAGCTCCAAAAGAAAAAAGGCCTACAAACTCCGTGGGGTATCCAATGCAACGGGAAAGACAAAAAAAAGCCACAGCAATGTCAAACAAGTCCCGCCGTAGCAAAGTAGCACCTAGGCATCCAACTCCACACCCATGACCGCGGCAAGATTATGCCGGGCCTGGCCCAGCATGTGGCTCAGGAAGCCCAGCTTGGAATACAAGGATATCAGGCTCGGGTCGGCGCTTTCTATCCTCACCTTTTCCCGCACAAAGACATTCTCCGTCCTGTCCCTCTTGCCGCTCGTGCGGGCCGCGCCGGGCCCCCTCTTGGGCTCACAGCTTCCGTCGCCGTCGGGACAGTAGCGGAACACGGTGTCCATCTCGTCGTGCTCCAGCCTCCTGACGGTGCCAATGGCCAGGCCCAGCTTGACGCCGAAATTGACGGGCGCGCCGGCCGGCTCCAGGGCGCGCAGCCACAGCACGATGCTGCTCTCCTGGAGCGTGACGTAGAAGCTCAGGCTGGGCGGCATGGCGGGCGAGAAGTGGTGGGCCGGGCAGGACGCCGTCTGCCACGCCGGGTCGGGCTCGCTCGACGCCGGGCCCTTGAGCAGCCCGGCCGACTCGGCCAGGCACTCGGCCAGGGCGGCGAGCGCAGAGGCAACGTTGTCCGCGGTCGGGGCGGGCGTGCTTCCCAGCAGCAGGCCCAGCAGGTCGATTGACTGCGTGAGGTTGGTGAAGATGGCGTCGAGGGGCGGCACGTGGATGGGCTCGAGGGGCGAGATGGCGAGCTGCTGCGCGGGGAGCGTCCGCAGCTGCAGGCTGAGTGTCTGTTTTGGGACGCACGTTCCTCGGGTCAGCTTGTTGTGCGTGTGCCGGGGCAGAGGAAGAAAGTACGGACGCCTTTGACGAGGCGTGTTCCCACGCGCGTGATTGTCCCCTTGACCTTTTCGTTGCGGTGCGTGCTCATGACCAGGGTGCTGCCGGGGTCGATGGGCGCGAGGAGCGCGTAGCAGTCTTCGATGCCGTGCTTGAGCTCGTGGCAGAGCGTTATCGTTTCCTGCACTGTCCATTCCAGCTCGCGTTCCTGAGGGAACGGAAGGGGGTTCAACCGAGTTAGTCGAGTCGCGCTGTTTGCGGAGGGGGGCACGGCAGCGGCGCATGCTTACCAGGGATTCGGCGGCTTTGATGTGCAGCTCCTCGGGGGAGAGGTGAGGCCAGACTTCGAGCGTCATGATGAGGGATGTGGTGCTGGATCCAGCTGCGCCATGGCTGTATGGGCAGCTTGCGTTGAGATGGCGACGAGCTTCGACGTTGGAAAGTGAGGGAGATGAGATGCTCGACGTCTGCCTGTCTGTCCTGTCACCTGCGGGTGGTGGGGCCTCGACGGCTGGCCGCTGACTGAGGGCCCCAGTGCGAACAAGTTGACGCACTCGACGCGCAACTGCAACGAGTTTCCATCTCCATCTTCTACACATCCATTCACCGCAACTCTGCGTGCGGCCCGTATCGCCGACATGGCAAAGACCCATCCCCCTCAGCCATCTCCCGTCAATAAAAATCCTCCCATTCCACAAGGTACGCGAAGCAGCCCACCTCCTCGTCTGTTGAGAATACGCCTGATGCTTTTAGGATGCAAAATACAAAAAAGACCTCTCAACAGGCCCCAGGTCCCATCCTCTTCAAAATCTCCAGTCATCTACATATCCTCCCACACACCCTTCCTATCCGCCGTCAGTCGCGTCCGCAAACTCCTCACCAAGTCCCTCCGCAACACAGCCCCTGCCCCCAAGAATGCATCAACCAGTGCACGTGTGGAGGCTCTACAGCGCAGCACCAACACCGCCTATGGGGATGCCTCGCCAATGCTCGTCACGGTCCTGGGGACCGGCAAGGCCATCGAGAAGACGCTCAGCTTGGCGAGCTGGTTCGAGCAACAGGGTGATTGTAACGTGCGCTTGAGGACCAAGACCGTTGGGACGGTGGATGATATCATTGTCCAAGAAGGGCAAGGCCATGACCTGAGCAGGATTCGAAGGGTCAGCTGCATGGAGGTGGTCATCACGTTGAAATGAGCACACCTTCATCCCCAGCACATACCACCTATCGTGTGCTGTGACCGTTGAGAAGCAGCACACTCAGCTCCGCGTCGGAAACAACTAGTTTTGACACCATCACTCTGCCGCCATACGAGAACCAATCTTGTGAGTGTGGCAAGTTTTGCGCAGAGATAACTCGGAGTTCGGCAACCACTTGTTGTTGCGATGCTGCAACATGGCAACCGCCAAAAGCTTTCCGTCTCCCCACTCTTGATCGCGCAATACAACCACCTTACCCAATCACATCGTCTTCAAAACGGGGTTACTCTGGCTTTTTTCTTCTTTTGACCGATCCGGGTCGGTGAGAGCTGCAGTGACACGCCGGCACTGAATTCTTGGCCATCGAGGCACGTTACATTGTTGAATACAACTATCACGGTCTTGATATGAACCCAGAAGTGGCACAGCACGTCGATAGTAAATCTATGCTTTCGAGTCCCCAGAAACCATCACCCTGGAGGGATGCAGTGGACCGGGGTTGACCAAGCACTCAAATCAGATTAAATAAAGGCACCGAGCACAACCAGATTAAGTTTGAAGATATTGCAGGTCGTGGTATTTTTGACAGCCGATCAGCCTATATGGGGCAGTCTGATGCGTCACTGTCCTCTGCGTCTTGGTTCTTTGCGCAATGACATCTTGCTCTTCGGTCAGCGTTTCTGTTTCAAGTGGGCGGCGGGAGCAGTTGATGTCCTTTTCCCAGCTTCCGCAATATTCGACCCGCAGAGTTGAGCAAGCAATCCATCCAAGCGGTCATGGTCTTGGCTGTGCTCACTGCTGAACCAAAGTCTCAACCCCGACTCAGAAAACTAATTGTTTTCTCGCGGGACATGCGACTTGACCTTCACCCCGCCTATAGGCTCCCCAATTACTCCGCAGTAGTAACCAAGTTGTTCTGTGCACTGCCCAACAGACTTTATGCGGCCGTCTCCAAACCGGAAGTTTCGTTCGCCGCGCGTGGGTGTCTTCAATTGATCGTACTGCTTAGTCTGAAGGAATTGATTGACGCCGGCAATTGACATGTCCGTGTCAAAGGTCGCATGGCAGTGTACCAAGTAAAGCTCATCCACAACATAGCACCAGACATGGAACGTGATTCGTCATGCAAATGAACCCCTTTCGCCTTGGGGCACCGAGTCAAATTCAAAAAGCGAAATCTAGATCCGTGTGCCACATGTCTTGAGATTTTCAACACTTGATCCAACACGCATGCGTCCAGTTTCATGCTTGGGGTCGGAATTAGCCGCCCTGGCCCCTAAATCTTTGCGCCTGCAGCAGGCGAATTTGTTTCTCACAGGCCGTCAGCATCAGTATTTGTAGGAACACGTTTTCGTATTACTGGCGTTGAGGACAGCTCACGCCCCATCAAGTGTCAAGTCGGACGACGGCCTGCTGAACGCTCCGGGTTGGGCTTTCTTCTCCGTGTGGCGTCGGTTGGTGGCCTGGACACAGACTTTCATGCACATTTCATCTCCGAATGAACGGTGTCGGGTATCCATGTAGTTGCTTCGGGGTCCTGGAGAGTCCTGGCGAATGACAAAGCATCGGGCATCTGCAGAGTCGAGTGAGCGCATCATGGCCAGATGCTAGATGCGCCTTCTGACACGGCATAGGAAATGACGCGAGCAGAGAAGCCGGGGCTCTCGGATATGGTTCGCTCGGAGTTTGACGGGAGCGGTCGAATTGCATCTGTCTGGTTTGGTGGCTCGGTGGTCGCAACATCGACATGAGCTGGTATCGCCCTGCCGAGCCTTCGCACTTGCATTTCTTCTACATGTTTTGCTTGTGCTCGGCTGCTCAGGCAGCGGCGCGTAATGTGTGTATTCGTTAACACTAAACAAGCGGGACTGAAAGACTTTCCACGCTGCGCAGGCGTCGAGTAGGGCGAAGGGGATTGACTTTCTGGAAGGAATAGATATCAAAGCCACTGAATAAGGTTTGGTCACGGATTGCTTCTGGCAAGATATGTAGGGCCGACGGGATCTATCCTGGCGCCGGCTTGCACTTCACAAGTAACAACACCGCAAATGAATGGACACTCATTGGGTGAGGCAATTGAACTTTCCTGATGGTTGTTGCACCAGACGTCTGTGGTCCGTTTTAGGCGCTTTGGTTCCTCAGTCGGGAGGACAGCTGATCCAAGACGGAGATGGCGGACTTAGGATGAGCTTCCATGGAAAAATTAGTAAGAATCAGATCCTGCCAGGACCAAAATTAAGTTTCATTGCAAATAGGGTGGCGGAACAAGTCTTCCTCGACAGAGGTCTGGATCTTGGTAGCGCATCGACCCGGTACAAGTTGTCAGTGGGCGGTTTGGCAAGTTCAACACCTCGAATGTGTCCATGATGGTCGCCAGCAGGTACGCTGTCAAGCCCGTCCCCCCCCCCCTTCATGCCGCATGGACCGCGGGATTAGTGAGTTTCGGCCCTTAAAGGTCAGACGACAGTTCGGCAGCCGGCGTTGCGTGACCTCAAAGGCCGGATGCGCTCTGCTTGAAGAGAGTTCAGCTCAAGTAAAGCCGACAGCGATGAGTTGAAGTAACTCTCTGCATAAGGATGTAAACTACGGAGGACGTCGACACCACGAGGGACGAGATGGGCGTTGTGAGCGGACAATGCAGAAGCTGCCTCCGAGGACTCCGAAACCAAGGCCGGCATTAACTCCGTAGGCGATAATCCAAAAGCCCGGCTGGTGGCTGAGGTTATTATTGACATGGTTGACGCATGGGTGTCTGAGATGACACGGGGATCGGAAAGCCCTGCCCACGCAGCTGTCCAGATCTCATGAATGAATGAATGAATGCATACGGAGTACCGGGTCAGGTAATTGTATGGCAGCACAGGGTATGGGCGAGCCAACGCTGCCGAGTCCTTCAGACACGAAGGGCCGTTTCGCGACATGATGGTAGGCCGATGTGGGATGGGCCGGCTGGATTTGGACCCTTCGACGAACAGAGTCCTCGGCACGTCGCCAGTTTGCAGCGACGACAAATGCCGACTCGGGCCCCGAAGCAACCGCGAAAGAACGGGGTCAAGGTGGCTGGTCCAAATGAGTGGGCGTTTTAGCGCAAGGAGCGACGAATAACAATGTCATGTGGTCCGATTTCAAAGCGGCGGGAACACTTGACGGGCTCGAGCAAGCCTTGCTTGTTTGCCGCAAGTGTACTCCGTACTGTATGGCTTTCGACGGCCCGCGAGACAGGGTGCATCAGATAGATGCATGGATGACCTGGGGCCGAGGGCGTTATGTTTGTTGCTCGAAGAGGTCGACTGGGCTGCGACTCCACAAATGAAGGCTGCGAACCACAGACAGGCTTGCGGGATGGATGTGGCCGCTCTTGCTGCAGGCTCTTGGTGTGTGAGCGTGGGAGCGGGTGAGAGGAGTGAACGTGAGGGTGTCACGGTCGAGCCTTCTACGGATTATGACGTTCCAATATGGAGCTTCTTGTTTATAAGGCAACAAAAGGCAAGAGCTACTCGTCAACTGCCAAGCAAATGGCAGGGGCAGGACGACAGCTGGGGCTACCCAGGATTTCTAATCGCCCGGACCAGTGGCGGCTGTCCACTTGTGACTTGTGACTTGAGAGCGGGATACAGAGAAAAGAGGCGGCCGTTCCTTCCCCGACGACTTCAGCCGGAAAAGGGTGTCTTCTTGTCATCCCCTCACGGTTGTCCGGTCAAGTCCCATCGAGAGCCCAGATTCCAGGCCAGATCAAAATTCAAAATGCGAATTCAGATGGCCATATCCCATATCCGTCCCCCGATGCACAGTCGGCATCCCTTGTCCCCGAAATTCGTAATTCATAGCCCACAAGTCCACAACAGGCCGACACTCCCTGGCCCTGGTCTTGACATGACGCCTACCTGCGTCGCGGCGAATCTCGCGCGCGCTTTTGCTTTGTCACTCAGATCCAGTCGTCACGGCTGATGCGGATATGATCCGTAATGCACACCCTCCCAAGCCCCCCGTTTCTGTCAGTGTACTTATTAAGCTCAGGCCCGCGCAGTAGGAGCATCAGTAGCAGTAGCAGTAGCAGACCAGACTCCAGTCCATACAGCCAACATACGATCCCCGACGTCAGAGCCTACATCAGACCACGCTCCTGGCAACGGCAAATCCGATAACTCCCGTCGCTTGGCAAACTACGTAACCGAGCCAGGAATTGTACAGGGATGGACTGAAGGAAACGGGAAGAAAGGGGAAAACAGCCAACCACCAGTCAACTAGGGTGCTTTCGAGCAAACTCCATCTGGTGTTCGTGCTCTTGTTGTAAAGGCATCTACGTCTACGTGAGATCAACAACATCCCACGCAACTTCAGCGACAAGCGCCTCACCCTGAACCCGTCTTGCACTAATCCTTGGGGATCCGGTCATACGGAACTGTTTACCCAAACGGAGACATTGTCGTTGCCTCCAACAATGGTCCCAACCGAGTTCGCGCCATCTGCGCTTCGCCCGCCGCCGCATATGAACAGCTCTCACCCAGATGGTAGAATGAACGAGGTCCACTCTGTCGACTGGGATACTAACATGACGGCTCCATGTCTTATGCCCGAGATCAAAGTACGCGCTGGCCCTCAGCCGACACGGCAGTCCATGATGCATCCGCAGCCGGTTCAAATCAGGGATGACATGTCCGACTCTGGAAGCAGCAATATTAGCAGGTAAGCATACCCGTCACGATATTCACGTCTTACCTGGGTGGAATCCCAAAATTCCTTGGCGCCCCTGACTGATGAGTACTTCTGTCAGCAGCGCCTTTAGTCAACAAAGCGTTGAAGAGTCCTGCCGGCGAGCTTTGCCTCATTTTCCCAGACCAGGTCTTTCGTTCCCCATGCCGGCTCTGGAATTCGACTTCCGCATCGCTGTAGCTTTGAATCCAGAGCCGTCGAAGGTGGAAAACAAGGTCAAGAAAGAAATCACCACCGTCGCTGCCGGGCAGTGGTCTGGCTCGTTTGGTAACGGACGAGTGCTAGTAAGTCTTTGGCGATGTGCTTGATCTAAACATTCACTAAGTAGCTGGGCTGGCTGGCGGCTATGATCTGGGTCAAGCCAGAGGCTTTAGACCTATCCGCATTGTCGAAGGCGCCTTTGTCATGCAAACGACCGATCAGCCACCCGCCATGTAAGTCTTGTTTGTGCTACACACTACAATGATTCAACATTAGTCGCTGATGTTTACTCGCCCTCAGTCTCGAGATGCGAACCCGAGGCTCACTCTCGGGACCCTGCGACATCTTGGACTCGCTTCTTGGGCCCGGCCAGTCCAAGGATATTGATCCTCGCCAATACGGTTTTCGCATGTTTGCCACAGTCAAGACGCCCGACAAGCGTTATGCAGAGATTGTCAACTGTGGCTTGTGGGTAGCCAGCGGTATGTGGTCTGGTGAGGAGCTCATCATCGAGTATGTCATCCATTTCGCTTTCTCCAATTCGCAGGCACCTGTCATGTCTAACCTGCGTGCAGCGCCTACAGAGTGACTTGAGCTGCCAGACTTCATATTTCCATGGCATCTACTACACGTTGTAGATGCAACAGCCAGCATGTCGCGGAAGCGCTTCTTTACTTAATATTCAACCTAGCACTAAGGACGACATAATCACGACATCCGTGGGATCCAACGGAAACTTACTTGGATCATATAAATCCCTTGTTCTTTGACATCAGGCAGCCTTTTCTAGGGAGTGTTTTCTTCCCCCTTTGGCTTTAAGGCGAGGCGTAAAGGGAGTTACTTTGGGTAAAACTCGGCATATGTACGTACAGGCGCGATAGCAGACTTGATTTATGCTTGTCTTTTTGGTGGCAGTTTCCACATGAGGCATGTTGACCCCTTATGCACCTCTCATTCTGAGGAGACGCAGATTTTGAGGCAACCCGCGTCATCATTGTACCGACGCCCGTCAATTCATTCCCGTCTCCTGACACCTTTTGCAGGCGGTTTCTCCGGATGACTCCCCTTAGTCGTTGTAACCCTGCTCGCCATCACACTGCGAATTGTTATGTCACGGTTTCTTGGCACGTTGCCGCAGGCGCCTGACTTCAGCTTCACCTTCTTTGCACCCGTGAAACGCATCTTGCCTCGACCCTTGCCACACAACACGGCAAATTTGGGGCCCGCCGGCGAACGTATAGTCCCGCATTACGGATCACTGTAACCGCTTCATAGGAATAAGCATTGATCTGGCTCATGACCCCGGATTTCCTGGGGAGAGCCTTTCCCATATCTTGGCGATTGGAAGCCCCGGGTGGTTTACTTTTCAGTTTCTCGTGGCTAGCTGAGGTCGGTTCGTGGCCAGCCAGCTTCTGCGTATTGCTAGCAGCTTGTATTGCTGGAGCGTTTGACGACGCGGCCTAGTCGTAGATGCGGGCTTTTTCAAGAGCTCCCAGGCCAAGCGGCCTCGCAGCAACCGCGTCTGTCTCACGTTGCGGCCGCGCGTGGCAAACATCAAGTCCAGGGCCCCGGGTGGCTCGACGGCGCGGCGGCAGCTACTTCGGCATCCATTGGCGTGACGATGTGGCCGTGGCATTGTGGTGCCCAGTGGCTTCGCAACATATCGTTACTTGTCGCGGCTAGGGTTCTCATTCTGCTTCTCTGGCTTACATCTTTTATCATTATGGTGTGTGAATACTCGAAAGACCGGGTCTTGGAATGAACGCAGAGGGAGGGTGCCGAGGAGCAAGTCGGCCGCGACCAGATACGCCCGGAAGTGAACGCTGCTGGTGCAAATACACAAGAGTCACTGCACCATCTTCCACGGCCTTGACCCTCGACTCCGAGAACGAGGCCGAGTTGCCCCGCGTCCTAGTGTAGATTGCTGGACTCGGTCTTGTGCCAATGACATGTTTCTCGGCCACCCAAGGTCAACAGTAGAGCAGGCCTCCTCAGTATATCTCCCCGGGTCGGGGACGGCTATAAGCCGACAACGATGTCCGGGTCACACCCCTTTGGCAGCCTGCAAAGGTTGAAGCCGGAAAAAAGCGACAAAGACTTGGCCTTCAAAGCGAGGTGCAACAAGATAAAAACGGTATTTCTGACGGATGCTGTTTGGGGGTACTGACGCCGGAGACGCCGAGTAGATGTCTTATCTGACGAAGCGGTGGGATGGCGGGCCTAAGCACGAGATAGCAATGACGGCCAGCAGCCTCCTGTAAAGCTGAACAAGGTGCCATCGGTACGTTTCTCGACAGTCTCGGGTGTAGAGGCCATCGGGGTGGCATTGCGTTCTCGTGGATCCGTGAGAACTGTGATGGACGACCCTAGAAGTCCCGACACGTCAGCTCCGTTGATACTGAAGAATGGGAAGGAGAAAGATGACAACCTGCGCTGCAACCTAGAGGTAGGCCTCCTTTCACTTTTGTCAGTACGGTTGACAGATATCAACCGGTCACCAAGACGTCGGGGCCGCAGTAAGAGGCCGTTTGGACCAGCAGCCACGATGGAGGCAGAGCGGTAGTTTGGGAACAACCACACCACGGCGCTCAGACGATAGATGGCCGCGTCGCACAGGGGGCGCCACGGGCCTTGATGGATCTCCATGGATCGACGAGGGGAGCGTGTCGGCTCACTCGCGGGACAGTGTATGTGATGCGGCGTTTGCGGCCGATACATTTCCTGGATCGAGACTCGGCCAGATGAACATGGTCCCCGAAGAGCAGACGGCTGGGGTTCCCGCAAGGTTGTGCAGTTCAACGTCTCTACCTGTAGTAATAACAGAGACGTTGACACATCACATCGTACCTGTGCAGCGAGAAAGCGGCAGAGCCAACATGTCAGAATCATACAGCCAGCCATCGAGGGCAAATCTGGGATTCACCGCTTGGTGCGCCAGTGCTGACACGACGACGGTCCACGCGCCGCCACCAAGACATGTATCTACAAGCCTTCGGTAGCCCTGACTGCGATTCGTCTATCCTCTGCCGGCGGGCTCGCCCGTCAAACAGAGAGAGAGAGGGCATCCCATCCATCGCTCCCACGACACGAAGCAGCCGACACCAGTAGCTCGGCTCAGCTTAGTAACCCGCATCCCAGCTCATCATCTTCCCAAGGGATCAATGCCAGCATACGAAGACTGGGGGGGAGCCTGCTGGTAGGCGGATGGCCGATGGTACGTCCATTTGGTCAGGCCGTGCTGTCTGTCGGTGGCGGGATCGTTGGTCGTCGTCTTCTTATTAGGGGCAGACTGAGGCCTGCCAACTTCCAAGTTATACCAGGGTCGCTGGACAACTTCCCAAGCTTCCTTCCAAGGGTGGACCTGTGACAATGATATGCAGCGCGACGACCAACTCGGGCTCGGCAAAACGAGGCATCGCCGGCCAACAAACGACAAAGGTGTAGCTACATACAATCAAGGGGAGTTTCAGACTTACACCGACATGCCCCCTGTGCCCTGCGTTACGCGTAGCAACGTGTGCGCGCAACTGCTGGTTAGCTACTCCGTACTCGGTGGTGTCTATCAATCCATGACCACCCCTCCTCCACATTGAGCAGCATCTTTTCCACGATTCGCCATCCGATGGCGCCATCCGCTGCAACCACAAAACAGCCTTCCAGCGCAACATGGGGCATAAAACATACAGAAAGCTCCAGTTTTTCCCAAATCCCTGCCTCTTGCAATCTGCTCCGTACTTTTGCGTCTGGACCAGATTCGACGGAGTAGTGCTCCGTACCAGTGACCACCGGTAGTAGTAGTATGGAGTCCTAGTACACAACTTGCCGTGAAGAAGTGTCAAGCTTGTGGAGAGATCGTCTGACTGGCCTCCGTTGTAGCTCCCATTCTTGCTTGCTTGTTCCTTAAGGGTGATCCAAACTTGTTCGTCGCCACATACCGTCATCGTCGTTCTTGTTTCGGCCACGCTCAGCCGGGCATTCACTGCCCCAAGGGAGAAGAACAGGATGAGAGCTTGGCGCGAAAAGTGGCGACCAAATACTCCGCAGTACTCCGTAGCTAGACGCTCTCGGATGGTACCCTGTCGTCAGTCGTGAAGTGGGAGTTGTCGGGTACGGACAGCTAGGAATACCAGGGGCCCTGGTCCATGGGCGCCTGTTTCGCGATCCGGCGAGTACCGAGCAAACGTGTACAGTACGCAGACTCACGAGAGGCTTTATAGTACTCCGCAGTTGGCGCTCGGCACTTTCATGGGCCGCCTTGATCGTCCGGGCGTGTAAATGTCGTGGCAGCCGGGTGCCAGGAATGCATGTTTCAGGCGCAAGCCTTACCAGACAACAGTCTTCTCTCGGTACTCTTGCGTGAGAGACTGCCGCCACGTCCGAGATGGCTCCTCGGATGAAAGCCAAGGTGAGCCATGACCATACAACAAGTACAGGAACCAGGCGAGGCCGCCTCGCCCCAATATCGAGCTCCCCCATCGCCAGGCAGTGGAATCTCGTGCGTGGAGTAGTGGCCGTCGCGTCATAAAGCCCATAGAAGCAAAGCAAGATCATGCCTGCCTCTCTGGCCTCCTCCCACAACCTTTGGCTGCGAGTTGGTACTTGGCAACTTGCTCTGCTTACATGCCTGAATAGTTAACTTGGTCATTAACGGACCGGGATGGCTCCGTGGGGCGCCAGCGATTAGGTATATGTAAGATGGGAAAAAGCAAAAACGAAAACAGACAAAGCAGGGGAGCAAGCAAGGATTTCTCCCCTTGTCAAGGCGAAGTGGCCCGTGGCGCGTCTTGCCATGCCGTCCTGGGCCTTTTAGATTCCCAGCAACGAGGTCTTGATCCATGCCAGGCAGGCTTTTGCAGGGCAGTAGGGCTGGTACCCTGCAGCCGAACCAAATCTGGTTGACGAAGGAGTCGTCCTGCAGGAAGAGAAGAGCCAGAAGCTGGTGATAAATATCATTGTTGGTTGTTCCCTCCTGACGAGCTTGCGGTTTCGTTCTCGCTCGGCTGGGATCAAGAAGAACGACTCGAGTCCTCGGTCCAACACTATTAAAGCGAAACAAAAAAAAAGAGGACAGCAAAAGAAGAGAGAGAGGAACGCAAGAAAAAGCAAGAAAAAAATGACAGAGCTTAGAGTCACATCTGGCTCCAGCCATGCTGTGCTGGGTATCGATTGACTGCCAACAAAACTTTAGCAGACTGCAATATGTACAAGCCCCACAGAGGATCAGGGCAAACGAGAGCTGTACGCATGTCTTGTGTATATTGTTCTTTTTGCCCGTGCGAGTGCTCAATACCACTATTTATGGGTGTCTCTTGACATATTATGTCCGTCGTCGCATGTGTGGAAAACCACTGGCGCCGCGTGAGCCTCGCCTCTGCTCGACAGACGCTGTTTTGTCGCAGTCATGACGCAGAAACACTTGCAAGTCACCGACTCCAACAAGTCACCCCTGATCCAGGTCCTATCATGGTTCTTCATGGTGGTGGTGATCCTGTCGGCAATTGCGCGGTGCGGCACGAAGCTGCATATGGTGCAGACGCTCAGGCTGGACGATTGGTTGGCCGTGGCGGCAACGGTAAGTCGTATCCATACAAGGACTCTCTCTATTTTGACGCCTTCCAGTGCGATGAACCATCTGATTTGGTCAATTGCATTTAGGTAGTGGCCGTTGCGCAATTCACTTCGTCCATCGTAACCGCCGGCAATGGCCTGGGACAGCATGGAGACGCTCTCACTGAGCGCCAAAGAGCGTCTATCCTCAAGGTAAGCAGCATTGATACATGTGGTTTTCCTCGTGAATGGAAGATGGAAGAAAAAAGAAAAAAGAAAAAAGAAGGAAAACTAATTGACGGACAATGCAGGGCGAGTACACCGCGGATCTGCTGTACGTTGCGAGTCTCGGTCTTGCCAAGGTGTCGACGGCGGCCACAGTCGTCAACATCGCCGCGTGGGCGCATCGCAGCGCTGTTTACGGAACCGGCGCGGTTATCGTGGCATGGGCGGTGACTGGACTTCTTGTCCTTGTCTTTCAATGTCAGCTGCCGGCGCCGTGGGATGTCGTGACCAAGTCGTGTATTGCTCGGGTATGTCGACCCTTGGGTATGGTTTCGTCTGCTGACGCTTGTTTTGCAGCCCGCGTTTTGGAAATACTTTTGCGCCGTCAACATAATTACTGATATCGTCCTGATTTGCTTCATTGTCCACAGTATCCGAGGGATCCAAACGTCGTTGAGCAAAAGGGTTCTTGTTATCGGCGTATTTGGCAGCCGCATCTTGTAAGTCAGCACAGCTCTCTGTCGTTCTGCAAAGCCAAACAAAAGCGCTGTCCTAATACCAACTACAGTGTCACTCCCGCGCTACTCTTCCAAATCATATACTCGGAAAAGTCTCTTTCCACGGCGGACCCAAGCTTTGACTTGTGGGAGTGGTCCGTCATTATGAGCGTGGTGCAGTGCCTCAGCATTCTGACAATTTGCATCCCCAACCTGAAGCCGTTCCTCGACAGTCTGCATTCGGGCCAGATGCGTGTCGACGATCTCCGTCGCCGAGGCAAGTCCGGCAGTAGCTACCAGCGAAGTGGCGACAAATCCAAGCAGACGAGCGGTTCCAACGCGAGCGGCGGGCGTTCAAACGGCGGCCAGGATACGGCAGTATTGCAGAACAGCAGACTGTTTGAGCTGGTGGAGATTCCAAAGCAACGCAAGGCAAAGGACGACCCTCATAAAGGGGGGCTCAAATCTCAAGACGGCACCGCGGCGTGGGACGGTGAGAGCCACACGAGCCAGACGATTCTCATTCAACAAACAAAGACATGGCACGTAGACGTGGAGACGGCACGAGGCGGCTCGTAGAGCTAGTCGGATGTCATGGCTGCTGTTGGAGATGAAGGAACATGTCGTGATGGTGGGTTGGAGAGGAACTAGACCTCGAGAAGCAGTACGTACTTAATAACGTTGGAACGTTGTGAATAGACGCAGGCGAGGGAGGTTGCAAACCCTAACCCTAAGCCAATCCTGCTTATTAATGGAGCTCCTTCCGTCAAGTCATCCGGCAACCCGACTCACCGTCAGCACAATTCCTGAAGCCTCTCGCGGTTGCAGATGACACCAGGTCCAAGGGGAAAACCTGGCAGCTCTCGATGCAGAAAGGCAACAAATTACTCCGTACGCGCCAGAAGATCCACGGTCTGTCTCCTCATTTTGGACATGGACCTTCAGCCGAAGTGATTAGCATTGACGTGGCAGAAACCAACCAACCGAGCAGACGCCGCAACAGATGCAGCCCACACCTTCCGTACTCCGTACAGTGTGGAGTAGCGACGGAGTACGTAGTTACTCGGTACCTGAATTGCATTCGCCTTGCCGGGATCTCGCCGAAGCCACGGCTTTTTGACATGCCTTGCCATGGCCCATGTCCCGCCTTAGGTACCTAGGTACTTAGCCAAGCGAGTCCGCGAGAGTTTCTGGCCTCGGATCATTTCTTGTTCTCGGCCTTATTTTCACCAGATGAGACTTGACTTGTAGACGTCGCTTGACTTAGAAATTTATTAGCCTTTTTTTTTTTTTTTTCGTTCCTAGGTGGGCGAGAAATGAAATTTGAAATTAGCCAAGCAGCAGCCCATATGAATCCACTAGCAGGCAGAGCTGTTGATGTCCGTTTTTCTTCCCACTCTGGAGTCTGGAGTCCATGCGGTCCACTTGGCAAAAGTGAGGAGGAAGCTGCAAGTCGGAATACTTGATGTATACTCAAATATGTACATTGTATGTACATGCCAGTCGGGGCATTGTGCCATTACATGTCGACGTTAGCCGGTACGCACTGACCCAGGTACTAGGTACGTACTTTTTATACTTGGATTTATAGCTGCAACGTCGCAGCCGAACTTGTTTTCTACACCACTTATTCATTCAATGGATGGATTGTTTCTCTCTCAACTCGACACTTTAACTCCCCTCCTCGTCTTGTTTCATCGTTTTTCGCGTCTCTCTTTCTCTCTCGCTCTCTACCTCTCTCTCTATGCAAGTTCCCCCATGTGTTGACCTGTCTTCCAACCCTCTCCCAGGACCAACATCTCCATCCAAACTATGACAACGGAACCGGCTCACGAACTCGGCAACATGACCTCAGCCAAGGTCGTGGCCTTGTATCAAACGGTGGACGAAGCTCCCACCAGCAGTGATTATGTTGACAACCAGCAATTGGTCCGGCTGGGCAAGAAACCAGTCCTCAAGGTACGTACGTAAGGCTTCTGCACAAACCAGACAAGCTGACATGGTGTCGACGATTCCCAGCGCAACTTTGGCTTCATGTCCATCTTGGGCTTTAGCTGCACCATCCTCATCACCTGGGAAGCAACGCTCGTTCTCTCCACTCCTGGCCTGGCCAACGGTGGTCCGGCAGGCGTCATCTACGGCTACGTCATTGTCTGGCTCGGCAACATCTCCGTCTTCACCACCCTCTCGGAGCTCGTCTCCATGGCACCAACGTCCGGCGGCCAGTACCACTGGGCTGCCATGCTGGCCCCCCGCTCGTGCGCCAAGTTCCTCAGCTACTTGACCGGGTGGCTCACCGTCGGCGGGTGGCAGGGCTCCGTCGCCTCGAGCGGCTTCCTGACGGGCAACATGCTTCGCGGCATCATCATCATGACCGCCACATACTACGACTACACGCCGGAGCCGTGGCACGCCACTCTGCTCTACTGGGCCGTCATCCTCTTCGCCGTCTTCATCAACGCCGTCGTCTCCTCGGCGCTGCCCAAGGTTGAGGGCCTGATTCTGGTCCTGCACGTCTTGGGCTTCTTCGCCATTCTCATTCCCCTCGTCATCCTGTCACCCCACGGTGACGCCCAATCCATCTTTTCCGACTTCCAGAACACGGGCATGTGGCCTACCCAGGGCCTTTCCTTCATGGTCGGCATGATTGGCAACGTCTTTGCCTTTGTCGGCACCGACGCCGCCTTCCACATGGCTGAGGAGACGCACAGCCCGTCTATTGTCGTGCCCAGGTCCATCTTGATCAGCATACTCATCAACGGCGCAACCGGCTTCGCCATGACCATTGCCGTGCTGTTCTGTTTGGGTGACGACCTGGACTCTCTTCTCAACTCCGCCACCGGCTTCCCGCACATGCAAATCTTCCTCAACTCGACCGGCAGCATCTCGGGCGCCACCACCATGGCTGCCATCATCACTACTCTCGGTATCTGCGCAACCATTGGCATGCTGGCTTCCACCTCTCGCGTCTTTTGGTCATTTGCTCGCGATCACGGTGTTCCGTTCTGGCGCACACTGTCCAAGGTATGTATTGTTCCCGTTCCTTTCGTGTTTCTTCAGCTCTCACCCACCTTCAGGTCGACTCCCGCACCACGGTTCCCCTGTATGCCATCGCCGTCACAACCGTCATATCCTGCCTACTCGCTCTCATCCAGCTTGGTTCCGTCACCGCCTTCAACAGCATCGCCTCCATTTCCGTCTCCGGTCTCTACTCCTCGTACCTCATCGTCGCCTTCCTCCTCCTCTATCGCCGTTGCACCTCTGGCTTTAAGATGCCCGACCCGTCCGAGCTGCCTGCCCTCGCCAATACCTCGGGCTCCGATCTTGTCTGGGGGCCCTGGCACGTTCCCGGCGCTCTGGGTATTGCCAACAACGCCTTTGCCTGCATGTATCTTACTGTCATTTGGTTCTTCAGCTTTTGGCCCCCTGCACTGCCTGTGAACCCCGACAATATGAACTACGCGCCGCTTATGACGGGAGCCGTGGTGTTATTCAGCATCGTGTATTACTTTGCGTGGGCGAACAAAGAGTACCAGGGGCCTATTATTGAGATTGACATTTAAGATGCCGTATAAACGGGGGGGGTAATTAAACTTTTGGGGACCAGCTAGACAGGGGCATATCCCCCGCCGTGCACAATGCGATAGATCAACTACAATAGCATGCATTGTCTGGTTAATCACAACGGTTAATGCTATATCATCTATCTGGCCAATCGTGGCAAATTGGGGTGCTGTATAGCCTCAGCCGGCCGTCGCCCGGCATGCGCTCCGTCCCGGGGTCCACATCCGACATCGGACACTGGAGCAAGCGCGCCCTACCCGTCCCCATCACCGGCTTTAGAACGGCAAACATGCAGCACTGCGGCCGCGGCTTCGCGGGCGAGGTAATAAGATGGCTACGACCCGTGGACGGCTGCCTGTTGCTTGTACCGCTGAATTTGGTATGTCGGCTGGCGGCCGCGCCACGAGGTGTCGGAACTATTGTTTTCTTTTTTTTTTTTTTTGTACATTTGGCCTCCGAGCAACATGACTAAGCAGCGACAACGAGGAGAGCGAGGAATGAAGGGGCGAAGAACTGTAGGAGAGCAAGGACGGCTAGACGAGGACTTGCATTCTCGGTAAACTCTCTTCGCGAGCAGAGGGAGCTGCTGCTCACGAACGGGGCCCCAGTCTATGAATTATATCTCACACAAGCCTCCTTATCAGGTCCCCCACCCCCCATGAACTACCGGGATGAACTGGCTGTACTGCTGCGGACGAAAGAATTGCGACGACACGTGTCGACGAGAGAGCGCAACACGGATGAGATACACCGGGACTGGGTGAAGCGGGGCCTTTGCTGGTCCTTGCTCTGCGCTGAAAGGAGTGGCGGACAAGCGGTGGCAGTGGCAGTGGCAGGGGCAGGGGCACCATGGCCCATGGGTCGGCACCAGACGTCTCGTTGGCTCCGGCATCGAGGACCTGTCGAGTGGACGGCACGAGGAGACTTGATTGATGGTTTGCTAATATACAAATGAAATCCTGGTGCTGCCACTGCCTTCTCCCGCGTGTAACCTGTCCGTAGAGTGATTCCGTCTCGTGGAGTTGGAGGAGAGCGGAAGAGGGCTCGTGTCGCTGCTTCCGCCCAAACCTTGCCCATCAAAAAGACTAAAGTTTGACGAAGGAGTAAAGAAAGAGAAAAGGGGGGAAAGAAAGGTAGAGCAAGGAAAATAGAGTACATCGTGGATTCGGTTGTGGCTTTAAAAGAAGATGCAATATTCACCTGCAAGATCTGCCGCCGTTTTTGTTCCGCCAGCGCTCAGCAAGTCATTCCTCCTCTATTCTGACGGTATATGCTGAGCTCAGGCTCGTGATTGAGGCGGCGTCCCCGTCACTCCTGTTGCCCCAAACCACTGCTCGCTCTGACGACGTCTCTCGTATCACTGACGGAACTCTGATGCCAGTCTCACGGTTTCTCTTTGCTCCGGCAGAGCCAGAGGGCGGCAGGGGCCAGATCTGCTCGGTATCTGAGCTCTCGTCTTCGTGACGGGGTCTGGAGTTCCTGCTGCTTTCTCTTCGTTGCTGGGTCGAAGAACCTGCTTGGGTGGCAAGCGACAGCGCCTCGGGGCTGTAAAACCGTGCAGCCACGCCCAGGGTCTGGAGAGTAGGTTTCGGTGATCGGTGCGTGTTGAGCGAGTGTTGCTGGTGGATCGACTTGGTCACTGATTTGTCCTCGTTTCGAGCAGATGCCGTGGCGGGATTACCCCCAAGAGTATCAGACGACCTCCTTGGACGCAACTTGGTTGCCGCCAAGGATGTGCCGCCATTGCTGGGGCGTTGAGGCGTCAGGCCACTTACCGACCTGTCCGACACGGCACCATCTGGCCGCGCTCTCTCGGGAGTGACGACGTTGTGCGGAGGTTGGCTACTGGGATCTGGCTCTTCATCTATGATTACAATCATCCAGACACCAACGCGGCCATTCGCGCCGGTGAGTGGGGTGCAGTGAAGCCATCGTGATCTTCCCATGTCCTCGTTTGCGTCGTCATCATTATCATCAATGCGCAGGTGTGCTTCCAAGGGGTGGTCTCCTAGGTTTCTCTTTCTCGTCGGACGGTTGGCATGTCTCCTGTGGTTGACAGTAAGCCACTTCACCTTGGCTGTTACTCCTTGTCCATTCGCCAAGGCTTGAATAAGCTGATCTCGCATGCGAGTCGACCCGCCAATCCGGTCAAGCAGTGGCGACTGGAGAATCCCCGGGACGCGCATAGATGGGCTTGTGAAGAGAATGCGCAGTGATGGGTAAGGCCTCGCCAGCAGGTAGTGCTCATAAACACCAGTAAGTCGGCCGTTGTGCCTTGCTGCAAGAGCCGCCGCTGTTAGAGAACTGAAGGGTCTCATTGTGTCACCCAAGGGGGGCAACGTGTTTTGTGGTTCAGGGCTTGTCCCCAGAATGACTCGATTCTTGGAGCTGTTGCGGCCATGTTTTGTACTGTCCCGCAACCCATCGGCGTTGGGCTTTGTCAGGGCAATCTTCTCATCATGATGAAGTCCCATACTGGATTGAAGCGGAAGCCGAAGCATATCGCCGCCACGGTCCCGAACTATTTCGAGCTCCCGTGTCCCCAAAATCTCGGCCAGCTGCGTAAATTCGTCTTTACTGGGGCTTGGAACCTTTTCTCCCGCCTCTCTCTTTTCGTCTTCGTCAGCAACTCGCTTTAGAGCCGCGAGGTCGTGGCAGCCCATAGCAAGCCCCGATATATCAACTTGAGCACCGATAAAATATCGAATGGCTCCTCGGCTGTCGTACAGAGGAGCAATCTAAACATGATCCCAGTTAGTCTACCAACACGGGCTTAACACCATTTTTTTCCCCTCTTACCATAACGAGGTTCATGAACGGAGAGCCATCACGCCTATAGTTCAAGAAGGTCTCATAGTGTTCAATGCCCTTCTCCACCTTCTCCCTGATACGCGCCACGCTGAATGGATTCGTATACGGCCCTTGAAGAAAGCGACAGTTTCTCCCAACGACATAGTCTACACCGTATTGTGTGGTACGGTTGAACTCCTCCGACATGAACACAATGGGGTTGTCGTGTCTTGACGGATCGGTGAGACAAAAGACTTCGGCTAAACCTTCCGAAGAGTGGCTAGGCATACCCATTACCCTATGCCTGATAGACACGGACACGGTTTCGATCCATACATTTGTGATGTACATGGGCAGATCCTCCCGTGCCATAATGTCAAAGGCAGCATTGGCTTTGGCCTTGAGTTCTTGGTTCGTCGTAGGATGAGCTTGGAAGTACTCGTGGGTGAATTCGAAATCAGTCAATGGTCCAAGCTTTCTCAATACCGCGTTGCTATACTCGATTGCCCGCAGAGCCTTGAGCGCTTCCAAGAAGTATGTCAAGAGTGGAACTGATGCTGGCCGATATTTGTACAGAAACTGGGAAAAGCAATGCAATTCGGCAGAGTCGTCGAAAATAGCCTCTAAGTGACGGCTCGAGAAGAGTAATTCGGATCGCTTCTCCAACTTGTACTTGCCAGTGGTGCTGCCAATCTGCTCGACTGGCATCACCAGGTCAAAACTGCCTGGGTCCAATTCTTCTTCGGCAATCGGATCCAGTCCGTCGGGATAGCCACCAGCTAGTTGCAACGGGGGGAGTCCCGGATCCCCATTGACAAATTTGATAGGCGACCCGGATGTTGGGGGCACAGGCAAGGGTTTTGCGGGCAACTCGGGTTCCGATTCTTCCAAGCTCAGGTCACTGTGGCTATCAGCCATGTGCCGGGGTTACACCAATAAATACTCGGGAATGCATACGTACCTTGAAGAGGCTGGCGATAGGGGCGGCACTGCGTCCGATGTGCTCGTCATATCCACGACTGATGACATGCTGGCTGGTTGGCGATTATGCTAGCTGAAACACACACAAGTTTTTGTTCACACTTGTCAATCTCTGGCTCGAAAGTACACTTTGAGGCAGCTTTTGTGAACTTCGTCCGAAACGAAAAAGGTGCTCCGAATCTTCAAGGGAAAGAAATATGACGTTAGGGTAGATCCTCGAATCTTTCTCAGGAGGAATCTTTTCGACGTCAGCTATTTATCAAACTTCATTATCTATTGTGTTCCCTCCAAAATACCATCCAAACGATCTTGGGGAACCGCGATGGAACTTGCAATCGGAATAATATGTATGTTTGGTCGATCGAAACCTCCCCCATGTTGTTGTGGCCGGGTAGTTGCCACATGGCTTTCTTTTGGCCCAAGCTGTTGGTGAGCGGCGATGCAAGATTTGCTTTTTTTTAAAGGTCACACGTTGGTGTCTCGCTGACCTTTTTCTATCAAAAGAAAAGTGTGTCAAAGTGACCTGTCATCGCCCGTATCACCCAGCAGCAAACGTTGGCCTATGCCTGCTTTCCCTTCTCTTATCGACCCATCATTAGCCGAGGCCACGACCCAGGCATCCGGTGTCAGCTCCGGTTCGTCGTCATGGCTTCTCCAACCTGCCTGGGCAGTTAATTTGGTGTTAATTTTACTCCGTCCCGAGCTCTTTGTTTTTAAGTTGGACAGGCCCCGATGCCCTGGGGACACGCGGGCAGGCATTCGTGAGAACAAAGGCCCAGATTTTTTCATTTGGAGGCCTCATCAGGGAACGAAAGGGGCAGCTCCGCGGGCAGCTTTAGCAACTCAGCCCTACAGACCGGAGCATCGATATCAGTTGCTGAATGCCCAGGTATTGGTCCAGCTCGTAGCACTAGCAGAGAGAGAAACTCGAGCATTTGAGAATTCTCAACATAGTACGGAGTATATTGACCGCAGGTGTCTAGAAGCGTTCCAGCGCCAGGACTCGTAATACGATCAAGGTCGGCGTTCCGTCATCGGTGGACAATGGGCCTGTTCTGTCATATCAGCCACAACTGTTCGCACCAAACCAACAACGACAACGGTCGAAAATTTACCAATCATGTGAGTCCTACTAGAGACAACAACCACAGCAACACTCCATCCATTGAACGGTATTGGCCGTGCTCGGTCATATTTTTCGCCACCGGAACCACTTTCCATGTGTCACAAGGGGCTGGAATCGAACAAGCAAAGCATTGCCATCAGACAAAGGCCTGTGTGAGAAGAAAGTCTTAGATTATTTCTGTAGTGTAACTCTTCATTTCATACTCCGTGGCGCTTTTTGTCCCGACGGAATGATGCGATGATGTGTGTCGGAAGGCATAATGGCGCCACGGCGCACCCGGTGTACAAGTTGCTGATCGGTGGCGTTACAGAATCTTCTGAGCTAGCTCAAACAGGTCGAAGAATGTTTCCCGCTCGGCATCATATTTCGCCAGACCCAGTCCAAGTACTAGTGTCCTCCTGTCATCGGGATATTTACGCGATAAGTGGCTGGCAATCTGAGCGGCATAGAGGTGGCCAAGAGTCTCTCGATCCTCGCCGCCCCCTCCAAACAGCGTCGTCGGCGTAAGATGAGTTGACGGAAGAAGCCCGTGGCCCCCGCTGGGTAGTATCATTTCCACAGCACCAGCAGACGAGCCTACCAGGGGAACTTGAACCTGTGATGGAGAAATTAGACCTGACTCGCTGGTAGTCAGCATTGAGCAAAGGTGAACTCACCCATTGTGCCAGCCGACCATCCTGGCTTATGGTCACCATGAGTCTATCGGAGAAATGCAAAGAGACGACATCGGTTTTAACACCACTGACGGTGCCTGATACTTGTCGACTGGGCACAGGAAATAAATCTTCCTTTACTTCCACCGGCTGTGCCATATCTTGAGTCGGGTTGTTGATGAAGAGGTTGAGTCGGTTGACTCCAAGCCGAGCCCAAAGAGTGCTTCCGGGTAGCGCGGGTGCGACGGATGAGCCAACCCCGCGCTAGCCCTAAAGCGGATCGAGATGTTGGCGGTGAGTCGTGACACAAAGATGCCCAGGACAAAATTTCCAAAGACATAATGGCTTGGTCAAGGAACGTGCCACTCGTGGCCGTGGTGAAGCAGCAGTACGATTGCGCACAATTCAGCACCATGGCACGACCATTGCATAGGTAGAGCATCATGGTCAAGTTTGTACCCCGTCAGAGGAAGCACAAGGTGCTTGCTAGACAGCAGGCCAAAAATAATGCCCAGCACGAAGTACACGACACCAACCTGGAGCTTCTCCCAGCAGCACAGGCTGTGCGGCAGGAAAAAAAGGCCCAAATAAAGGCGGAATTGCGACAGGATGGAGTCAAAGTCAGCGGCAAAAAGGCGAAGCGGCTCGAGAAATACATTGACAACAAACTGCGAAAAGACGAAAACAGAGAGCTCCTTGCCAAACTCGCCGCACGCCGCATCGACACGTCGCTGTTTTCTAGCAGTCGCTCGCTGGGGCAAGGAAAAGAAACAAAGAAGCAAGCGCTGTCGCGAGTCTTGAGGGAGTCAAGGGCTGGGCTAGCTGGGGACGACGAGATTCTTTTCGAGAAGAGAAAGCAGCCAACAGTGGGAGCTGAAGACGGAAGCGACTCGGACGAGATCAATACGGCACAATCCCCCCAAGCCATAGTTGATCCCTTCACCACATCGTCAACTTTGCCTTCGGAAACACCAAAGCCATCACTGGCGGCGAACCCTCTCACAAATGCCACAAAGAGCGTTGGATCCGGCTTGAAGCGACCGTTGGAACAAGACGATGCAGGCAGGCCAGTCATCAAGAAGAAGCAGAAACGGGGAGGCATCAAGACAAAAACACCTGTCGAAGCTATCAAGATTATGCAGCTGAACGAGCCCGAATATGACGAGTGGAGTGGCTTTGACAGCGATCATGAGACGCCGAAAAAGAATGTCACCCAACCAGATGAGGACAGTAAGCCTGAAGCTCATGAGGGAAGCAAGGAGAGCCAAGCTGATGATGGCTCAGCATCTGGCGAAGAGAGCAGTGACAATAGTGACGGGGATGAAGAGTATGGTGGAAGCGAAACGGATGATGACGCTGGACAGCCTGCGCAACGGTCCTCTGCGTTCAAAGCTTGGGCGCTTCTGCAGCGAAACGAGGCTCTGGGCTACAAACCAATCGACGCCAGTGAAGGCCCGTTAGTGGTATCGAAACCTAGAAATTTCGTTCCCAGAGCACCAGAACAGGATCCTCTTCCCCTGGAGCTCCAGCCTACCGAGAATGATTCAAGAAAGGCTTACAGCGTAACTGTAACAAGGTCACCAGAAATACAAGAAGCGCGCATGAAACTGCCAGTGGTTTCAGAGGAACAGCGATTAATGGAGGCCATTCACAATAATGATATTGTCGTTATCTGCGGCGCCACTGGTTCGGGCAAAACTACGCAAATCCCCCAATTTCTCTATGAAGCGGGCTATGGCTCTCCCGACTCGCCAACCCCAGGAATGGTTGCTGTCACACAACCGAGACGAGTTGCTGCGGTATCCATGTCTCGAAGAGTAGCGGACGAGCTCGGCGACCATTCTGGGTCAGTGGCATATCAGATTCGTTTCGAGGGCACAGTGACCGACAAGACTGCGATCAAGTTTTTGACAGATGGCGTTTTGCTCAGAGAAATTGCTCAAGACATCACGTTGCGAAAATACTCGGCCATTATCATTGACGAGGCCCATGAAAGAAGCGTCAATACTGACATCTTAATTGGTATGCTAAGTCGTGTAATTAAGCTTCGCACTGAACTCTCAGAGGAGGATTCCGCAATCAAACCCCTGAAGCTCATCATCATGTCTGCTACTCTCAGAATAGAGGACTTAACAATGAACTCGTCGCTGTTTCCTACGCCGCCGCCTGTGCTCGAGGTTGAAGGGCGACAACACCCAGTTACCATCCACTTTGCACGGAAGACCCATCATGATTATGTCGAAGAGGCATTCAGAAAAATTACTCGGGGTCATCGAAAGCTCCCTCCGGGCGGGTTTCTGGTGTTTCTTACGGGACGCAATGAAATACTACAACTGGGCAAGAGGCTGAAAACGGCTTTTGGAGGCATGGCTTCAGGAGAGGGCCCTAAAGTGAAGATATCGGCAAGCGAGGCCCCGATGGAGGTTGAAGACGTTGAATTTGGTGATATTGATGATTATGGGGATGAAAGCGGAGGCTTGCCATCGGACGATGAGGAAGACGGAGAGGAGTTCCAAATTGAAGAGGACCAAGAAGCGGCACCACTCAAAATCCAGATTCTGCCGCTGTACTCATTGTTACCAACGCGAGACCAGCTCCGGGTGTTTGAGCCCGCGCCGGAGGGCACACGTCAGATTATCCTAGCCACCAACGTTGCGGAAACCAGTTTGACCATCCCTGGAACGAGGTTTGTCTTCGACTGTGGCCGGTCCAAGGAGCGACAATATGATCGCCAAAGCGGTGTCCAGAGCTACGAAATAGGCTGGATCAGTAAAGCCAGTGCAAATCAACGGTCTGGCCGTGCTGGTCGAACTGGACCTGGCCATTGCTACCGGCTATACTCCTCGGCGGTATACGAGCGAGACTTTCGGCAGTTTGCAGACCCCGAGCTTCTTCGTATGCCAGTTGAGGGAATTGTACTACAGCTCAAGTCCATGAATCTTCAAAATGTCGTCAACTTTCCCTTCCCAACGCCGCCGGAAAGACAAAGTCTTGCCGAGGCCGAGAAACTCCTCACATACCTGTCCGCTCTATCACCGTCTGGCGAAATCACACAAATCGGCAAGACAATATCTCTCTTTCCACTTGCACCCCGATTTGCAAGGATTCTACTAGTCGGCCATGCACACGACTGCCTTCCCTACACGATTGCGTTGGTTGCTGGCCTCTCCGCTGCTGAAGTCTTCCTCCCGGAGGCTCAGGCAATCCCTGCACTGACGGCCAAGAATGAAGTCGAGATCCGCACAACAGCCGATGTAATTGCTGAGGACCGGCAGGCCAATGTGCGTCGGGTGTTCGACGAGGTCCACAGAAACTTTTGCTTCCTGGACGATGCATCAGATGCCATCAAGCTTCTGCAGGTAGTCGGCGAGTTTGCGCACGAACCCACGGAAGACTGGTGTGAGAAGCATTTTGTCCGGTTCAAGGTTCTGAAGGAAATCCAACAGCTGAGGAAACAGATCACAGAGCTTCTACGGAACAACATACCTTCGTTTGCAAACCTCAAGTTTCAAGACAGGCTGGATCCGCCGACACCAAAACAAGTCAGCGCCCTGAAGCAAATGGCTGCAGCAGGTTTCGTTGACCAAGTTGCAATCCGAGCCGACCTGGCCCCCGCACCTCCTGAACGATATCGAAAACCCAAGCGAGCAATCGATGTGCCGTACCTCCCTCTTGCCCCCCTCCACGCCGTCCAAGGGCCTGAACATGACAGCCTGGTCTACATCCACCCTACATCGCCGCTCGCTCACCGCAGTGTCCAAGAGTGTCCCGAATACATTGTCTACTCTTACTTGCAACGATCTACCCCGTCCGGCGCGGATCCCTCCAAGAAGCCCAAGACACGTATGCACGCCCTCACAGACGTAACGGGTGAGCAGTTATCAGGACTGGCCAAGGGAACACCGTTGCTCAGCTACGGCAAGCCCATCAAAGAGGTGAAGCCTCCCGGTGCGTCGGGAGAAGGGTCCATGACCAGAGAGTGCTGGGTCATCCCTTATCTGAGAGCAGAAAACACAGGAGGGCAGGGCTGGCCGTTACCCGCGAAGAAGGTCAAGCAGAGAAAAGTTCCCGGGAAAGGATGGACCGTAGAGTAGCAGCTGGTATGTTGAATATACGGCAGCGTATTTTTACAGATTTGCGCGATTTTTGCACTCGTCGACCTTGTGACAATCATAGACTGGATCAACAACTACGAACAGATGGGGAGTGTGGAAATCGTTACCATGTATTCAAGTCTATCCATCAGCGATGCAGGGTATCAATTCTAGGCATACTTGGGAGAAAAAAATTAAAACAAAAAACACATCCTCCGGCCAGCAGACAAGCCACACTGCCAGTGAAACAGCCTACGCCTACGTGGCGACGGGGGTATTAGCAGCACTCATCTTGCTCCTTCTCCTCTTCGTTTTGCCGGGCGTTGACGCAGACTTGGGCGTCCGCGCCGACTTCCCATCCTTCTTCGCATCAACCTTTGTGCTGATGGCTGCCGGGCCGTTCATAGCGCCGACGCCGTCAGGCGCCTTCTTGGGCAGAGGCACGACCACCTTCCTGCCCGTCGACGAGAGATGGAACTCTCCCGGCCGTCCCGTGATGGCGTTTTCGTCAATGTACTCGCCGCCGTGTCGCATGTGCGCCATGAAGGCCTCCTCGGCGGCCCTCTCCATCGAGACCTCGTCGCTCTTTTGTGCCGCGGCGGCAGCAGGCTTGGCCGTGGTGTCCGGCACGGGCGTGTCCTCCTTCGAGTCTTGGCCCTTGGCCCGGCAGGCGGCCGCTTGGTTCGCGGGGAGCTGGTACGCGTGGCCCAGTGCTGGGCGCCATTTGCGCACGCTCTCTGCCGCGGGGAGGGCCTTCGAAATGGCCGACGATATCGTCATCTGCGTGCTGGTCAGCGAGCTCGATGCATGCGGCCTTTTCCCGAGTCATGCCCGTGGCATGTATGGTATCTCTCTCTCCCTCTCCCGGGCGGTGCTCTCATACAATTCTCGACGCCAGGATATCCGCCAACGTGGGCGCCATGTAAATGTTCTCGCCGACGACGAAAAACGACGCGTGGACCGTGATCTCATCGTCTTCCTGGTAGCGCTTTCTCCGCGTCTGCTTGCGAATCACCCAGACACCGGTGCCCATGCCCGGCCCCGTCTCGGCTGGCTCCTCGCCGATGATAAACTCCAGGCCCGACATGGTTTTCAAGCGGCCCTCGAATGCTTCGCGCGTCTGAATAAAGTGATACATGGAGATGTTGTTCATGGCTTGGCTCGTAATGACGGCGTTGTTGGACGTGCGCTCGAAGAAGGGCGACTCGGCAAAGTAGAAGAGGATTGTGTTGGAGTGCAGGCCGCCCATGCTGGCGAGGGTTTGGGGAGACCGCCATTGGATCTCGTCTAGCGGAGGGTCGTTTGATTTGTCCATGGCGGATGCGGGCGTGCAAACGTCTGGGCGGCCGTCGAAACGGAGCGCTGGGATCAGAAAATGAGGCTGCCCAGGAGAGCTTCGAGGTGAATGGATCGATGTCAGTCATGGGATGATGGGATCGCCGCCAACGCAGACGTGGGGGTAGAGGAGAGGTGGGGGGGTGCAGCGGATCGGGCGGCCTGCCAGTGGTGTGGGGCTTGGAGCAAAGCGCGCGATGACAAAGTTTCCGACGACGTCGTTTTCAACTTCTCCAGCTCCCTCCTTCCACTGTCTCCCCCTCTTCTCCCCATCTCCAACCTGCAAGCATCGGCACGCCCAGTCCCAGCAGGAGAAATGGATCTTCTAAACACGATTCGCAAAACAGGCTCCCGCGGCGGCGCCACCTTCTCCTGGGACGACGTCGCCAGTTCGTCCCACCGCGAGAACTACCTAGGCCACAGTCTGAAAGCACCCGTCGGTCGATGGCAAAAGGGCAAAGATCTAAACTGGTACGCAAAGGCCGACGCCGCGCCTGCCGATTCGGCAGAGACAGACGAGGAGCGACTAGCAAGAGAACGTAAAGAGGAGCTGCGAAGGATAAAGGAGGCCGAGGAGGATGCGATTGCTCGGACGCTAGGGCTGCCGATACCACAAAGGAAGACGACTGGTGCCAATGCGGTCGACGTTGGCCAACAGAGGCAAATAGGGGCCAGGAGTGGACCATCGCTTGGCGGTGATGGCGGTGAAAGGGCCAGACGGGAGTCATCTCGAAGACAAGATGAGGAGAGGAGGGCGAAACGACGGCATCGGAGCAGAAGCCGGGACAGGGATGGCCACCAGGAGGCTGACAGGCGCAGGAGAAGGCGTAGTCGAGATCGTGAGTCAAGGCGACATCGGAGCCGCGATAGACATGAGCGTGATCGAGACGACGAGACGCGACCTCGGCCAGAGAGGAATCGAAGCCGAAGTCGCGACAGACGGTTTAATCGCCGTGAGGATCGAGACATTGATGCCAGGGACAGACGGCGGCGACAAGTGGGTAGGGGCAGGGATCATTACCTTGAGCGCAGCCGGAGCCCACGGCCAGCACGACAAGACGACTGGAGATGACGGATATGCGATTCAAGCAACCGAATGGGAGATGGCTTGACCGTGTTTGGCAATTGAACCTACACCAAAATGCTCGGGTGCCTGCTTTGTGGTAATCGGACGGACTGCCTTTTCTACCTTCATTACGTTCCTACGCCTCCGGTGTTGGGTTTCTCTTTCGTAATCGGACGATGCTTCCATCGTTGTACCGACTATTAGACGACCCCGACCATCAACACGTCGGTCCCTGCTCATGTACGGCGCGACATGATTCAGCTGCCACGACGGCTTTTTCTTGGCCACAAGATAGGCCCTAGCAGGGTATATACAAACGCGTGGCCTCCATCCGCGCCTTGAGATGGCCGCCAGGTGGCCGAATTGTTGGTGGTCAATCGCACTTTGCTCCACGCTTCTGAGTGCCTCGAGTTTGTAATAGTAGGAGCCTCGTCCTTCGCTAGCACACAAGCGCCTCTGCTCTTTACCGCAAAGGCAGCGTCAAAAGTTGGAGCGAATGGTCTCAGGCACGTTATGCACCCAACCGTTATAGAAATATGAGTAGCTCCCTGGGTAAAGACGCTGGGAACAATTCCCGCCAGCATAGGGCCAGGATATCCCCGCTGAACCATGTACACGACATGACAGACTATGATTGGGATAGTTCTGTGAGTCATCAGCCGCTTCGCCAACGCCCTGAAAAGAATAGAAAACAAAAAAATTTAATATGAACCATCATACCCCAGCCGAGTGCCAAACACGCACATGATAATGGCACGCTTCTTGATCCTCATCTAAAGCCTGCATACAAGCTGTGTAGATAAGGCCCAGAGACCCAGTTCAATGGCAATTCCTGTAGCTTCAATTCCTACGCAAGAGACCCCTCCATTTCGGCCAGTCTTTAAAGCCAAAGCGCCATGTTCGAAAGCGAAAGTATGCCTCTCTGCTGCGACGGAACTTTCCAACAATTGCCACCGACGGACGGTCCAAAGGTGCTCAAAACGCAACAGCGAGCATGGAAATCCATATCCACAAGGATGAGGATGAAGCAATAAAGCATGCTGGCTTGGCCTGAGGCCCCAAGCATGCCATGCAGGCTATAAACAACGCTGCTGATATTGTACATAGTCCGATGGAGATGATGTGAAGGATATGGCTAGCATAGAGCGCCTACTCTACTCTTGCAGGTGTTGAATGTCCCGCAACGGGCCGGCTCATGGCAAGCTGGAGCAGTTGGCTCCTCATTGATGGACCTATCGGGTAGATTGCCCTGCTTTGTTTCCCTCCCATGGTGGTGTCATTGGCACGCCAAGTACTCCGTACGGACACCTCAACGGAGCTTCTAAAGGATGAGTTCTGTTTCTGCCGGTCGGATAAAGTCAGCATGCTTTTGTGCGTTCATGAGAGCTTTCGTTCTTCTGGCACTGGCCCTACTCGGAGCAGAATATGCCTGTCTGTTTCGCGTGTCGTCGTGGCGCCGGGCGGTGCGGTGATGGCTTTGGGGTCACCACGTCAGAGGCCGTGCGATGGACTTGTGGTACACTCGTGCCAGCGCATGCCTTGGGCCAGGTAGCCAATGGATGACGAGTCGACAATTGGACCATGGGCATTGTACGGAGTAATGTCGAGCATGTTGCATTCGAGGTTGAGCGCGCCGTGTCGTTGGACCCACCAACACGGAGCTTGGAAGCTCGACCACTCCACTCGGCTTGGCCACCTTCAGGCTTCCATCATCCCGATTCTCGACCCCCCTGCAGCACATCAGCACGCCTGCACAGGCACAGCGTAGTCGACAGCACCTCCCAACAGCCAGCCGCCCGCATCTTCATCCCCGTGTGCGTCACTAGCGTGCGATTTTGTCTTGTTACTCCAGCATCGTTTGCGCTCTGCCATCTTTCCATACGTTTCTGCTAGACTGACTGGCTCCAGGAGCCGGGGTTGGCCAACGTTGGCCGATAACGGATACCTTCGCTCTGCCTGGCATCTCGCCACCGGACTGACCGACTTCGGAGTCGTCCGGTACGAATCTCAAGACCAGTGGACCACATTGAGTTTGCGAGTCGCAATGATCTAATACTCAAGACATATATTCCCACCGCATCGACATGGACTACGCCAGCCTTCGCGCCGCAGCCCTGCGCGACGGAGAAGACGAGGAGGCAGTCACTGTCGATACCCGCGCTCTGATAGACAAGGTCCTGGCCAGGTATTCTGGCGAATGGACTACCCTTCGAGAACTTATCCAAAACGCTGCTGATGCACAAGCCACGACCGTCATTGTGAAGTGGGAGACAATTCCTTCGATCCAAGTCCCCGTGCCCAACGCGACGAGTCGATCCGAATTGCTGAAACACGCCCTAGCGAACCATACACTACGCCGCCTGGTCGTGCAGAATGATGGCCAGCCGTTTACGAGAACTGACTGGGGTCGGTTGAAGAGGATTGCTGAGGGTAACCCCGACGAGACCAAGATCGGAGCATTCGGCGTCGGGTTCTATAGCGTCTTTGCTGACTGCGAAGAGCCATTTGTGAGCTCCGGAAGCGAAGCCATGGCTTTCTACTGGAAGGGCAATTCCCTCTTCACTAAAAAGTCTCATATACCCGATGGACAGGCGAGCAGGAACACTGCTTTTGTATTAGATTACAGGAATACAACGACCCCTTTGCCGAATCTGCTCTCAGTTTGTCAGTTTCTGGCCACCAGCTTGACGTTTGTGGCCCTGCAAAATATTGAATTTTGGATCGACGACTATCAAATACTCTCCCTGAAGAAGAAGTCATCCCCTCCCGCAGACCTAACATTGCCTCGAGACCTGGAAGCGAGGACGAAAGAAGGTCTCATGAAGGTCATTGGTGTCGACCGGACCCGGACCCAAATTGATGCCTCATACATGAGTGTCATCGGCTGGAAACCGCGAACTACAGCCTCGAACGCCAAGAACGCCGACACATACGTTTCAAACGAGGCCTCATCTCTTCGGTCTTTTTTCGCACGGCTCACTGCGACTGCTTCGCAATCTGGATTGCGCTCAAAGGCGCAGAGCGAGGACAACCTCGTGCAGCCGCAGATCGCCGAGGACGTCACTAAACTGATTCCGTCTTCAATATTCCTGAGCACCACTTCCGCCGCCATACGATCCAATGTATCGTCGGCTTTTGCGTCTGAACTCGAGAGAGCTACGAAGAAGCTTCCCCCCAAAACAACCAAGATTTCTGTCCTCACAGCGTCGTACGACGAGACTGTGGCGTCTGGGAGCTCGGCTGCTGATGCCGCCTTTGGGAAAGCTACAGATGTGTTCGCTTCTGTTCTGCCAAATAAGAAACCGGGTGGCCGTATTTTTATTGGATTTCCAACCATGCAGACAACTGGTGCTGGGATGCATGTCTCAGCACCATCGGTCATCCCAACCGTGGAGAGAGAAGCCATTGATCTCAACGCAAGATGGGTCAGGACCTGGAATGTAGAGCTCCTTCGAGCCGCTGGAATTGTGACTAGGTTGGCATTCTCTAATGAAATGAGCGACCTGAGTCGCAGTATGCAAACAGCCATCGAACATGGCAAGAAATTCTCTGGCGCGGCCATGTCCAAGTTTATGCCCGAGGCCCTCCATATTCTAAATACTTTCACATTCAGTGACTCGACACCCAGCAGTCAAGTCGCTCAGATCATGGAGGAGGCCTTTTGGACATGTTTCAACAAGGCGTCTATCGAAATGTTCTCTAACCAAGGCGTGCTACAGACCACACAGGTTCGCCTCGGATCGGATGAACTCAATGGTTTTGTGGAGAGTATCCCTGTTATCCCGGAAGAGATGAAGAGCTCCCCGTTTGTCAGGAAGTTAATAGATTTTGACCTTGTCTCTCACATTACGGTTACTGATGTCAAGAAGGAGCTTGAAGCAAAAGCTCTGAGTAAATCTCAAATGATCAAGTTCATCTCCTGGGCAGGAAAGAAGAGTGTGAGCGGCGAACTCGATCCTGGCAGCAGAGCCGCATTGCTGGAGGTTGCTGTCGCGACGATGGGTGATGAAGAATCTCAGGGCGACATTGTCGCACTTGGCAGCATCAGTAATTACCTGAGTCCAAGCACCATTCCGGCGCATATGCCAACACCACCGACAACCGTCCCTTTTCCCCTCACGGCCAACACTCACCATTCGGAACTGCAGGCTCTGGGTTGGGAACCCCTACAAGTTTTGCCTTGGTTCCGCTACTTGTTGGAAACGACAAACAATAGACCAGACGAAGAGAGCGTGACAAAATCCTCGAGATTTGCCGTACAAGTGCTGGTCATTCTTTCCAAGAGCTGGGATACACTCTCCAGCAAGGACAAGGCAACTTTGGCCGCGCTGGTTCAGGGTCATGCGGTAATACCAACCAAGCTCAGCTTGAAACGACCTGGGGAATCATTCTTCTCGTCTGTAAAGTTATTTGACGACTTGCCCGTCATTCAAGGCTGTGAAAAGGTCAAGGATAAGTTTTTGGCAGCAGTCGGTGTGCGAAAGACAGTTGATTTGGAAACCATCTTCACACGACTGCTGGCTCACTCGGGCGACAGCAGGCAGAAGAGATGGAGCCACATGGAGCTTATCAAGTACTTGGCCTCAGTGCAAAACGACATCCCCTCTGATGACCTGAAGAAGTTGAGAGAAACAAGATTCTGCCCTGCCGAAGCAGGGCCCAAGGGAATGGAACCAACAGAGGCTACGAAATCACTATACCAAGTGTGTGAGCTTTTTGAACCCAAAGAGGCTCTCCGTGCTCTCAGACTCCCTATTCTGCAGTGGCCAGGTCCTCCTGGTAGCTTTCGTGCCAGCAGTCCTGAGGGGAGGTTCTTGACTGCGCTTGGATTACGGGCGTTTCCCTCGGTGCCAGAACTTGTGGAAATGATGGCCTCCAAGGATGAGGCACTGCGCACTTCTTCCATGACCTACTTCATTGCAAACCATCACATTAACCGGTACGGAGTGTTTAATATGAGTGAGGCCCGCAAAGCCATTCTTCCCCTGCAAGGCAGCACGCAACTTGTCGCACCTTCAGCATGTTTCACCAACGAGAGGGCTGCAGTTCTTGGTTTCCACATCTTCAAGAGAGACCTCCACGACCACGCAAATGTAAGAGCCCCCTTTCCTAGCCGTCTTCGCCGAAATGGGTGTTAACAAGCCGTAGAAATTCGGTGTTGCCCGAGATCCGCCAATGGTCGACTGCGTCAACCGTCTTTTGACCAGCCCGCCCAAAGACCGCCAATCCGCCACCACTTTATTCAGCTACTTTGCCTCTCGAATCACGGAAGTCCGCGAAAACAGCCTGGTCAAGCTCCGAAACGCTCCCATTGTGCCAGCCTCAAGGCCAAGCATTGTTCGCTCATCTACATCGTCTAGTCAAAAGGTATCATACGTCAGTCCATCTCAGGCATATCTGGGGAAATCTGCCACTTATGGCGACATCTTCGACTTTGTCGACTTTGGTCAGGAAGCGAACTCGTTTCTGTTTCACTGCGGAGCAAAGAGTGAGCCTACCAAGCCTGAAGTCGCACATATGACGTGCGCCGAGCCTGCAAGGCTGCTCAGCGTGCTGCAAAGCCCAGAGAGATATATGGATCTCCTCAAATCTCTTGCCGAGGCATCATCCACTCTTCATCGTGACAAGGAGTTGTGGCGGAAGCTAAAAACTGCCCCTTGTCTGCTCGCGTACAAGGAAATGGCGCCCGCAAACAAAGGCGATTTGATAGACCTGGATGAGGTTGAAGCACCAATCAAACAGTATCAGCTGGCCTCGGCCAGTCGCATTGTAGTCGTGGATGATATTATCAGCTATCGGCTGTTCAAGGACTACCTAGTTTGCGCTCCAGAAGAGGACGCCCTGGAAACATTCTATCTCCAACTCGGCGCTGAGAAGCTCAGCAGTGTCGTCCAGGAGGACGTGCGGATTGGCCCTCACACAGCCAAGCAGAAAAAAGCAGAACAACTGCGGAAGCGTGTTGTAGAGAGGTCAAAGATATTTCTCTTTGAGTACGCAAGCTATCGACGTGATGCCGTCAAGCACGACGCCAAGTGGCTCGAGAAGAACTTGCGCGTAGAGATGGTCCGCTCAGTGGCCCTGCGCCGTACATTGAAAGGGCAGCGGCAATCACACACGGAGAAGCGCTCCGCGGCTGGTGCTTACGAGGACCGAGCGTGGGTTCTGTACGTCGCCGACGACGGCCAGCCGGATATGTATCAAGTTGGTCAGGCCGTGTGCCAAATGCTGTTGAACCGCCCAAACCAGCAGGCCTACCTGTTCTTCGAACCATTCCTCGCTCTGGACCTCTTTGGTCTCCGGGCACGCGGTTACAACGTGGACCGCATCCTCCGTGCCAAAGCTGCCGAGGCAAGAATTGCGGAAGAGGAGAGACGGAAAGCGCTACAAGAAGAGCAAAGGAGGATTCAGGAACGGGAACAGGACTGGGCCCAACAGGGGAAAGCAACCGACGAAAGCAAGATTCGTGAACTCCCCAGCGCAGCCGAGGCTGCCAGACAAGTGGCTCGCACTCCAGAGCAGCCGGCCAAACCGACGATGCCGGGCGCGTGGGGTTCGCCGGACGATGCCGCGGCGGACAGCCCTCAGCAGTCAAAGAAGGGCGGTGGTTTGTTCTCGAACCTCAGCCGCCGGTTGGGATTCGACAGTCAAGACGGAACCAGGGATGATGCCAAGACGCAGCTGGAACAGTTCATGGGCAACACCACGACGCAAGGCGGGACTGGCTCGACCACCGGAGCGCAGGAAAAGGATACCGGACGGCCCCAGCAGGATGATGGGAGGGTCACCAGTCCTGCTGTGGTGCAGCAAAACCTCCTCAACGCCGTACAAGCGACCCGAGCCCACGGATCTGACCACGTCTTCTCCGAGCCCAAGGTCAACCAGGTCAAGGAGCAAGCTACGTATTGCGATCAAACTCCAGCACAACACATATCATTTGCGGCAGAGTCCTCCAACGGAATGAAGGTCTACGTAGCAAAATCCATGCAAGGAGACGCAGCGACCTTTCTGTCGGCCAACATAGGCCCCATCAATTCCTTCTCGTCGCTACTAGTTGAGATTGGCAGCGTCTACTCGTTGTCGCCCTCGGTTCTGCACATATTCTACGACGAATCAGGGGGCACCATTGCATTTAACACGGGAGGAAGCATATTCTGCAATTTCCGATTCTTTCTACAATTACACTCTGCACATGTCCAGAGCGGAAGCGGGAAAGCCGAAGCTGCTACCTGGTGGTGGGTTGTGCTGGCTCACGAGTTGGCTCACAATCTCGTCTCTCCACACAATTCGGACCACAGCTACTACACGTGAGCCATGCATAACTACATGTCCGTTGGCTCCAGCTTCCAGTGACTAACAGCCAACAGGGAGTCGTTTATCCAGCAATACATGGCAAAGATGGTAGCCAAAGTCACGCAAATCGCTGCCGCGGGACACGCCCCGGCCGTGCCGCCGCCGCCACACCCTCCCCGACTACCGGCCAATGCGGCCTCTGCTCAACCCGAAATGCCGCCGCCGCCTCCGTATACCCCCGACGCAAGCCAGACGGGATAACAACAGGTTAGGTTAAAAGGTAGTTTTGCTCGGCGCTGTAACAAAGATTTGTGTACACGTGACATGGCCACGCCGGGCGTCATGCACTCATGGCATAGATAGACTTTGTGCTGCACATGGAAGCACTTCATGACAAACTGTACATGTAATAATAAGACTTCTGTTACTCTAGGAGGAGATAAGTTCGCCCCAACCGTCTTCCTTTTCCCTTTTCGCGGCCGAGACGAACGGGTGCGTCGTTTCGTCGTCCTGCGCCATCAGAGATGAAGCGCATGTGACTCCACACGTGACTGCAAATCGAACCCAAGCTCCGTCCGTCCAACCACGCACGGCGACAACCTCATCCCAACCACACCACCAAGCGGCAGCAAACCACCAATTCCGCCCCAGGTCCATCTGCACGCCGCATCCTCCCACGCGATCAATCCCCTCGCGCACCATGGTCCACCGCATCGCATTCTGGAGCTGCTTCGGTCCGTTTTCCCTCCCCAGACGCATCGCCGTCGCCCGCCCCGGGGCGCCCTCACACAGTACAGTACAGTGCACAGCAGGGAAGGAGCTCGCTGACGTCCGGGTGCAACGCAGGCCTCGCCGTGCGCTTCTGGCAGGTTGGGATCGAGATGCGCCCCTTCTTCAACAAGTCGTCGCTGTGGGCGTACCCGGCGTACGCCCTGGGCGGCGCCTCCTTCGGACACTGGCTGCAGGGCATCGACGACAAGCAGAGCGCCATGCTGGGCGAGCGCAAGGCGTTCCTGCTCGAGAAGAGGAGGAGGAAGGCGGAGAGGGAGGCCGCGGAGGCGGGCGGGGCGGCTGCCGCCCTGCAGTAGGGAGGTCACGGCCGGGCTGGCTTCACTGAACAGCGGACCGACACTGGGCTGAGAGCCGGGCGGAGAGGGATTGCGTGTACATACGGGGAGGGGGGGAGGGGGGAGAGAAAGCTAGAGCATGGAATATAGAGTGATTTCTTTGGCCATGTCTGGGCGGACTTTTGCACAGGTCGTGCGTGACGATGTGGTGCGGAAGGGTCTGGGGGATATATTTGGACGCTTTTTTTTTTGGTTTTTTGGTTTTTTGTATATTTTAACAACGGTCTAGTCTACAGCTCCTCTAGCTTGCGGAGGATGGCGGGCACAGACATGGCCGAGGAGTTGCCCAGCTCCGTGACGACGACGGAGATGAATTTATCCCTGGTGGTGTCGAACAGCAGTCTGAACTCCTTGTCTGTGTTCCTCTCGGGATCGATCTCGTTGTAGGTGAGCGAGTCGATGGACACGCGCTCCGTAAAGTTGATTGTTTCGCAGAGGGCCACGACGCGGAGGCCCAGGTCCGTCGCGGCGGTGGCAATGTCGCAGGTGCCCGCGTGGGCGTACATGGAGCCGTTGCTGAACATGGCCTCTGCGGCGGCGAAGAAAATGGTGGCCTCTTGCAGGTTGGACCACAGGGCGCCCATGTCGGAGGCGTAAGTGACGGGGATGCCGGCGGCGGCTAGTTTCTTTGCGTGCTCCAGGCCGACGCGGTCGAAGGGGTCGTCGACAAGGATGACTTTGAACTGCTTCCCGTCCGACTTGGCCTGCAGGAGCGAGCGCTCGACGAGCCTGTGGTGGGCATAGGTCAGGATGACTTGGCCGTCTTCGACCATGTCGGCGGCAGTCTTGACGATGACGAAGTCGGCCAGGACGATGCGCTCGTGGATGAAGTTGTCAATGGCCTGGCAGAGGCCCCTTTTGGCATCGGCGTCGGGCAGGTCAATGTCGATCTTGCTGATCTGGAGCTTGAGCCACCTTATGGCGTTGCCCATGGAGAAGCACATTGGCCGACAGGCGGTAAGGTACTCGATTTGAGGGTTGAGAACGTGCGAGGTGAAGTGGCGAGAGAAGGTGCTGCTGTGGGGTGTGGTGTAGGCATCGATGACCTAGGCCTTTGTCAGGAAACTTGGCTGGTTGGGAGAAATCAAGAAATCAGGACGCAGAAGGCCACACATGCCTGGGGCGGCCGGTAGGTACCTTTTTGAACGCCAGGAGAGTGGCCTCCAGCCTCGTGGTGCTGTCGCCGATGGCAAACGTGCTCATCTGCTGGCCCAGCGCCAACACAACCGGACTCACGTCCTTGTCTGCCCGTGTCATGGCTATCCTCCTCGCCATGGACAAGTGGCTGAAGCATTCCGGGATCCTGGGCTTCACCAGCTCCTTGGCGACGCGCGGCTGCACAGAGCGCGAAGCAGACCGTTGAGAGGTCGGCGAGGGAAGACCGCCTTGCTTGGAGTTGCTCGTATTCGCCCTGTCCTTGCCGGATTTCGCATCGCCAGCAGCGTCTTGCGCTCCTGAAGGCCCGGCAGGTGCTGCTGCTACGTGAGCGGCCTTTGCCTGGGCTCTCCTGGCGGCCTTTTCCTCCTTGGCCTTCTTCTTCAGCTCGGCATTGGATAGCTTCTTCTCGCCGTGGGCGCCCGGGGGTGCCGGCGCAGCTCGATCTTTTTGTTGCGTGGATCGAGGTTGGCCTTGGAGTTTGGCGTCCTTGCAGTCCTTGCCCACGGCGGCGTCGCCTGCAGGAGCGGGCTGGCCTCCCTCTGCAGCCATGGGGTGTGTTGATGAATTTCTTCGCAAGGCGACCTGGATGTGTCTGAAGCGTTGATTTGGCCTGCCGCTGCAGGCGGATGGTTTGGAGAGATGAGAGAGTGAAAGTTTTGAGTCGAGTCACAGCGCCGAGCAGAGGGGTGGAGGGAAACCCTACGCCAAAACAGGAAACCATCGCAAATTGCACGGCATTCATTATATAATCATGGCAATCGACTTGCAGCTGCAAAGTCATTCACTGTGCCATTCATTTTGGATTTTGCTGTGCGCACCACCAGCGGGTTTGTGCTTCTTACATTTCCTCACCAGCACTTTGGTCGCCTCGCATTCACGGAGCGGCATTTGCATCGCGGGCTGGGAGCGTCGACACCAGAGACGTGTACATACATCAGCGAGCATCATCGACCCAACGGAACTACTGGGCATCGCGACCACCAAACCCCGTCTCCATCGTGCGGTGCTCGGCTTCGGAGTCATGACTCATCGGTTCACAGCCGGGCAGCTTGACCTGGTCTGAAGATGCCAGCTTCCTCTCGACATTCCCCGTACAGAACATCCTCTTCGCATCGCGTCTCTCCGGCCTGCTCCCATCCTTCTTCACGCCAGCCTCGAACGGGCCAACAGCAATGAAAGACATGAAAAGGGTCAATAAAGTGTTCCAAAAATTCCCTGCCCGAATAAATCAAACAGGAGCGGTTTTGTTATAGTTTTCAACTAGCAAAATTCCTCCCTCAGCTTATCGCTTCACGGAGAAGGAAAACGCCCGTGCACTTGGATGGAGAGGAAAGAAGAGAAAAGAAGTCTGAAAGCGACGCGGGCAGGCCGACAATTTATAGGCGAAACGCGCACGCTCCAGATCAACTTGCTTATGTAAGGAATCTACGCCTGGTCCAGCTGGCCTGCGGATGGGACAGGGGAACTTGAGCTTCTGATTGGTTGGCCGAGCCAGGCAGACGCGACCTGACTTTTAGACGCATGCACGCAAAAAAAGTTGTTCGGTGCGTCGAGAAGCTCACCGCAGCCTACTTACATTGAATGCATATACGGAGTAGAATAGCAACAATTACAGCTGCGGCAGAGCGAGTTCGTACATCACAGCGTCGCAAGATGTCCCAATTGCCGTGCCAAGGCTCAAGTGGCGATGCTGAATCTGCCAATGTCGCGAAGAGGCCCAAGAAATATGAGTCGCAGACTCGCGGCCCGCAGGGAAGGCGCCATCCATCATGATCCGCATCTTATCCGTCCGGCCACAGACGTGACTTGACCTTTCACATCGCCCACCAAGATGAGGTTTTCTCGCGCTTTTTCCACCAATGGCGTCCCTGCCAAAAAGATAAAATACGTGCCCACCTCAGGCACCTATCCCAAGGGCTTCTCAGCAGCCGGCGTCTTCTGCGGCGTGAAGCCAGGAAATAGCAGCAAGCCCGACATTGCCCTGGTGACCTCTGACCGCGACTGTGCCGCCGCCGCCGTCTTCACCAAGAACAAGTTCCAGGCTGCTCCCGTCACCTTCAGCCGAAAGTTGCTGCAGAGCAAGTCCAATGCCGGGCTGCGAAGCGTCGTCGTCAACTCTGGCAATGCCAACGCCGTCACCGGCATCGGAGGCCTTGACGATGCCGCCAGAATGGCCGAGACCACGGACCAGAGGGTCGGAAGCGAGAACTCAACCATCGTCATGAGCACAGGGGTCATTGGCCAGAGGTGAGATGCCACCATGGATCTGCCAGTTGGTTGGCCTTGTTGCCATCGGGACCGAGTTGACAGAGAGAAAAAAAAAAAATCCCTCGACTGCAGGTTGCCGATTCAAAAGATTGTCGACCACATTCCCCTGGCCATCCATCGCGCTGGCGCCACCCACAAGGACTGGCTCAATTGCGCAGCGGCCATTTGCACGACCGACACGTTCCCAAAGCTCATGTCCAGGTCGTTCGAGCTTCCCTGTTCCCCGGGCGTTGAATACCGCATTGCGGGCATGACCAAGGGCGCCGGCATGCTGGCGCCCAACATGGCCACCCTCCTGACCATCCTGGCGACAGATGCTCCCATTGCCCCCGGCATCACGACCGACCTCCTTCGCCGCGCCGTGGACAAGTCCTTCAACTCCATCACCGTCGACGGCGATACCTCTACCAACGACACCGTCGCTCTGTTGGCAAACGGTGCTGCGGGCGGCATCCCCGTGTCCTCCCAACACTCACCCGACTACCAAGCCCTCCAGACGGTGCTGACCGACTTTGCCACCGATCTAGCCAAGTACATTGTCCGCGACGGCGAGGGCGCCACCAAGTTTGTCACCATTCGTGTGGTCAAGAGTGCCTCGGAAGAGTCGGCCCAGCAGGTTGCCCGAGCCATTGCCCTCTCGCCGCTGGTCAAGACTGCGCTGTACGGCAGAGACGCCAACTGGGGCCGCATTCTGTGCGCGGCGGGCTACTCGCTCATCTCCAGGCCCGGGCAGCCGGCGAACCAGGTCCCCGAGATTGTCCCCGAGAAGACGAGCGTTTCATTCATCCCCACCGACGGGTCCGACGAGCTCAAGCTGCTGGTCAATGGCGAGCCCGAGGTCGTTGACGAGAAGCGCGCGAGCGAGATTCTCGAGATGGAAGACTTGGAGATTCTAGTGAGCCTGGGCACTGGTAGGGAGAGTGCCGTGCACTGGACTTGCGATTTGAGCCACGACTACGTTACCATCAATGGGGATTACCGGACCTGAGTGTTACGGGGAAACAGAATCATCTTCTCGCACGCAGAAAATCTAAACCCCGCTGGGAACCCTATTGATAGCTTCAGAAATCTTTGCGAGGCGTTTTTTGGTTGAAGCCTGCCAACCAAGCACATAGCATCCATGAGTTAGAGGAAATGGAGCGTCCGCCGTGTGAAGACATGACCAAGCGCACGCCAACACGGCGGGATTTATGAACCCTTTGTCCCCCCTCGCATTTTTTCGCATCCAAATTCTTAACCCCGTCCGTGCATGACATTTGTAACCCGCAACATGCATCTTCACAGCCCGGGCCGGTGCCCCGTTCAAGCACTCAGTGTTCCCTTAGTGCTAGGAACCTCGCCCTCCTTGCCCTCGACCCTCGTCGTGGCCATCTTAATCGCCACAGCCAAGGCCTTGAAGGCACTCTCCGCCCGGTGGTGGTCATTGTCGCCCCGCAAGCAGTCGACGTGCAAGGTGACCCGCGCGCCCTGCGCAAAGCTCTGCAGACAGTGAGGGACCATCTCGGTGCTTAGCTTGCCCAGCCATTCGCGCTTCAGGCCCAGATCAATCACGCTATAGGGACGGTTGGACAGGTCGACAACGGCGCGGCAAAGGGCCTCGTCCAGCGGCGCATATGCGTATCCGAATCGAGCGACGCCGGCAAGACTCCCGAGCGCCTGGTTGAAGGCGTACCCGAGGGCAATGCAGCAATCTTCGGCGGTGTGGTGGTCGTCAACTATGCGCGGATGGGAGAGGGGGGGGGAGGCCGCCGAGTCAGCTTTGAACCAAGGGCGGAGGTTTTTGCTGTCTTTCCATGGATGATGTTTTGGATTGTCTCTTCTCTCTTTTTCTTTTTCTTTTTCTTTTTCTCTTTTTTTTTTCTTCGCAGTTGATTGCGAAACTCCAGCCCGCGTGCTTGGCTAGCGCGTGGAGCATGTGGTCGAGGAAGCCGATGCCGGTGTTTACTGAGATGATTTGTGACTTGCTGGACTGGGAGGCGTGGGCGGTTGTGGCTTTGAGAAGACGCGCATCGGTGTCTGCTGGGAACTCGCCGCCGTCGAGGTTGATGGCGAGCTGGATCTTGGTCTCGTTGGTGTCGCGGGCGAGGGCGGCCGACCGGACGGGGAGGGGCGATCCCATTGTGCCAGATGGTGCTTCAGTTCAGTTCAATCGCGTTTGAAGGGATTGAGAGGCGGACAAATGAAGTCGTTTGGAATATTGGCTGGCTGACCAAGGCAAGTAGGCGTTGGGCCGCAGCCCAATTCGGCGACGGCACGTTAGGCAAGCACTTCCCGGCAGTCTTGTGGGCGTGCGTGCGTGCCAGAACCACCCCCGCTAGTCTTCATTCAGCCCACGCCCCTGGACCTCGCAGCTTCCTGACAGGCCAGACCAGACCAATCGAGACGCGCTCTGCCTGTACCCATCGCGCTTGCAACAACATCGACAGCTGCGAATCGGAATCCGGCCCCAACACCATGCCGCCTGACATCGCCGTTTACGACAACCCTCATTGTCTTACTATCTCTCGTCCTCCCCATGAGCGCCACACACCATGGACAAGTTCTTGAGGGATTGGCGGCAAGACGCCTTGAACAAAGCCCAGTATGATTCGGCCATTTTTATCGGCGACAAGCTCTTGGCCCTGACCAGTCAGTTGTTATCCTCGGACCAAAGTCTCGTTCTCTCCATCGAGTACTGACGCCTTGATCCATGTCACGTACTCAGACGACGACCAGGACGCGTTTTGGCTCGCCCAAGTCCACTTTGCTACGGGCAACTACACCCGCGCCCAAGCCTTCCTGTCCAAACAGGACCTCGTCTCCAGAAGCCCGTCTTGTCGCTATCTCGCAGGCCACTGCCTTATCAAGCAGTCTCGCTACGAAGAAGCCCTCGTGGTTCTCGGAGAACGGAACCCCACGCACTTGATGTCCAACGGCGGAAGCAACAAGCGCAAGTCGCAGCCCCGGCACGGCAACCGACGGCGCGAGGGCGAGGTGGATGAGGAAGAGGCGGCCAACAAGCGGTTCGAGGCGGCCATGTGCTTCCTCAGAGGTATTTGCTACGCCAAACAAAACGCATTCGATCGAGCCAAAGAATGCTACAAGGACGCTGTGCGGATCGATGTTCGCTGTTTCGAGGCTTTCCAACAGCTCATGAAGAATTCGCTGCTTTCGCCAGACGAAGAATGGCAATTCCTCGAGAGCTTGGACTTTGACTCGATATCCGTCTCGGGAGATGTGTCCTCGTCACAGGAGGCCGCAGACTTTACCAAGATGCTTTATACGACCAGGCTATCGAAATACCGAGACCCGGCTGCTTTCGAGACGGCGTACGATTCTCTCTCCACACATTATCACCTATCCACCAACCCCGATCTTCAACTGGCGCGGGCCGACCTGTTGTACACGCAATGTCGCTATCAGGACGCCCTCGCCATCACCGACGCGATCCTGCAGGAGGACAAGTACAATTTTTCCATTTACCCGGTGCATCTCGCCTGCCTATACGAACTCAAGATGAAGAACCTGCTTTTCCTGGTGGCACACGACCTCGCCGACACGCACCCCGGGGAGCCCTGCACGTGGTTGGCGGTCGGCATCTACTACTTTGCCATTGACAAGATTGCAGAGGCCCGTCGATATTTTAGTAAAGCTAGTATGATGGACGCTCATTTTGGGCCGGCCTGGATCGGCTTCGCGCACACATTCGCGGCGGAGGGAGAGCACGACCAGGCCATCTCGGCCTACTCCACGGCCGCACGCCTCTTCATGGGAACTCACCTGCCGCAAATCTTCCTGGGGATGCAAAACCACGCGCTCAACAACATGGCTCTGGCGGAGGAGTTTCTCAAGACAGCATACGGCCTGTGCAAGACTGACCCGCTGCTGCTCAACGAGATGGGCATTGTCAAGTACCACCAAGACCGCCCCCGGGACGCGGTGCAATACTTTGAGGCGGCCCTCGAGATTGCCGAGGAGATCAACAGCGAGCCGGGGGCATGGATCGCCACCAAGACAAACCTGGGTCACGCGTACAGGCGGCTGGGGCAGTTCAACAAGGCGCTCGACGTGTTCAGCGACGTGCTGAGGCTGGGCGGTAAGGACGCGGCAGTCTTCAGCGCCCAGGGCCTCATCCTGATGGAGCAGAAGCGGCCGGAAGAGGCGGTCTCGGTGCTGCACCAGGCGCTGGCCATCAACCCGCAGGACAGCATCGCCACGGAACTCTTGAACAAGGCGCTCGAGGAGACGGTGTTGGCTGACGGCGCCGCGGAGGACGAGGCCGACGATCTGGCCGACTTTGAAAGTCACCTGGATCAGAGGAAGATGGAGGCGGCGCGACGCGTCAACGGGCGCCGGCTCGGGCGCGGCATGCTGGACAAGGGCAAAGGAACGGTCACCAGGAGACGGACGCTGTTGGCCGATGAGGACAAGGGCGAGGGCGTGATGGAAATGACGGACGAGGAGGGGGAGTAAAGGGCGGTGCGGCGGCGAAAGGTATTGCTGCGGCTGGGGGGGGGCGGCGTTTGATGGGCATTGTTTCGGTACCTGCATACTTGAGGGCACTTCTACAGGACGCCTGGCGGCTCCTCAAAATTTCTGGCGAAAAGAAAAAGGGCAACATGGGACAGTTGTCTGTGTCAGTGTGCTCCTTGTTTTGTGACGTCGGGAACCGGTAAACAAGAACAAAGCCTTGCTCGGCGTTCGGAGTGCGGAGAAAATGCCCAGTCCATAATGACCCACCCCGTCAGATGTTAGATCTGGGCAGAAAGCACGACGTCTGCGGTCGCTCCTTCCCCGCCCCACACCCACCCGCCAAGAGCACCAAAATGTCGCGCTTCTTCCCGCACACGTCGTACGCAGAAGACCAGCCGCTGCCGCGCGTCATCCTCACGACTCACGTGGTCACGCGCGCCGTGGCCGTAGGGTCCGCGGTCGGCGTGGGCGTCGCGGCCGTGCGGCAGGCCGTGCCGCCGTGGCGAGGACCCGACGCCTTCTCGCGCCGCCTTGTGAGGGCGTCGTCTGCCGGCGCGCTCTGCGGCCTGGGCCTCGGCGTCGTTGCAGCGGCCGGCCGCATGTACGGCCGCGACCTGGTCGAGTGGCAGGACCGGAGCTGGCGGCTGATGGAGAATCGGGGCCAGCTCGAGGTGGATGACTGGACGTATCTCGGCATGGCGGCCGGCGTTGGGACTGCCTGGGGCGCCGGCACTTTGAGGGGCATGGGGCCGAGGGGCGTCGTGGGCGCCGCCGGTGCAGGCAGTGTCGCTGGATTCTTGGCCTGGGCCGCTTGGCGGTTAGGCCTCAACGGCGGCAAGTACAAGGAGAAGCCCAAGGAGGGCGATTTGTGAGCCAAGGCCCATGACCGGGACGGGACGGGACGGGACGGTTCCGCGGTTCGGGTTGGCTGTTTTTGTAATCTACTCTGCCCCATTCTCAGTTGCAGCACACTCTACAACTTGGCAGCCGGCTCCTGCAGCTCCTCCACCTTCTGGAACCGATAGAAATACTCCAAGCTCCCTGGGTTCAACAGGGTACCGCTCGGCCTCACTGTCTTGCCCGAGATGATGTTCTTGACCGGCAGCTCGACCTTCTTCCCGTTGACGGTGACGGGGATCTCGGGCACCTGGAACACGTACTGCGGCACATGTCTCTTGGTCAGCTCCCTCGCAATCGTGTCCTTGATGCTCCTCGCCGTCGTCCCATCCAGCGTCCGCCCCTGCTTCATCACCAGAAATAAGACCACCCGCTCGTCGAGATCGCTCGGCCGCCTCTGCCCCACGCACAGCGACTCGGCAATCTCGGCTGGGAAACACCGCTCCAGCACGGCGTAGATGTCGGAGCTGCCGAACCGGATGCCGCTGGGGTTGAGCACCCCGTCTGACCGGCCGAGCATCAGGATGGCGCCCGTCTTGGGGTGGAAGACGCAAAAGTCGCCCTGTGCCCAGACCCCGTTGAAGCGGTCAAAGTACGCCGCGCGGTATTTCTCGCCCGGCGGCGGCGTGTTGTCGTTCCAGAGAAACAGAGGCACGTTGGGGAACGCGGCCGTCGCAACGAGATCGCCCGCCCGGCCGAGCGGGAGGGACGCCCCCTCGCTGCCTTCGGGGAGATCGTGGTCGTAGACGGCGATGGGAATGCCCAGGGAGCCGCCTACGCAGCCGCCGACGTAGACGGGCGTCAGGGGGTTCTCGAGGACGAAGCAACCGGCCTGTGATTGTCAGTGTGCGTGTACACGAGGCCAACGGGGAGACAGAAGGGGAGAGAGAGAAGAGAGACTGCGTCCAGAGATTCGTACAATGTCTGTGCCGCCGGAAATGTTGGCGATCTGGACCTGCGGCGGGAACGCCTCATCGTAGAACCACTCGAACATTTGGTCGGGCAGCACCATGCCTGTGCTCACCACTTTTTTCAGCCTGGAGAGATCGGCTACTTTTCTGGGCGAAATCCCCCTCTTCATTAGCTCCGTCATCCATCGTGGGCTGAGGCCCAGTGTGGTCACGCCCTGCTGTTCGGCAATCTTTAAGAGCACGGTTGGGTCGGGGATGAATGGCGATCCGTCATACAAAACAGCCCTCGCTCCAAACACTAGCTGCGACACGCTGGATAGGTACATGATCCATCCGGTGGTGGTGAACTGAAGGCCAACGTCGTCGGGGGTGATGCACTTATGCAGCACACCCTCTTTACGGAGGCTGATCAGCAAGGGGCCGACCCCGTGGACAATTGCTTTTGGGATGCCCGTCGTGCCGGAAGAGTAGAAAACGATCATGGGGTCCTGGAAGCCAACACGGACCATGGGGGGCGCCTGCTTTTTCCCCTTTGAGAGGATAAAGTCCTCGAGTCGTTCGGTGTTGGAAATGTGTTGGGTAGGGCAGGGCCGCCGGCTGAACCGCTGCACGACAACCACCTTGCTGAACGACGGGCATTGTTGCAGTCCTTGCACGACGCCTTGAATCTTGGCCCCGAGATCAATAGCCTTGCCGTTGTATAGGGCGCCGTCGTCAAAGAAAACATACTGCCCGGTCAGCACTTCTCGTCAGGTGGTCAACCAGCACTTCTCGTCAGGTGGTCAACACGCGGCACTGAGCATCAACTCCCTCACCTTGGGATCAATCTGCACCGCCCTCTGCAACAAGCCTCCAACGCCCATATCGGTAGAACTACTACTGAACAAGGCGCCCAGCCAAGTCGTCGCCAAGAAGACAATGAGGGTCGTGGCCGAATGCGCACCGACTGCGACGACGCGGTCACCCCTCCCAACGCCTCTTTCCTTCATGGCCGTCGCCAGCTCGGCCACTCTCGTCCGCAGCTCTGCCCACGTCATGTGTCGCACCTCAGTGTTGCCCTCGCGCACCTCCGTAAGGGCGATCCTGGAGTCTTCCTTGTTGAGCTGGGTCCTGGCACCGGGGGCGTCGTTGACGCTCCGGCTCCAGAGAAAGTTCTCCGTCCAGTTGAGTCGAATGCCCGCGAACCAGGGCGGGAGCCGGGAGACGGGGACAGACTCGTCAACGGGCTCCGTGTAGCTCCCCGAGTGGATGAAGGGCATGGTTTCCCAGACGAGGGACCAGAATTGGTTGCGATTCGAGCACGACCATTTGTAGAGAGCGGGAAAGTCCTAGGATTGTCAGATGAACAGGTTTGGGGACAACACGGCAGCAAGAAAGACGTTGCGATTGCCCGGCGCTCAGCTCACCTGCATATTCAATCCATATTTCGCATTCGCGTCCTGCATAAACGCCCACATGGCGGTGCTCTTGGGGTCCGGGTGCTCCCAGAGCTTCCTCGGCGTCTGTTCAAACTCCATCTTTTCCCCAACAATGTTGGTTGCACAAAGCGTTGGATGCTCTACTTCCCGTGTTCCGGGGCGAGGCGATGGGCAAGAGGCCCTCACGGGTAAAGAGGAAGCAAAGAAACAGGAGGTATAGCGCCGTAGAAGCCCTGGGTCAGACGGCCTGCATGCAACACCGACATGTAGTCGTCGACGGAGACTCGCCGGATACCGGTGCCGATGCGTCCTTCCTTTGGTTCATCCATGTATGTCAGGTAGCAGTTGCCCTTTCCCATTCTATGGCTCAACCTCCCCCTCCTTTTCCTCGCCGCCTCGGCCCAGACTCCTTCCCGACGACCAGATTGGGTCAAGTCGACTTCGGCTTTCGGGCAATTGACGACCTCGGGATCGTCCGTGTCACGGTTCCTTCGGTTGCACTGCTCCACCAAACGGCTGTCATCGGCCTGAGCATCCGAAAACTGATGCCGAAAATCCCATTCGTCCTTGTTTGCTGGACAAACATACAACTCCGTACTGCGCCATGTCGTCGTCCGCGTCGAGATTCAACACCGTCCCTTGTCTTGCCGCTCAACAGACACACTTCCTTTTCCTATTCCCATTAGTTACATAGCTTGTACAGTTTACACTTCCAGTCTGCGTCCGCATGGTGTTGTACTATATTTCTATTCTTCGCATCGCTCCGTAGGCGTAAATGTCGTCAACCGGATAATCACCCCGTGCAGCAAAGTCCACGCACATACATACATTCCGCACTATAGTTTTCTCCTCCAACCTTCGCTCCCTCACCATTCAATTCGAGTGCGTGCACTCTGCCGTCTTCTCCCCAAAGCAAAATCACATCATCACGCCCAAACGCCTAGCTAAACGACTGCGCCACCTTTGCTTCCGTTTACCCTTGTCTTTCACATCCTGTCATGCTCTTCGTCCTTTGTGCAACCCCACATCCTCCACAAACCCTACAGATACGGCATCCATAACGCATCGCATTGCGCCAGATTCATAGGGTTCACAGCCTTGGCAATCGCATCAATCACCGTCTGGTTCGCTGGCAGGTTGCCCGCCGGGTTGTGCGCCAAGCTCGCCGCGCGCTTGACAATCGAGTCGCTGTTGACTTGCACAGACTCGCGCAGCTGGCTCTCGCTTATGCCGTTTCTGTGGCTGCTGGTGAGCCAGAATATCATCTCGTCTCGTACAAACAACGTGAGTGCGTGTTCCAGTTCATGCTCCGGCTCCGTGAGACAACGAGCAATCGCCATCAGGGAGCAGGCATAGATGCCCTCAGTGGCCAACGGGCCCATAAGCACCTGCAAGTTGGGTGTCAGTCGGAACGGGACGGGCTCCGGGTTGTGGAAGAATGGCTTCGATGCGCTCATAAACGACATAAGCTCCGACCCCCAGATTCTGCCCGAGCCCCGTGCAATGTTAAGCTTTGCCGGGTATCGGTTGTGCATGTACAGAATATACGTCATAAACGTCAAGGCCGCAAGTTGGTAAGAGAACTGTCTTCGGAAGAGCCAAAACTCTGCAAACTGCGGGAACACCTGCTGGAAGTAGTCGAGCGCGACCGACGATGGCACCCACTTCTCCTGGACGGCGTTGAACACTTCCAGTCTTGCTGGTGGCGTGAGTTCGGGCTTCCCCTGCTGTGACAAGAACATGTCAGCTCCTCCGTCGGATCCAGACTGAGCCTCGTCGGTACCTACCTGGCTCTTGCTTTCGAGCACCCCGCGCAACTTGTCAAGCGTGAACAAGACGGGCTCGTCCTTGGAAAAGCCCACCCGCCGACAGTGATCCTCGTAGACTGCCTGCAACGTGACGTACGAGGTGTCCTCCTGGACGATTCTTATATGCGGCGCAAGAGGAACCATCAGAGGTAGAGTAAACTGCAGGTCTCGGCGGCGGCTCTCCTTCTTCCGACTCAGTGTCTGGTTGAGGTGTCTGAATAGCTGCAAGATTCTTTCTTCACGCCTGCAATGACGCGCAGCCGGGTGTTGTACGGCCCAGGAGTGGACGCTGCCGTCGTGACCGCGCATCTTGAGACGGCGATATGAGGTGCTGTATGAACGGACCAGATCCACGTTTGGCAGGAACCTCTCTATGCGGATGAAATCTTGATTCTTATCCTTGTGTTGTAGGTATTGGCCAGGAACTTCCACCTCATCAAACTTTTGATACCTGAATTCGCTGAGATGCGGTGAGTAGGCCTCGAGGTGCGCATGGCAAACGCGGCGATCCAGCTTCTCTTCGAACTTGGTGCGCCAGCGACGTAGTTTGTGAATGTATTCGTACATGGTTGGCTTCACATCCACAAAGTCCGCTTCAAACGATTTCTTGATGTGGTTCGGAAGTATCGTCTCGGCAAACCTTGTAATGTTAGTCTCAGTCGCCGAGGGGAGCTTCACACTCTTGGCAAACGAAGCAGGCGTGCGGCTGACGTAGGTCAACGCGTCGTTGAGTAGGGCCACAATTAGTCGGTACGCGTCCTCGTCTGGTGGGCACTTGAAGTGCTTCTGAATCTGATCCACCATGGTCTCCATCGACAGGGCAAGTAGGGGGAAGGCCGTCTTAAGGACCGACATTATTTCCTCGGTGAGTTCCCAAGGCATCTTCTTCTGATTCGGGTTTGGGGCAGATGATTGCTGCTCGTGCTTCTGTCCGCTAGCAGCTGGAGTGGGCGTAGGTGCATTCGTCGCCGCGGCGTCACCACCTTCAGTCTTCACTTGGCTGCCGGCTTCTTCTGTAGCAGTGCCTGGTCGCGATGCGCCCCCATCTGGCGTTTTGGACGGCTCAGCCTTGGCTTGCGATGGGGACGGGCTTGGTTTGCCATGGGAGGCGATGGGCTGGGCGCGGTGTTGACGGGCTCGCTCCTTGGCCTCCTGGTTCTTTTTAATGAGGTTCATGTCCTCACGGTTAGTTCGGAGTTGGAAATACAGAGCCTGAGGGTACGACTTGGCGATGCTGAGGAGAATCTGGTAAACTCGCGGTGCTTCTTTGTGGCCTAGCCCAGTTAGAAGCTGCGGAATAAAGGTAATCCAATACCACACAGGCGTCTCGCCCTTGAAGTCGTCAAAGCCCATGGCAATTGTGCCCTTTGCATCATCCAAGCTGAGGAGCCAGAGAATGCGAGCAAGAAGCTTGCGTGACTTGGCATTTTTGTAACTTCCAGCTGCTTGAAGATACGATGTGAGTGCTTGCCGAGCCGCATTCAAATCTGTGGGATCTTCTTTGAACTTCCTGTCATTGAAATAGCCCCATTCCGCCCAAGCCTTTGGTGCACCAATGTCATAGTAGAGTGCTGTCCCGTACGCGTTGTCGGCTTCATCCTTTTGGTTGAGTTTCTCCAGGAACATTCCCTTGAGCGTGTAGAATTCAGCCTTTTGTTGAGGGTTGAAGTAGTTCAAGTTGGTATTGTTAATGACGTCCAGACCACTCGAGAGCTCTTCGGGATTCTCATAATGGCATTTGGCCTGTTCCCTGAGCTTAAGGAAGGCTTCTTGGATTTCAATGTTTGGCAGCGTGTAAATGCGGCTCAGCTGACTGATGCAAACTTCGGGAAGACTGTGCTTGCGGGCAACGTGGGCAAATCGGTTAATAATCCAGGCCGTCTCGTGATACCCTCGGTATGCAAACGAGGACGCGCCACCGGCGTTCTGCTGACCCTGTTGAGGAAGAAGTTGCAAGTACGTCTGGTTGATCAGACTGAAGATGTGTTGCCGCCAAGTGACCAGATCCTGCCAGGCTGTAATGTCGTCCCAGACATTGGGTAATCGCTCACGCCAAGCACCGAGAAGCAGCTTGAGCTCTGCGGACTTGGCATCCAGGTTGGAGGAGTTTGTGTTCGCCAGGGATTGGCAAATGACATTAGCATCGTGGAGCTCAATTAGCTGCTGGAAGTTTTGCAGCAACGGAACATGAGCACTTGTCAATCGCTCTGGCAGTTGATGCCACTTGCGAATGGACAGCTGGATCGCCTCGTCACAGAGTCTCAGAAATTCATTGCCGTTCTCTTGGCGGTTATGAACCTTGAGCAGAGACATGAACGCCTGGAAAAAGGCTCGTCGGGGGGTGGGAGCATCCATGACGCCCTTGATGACGTTGTCCAAAGCCTCGCGATGCTGGGCATCCTGCCACATCTCCGTGTTTCGCCAGGCGCACTCCAGCAACAAATCTTGAAAGTTCTCGTGCTTGGCAAAGTCTTGCAGTATCTCCCACTGTTGCAGCTTCTGCGCGCAAAGAACCCAGTGATCCTCCCAGAGCATGTACTCTGCCTGAGAGAATGGAATAACGCCAGTGCGAGCCTTGATCTGGGCATTTTCGTATAGTTTCTGCGCCTTGTCCCACATGCCGTTTTGCTCGTAGGAAAGACCGGCATTGGTCTCGACGAATTGGCAACGTCGACGCCACGTGCCGTAGAACAAGTCATCTTCTTGCAACGAGGCGTACAGGTCGACCAATGCGTCGAGGTTACTTTCTCGGACAGTAGCAGACTCGACTTCCGGCTGGAGGGCAGCATTTTCAAGTTGCACCAGCGCGGTATACCAGGCATCGTACGTCTTGGCCTCAAATTTCAAGACATGGGGTGGCAGTTTGCAATCCGGCCATGTCTTGGCAGCACCTTCAACCAGCGACTGAACAACGTTGGGGCGCTTGTCGATTTGTCGGCTGTGGTAGTCCTTGGTAAGTAGAGCCACCATGCCACGCTCCAAATCGGGGCGCTCGTCCCGCAAGGTTGCGGACCAATACATGGGGAAGATGGTGACCCAGAGCTGGTGCGCGAGCTGGTTATCGACATGCTGAAGTTGCATCAGTGGCTCCACGACGTCTCGAACTTTGACATCGCCCAGCTCAGACACGAAACGCCGGTGGTTTGTCATGAAAGCTTCAAACTTGTCGTCCGGCATCATATTTGGTTCTCTGATGTCCGCCTCTTTCGGATACAAGGCAGCAAGCTGCGATGCCGATATAAGCCTGAAATCGTCCTGGTCAAGTTGTATGTTGGTATTCAGCTCGACCGCGCCAAGCAGAAGCTGGGAGGCCTGAGCCAACCAGTAGGAATCCGAGAGGGTGTCCCAGTTTTGCGAGGTCAAGACGTAGGACAGGCGAACACTGGCAGTCTTTGACAAGCTCTTGTCGAAGATGGACATGAAGCGATTGCGCATTTCGACGTCGGCCGCACGGGTGCCAATAAGGAAGGCATGTTCCATTCGAACCGTCAGCTCTGTGCGGGTAACTTTAGGGTCTTCATATATACGAATGACAAGGTCCAAGAACTTGGAGAGCATGGTGGGATCACTCCTGTGTTCAAATGAGAGCATCTTGTGGAGAACAGCAGTTTTCTCCTTGAGAGTAGGCCAGGTCCCCTCGGAACGGAACACCCATCCCTCCACCATGTTCAAAATCTCCGTGCAAAGGTCAATATGCATCGACTTCTCCACGAGTGAGGCAAGTACGCTGAGAAAAGGTCGCCTGATGTCGCCGAGTGTCTCCATTCTCAAGGCCACAGTTTGGATTTCCTTGATCATGAGCTTGGTCTGGATTTCTAAATCGTAGGCAGACATCTCCCCAGACTGGGCAGTCCCGTCCTGGCCACGATTACCCTGGTTGACGGCCTGGCTGGCCGCAGCATTGTAATGCTGGACGTGATCCCGGGCATGCTTGCCTTGTAGCGCCTTCATTAATGACGAAATGTGCTGATCAATGACGGCTGGTTTGCGATTCCCGATCGACCACAGCAAGTTGACGCCGGAGACATATGAGCCCCCATTCATAGCCTCAGTGGCCGCCTGTGACAGGTAGGAAATAATCTCCGAGGTTTGGACCTCAGGTTCGCCATCTGCATCCGCGTCTTCCATGGGAGTGTCCTCGGGAACAGCATCGAGAACCCGCTTAATAATAGACTTGAGGTCGCGGCCATCGTCGTATTCCTTGTCTGCAAGATGCAAGCAGTCCTGGATCTCTGGGTTCTCGCACTTCAAGCACTTTTCCAGCACTTTCTGCACTGCGGCGATATTCTTTTGCACCCAATCATCCGATTTGAAATTAAGAACAATGCGCACAACTTGTAACGTGTTAATAATATTTGTCAGGAACTTCTCATCGTACTTCTCCTTGTCGGTTGGGTCGGTATTGAGGATTGCCTGAGTCTTGTCGCTGGCAAGGATGACATCAGTGACATTGGGGAACAGGTCGAGCTCCAAATCGCCCCAATATTGAGGCTGCACCAAATTGTACAACAAACTCATTGCCTTTTTGCAAAGTTCCGCATTTTGAGGGGGAAGAGGCATAGAGGGGGTGTTATGTTCGCGAGGCTTCACTGAGGGCAGCTGATATCGTTCATTGAGCTGTGCAATGAACTCAACAAGATATTTGATCATCTTTTGTCGGACGATTTGCGGAATCTGGTACTCATTTCGCTCTCCTCCCGGTGCATTCTGTCTGGCTGTAGGCGGGGAGGTCATTGGCAAGTCGCTGTCGAACTTCCTCTTCTTAGAAGTTGGCGATTCAGACACATCTCGGCCAACAGAAGGTGCGCCAGTTCTGCCTTCAACGCGCCACTGTTCCCATCGCCAAATCAACCACATCATGTTCAACGCAAGCTTCTTGCTCTCGTGCGAGGAGTTTGGAGGTGCAGCTACCTTTCTGAGGGAACTGATGAGTACAACAGCATACTTGTCCCGAGCGTCGTAAAACAGGTCTGGGTGTCTGACCAAGAAGTGGAAGATGCTCATCATTTGCTGAACATTTTGACCCTCATCGGCCAGAATGCGACGCGGCGCGACTGCCCAGGCAGCGTTGCGCTCATTAGGACCTCCTCCGCACCGCTTTGGAAGCACGGGGCCAATGAGTTCCAATGCCTGCGTGACCAAAGCCCGTCCTTCGTGCTGATTTACCTTGAGCAGCGACAAATAGACCTGACTGACGATCTTTTGGGGCGTGTCCCAATGGACAATAAAGTAACCAATCACCACGTATGCTGCGTGTTTATTGATAACATCATCAAGGCGGATAAAGGTCCATCCAAATTTAATAATATCCTTTCTCGCCTCTTGAAGCGCCGTGTGGTAGTACTTGACAAGCATTGCAGACAGCTGCAACACCTCGAAGCGCGCGTGGTCAACCCCAGGTTGTGATTGATCATCAGGCGACATGTCGGGATGGACCTTCCAGATTTTGCTGCTGATGGCGTCGATGACCTGTCGATCCATAAATCTCTGCCCTTTCGTCTGGTCCGGCTGATTCCAATGTCGCATGACATCCATGGCGACAATCGGATTAGCGACGTAGTGAAGTAAAAATTGTTTCGTCTTGTTCGAGGCAGACCGGCCCGAATACATGTCCAAGCAGCGCAGGAATGCTGACTTCCAAAACTCGATAGATTCGCTCAGGAGGATCTTCTCATAAATGAAAGCGAACAGGCAGTGTGTGGGCCGAAGCTCGTTGCTTGTAACCGACTCGACGAGGCTGAATAAGGCATCGAGATCCTTGGGAATTCTCTCCAGCGATTTGACCAGGACGCTCATCAACTGCTCCGCGGCTTGTAACGCAGGTAGTCGGAGGATTGCGGGGAGGGTATAGTTGCGAATGTGGCTCTCTAGCTCTTTGCCCATGCTTTTCATCCATGCCGTGTGTTCTTTCTTGTCCATCCATGAGTTGGTGTGTTCAAAATAGCTGATAGAGTCCAGAATATGGACGGCATTTACAATGCCAATGAACTTCTTCTCAGTCCCTTGGCCCGCCAGCTCATTGCACTTTGTCACCAAGGCAGCAAAGCCCTCTATTGCTGCGTCCCGCAAAGCGCCACTCTCTGGGTGCCTAAGCACCTGAGCAAGGAGTCTTCCATATCTGAGCTCATCCAGCCTGCCCAGCAAAAATGTCCAAACCTCCTTGGGATACCTGTTGAGGTACAAATACATGGGCTTGCGGAACGGACTTTGGATTGTTCGACGTAGCTTCCCCTCAAGTCCAAGAAAGCAATCAATTAACCGCTCCTTGAATGCTTCGGCAGGAGCTGGCAGCAGATGGAATATGTTGAGAATAGCGGAGATGACCTTCATCTGTTCATGCTGCTCGAAGAATGTAAAAGAAATCTGCTGCCATGCATTGGGCTCGACAATTGAGTCGATCTGGTCCAGCAGTCGAGCCCCTATCTCGACCTTGAAATAGCTGGTGAGCAACTTCAGTAGCCTGGAGAGATTGTCTAATCCACGAACGCTGAGTCGCTTGGGATCAGATAGACTTTGTAGGACCGGTCGTAGCCCGCCCTGCAGCAGATCCTTCGGTAGACGCCTGTCAACAGCCAGTACGGATTTCAAAGCGTCATTTGCGGCGGCAATTGTCGGTTTTGACTCCGAGTATAGGCATTTGAAGAAGACGGCAAGAATCTTCCCTTTGACAGGATGATTTGCAAATTCTTCAAACGTCATTGCCGTGCTCAGCAGCTTGATGCAAGATACACGCAGGCTTACAATGTGATCGTGGGTGCGATACTCGGCAGGCTTGTTTGCCAGGGAATCGTCATTTGCATCAGCCAGTGCAAGAGACTCCAGTAGTAGACGAGTGAGGTTGTCGTCAAACTTGACCCAGTCGTTCTTGAGGCTCATGTGATATGTCATTGCGTTGATATATCCAATCTGAATGCTGAAAGGCAGTGCTCGCAGCGGCTTAGAGTATATCGGTTGCAAAAACCGCTCCTTGTAAGGTTCGAGCAGTTCCCAAACTTCGCACCCAGCAGCTTTGGCAATCAATTCCAGCGAATTCTTGGCGGTTTCGCGAACAAACTTGTTCATGTGGGACAGCTCATTGTTGAACAACATACAAATCTGAGTCAGTCTGGACTGCTTCACAGGAGGCTGTCCCGGCTGGGCTTGGATTGGAAGGGCATCCTCCTTCTTGATGTTCTTGGTAATTCGCTTTAACAACACCTCCAGGCTTGTCTCGGCAAGACACCTCGTTTTTTCGGGCAGATCCTGTGGCATGTCTTTGATCACATACAAGAGAGCTCGAATAAATTCAATTTGCTTCGACGCCACCCACGGGTCGCCAAGGTCAAGCTCTGTAAGCAGGAAGTTGATGCCCAGACTGCCACCCGTCTTTGTGAACCACTCTTCCTCGTAGCAACTATGGCAGAACGTGCCGGAAAGGTGAGTAAACAGGGGTAGTCGGCCAACATTGCTCTCAGATCCAAAGATGATTCCAGTACTCTTGTACAACTCGCGGATAGCCTTCTTTGCGGCTTCTCGGACATCGGGGTGATCAGAAGCCAAGGACTCGACGATTGCGTCTGATAGGACCCTCGTATCGATACAGAGGGGACCTTCTCCGGCCTTGGGATCAAAGGGGCTAAAGTTTCTCTTCAGGTCCACCAAGGACCGACCTACTTCGATGAGAGCAAAGTGTCGGCACAGATCCATGAGAAATACATCCGCCTCATCCCTAAATCTAGGGAGAGAGTGAGCAAACATGACAGCCTTGAGGAGTTGTTTTGTGATCTTGTCTTGCTCGTCCTTCTTTGGGATGGATTTCTCGCGGTTCGTGACTTCGAATGGAGCAAAATGAATCTCTATCCTTCGAGCCAAGAAGTCCTGTGCCTGTAGGCGAACGATTCGAGGAAGGTCGTCTGGAAGTTGATCATAGCCAATTCGGAGTTTGACTTGTGACATGATCAGGTGAAGTGCCTTTTTCTTATAATATTCATCGTAGACGCGAAGGTTCTGGCTATTCTTCCCCATTCTTGGAGCCTCCATTAACTTCTGGATGGCGCCGTCAATACCCAGATCAGCCGGAAACGCCCTATCCTTTTTAGACCCAATGAGTCGCACGTCAAAGCTAAATGGGTCGTCGGCGTAACCTCTGTACGTAAGTGGAACCGCCCCAGTCATGAACTTGCGATTCCTACCACCTAGTTTGCCCAAAATCCTCATAGTGGTGTGAGCGTGGAAATGGCTGTAGGGGTGAGGGCGGAGGTGATTGAAGAGCGCCGTCATGAGCTCATCAATGACCGGAGCCATGATGGGATCAAGATAGTCTGCGGTCAAGTTATCGACACATAGCTCGAGTGTCCGAAGGCCCTGGCCAACAAGGTCCGTGCCGGCCCTCAGAGCAACAACCAGAGGTCGCATCAGGAAACTCAGATGTGGTAACAGGTGGCTGAGACGTGCAGGAACAGTCAAGCACAATTCCACGTACAGATCTCGCTCGGATGGCTTGCGAGCAGCCATGAGCAAATTGTTGAGAACGTCCAGGAGCATTTCTAGTAAGGGCAAAATCTGCTTGTACAACTGCTCAAACTTGCCTCCGCCGATACTACGGAAGAGAGACCTCAGTAAGAGGAAGTAATTCATTGGCTCCTCTGCCTTTGTCGACAACTCGATGGACTTGGTGACGATGTTGACCACGTGTGGCAAAAGGACCTGCTCATTTTGCTGAGAAAAAAGGGTCACAGCCATGAATGCCAGCTTGAAAAGCCGCAACAATATCGACGACTTTTTGACATCTGCTGAACCCACTTCGTCGATTCGGTCCATAAGAAACTGGAGCAGCATACCACAAAAACTAGGCGAAGTCGCCTCACTGGCTAGGAAAAACTGGGGTATATGTAACAGTCCGGTATGCTCAAAGATCATATCATAAAGTCGTGGAATTTCTTGCTGGAATACTTCGTGAAATGTAGCGGGGTCGATGCAGTGGAAGACTGTTGCAAAGGTTTCAAGCAGATCCTTTTCTTCCTTGGTACTCGACACCATGTAAAAGTTTGCCATGTACTCGACCGGAGACGCATATTGAGACTCGGTGGCCGGTTTTTCAATCTCGTAATAGCGGAAGACGTATGCGCCCTCCCTGAATAGCTTAATGATAACTTTGACCTCCTCCGCAGTGAACCCGTAAGAAACTTCCGTCCAGTGCGGCGGCGCATTCTGAGGATCAATGGGTGTGCCGATATTGCATGTTCTTAGCTGGTAGAATGTATTTTTCAGACCATTCATCAAGTTCCGGAAAAGGAACTTGTTGTCAACCACGGGATCTGCGCCTCGATCTCTAGGGTTAGATATCTTGATGGGCACGGCGGAGAATATGTCAGTCTCATCCCAGTCTGGTCGCGTCTCCTTGTCGGCAAGATACGTCTCCTGGATACCTGCCTCTGCCAGATATTGTTTCGACAACTTCACCGCATTCGGGTACTGTCGGTTCATGGCAGCAAACTTGTCACCAATAGCATTCAAGATCACCATGAGGTAGTGCCTCGCGTCGACTTTATTTGGAAGCTTGGCGATGCACTCGGCCATGTTGAGCAAAAGCTTTGCACTCATGGTTTGAAAGCTAGTGCCGGGGAAGTTATCCTGGAGGTTTCGGGTGTACACTTCGACGGTTTTGCGAATTTGCTCTGGGGTCAAAGAATCTCGAACGTGGTGAATGAGATCAGCTAGCATGCTGTATGCCAATGGCCTCATGGTCTCGTAGACTGTCAGGCCATCGCCGGTGAGCGTTCGCTCATCAAGGAGTTCGTCAATCTTTGGCAAGAACATTCTTCGAAAGTTATAGTTAATAATATGTCGAACAGCAACTAGGAGCTCCTTTCTGATCCCCGACTTCTCGCGGGGGCAGTCTTTTAACAAGCGTACCACGACATCTGGCAGAGTGGGTAGGAAGTCGTCTAGTTGCTGTGAATATTGGCGCAAGAGATACGCAAGGAAGCTCATGATCTTGACTTGTGCAGTAATGAAATCGCCGTAGGCCGCTCGTTGTTCTGCCTTGATACCCTGACTGACACCTGTGTGAACTTGGCCCTTGGCTGCGGCCTCTGCGTGAGCTTGTTTTTGAGAACTGGCCTCGGTGAGTAAGGCTCGTTTGATCAACGGCACGAACGCCTTGACATTCTGCTGAACAGTGCTGCGATAGATCTGGAATATCGAAACAACGATAATGGGACATTCGGAAAGAACTTTGAACGACTGCATTCCCTTGAGCAACGGCCGATTCTGCTGCTGAGGATCAGCGCCGAGATCTGAAACCGACGCTACCGGCGAGCCGGGTCGAGGGGATTGAAAATTTGTCTGTGAGCCCCCTGGTGTTGAGGGCGCGCCAGGTTGTGACGTTGCTGTCGAACTCGCATTATCGAGTTGCTCCCTCACTACTTTTTCCATCTGCTCGAAAAGCTCTTGTATCAGAGTCAAAAACTGCTGCGCTTTGCCTTGCAGCACCTTGTGTTGGTGGCGCATGATATCGGACGTGATCTTAACGCACAGTGTGGCGTTCTCCTCATTGTCGGTGCGGACCAGTTGCATTAATAAATCGCAAACCTCTTCGGCGTAAGGTTCGAACGGTTCAACTGGAGTAGGGGAAGTGGGCAGCCGATGAAGAACTTCCAAAATACAGTGACGCAGTTTCTACATTGCGGGTTAGATTTATCGGTCCATACGTCTCGATGGCGGGCGACACAAACCTGCTCCTGCGAGTTGCTTTGGAAAATGCATGGCCCGCGAAGGATGTTGATGAAGATTGGCATCAATCGCTTGAGAAATGGTGCATATATCGGTCCGCTGGTGTAGTGATCTAGACTGTCACGCAATGCGGTCGCTGCCTCCTGTTTAAGTCTTGCATCTTGAAGCACATACATTGTTAGCAACGCAGGATCAAGTCAGTAGACGGCCCGTCATGGAAGAAGCATGTCATTATCATACCTAGGTCTGCCGTGCTTAGTCGCTTGACGACATCATCAATAGTGGTTCCCGACATGGCTGCATCCTCGGCGTCCACGAGATGCAGCTATTGCTTCCATGCGAAGGGGATTCCGTTGTGGTGCTCAGTAGCGGTCGGTAGGCACAAATCGCAGAATGGTGGATCGCGAGACTGTTGCCTTTGGGTATCGGGAAGTTTACTGAGCGCAAGCAATGAGAGACGACAAGAGGAGAGAAAAAGCTCGCTCTAATAAGTCAAATTTATTTTTTCGAAAAAAAAAAAAATAAAGAGAAGGAAAGAAAAAAAAAGAGCTTTTGGAGTTAAGTAGCTGTAAGAGTAATGGTGGTCTGCTGCGCAAGGTTCGGATGCGAAAAGCTTGCCGTCGGGACGCATCTAGCTTTGCTTGCCTGCAGCCTTGAATCTCGAAGACGAGGAGACTCGCGTTGAAAATTAAAGAAAGCTGGAGTCCGGGGGCCGTGGCCACCAATTCCAATAGCGCTAGGACATGCAACAATATTGATCCGTAGGCTAATGACGCATGCACCCCCAGACCTAGGGTGAATGTAGTGATTTTTTAAAATCTCATCTTATCTTATCGGGACTCATGTGTCCGAAGGAGCTTTGGCTACCCTATACACGCAAATTGACTCGAAGCATCTCCATTAGATTCTAGATGAAAACTGGCCATATTTTGACATATACTACTCCAGTGGACACTGGGATGCATAGATAAATAAATCGAATGGTGGACAGATACGCTGCTCTCTCCTTCACGACGGTTCTGATCCTGAGCCCGAAGCCTGTCACACGTTGAACTTTATTACCTAATATCTCAGATCCCCGCCCGGCAGCTGCTACTGCCATCAACACAGACGGTCGCGAACAAGCTTCATTCCTCGACAAGATCTTGCACACCCAAAAATATGACGCCGGCCTTGCGCACATCGCAAGCGATGGGTGGAGAAGGAACGGCCTTCGTATACGGTATGAGCAAGCCATCGTCGACAAGAGAAGGCGCTGATGGCTAATGTACGGTGCAGGCACTTTGGTAAGACAACGAGGCCTGCTGATGATAACGAACGGACTAACCTTTGTGAAGATGGCGCCGGAGGTCTTTTTCAGTGTCTGCTATGGAAACCATTGCCCCCCTGCAGCAATCAGCGACCTCCACACGTTTACACCAGCGATACTTGAAGACCATTGCCGTCACAGAGTGCAATATGCGGATTACCCTGGAGCTGTTCCAGAGAAGGGACATGAAATCCGTGGAGTACTCGTCACAGGTTTGACTGATGCCAACATGAACAAATTAGATTATTTCGAAGGCTCAGAATATGAGCGACGCACAGTCAAGGTACGGGTGCTGGTGAGAGAGGGAGGCAAGGAAGTGCTAGGACCAGAGAAGAGCGCGTCGGTCTATGTGTTTTTGAAGCCCAACGAGTTGGAGAAGGGCGAATGGGATTTTGAAGCGTTCCGCCGGGATAAAATGAAGTTTTGGACCCGCGGTGACTGGACCTTTGGTATGCTTGTTTGCCCCGTGACGGTTGTCTTGATATTGCTAACGAGCTGGACAAAGACGATGATGACAAAGCCGCGGTGAACGATTTGGCTTAACCGGCGATAGTGATGACTGGTTCTCATGACATTTAATGTTTCTAGAGAGATAAAGAGCTGCACGGGCTCGCTAGACACGAGAAGCAACCGCGGGCGATGTCAATGAAAGAACAACAGAGGCGATGGAAGGTGACCTGTTGAGCATTTGCGTAGCGGTGCGATGGTGAGCCTCTGGAAACCAAACGAGAATAAGGCCTGAGCTGCGTCGTGGATGACAAAGAAGACGCATTATCCCATCAATGCGTCGGCTAAACAATGACTTTGCTGCAGATTCCTTGGAAAACAATACCGCCTTTGAGTTGTTTGTATCCCGCAAAAAAAAAAAAAAAAAAAAAAAAAAACGAGAAATTGTTGACAATGTACGGAGTAGCATAATGAATTACATGATTGGGACAAACTGCGTAGCAAAATGTCCGGACATTATGCGCCCCGTCGTCAAAGGCGTTGTATGAGAAAGCTTTCGCTTCAAGCCAGAAGTCGCAGTTGAAGGTTACAGTCCAGGGATGCCGGTCCAACAAGTTACGACCACACAGACAATGCTTCACTCAAGTACCTGGTAAGCCGTCACTGTAGACTTGAAAGTACGAAAGTACGGCAGATGAAGGAGCAAATACCACCAGGCTGGGGTCGTTGAGATATTTTCGTACCTGTACTGTTTCCGCCTTCCCAGCACATTTATGCTACCGAGTTGCTAGGATCTGGGGCTCTGAATTCATGCTACCTGCCCTATCAAGCGTGTACGGAGTACTCAAGCAGGTAAACATCAGACGAAGTTGATCCTTGTTCAACAGGTCAACTGATGCTGGCAGATGAAGGCCAGGGTCAAGGGGGAGAGCCAAGACGGGTGAGCACCGAGGATCATCCCTGCTTACTCCGTACTCCATATGGGAATAAGAAGTAGCATAGCAGTACGTACCAGCACCACGTAGCAAAATGTTCGAAGTTGTCTCGCCGCGACGCGCGTTGAGCCCCTCGTGAGTTGGCACATGTCAGCATTGAAACGGCAGGCTCCCGGCTTGGCAATGGACATCAAGATTCACGAACAAAGGAGGTCGCCTCGCTGCCGAATGGAACATGGCAGGTCATGGAGGGAAGAAGGCATGAGGGCGACTGGCTCTGCTGGCCGACTTTCACGTCAACGTTACATTGTTTGGTCAACCGGCGATTGTGTTTGCTTAAAGTCTGGTCAAGTTTTGTCAATTTCAGGTAACAAAAAGCAGCACATCCGCTGGCTGCAGCCTGCCAGTGCTTACAGCTGGCAAAGGCGCGACAAAGCTGGCGGCGGCTAGCTTCAGTTGGATGATTGGCCACGACGGGCTCTGCCCTGAAACTCGGGACTTTGTTTCCTTGTTTCTGCCGCCTCCTCTTCGCCGCATTGACCAACTTCACCACGCAGTGCTTAGCGACACTTCTTTCGCTGTCCGTGAACAAGCGACATTTGGAACCAGTGTTCGTGTCTGCTCCCTACGGAGTGCACCAATGTCTCATTCGTGCACGACAAACAACAAAAGCACAAGGGCGGCGGCCTTGGGAAGCCCGCAGTGGTCGGGCGCTCCATCAACCAACACGGGGCACTCAGTCCATCTGTTGCCCGCTATTGGCTTTCGCATGCGACAACTTGACTCCTGACATACAATGCTCCGTTTGAAAATCCCTGTTCGAGTTCACTGCTTGTTCGTTGTCTTCATGCTTCCCACCCTGTGTGCCGCACGGACTGTTCCCCAGAAGGATCTGCATGGTCTGGGGATGCAGATGCAGGGAGTTGAACAACTTGACGTGACTGACCATGCATGTGCAGTTCGTTGTCGACCAGATGGAATCGGAATGAGGACGAAAAGAGGCGAAAAGGTCATCAACTACGCAAATCCGCACGAGCCACCCGACGGCATGGCAGCTTTCATGAGCAAGCGTGCTTGAAAAGTTAGCTCACCAGCCTGTCTGTCCACTGGAGACTAGACTAGTAGGCACAGCCGACAATGTTTTGGCCAGCACGAGATACAAGCACAATCCCAACCAGACGAACCAGACATGTGTCTCGGCTACAACAAGCGAATACTACCATGTACTCCTCGGTGGTGCGGGTCGACCATGCACCATGCTGGAGTACCGATATACAATGCACAATTGTTCCGAAATAAATGGATGTGGCGGCTCTGCTGGGGCCTCCCAACCTTGAACCGCCCCCCATTCCTCGGAGGGGCGCTTCGCTGGTCAATCGGACTCAATAGTTATCCCCACGATGATTACGGCTGATGGCTCCACGGCTATCAACAAAAGTACAAAACAGCTCGGACCATGGAACCGTGGAGAAAAATGCAGCATGACATTACGTAGGAGTTTCTTGCAAATCCACTTGGAACTGCAAAAACACACTGCAAAACGGTCATGGGACTAATAACAAGCCACGGAAGGATAAAACTCTCTTTTGATCAGCCACGTTGTCCTCGACTGGGGATTTTAACCAGCCACATTGTCATAGCTCGACCGGCGATTCCCGGCTATATGGCAGTCCCAGCGCCAAAAACCTTGGCAATGGCGCATGGTGGCGGAAGAGCTGCGCCGGGCCTTTACCCAAACAATGGGAAACACGCACGGTTTTTGCCTCTGTTGCGCATCGTCCGAGTCGCTGGACAACAGGCCGGGAAACCTTTTTACTTCCACCAGATTTTGCGACGAGTTTCCACGATATGGCTCACTTCTTAACATCGGTCTCCTGGACCGTGTGTCATGCCCGCTTGTCGTGCCACGCATATCATGTGTTCTGGTCGCATGCTCATCTTTGCGCTACTGTCATGTACTAAAGTGTCCTTGACCCCTGGGCGCACCGCACCCTCCGAACTGCGGCAGGGGTATTCAGGGGCCAGGCAAGCCTTCCACCCACTGCACTAAGAGGCACCAACAACATCGGATGGACTAGTCCACGATTCCACATGGTGAACACAGATCGACCGCGCTAGTCACTAGTCTGCGAGCCAGTTTGAGGCCCTGAAACTGCAGCCCATCGCCACAGACATCATCAACCTATCGACATCGACATCGTCAGCCTTCCCTTCAAAATTTGGTTTTGTGTGTGGCCCCTTGCAGATATGCCGCGCTTCGAAACCCCCCACCTCCCGGGGAGAGTCTGGCAGCCTAGGGTCTGGAGTCTGGAGTCTGGACTGTATGGCCATCGCGTCCTGTCCTACCTATCTCACCGTCTCTACTAGTCAGTCTATACGGAGTACGCCACAATGGCTACCGCGCCCAGACCTTGTGGCCGCCTGCCCAATGACTGTCGGTCAATGGTCACTTCTGCGATTCTGCGATGCACTTCTTTGCCCGTCTTTGCTTGCTTGTTCACTCCTTGTGTGCCGAACAAGCACTCAGCGAGAAAGACCACACCATGGAACGCACAATCGTCTTAGCATATAAGATGGTCTGTGTCCCCCGTCATGCAAACTATATATCTGCTTTGGTCAACCCTACAGTCCTTTCTCATACGGTAGTTTGTCGTCGAGACGACGTACATTCCCTTTTTTACCATCTTCCCACCTCCAAGGCTAGACCTTGTTTGCTTCGCCCTACAAGCTCTACAGGTTTCTCTGGTTTAGAAATCGTAGAGATTATCACTTTCGCCACCTGAGGTGTTGCAGTTTGACCCCTTCCATTCTTGTAAGTCGGCTCTAACCTGTCTTGTCTCCATATTGGAAGCAACTCAGCACATTTGACCTTCAAGCCTTTGATGCCAAATGCCAATTATGCTGACATTTGTAGCACACTCCTTGCCTGGATACTCTTGTTCTTGACGAACACAAAGTTTTGCTTCCACCTAGTCTCGAGGACGATACTCTTATTTTCGGCACCGAAGACTTCGATTGTTTCACCTGGCACGTCACGACCCACACTCATTCCCTTTCCCCGTATTCGAAATGTTGAGGGAGATCGTTCTGGCTGGCTTGGTCTCTTGCACCAGTGCCCACATGATATTGAGAGCACCTGCTCCTTTCCAATTCAGATTGCCACAAAAATCATCTCCCCTCGAGGCAGATGGCTCTGACTTCCCTTGCAAGAACGCCATTTATGACTCAAAGACTCCAAGCAACGAATTTGCTCAGGGCAGCAAGCAGGCGTTGAAGTTCACTGGCAGTGCTGTTCACGGTGGCGGTTCGTGTCAGGTCTCTATTACGACTGATCTGAAGCCCAGCAAAAACTCTGTCTGGAAGGTTATCAAGTCTATCGAAGGTGGATGCCCGGCCAAAAACACGCCCGGCAACTTGGATGGTCCGGGAGATGGTTCACTCGTGACTCCCTTTGAATATTCTTACACTATTCCACAGGACCTGGCCGCTGGCAACTACACCCTTGCCTGGACTTGGTTTAACAAGGTTGGCAACCGAGAGATGTACATGAACTGTGCTCCCATTAGCGTCACTGGCTCTGGCGGCTCCAAGGATGCCTTGTCAGGCCTGCCCGATATGTTCGTCGCCAACGTCGGTAACGGCTGTGGGACCTTGCCCAGCACCGACTTGAAATTCCCCAATCCAGGAAAGGACGTCGACCAATTCGGCAAGGAAACCGCAAGTGCTTTGAAGGCACCCACGGGCAATTGCGCTGCCGCCAGTGGTCCTCAGCCTACTGGTGGTTCTCAGGGGAGTGGTTCTGCTCCTCAGGGTCCTACCTCTGCTCCTCTTCCCTCGTCTTCTGCGGGCGGCGCACCTCCCGCAGACCCTAGCGGGATGGTTCCTGGAGGAGTTTTCATCACCAAGAGCCAAGAACACGCAGCCAGCCAGCCTGCTGCCACCAACCAGGCGCCTGTTCCTAGCACGGCCAACGTCCCCGCGCCTGCTTCCTCGGGCCCAGCGCCTGCTCCTGGCACGGCCAACGTCCCCGCGCCGGCTCCAACCACCACAGAGACTGGCGGTGGCGGTGGCGACGCGGGAGCTCCTGCTGCTGGCGCTTCTTGTACTACCGGGATGTGGAATTGTATTGGCGGAACCTCATTCCAGCGGTGTGCCGGCGGCAAGTGGTCTGCTGTCCAGGCAATGGCAGCTGGAACCAAGTGCTCTCCAGGACAGGCACCCGACTTGAAGATAGATGCCGTTCAAGCCAACAAGCGCAGTCCTCGCCGCAGCAGGCGCTTCTCCGCGTAAGCCCAGCTGAGCTACGGCTGGATCCTGTTTGTGTTGGAGGATAAAAGGAAGCATGACGGCTGCTAGGAGGAACAAAGGCAACCAATCAGTCAAAGGCTGGAAGAGCATCGACAGCAATTTCATGTACATCGTTCATAAAAACTTGTAGATTCGTGGGGAAGGTTGTTGTTTTTCCCTCTTCTTTCTTTTCGTATGCAGGTCAGGCGACGCCATTGGAGTAGAGCTTTGTATGCATGGCTTGACATTACGTGCGGTGAGCAGTTAAATTTGACAGTTGATGCTCCAGAAGCATCTTTTAGGAATGGACTGAACAATGCGAGGTACTCTTCCCTGTACGTTGAGAAAGCTCGTTGGGACTTGGAAGTCTCGGCTGGCCACCGCATCACTTTATTCCCTGCCCATGGTCACGAATTTCAGCTCGGCAACGTGAATACCAAAGCAAAATCTTGGGGGTCGCCATAGCCTAGTATCCTAGACCCCTGTGCCTTAGACGTACGGTTCCTTTTTCAATTGACGTGCTGTCGGTAGACCTACTAGGGAAGACGAGAGTCTGAAATGGACAACGTCCTCCTTGTGCTCTTCAGAGAGACGTCAAACTACGACGCTATCATAGAGCTGCTTGGAGACACCCCCAGTTAATTTGACGCCGTTGACATCTCTGGTCTCCACAGGTCGGCTGAGAAAGTGTAAGGCGGGTACACTATTGGCGTCTGTCGAGGAGACGGGTTCTTTCGAAACCGAACAAACGCAGATAGAAACCTTCAAAGAAAAGGACAACCCGAACCAGATGTGGTGTGGGCATTCTTTGCGGATGGTTCAACGGTCGTGATTTCAGTACCGCACGGCGGCGTGGTCGTCCAGATGCCTGCCATGACATCGTTGTGCTTCATGACCGAGGTGCCCCGATCCTCGCGTGGGGTGCCAGTTACGGCCGGAGCGCTGCCGGCATTGTCTGCGGCTCTCGTGAAGAGGACTCGCTCTAGTAGGAGCATACCTCTGCTTACGTGGTGGTATTGATCATGGCCGGATTTGTTTTTGGCTCGCGACACCTGGCAGCCTGCTCAATGCCAGCGATGTCGTGGAATTGCACGCTGGCCGGAAGCATTTGATTGTCAACGGTCCTCTGGAAGTCTTGTTGAGCTCTAGGAATCTGTCGAACTTTTGGAGCGCTCTATACCGCCTTGTAAGATCGAGCAAACTTGATGACAGGTGGTGGCATGGAACGGAGGAGAAGGGAGTCGAGAGTCGAGACCGCAGATGACGTGTGGCTCGCCGCGGGGCGGCCAAACGAGGCTGGTTTTGCCATGGGACCAGTTTCCAGGGAAATGAGGGGACTAGCTGACGTGGAATAAATGAAGCAATGATGCGGCATTTCAGTATCTGAAAATGGTTTGCATGAGGCCCGACCTCGGATAAGAGGAGAAAAGGGGCAAAGAGACGCGGGACCAGTAAGCGCCCGACCTTCCGCCGCCTCACCGCCGTGGACCAATTATGAAAGCGCTCGGCTATCTCCCCAGATTTCCGGAGTAAACCGGGGGCTGCTGCCCCACTTATCGTCCCTTGGCGCGCGTAGTAACATGGCTGGCCTAGGTAGAGGGAGGGGGGATATAAAAAAACAGAACTTTCACTGCTGGTTTCGTCATTCATTCGTCCCGTCTTGAAAGTCAAGAGGATACTTTGCACACACCCATATAGCTGTGCTGGACTTGTGTGACTTGCACCCCTGGCGATCTACTGCTGCATCTCCTCCGCACTCGTCACGGCAATGGGAAGACGGGAGCAAAATGCCCAGGTGCCGGCGAGGTTGCAGTAACTCCCGATGCCCTCCGACTGTCGCGCACAACAAGAACTGGACAAATCCTCTCCCTTCACCGGGGACTTGCTCCTATATTGCAAGTCCTGATGTGAGATTCGGCATCCGGGCCAGGGGCCGGACCAGCAGCCTCGCAGATTGAGACAGGCCGGATGGCCCAGAAGCCAAGAGTGCACACTATTGGAGAGAGAAAAATACGCCTCTAGGTGGTAAAGTGTGCATGAATGCCCCAGGCCGGGCATATATTCGTGTCTGTTTATATACGCTCTGCTTAGCTCGACGGAAAGTGACGAGATACTCCGTGAGCTTGACCTAGACTGTAGCTCATCGAGGCTTTCAAGTTTTCCCATATCTTATAACGACTTGAATATGCCTGGGGTTCAGTCCAATCCGAAGCCTCACGGCTGCAAACCTAGCCGCTTTCTCAATGGCGCGGCATCGTTTTCCTCAACGCGGCCCCGGCAATCAACCACGTGCTGTGCGGCTCTGATGCATGGAGTCGGCAATTTTATCGGTCAAAGGCCGCGGCTGCATTCCAAGGAGGAGCCCTACAAGCTTTGGAACCGGGAGAAATTTGACGAAGCCAGCCGCGGGCCTCGGGGGGCTCTTAAAAATTTTCCCTTGTCCATCAAGTCCAACCTAGCTGCGATGGGTGCTCGCATCACAATACTCAGAGCTGCTTTCTCGCCTTCGACCCAGCAAGCGGTACGCATTGATTCGGAGTCGCTCCCGAAAGACGACGCTGCCTCGGGATAGGCGCACTCCATGAGCTTGAGCGTATGCTGCGAAATAATGCTGTGTTCGAGGCAAGTATGTTCTGAGCACGGGCAGGAAAAGCCTCCGTCTAATATGGCTTTGCTAGGAAGCATTCCACGAGGTCCTGGACTGCAAAGTCGCCATCGTACGTGGGCTTTGTACGTACGAGAAGGAGTGCGTGGTTAGCTGAGGCTCAGCAGGTAATGATTCGCGGAAAGATGACGTTGCCCCCCCGGGATTGACTCGGCTCTTGGATACATTCTGCGGTATGGAAGCAGCCAGCGCGTGGAGATGTCGTGGCGACCTAGATCAGGCGTAGTGATGCAGCAGGCTTCATGCCGCTACGCCGCGGCCCTCGAATCTGGGGGTGAAAAAACCACACGTGTGACTGTGCTACCGCACTTGCTTCGTATTGGATCCCACGTCGTACACGTGGCTCCCTTGGAGACATACAAGAGTCCCTGCATTAGTTAATCCGTACTGGTATGCACAATGCACATTGCCCTCCACTGCATAGTTCAAACTTCAGAGTCCACAGTCCAGACGCTCAGCTTGGGGGTATTTTGGCCAGGGCAAGCTGCTCTCCTGCGCCCTCTTTGGCGGCCCGGTAGTGCTTTTGAATATTGTCAAGAGCAAGCTGAAAAGACCAGTCATGTGCCGTCTCTCATGTGCCGACTCGACTCTCCAGAGTCCATCATGGATCCACGGTGCCTGCTTCACGAGTCGCGAGTCACGAGTCTGATTCACGACCTTGCCACAGGTGACATAATGCTCAAGGGGAGACATGTCCAAGTGCAAGTCTGGTGCTGCCAACCGATATAGCAACTCTCCTTGATGTGCGTCTGTCAAATTGCTGAGATGGATTTCCAATGGTTGTCTGCTCCTTATCCTCAAACTCCAACTGTGAGGTTGGGGAATACTCTCACTATAAATACAGATTCAGCCCCTGTAAATCACTTTCCACACGTGACTCGCCCCTTCCAACTGCGTCTTCCGCCCTGATTGTTACATCTCCAGTGTCCACATCGAACATCGAACAAACCGAAGACATTCGTCTTGGATGATTCACAAGCCACACCTGGGACCGCGGTGCGGTTCCAAAACTGGCAAAAATTGGCACGGCCATTCCGGTGCACCGCCACTTGTTTGAAACAAAACCTTGTTCTCGCGCCTCTTGGCTTTCCAAGGTTTCCAAGTTTCCAAGCTTCTTGCCACCACCGACCTCCACCCGAGCAAAGCATCCCGAACTTGCGAACCATGCCAGGGCGGAAACAAAAAAAGGGGGTTCTCCGACTTCAAACTTTGTCTACCTGCTCGCCTGGCGTTGTCGTGTCATGGGAGCCGCCGATCCTAGCAACGCCACATGGTGGACCATATATACAGAGACGAAGAAGTTGGGCCCCAGGCGGAATCGTCTTCCGGGACGTTCCGCTCGACGATTGTCAGAGGAACGAACATTCAAGGTCCAGGGGGCGATGTGATTGATGTGTGTGACCGGCCCGTGATGCAGGCGTCGTGACGAATGGGAGATTCGAAAAGGGTCTGCCGAGAAGCTGCGAGTGCTATTTTTATTTGCCCCTTTGTGCAGACCAACTTGTCGATGCCACTGTCTCCATGTCCTTCTTCCGTCCTTGAATCCTGCGTGCCGTCTTGTCAATGGAACACTTTTGCCACGTCGTCGTCGGCATTTTTGGACCTTGTGATGATGACTGTGTCCGAGGACGCTGCGCCCGCGCCCGAAGAACAAGTCAAATTGTATACCATACATGTGAGACGAACTCTTTTCTTCTTCTTACCCTTGTCTCTTCCCCCCTCCCCCTCTCTTCTCTTCTTCTTTTTTTACGGCCTCCCAGGCCGCTTGTCTGTGCTTCTACCCCAGTTTGCTGAGCTGATGATGAGTGCAGATATCGAGCAGGTATCTCAACTTGACGAGGCAAAAGCTTGAACTTACTCGCCTCCCACACGATGTTCCCCAAGCTCACAAGGATGAATGGTGGGAGCCCAAGTCAACAGTTGAGCCGTTGGTCGATTACTGGTACGTATTGCGGTTCGACTTGTTGCTGTCATGGGACTCCTGTATCCCGACGAAGCTGACCGTGGATCCAGGTTGGATAAGTATTCATGGCGCGAACAAGAAGCCGAGTTTAATGCAACCATCCCTCAGTTTCGAACGGCGATCCGAACGTCATCGTCCGATACCCCTGTTCGCCTGCACTTTATCCATTCCCGATCTGCACACGCCAACGCGGTTCCTTTGCTCTTGATACCCCCGTTTCCATTTACAAACTTGTCCCTGAAGCGCGCCATCAACGCCTTCACGACTGTCAACGACCCAACAACGGATATTCCCTTCCATTTGGTCATTCCCTCGCTGCCTGGCCTGGGGTTCAGCGACCCGATTACGAGCAACAATCGCATGATCCCGCTTATTGCCGAAATGCTGAACACGTTAATGCGTCGAATAGGCTATGAGCATTATCTTGCAACGAACGCCGCCCCCTCGCCAAACTCGGTCTCTGACATTGACTGGCGAGTCATTAACCATGTCGCCACGTCCCATTCTGACTCTTGTCTCGGCGTCCATTTGGTGTCGCCGCCTTTCAAGGCGCCGACGTTGCAAAGTACCCCGATGGAATGGATCAAGTGTAAAGCAGTAATGGCATTTTCGAAACCCATGCTTGGCTATTCCCAGGACGATGTTACTGCCTTTCGACAGCAGGACAAGCCGAAGCGAGTGTCAGTCAATGATGCCCAGATGAGTGTAAATAAAGTCTTCGAACCGAATACCCTCGCTTATGCGCTATGTGACTCGCCGACGGGGCTGCTACTATTTATTCTCATGGTGTTGAGAATGTTGGGACCTAGACATCAGCTTTCGACAAGGGAGATTATTGAGATTGCTGAATTGACATGGCTGCCCGGCGCGGAAGGGACCATCAGGCTATTGGCGCATAGTGCGTCGACTACAGATGATCTGAAGACGGGCCCCAGAAAGCCCACGGCTGGAATTACGGTATTTGAGGATAACAAAAACCATGTGGCTGACCAGGAGCCGAGTGCCATGGGACCCGTGTCAACAAACCTCTATACCTGTAGGGTCTGGGGACGAAGGGCGTACAATATTGTATCTTGGCAACGTGTACCTGGAAGCCCTGGACTGCTGATATGGGAGAGACCAGAAGTGATAGCAGCTGGTGTGAGAAGGTTGGCAAAGTCCATTGTCTCCAGGGATGATAGGCTTCAGAAATCAACAGATGCCGGAGCAGCCCTGCTGGAGCGAGTCGTCGTTGGCGGAGATGAGGCGTCTCCGACAGGGACTCCAGGCACTGTACTCCATATGCAGGGCATATCGCATCTTGGTGTCGCGGCAGACGGGAAGCCGACTGCAGAGCATGGACAAGTTGACGGGGATTTCAAGGCGAGGAGAAGACCACATACACCACTATTTCCATCAATGGGGGAGTTGTATGGGGATCCAGACCTAGATAATGAGGATTTCAGTCAGAGTTCAAGTGCGGGAAGTCCCAGTACCATTAAGCCGGTGAGGAGTATTGCGTAGTGACTGCAGAATTCATAGCATATAATCTACTTGGCAAATATTGATAGTTGGTTCATCACAGCGTGAAGTGTTTGAGACTGGTCGCCGTGATGACTGGGGTGCGATGCAGACTCGTGTTCCCAACTTGGTCCGTGCACGCCACCTCCATCCTACATCCTACCTACCTCTTGGTCTCGCATCTGAACCTCCAACGCCCAACGGGTCTATCCAATGGGGCGCAGCGTCTGGCAAGACAGAACGCAGAGAGCAAAAACCCTCCCTCGTTGAGCCTAGAAATCACCAACTAGCATCCGAGCGACGATGCGCAAGCCGATGGTCGACACTCCCTGACCGTCCAACAACGAGTGTCTGCCATCATGTCGTCAAATCGATACGCAGGGGGAGTCCCCATGCGCAACGGCGGCGGATATGGAAACTTTGGCAGAGCACCAGACGCATACGACTCTTATAGCGACGGCCGACCGAACGACAGAAACGACCGGTATGGTCCCCCGCTTGGACCAAGGGTACCGCCGCAAGCTCTGCGCAACATGCCCTCACGAGCTCGCGTCCAGGATACCAATGCTGAGAGACAGATCGCTCAAGTGCTAGAACACATTAGGCGTGACTGGCCATCCATGTGCGAAAACGACTCCATACCCGTCCAACTCGCGCTTCAGCTGCTCGACTCGAGCTCCGTCGGCCGCGCCCACGAGTATCGCAAGTTCCAGGAGACGCACATGTATCTCCAGGACTCGCTGAAAAATATTGTCCACGAACACCATCAGGGCTTCAACAGCTCGATTGGCACTTTTCACAAGATCCAAGGCAGCATTCAAGCGTCTCAGAAACGTGTCCGAGACCTCAGGGAGTCGCTGGCGAGCTCCAAGGCTAGCTTGTGCTCCAGCGACCCGGAACTCAAGAAGCTTTCTCAGACGTCGACAGAGTACGACGAATTACTACAAACACTGAACGAGTTGGACGATTTGCGGGCCGTGCCTGATCAACTAGAGGCTCGGATATCAGAAAAGAGATTCTTGGGTGCTGTCGAAGTACTGCAAAATGCATTGCGCAAGCTTAGACGGCCAGAATTGGATGGCATAGGGGCATTGGGCGATTTGAGATTGTACCTCGCCAATCAGGAAACTGCATTGATGGACATTCTTGTAGAAGAGCTGCACGAGCACCTGTACCTCAAGTCGCCGTATTGTCAGGACAGATGGCAGAGCCTTGCCAAGGCGCAGGGGGCCTACGGCGAGAGATATGGGGACACGAACAGCATCCATCCTTTCCATTCGGTCCTGAGTTCTATGGATCTGGAAAAAGCAGTCACCGAGGATCCAACCAAAAATCCCGAGGCCGACACTTTCAACTACATCGGATTGCTGGTTGAGTCGTTGAACAGGCTTGGTAGGTTGCAGAATGCTGTGGAGACCCTGAAGCAGCGGCTGCCGGTTGAATTGTTTGGAGTTGTCAACGAAACCATCAACGAGGTGGATCAGAGACACCCGAGCTCACTCCGTGGCACTGTTGGCAAGACAGACGGGGTGTTTGTTTACAACAGCCGCGAGACGCAGATGCGAGCCGACGTCATATACGACCTGCTGTGGAATTTGTACGGCAAGTTTGAGGCTATTGGGGAGGGCCAGCGCGCATTCCACGAGTTCGTCAAGGCTCTCATCCGGCGCGAAGGGGCTGGAAATAATAGTGCCCTCTTGGGAAGCTTCAAGGAGCTTTGGAACCTGTATCAAAACGAGATTCGATCCCTCTTGCACAATTATGTCACCACTGATGCAGACATTTACCAATTCGACTCGCCAAATCCGGGAGCCAACGCGAGTAGCAAGAAGGACGCCATGAGGGAACACTTGTTCAAGTTTACAGAAACGGACACCAAATCTGTTGACATGGTGACGGAATTTGATGCGTTGGAGGGAATCATTCAGGCCACAGTCCCGGGACTCACAAGTGGCACGCGGAAGCACGGCTTCGATTCCAAGAAGAACCGTGTGGCCGTGGATGGCGGTCTCACGAGGCGAGATACGGGTCAAGGACTGATGGGATCCAGCAAACAGTTGACTGGATCTTACAAGTCGCTCGTCGAGCCGAGCGTCTTCAACATGAGCTTGTTGCTTCCCCCGACCTTGACATTCCTTCAACGGCTCAAGACTATTGTTCCCCCAGGCTCTGACCTGGCCACTAGCACACTGACAACATTCCTCGACAACTTCCTCGTCAACGTCTTCCAGCCTCAACTCGACGAGACGCTGAGCAAGCTCAGCGACACGGTGTTTAGAGAAGCAGATTCCTTCTTGCAAGACCAAGCGTGGAAACAAGTGGCGCCACGGCCTATATTCAAGGGCGCCATCCAGTTTTTCCAAGTTGTCACTGCATTCTGCAAAATGTTGGGCACGATCCCGCCAGACCAAGCACTGAGCTCGCTCATCGTCACGCAAATGAAGCGCTACCACGATCGATGCTCTACCTGGTACAGGTCGCTCGTGACAAAGACGCAGGACCACGGCGAGGACGCAAACAACTTGAGGGCCTCGGCACGCTTCTCTGCCCAGCCCGGGCCGCTGCAGGATATCATGAGGCAGGTATTGGATGCCGAGGAATCGTCATTGGCAGAGCTTCTGTCCAAGGAGAGTCAAGCGCTGATTGAGCAAACCAACGCCTCGCCGCTTGAAATGAACGACATTATCCAAGACAGAGACACCATCTCGTCGCTGTGTCTCTTATACACGAGCATGAAGTGGCTGTCGGCCAGAATCTCGAGCCTGCGGTACATAACAGCCCACACCACAGATTCTTCAAGACAAGCCGTGCCTCGACAAGCAAAGCGACGATGGACCTTGATGAACGACCACGGAAAAGCTGCTTCGGACCAAGCTCGCGTCCAGCTACCTCTTACCCAAGAAACAGTGCAGTAAGTTTTTTTTTCCCTTTTTTTTTGGGGGGGCTCCCGTGTCCCCTCTCTCCGCCTATACCTCTCACGACAAGGCATGGCATGGTCTAACAAAGGGCTCCAGAACATTCGACGACATCGTCTCCTCATACCAAGATCTCGCCAAAACCGCCCTCCTCACTCTTCACGCAGAAGCGCGCACTCGCATTGTCCACTCGCTGCACAATGCCCTCTCCCCTTCGCTGGCACCATACCTCCTCGAGCAAGAGGTCCGCGAGCCAGACCCGCCCATCCTCTCTCTCAACCTCGAACTGGTGCTTTTCGACGAAACCATTGTCCGGTACCTGCGCGACAAGGAAGTCGCCTTCATCCGCACGGGCCTCGGCCTCCTCATCAACAACTACCTCGTGTCCAACGCGAGGCTGGCATCGCCCATGAACGCAATGGGCTGTGGGCGAATGCAGCTCAACATCTTGGTGCTGCAACAGAACCTGAAAAACGTCGAGGAAGGAGTCGACCTGGCAAGGGCAGCGAACTACTTTGCCCTGTTTGACGGGGGACCCGACGCGGTTGTAGAAAAGGCAAGGGAGGCCAAGGACAGGGAGGCCGGCAGCGGCGCCGACGACGACGACGACGACGACGCCGAGTCGTTCACCTTGGACGAGCTCAAGGCGCTGCTGGAGCTGTGCTTCAGCGAGGGCTTGAGCAACAGGGAGAGAGGCATTGCGAGCGCCGCCAAGAGGCAGCTGGATGACAAGATGCTCGAGCTAGGCGAACACGTGTAGCAGTCGTGCACATTGGGCTTTGGCGGCCGCAGGACGCAGGAGGAGGCGTACTCGGTGCCCAGGCGCAGGAGGACGGAGGACGGCCGATATGTGTCCAGTGGATGGTTGCACGAGACATCTGGTAGACAACCTGGTCAGTCGGCGGCTTTTTCATGTCCGTGGCATGACGTCAACGTCGCGCACGACAGCTGCTGGTCAGGCGTGGCGCCGTCGTACAAAAAACGACGCGGGAGGGGTTTGTTTTGAGACAGTGGCTGGCTGTTTTTGGGACGTGATATGGAGTGCCGGTGCTACATCGACCATGTTGTACGGAAACGGAGCAGCTGACTCCTCCTTGGCTTCATATATTGATTGCTCGGTTGAACTGGCCGAAAGGCTATCTACTCTAGTATTTTGACCCGCAGTCTATTTTGATTCCCTGAAGACTTGTGCTCTCGGCCCTTTGTTTGGAGTATTGGCCCCGTCGGGCTTACGAGACCCGACTTTGATATGTAAGTATGCGGCGGCATGTCGCCTGGGGCATCTGGCTGGCTTGTTGGGAACTTGGGACAATACAATACACGAGATGAAAGAGGGCCGGTTCGGAGGGACTGGAGACGGGAGCTGAAGCCGGGCCCTGTCTGGAAGACGAGATGCACACAGGGATGATGCCGGAGAATACGACATTGCTATCCAGCCGTCTGTCCGTCTCTGTCATCGCAAGTACGTACGTACTCGGTACATGTGCATTCATTCTGTACGCCTGGCGGGCTTCACTTGAGCTGATTTCACGGTGCCAAGGCCAAGATAAGATGGCCCGCTGTCACCGCCTGCCTGCCGCGCCGCCAAGTTAGTCACCTCTTCAGCCATGGTTTGGCCAATCAACGCGGCTGCTAATTAAACTCGTCATGTACTCGGTAGCGTTGGAGGGCCGGATTCAATGTTACGATGGGGCCATCGTGACTGACTGTGATGCCGGGTCGTGAGAGGCGACGCAATGCTACCAGCAAGTAGCATTTGATTCAAGATGATTGGACTTTTAGGCTGCTCGCGAGGTGAAACCTGCACCTGCACCGGTGTTGAACGGCGGCGGCGGCGGCGCCGACGAGACGAGACAGGATGGCTGACGGTAAAGATTGGGTGCTGGGTGGGTGGGCATCCTACGGGGCCGTTTTGGCTCGAATGGAGTGCATGGGAAGTTCTACTCCGTGCTGCCGGGTATTCCTGCCAGATGGATGAGCTGGTCTCATAATGCCGCGCTTTGTCGAGCGAGGGAGGGCTTAGGTATCAATCTCGGGTGACGCGAAGCAGCTTCGCTTCCATGCGGTGTCAGTGTCGGCGTCGGCGCCAACATCATCATCAGTGTTCAGACACGTTGCACGGCCTTGCCAGTGTTGAAGCCCAAGCAACCGTTGGCATCGGCGCATGCCAAGGCCTCGTAGAGGCGTTGAGAGCCGGCCTGGGCTTTTTTTTTTTTTCTTTTTTTTTTGTGTGTGTGGACGGTAGATTGAGATTGAGATGGGTACCATCAACAGATCGAACCTTGGAACGCCAAGTCCCGGCCCCTATTCCCACAGGGCCTTCCTTCCCAAAGCCTGCCACCAGCGAGCTGTGGTTGGTCCGTTCAAATTAACTAGGCGCAGGAGCGGGTCTGGGAAAGTAGCCGGTGGGGCGGCAAGGCGGGTATTCGGAGTGGTGCACAGTCAACCGCCGCAACCAGGAGCCTCCTCCTACCCCCCTTATCGGGCAGGTACGTACCTGCGTGCACAGCAGTCACGAGTCAGGGACCACTGGAGGTGGGAATCTGGTCCTTGAGCACAGACGAGAGTGTAGATGACCCGACCATTGCTCGCCTCAGCACAGACGAAGCAGAGTGGAAGCCAAGTGCCTCACGCTCACGCCTGCATGGCTTGCTCCAGGCAGGCAGGCAGGCATCCCCTTGTCAGCAAGTTGCATGTGGAATTCAGAAGCCCGCCCGCGTACGGAGTACGGAGTACGGCGTCCGCTTCCAAGTTGTTTGACACGCCTTCTGGCGGGCCGCAGCTCCGTGTTTACCGGCGAAGGCGGGGTAACGAAATACGTCAGCTGCTGGCGCGAGCGCGTCTATTGGTGATGGCGAAGAGCTGGGACTCGGCGCCAGAGGTCGCGTCGCAGCCAAATACTAGCTGCGGAGCATCTAAGCAGGTCCCTCGGTGCCCAGTTACTTGAGCGCTCATGTAGTCAACAAGTACCGAATAGGGGAGTTGGTCCGTGGCAAGACGACCGTCTCTGACGAGGAACATCAATGCCAAGCGCGGAGAACGGAGTGCTCGGGCAGGCATCTTGCCCTGCACAAAGTGGCTACAGGTGCCGCTCGACCCCTGAAGGGCTGTCTGTTCTGGCAGCCGAGGCCTGCCCAGCTGATGGCCGGCGGACAACGAGGAGTCCGCGTCCGCGTGGAGAGTTGGGCTTTGCGTGGCTCTGTTTCTTGGACAAGTCTGGAGATGCCGCTGAACAATCGATGGCGATGAACGAGGCTTCCCAGCGGGCAGTCCAGCAGAGCAGAGCAGAGCAGAGCAGAGCAGAGCAGAGCAGGAGCGTCTGCCTTGTGCTGCGTGCGGACTGCTGGGGCCCCAGGTTCTCGTCTGCCTGCAGTTTCGACCAACGCGTTGAACAACTGGTTGTCCGTAGCAATACGGACTCGTCACATCCATCGAGATTGCAGACGATGCTCCTGGTCCTTTGCCCGACATCCGTATTACATGCAGCTCGCCAATTGCTCTGTGCGCCCTGTCCACGTTGCTCGTCCCACGCCGACCGTGGCCGTGGCCAGTTGGGTGCTGCCCAGTAATGACGCCGCGTCCAGACCAATCCGCCTCTCCATCAACAACGGTACCGTCAAAGACGGTCCTGCAAGCGTCAGGGACACCGTCCTTCAACGTTGCCAGCGTGGGGATGTTGTTATTGTTGTTGTTGCTGTTGTTGTTGTTCGATACGTTCAGATGCCGGCGCAGCAGGGACGACCCTCGCTACTTCGTCGGGGCGTGGCACCATTCATCACTAAGAGTAGTACTACCTAAGTACCTAGGTACCTACTTCAGTACTTACAGGTTTAGTGCTCAAGTGCCTAGGTCTAAGTACCCAACAGCCGTCACGAACCTGGAGGCAGTGGCAGGCAATCAACAGATGTACATTGTAACTACATGCCCAAGCACCTGACCTAGGACTGGCGGATTCCACCCGCTGCAGGCCGCCACTGAAGCGCGAAAGCACTGAAGCACTGAGTCCGGCAATTTGGCCGGCAGCGACAGCACAGCACGGCACAGCACTCCAGCTCCAGCCAAATAATCACCACCCCAAGTGTGAAATCCAGATAGACTTGGATTGGCGTGAGGCCGCCCCAGCCACAGCGTTCGAAAGGGCAACCGGGCGCAATCCGCAGAGATCCCGCTTGGGCCAGCCTCGGCCAATCAGCGGCCGCCCTGAGCCAGATGGTCCAAATGGTCCAGATGTCCCGCGCTAACATCCCAAGCCCCCCCTGAGTTGACTTGAACTCGAAATGCATTCGTCGTTCCAACTCCTTCAACGCCGCAAACCACCAGACATTTTCCCCAGCCATTCGCTAACCCCCTCCCATCTGCTGTGCTCTGCCTTGCCCTGCGCTGTGCCGCGCTGCTCTTCTTCTTTTTCAGTTTTTTTTTTTTTCCCTCTCCTTCTACTTGTCGATCTCCTGTCCCCCTTTGCGCCGCTCGCTGTCCGGAATCGTGTGTATCGTCTTCCCTGACCCGGCTCGTCACTGGCACACACACACTCTCTCACCACTTGACATCGTCTCCAATCCTGCCCGCCACCCTTTGCACGTCACGCATCGTGCAGCCAGGGGGAACATTCGCCATCCAGCGCGCGGATCAACACCTCTCCTGTGGCCATCAGACAAACCGTGGCCACACGCCACGCTTGATATTGCCATCCATCATCCATCCATCTGGGCCCGGGAAATCGCGACTCTGTTCCTTTGCCCAGAGGGCTTATCCGTATGACGACTGCATTCGACATGGCAAACCCGTAAGCCCTCCTCCTCTCTTCCATCCAAGCATCCATCAAACTTTGTGCCCACACAAGCCCTCGGGATATGTCCCTGTCAATGCTGACGTTTGACAATAGCTTCAGCACCGCCCTCCGCTCCTTTTGGCATACTATGACGAGTAATGATAGGCGTAAGCCCACCCCGCCCGCCGTGCCCAACGTCTCTGCCTCCCGTGTCTTGCGCCTTGGATGCTAAACACACCTTGTACTATGCAGACTCAACCTTTGATTCCCCCCAACGAACTGGTCGTCACGTTCCTCTTCACAACGGCGGAAGCGGAATGCTGACAGGCGTCGCTACTGCCTCGGACTCTCGCGCCGACATAATTTCTCCTTACGCGGACGACGGAGGTCGCAGCTCGCCCGTTCGCAATGGAACTTCGAGTCCCATCTCGAGAGGCTACTCCCCGGGAATGCGCTCGCAGTCGGCACAGCGAGGTGACGGCTTCGAGGTCCATAGCCCCGGCGATGTTCCCATGCAGGCTTTCCAAGATGGTCTCCCTCCCCCGCCCCCCGTTCGCTACTCGTGGGATCGCATCGACTCGTGGGCCGAAGAGAATTACACCGAGCTGTGGGACCAACTAGGTGAAGGCGCTACGACCAACGACCTCAACGATCTGGAGCATCAACTCGATTGCTCGCTGCCACAAGACGTTCGCGAGTCGCTCATGATTCACGACGGTCAGGAGCGAGGAGGCAACCCCACTGGCATTATTTTTGGCTCCATGCTGATGGACTGTGAGGAAATCGTACAGGAGTGGGATCAATGGAGACGAGTCAACCACCAGTACCTGTCGGACAACGCAGCACCTCCGAAGCCAACCACCCCCTCCAAGGCATTTGCGGGCAACAGCGAAGCTTCCTCATCAAAGCAACAAGCCCCACGGCCCTCGTCGTCGTCTTCAGCTAGTGACGGCGAGTGGAGACAAACTCTCCTCGCCCGCCAAGGCTCCGTCCCCGCGAACTCGGTTCAGAAGGCTTACGCACACGGCGGCTGGATACCCCTTGTCCGGGACTGGGGTGGCAACAATTTGGCCGTCGACTTGGCGCCTGGACCCAATGGCCGCTGGGGTCAGATTATTCTGTTTGGACGAGACTATGACACGAAATACGTCGTGGCGAGGTCCTGGGCCGCCTTCCTCGCCTTGGTTGCTGATGACCTGAACAGTGGCAAATGGTTCGTGGACGATGAGACTGGTGAGTTGAAATTGCGAGAGTTTAAAGACGCACGAGTCGAGCCGGCCTATTTCAGCATCCTCAGGTGGAGAATGGATCAGAAACATGGACGGCGGCCCGGTCCCAACAAGCGACAGTCGGTGGCCGCCGGAAAGACTTGCTCCCCTCTCGGCTCGCGTTCTGCCTCTCCTTACGGCAGCCCGGTCGAGTCCAACGGTGATGCTCGGGGTAGATCTTTGCAACGATTAAGCGCCTCGTCACCCCTGGCAAGCCCCATGAGAACCGGAGGATACGGCAGAAACCCCTTGAGTAGAGTGACGGAGGAATCTGCGTTTCCCGAGGTGCCGAGCGCCGAAATCGAGCCCAGCACGCTGGTGGAGGTGGAAACTCCCGGCGAGTCTCGGGAGGCGGGTCTGCGAATAACGATGATTGCGCGAACGGGGTCGGGTGTGCTCCAGGACAAGGAGAATGATGTTCCGGCAAAGATGAACGGCAAGGCACCTGCAACCATGGACGACACATTGAAGACGATTGAGATTTGAAGCGCCGCATCACACCCAAGGCGAGACGCCGAACAAGATGCACACAGACTCATTTGAGAGTTGTGTGTGGCGTGCGAAAGGACGAAGACATGACTTTTTGGCATTGACGCACCGTCTCGGCCTGCACAGTTTGTCACTGTGGGACTGGGACCAGTGTTGATATGGCTCGTATACATAAAGCAATCATATAGGCGTTTTGGGGTGTCATGGCAACCAACCCGGAGAGGCTTTCTCGTTTGATTATCTTCCTTCAAGGGTCGGGGTTATTTATATACAGTGCTTTTTTCAACAAACGGGAAGTGGTTCCGCGTGACCAGGGGGAGAGGGCGATAACCAACGTACAGAACACGTATCGTCTGGCCTTGCCTTGTACGGTCCCTGTCTAGCCGTCGCTGCAGAGTGCAGGACGGGACTCGATGCGTTGAAACGAGGTCCGGGGGAAGCCAGCATAGCATGTCTGGTCCTCGGCCCCTTTCCTCTTTCTTCTTCCCTGTTTTCTTTTGCTTAACCCGGCGGTCATATGGGCTGCTCCTGCGGCAAGTTTGACCGGAGTGTAGTTTATTCACTTTTCTGTCTGGTTCGCGTGTAAGAGTATACGTGTAAATATCATGATAGATGCCAGATGCAACGAGTAGGCGTTGGTTGGGGTCACGGCGAGTGGCGAGTGAGTGAGAAGAAGCGGCGGCGAGTTCACGACTTGATCGACGTGTCTGTCTGCGCATGTGCCACGTATAAGTATGTACTGCACACGTGCAGTGAGCGGGTGATTGGGGCGTGAGATGGGGCCATGAGACTTTTTTCATTTGCGACTCACAAGGCGTTGGGTCGTGGCCTGGCTTGGGGGGCTTTCCTTGTCATTGATGCGCTTCATTGCACCTCGCCACGACTCACGTGTGACATGTCCCTGCCGGCTGTTACGGACGGCGTCGGTACTTCTGCGGTGGGCGGAGCCGCGAAAAAGTACGCCTGTAGCTGCCCGCGGTTGTACCTGGGCCTGCGTGACGAGGCCATGCCGGTGATGAAGATGGTTGTTTTGCTCACTCTGCCGCCGTCCCCGTCAAAGTCCGGGTTGACAGCCCGTCGGAGAGAATTTCAGTTTCTCGGGGTCTGGTGAGGAACTGCCCGCCCCTGGTGCCGGGCGTGTGGCGTGATGGCTCATGGATGCACGCGCCGCCCGACACGTCTGGTCTTGACGCTCGTGAAAGATTCTACGGCCAAGCCTGGTATGATACATGGCGCCCGAGTCGCCGTGCCCCTCGGGCGCAAGTCACGGAACACGCATGTCAGTCTGGGATCGGCGATGCAAGTTTGGTCATTGTTATCGGCTACATGAGCAGCGAGCCACAGTTCGGACTGCTTTGCGAGTTCTGAAAATGCTCGAAACGCAGCGTAAACCTCGGAAAGAGATGAGTGGCCAAGACTTGATGACGTCCACGCCGTGTCTTTTGACATCAACGCCCTGGCGCTTTGCTCGGGCGCCCACCGAGAGATACTCTGCACGAGGGGCCGAGGCAACACAGCACACACGTCGAATTTGATGCTTGTACAGCCATCTAGAGGGACATACAACGACAGGACCCGACATCATCATACTACCCAAGCGTCTCGAGGTTTGTTGCGGCATCGACAGTCGGCCTCCCGGTTCCGACTTGTGCCGTCAACGACCATGCCCGGCCTCAACACGTGTCTCCGTTTGCTAGTACTTGTCGGCCTTGTTCCTTGTCGATGCCCCTGCTGCCGTCCTTCTCACGGGCCCATCCCCGGTCAAGTGCCGTGGTTGGAATTTGGTGCTGCTTGACCTCTCAGGTTGATCTGACCGATGCGAGATACAATGTTGCTACCTACAGCATCTACCGCCCCCCTGGGAGATGTCAGCGTAGGCCCTGCCGGCGCCGTCTCTTGCACACGGAAGAGTTTGATTGCCGTGCCGCTCCAGACGCCCATCGTCCCCTTGGCAATTTGCATCTCGTTGGAAAAGACGACACCCCACAACAGGGATTCGTACCATCCCAAGGCAAGTGGAGACCACTCGAACGAATGCACCCGGGCTGGACAAGGTTCTATACCAATGAGATCAATCTCTCGGATGCGACGAACAAGGTCTGGGGTCAACACCTCCCGGGCAGTCTGACGAGGCAACAGGATAGAAACCTGCTGGATCACCGTCAGGATGCTGTGAAGAGGTAGCTCCGGCAGCCAACCGTCGATCCATTGCGACGTAGGCTCGAATGAACCACTCTGCATCCTCGCAGAAGACGACTGCCCGCCAAGGCTTGTGGTACTATTCTGTCTAGAAAACGAGCGGCTTCCGGCTGGCATCTTGCCACGAGCCTTCTCAGACATTCCACGCAGCTGAGTGGGGACGGCATCGTCAAAGTTGCCTGCCGACGAGGCTTGTGACAGGTTCTCACTCGTCGTCGACTGGGTCGGCGTCGGTTGGGCGTCTTCATCACTGTCGTCGTCCGAGCCTCCAATCGCAAAGGTGTTGTCCTCAGTGACTTCATCCAGATTTGAGGACTTGACTGCAGCAACAGATGGGCTTCGTGCGGAGTCGAACGAGCTTCGGATGGATCCCGCGTCTGCCGAGTCGATACGGTCCTTCTTCAACCGGTTCCTCCGCTCAATCTCTTCTTGACCGCTTTCGAGCGTAAAAGAGCGCAAGGCTTCGATTCGCTTGCGGTTTTTGACAATGGCCAAGAGGAGTTCGGGATTCTTCCGATAGTTATGGTCGATGATGGCGCTGATGGATTCCATGAGCGAGTGCAAGAGTTGATGGTTCGTCTCGTTGGCGAGAAGAAACGATGGTGATGACATGGACGTGAAGAGGTGCATGAGCTGTGAGCTGCCTGCAGCGCCCAGTCCCTGAATGTATGGCGATATGTTGTTGATAACCGCCAAGAGGGCCGGATAGATGGCTGTGAAGTTGCCTTGGCTTGAGGTGATGAGGTTGTAGATGGAATGGATCAGAAAATCGCAATATGTGCCCTTGAAACCGTTGATGCGGATTCCTACAGGTAGGCTGTCTTGACCCTCGAATTGCTTGTTTAGACTAGGACCAAACTTCGAGTCAACACTTAGTGTCTGGAGCAAGAACGCGCACATGCGAACGACACCCTGCTTGGCAGCTTCGTTCCTGTACTCCAGAGCATAGAATATCGTGAACACCACGAAATCATGCACCCGGTCCGTATCTATAATAAAGGATCGAAATCGCTTGTTGCATTGTGTTATTTCCCAAAAGAAAATCAGAATTTCGGGTGCAAAGTTGGTGGCCGTCTGAGCTCCTGGCAGGTATGATGTCTTTTCTTGGAGTGGCTGGCTGAGTATTCTTGACATGCCGTCAACGATGAACTGGAAGTCTTGCGGTCGGTGCAAACGGCCCAAAAAATGGCGGTAGAAATTCTTGGAGGGTGTGTTTGACTGAGCGAATTGCTCGGGGATCGGGTATACGAGTAGAATGAGCAAAAACTCCAAAGAGTATGTCACCAATATTTGTTTGGCATCCTTGAATCCCAGTGTGTTGTACGGCACTCGCCAGCTTGCCGGATTATATTTAAGAGTCTAGATCCAAGTTAGCATATGAAGCGTTTGACTCCAAGTTGGAACTATGCCGTCAAGCATACCGTATTGAGTAGAGAGCAAAGAACCGATAGGACAATTTGCTTGTCCTGACAAGTGCAGAGATACGTCAGCGTTCGTGTCCCAGCCTGAGCGAGAACTCCTGGAGTAGAATACATGCTTTGGCCAGCCAGCGCTAGTAATAGTCGTAAAATCTCTGCCCGGTTGCTCTCGAGTTCCTTGGTTGTCGCAACGGCGTTATTGCAGCCAACACCACTCTGCCATATTGCGTAGGTGACTTTGTCGTGGCCATGAGGTTGGCGAGTGATGGTGAAGTCGGAATAAAATAGCAAATCTACCAGGGTATCTATTAGCTCCTCAGCGAGCGGTTTCGCTTCTTCATATTCGTCGGCGTTAGGTATGCTTTCTCTTTCGTCATTCTCAGCTGCTGCATCAAAGAGGGCTTCATTTGCGATGATGGCCCGACGGGTTTTCCTGCGACGCGGTCCCCAAAAGAAGCGCTCTTGCCAGCTACTGAGGCTCTCTTTTTCATAGAGATAGGGAAGCAACCGAGTCAACACTCGAATACAGTTTAAGGCATCCTTCTCGGGCGCGAGTTGGGGGTCGGGAAATGATGGGTGGTGTCGAAGTAGAAACAGCCGTGACGTCAACGCTAATATCAACGTTTCCATGTTCTCTATTGCCTTATCTCGGATCCTTCGCATATCACTCGGCGAGAAAAGACTGAAGACATCCTCGGAGGACTCTGGAAGCTCCCAAAACTACACAATCTCGTAAGCAACATTAGTCGTGCCAGATTTTCGGTAAGTGTGCTTACCGACGTCCAGTAAGGATCGCCGACGGGAATATGGCGTTCCTCCGAGAGCTTGAAAATGCCCTGCTTGAAGACAATCTTGGAATCGCTTGCGCCCATCTCTGCAGCGCAAGGCTGTCGCCCTTGAACCCGGAACTTGAGGATGACGTTGCGGAATGGAGGATCAGTTAAACCTGGGGACGTGGAGCACGAAGCCTCCGTGCCTCAGAGTGGCTCCAGCTCAAGATATCCATGAGCTGGTGTGTCAGCCAATCAATCACTCTAGAAAAATATGGGTACTCGTATATTTAGCGCAGCCTATCGATAAGACTTTTCTCTCCGAATGTGCAAAAGCCGCCTCGACTCACGAGTACTCCTCGAGTCCTCGCGCCCCAATTCAAAAGACAGCGTTGGTCCACTGCATCAGCATCCAAGATGCTTCGCATCCGATGCTACAGTGGCCAATTGGCCAGGTGTCTGCATTGTACCAGAATTCAAAAGATTCCAGGTACAATGCGACTTACATCCACTACCCATTACTTCACCACGGACCCGAGCGATGACAAACATGTGGCGAGCTCCCAGGCACCACGGAAGCAAGACGGAGAGATGCAGGAATGCGAGGGAACACAGAAGAAATGCGCCTCGTTTTTCGAACCCGAATCTATAGCAGAGTCAAAAACTATTTCGCCTTCAAACGAGGACTCGAGCCCTGCCCTTGCCCCGGATCAGAACAATGGAGGACCTTGGGCAACGCTCCGCTCGCGAATAGAGGAGTCTCATCAAAACAGTGAGACAACGGAGACTGCCGTCTTAAAAAAGAGTGAGAAGGGCCCCAGCATAGCCGCGAGCAACGAAGGTTCAGAATCAACACCAAAGAAGGGAGCATCAAAATCCAAACGAGCAAAGAACAAGGCGTCGTTGGACGTGAAAGTCATTCGGCCTCACAAGTTAAAGCTGCAGCCTGTGGAGGAAAAGAAGTCCCAACGGTCGCCACCGCAATTGAGCTACAATTTGGATAGAGTGCTTTTCAATCCCGGAGTATATCATATGCAGGATCATCGTTCTGGCGTTTTCAATTTCGACCCATGTTTGGCATCCATCATGCCTGTCGAGGAGTTTGATTTCGACGCATTAAAAGAATATACGACTTCATCAAGAGACTCTAAACTACGGCAGCTCTCTGCTACCCATGGGCTTAAATACTGTGGCTCAACCTCAAGCCTAACGTCCATTTTGTCACACTTTCACTTTCTCCTTTCGGCTTGGAGGCAACCAAATTTTGATAACCTTTCCAAGTCGCTTACTCCCGAGTCCCTTAACTTTACCGCTCTTAGCCGTGGGCCGGCCGCAGCATTCGCACACTTTCAAGACGGCGTTTATGCAATTGACGCAGACAAGGAGTACGATACGGAGAATATTCTGAGTATGCTGGGCAAGTCCATGGAGAAATTGCTCACGTTGCCAAGGGAGGAGTTTGAAAAATACCGAAGGTCACGCTCCCATCAACTGTCGGAAGAAGAAAAGAACGCAGAGGAGGCATATCATTTCACAACTTTGGGTGACTTCATGATGCGGTCTCAACTCGACGCGCACGATCCTCGATTGCCCGGCTCGGGAATTTTTGACCTGAAAACAAGGGCGGTAGTCTCGATACGGATGGATGTAAAGGGCTATGAAAAGGGCGTCGGCTACGAGATCCGGGAGCGTTTTGGACAATGGGAGTCGTTTGAACGTGAGTACTGCGACATGATAAGGGCAGCGTTCCTGAAGTACTCTTTACAAGTCCGCATGGGCCGCATGGATGGCATATTTGTAGCCTTTCACAACACGCAAAGGATATTCGGGTTTCAATACATCAGTTTGGCGGAAATGGATCATGCAATCCATGGCACGCATGATCCACGACTGGGCGATGAAGAGTTCAAGTGCAGCATCATGTTGCTCAACGATCTCATGAATCGGGCCACTCAGCGATTTCCGGGGCGAACCCTGCGATTGCATGTCGAAACACGACCGACAAAGGTTCCTCTGACGTATTTTTTCGTGGAACCAGTAACCGAGGAGGAAATGAGAAAGACGCAAGAGGCCAGCAAGCCTTCAATGGAGCTACTGAAGCGCGAAATCCAAAGTCTCAGCCGTGAAGAACACGAGGCAGAGTCAGCCGGAGCCGCCGAGGCTGCTCAAGGAGAAGTAACAAAGCATGAAGAGCCAGATAAAGGTTCCGATGACGGTCCCGCCAATGATCCACAAAATGAGGACACTTGGAAGGAAATGATGTCAAAGGTTGATGAAGCAGTCGAAAATGAATCCCTTGGAGTACGATCGATTCGAGAGGCGGTCCAGGAAGCGCTTGAACACAGTGGTCTGCTTCATGGTAAGACGGAACTGGAGAGCGAGAAATACTTGGATGAGCTGGTTTCGGCACTCACGGCGCATTCGTCTGAAGCTAAGGAGTCAAGCCAGTCTCAGGCTGAAACGGGCGAAGAAGTTGAAGAGGCAAAGGCCGGGGATGACCAGCCCGACCTTGGTAGCTCCACGTTGGCCAACCTCATTGTCAAGGTAACCAAAGGGATCAACAAGAAAAGTACGAACTTGAGACCATTTGAACGCAAGGTTGTCGACTTGGCCATTGGAGCGAAAAGGACGGACGTCATCTCAACGGATCAAGGCGATGCAAAGACGGACACGGACGATAGCGACGTGGCAGGGGTGGCCGCCGATGTGGACGCAAGAAAGGACGGGGGTGTTCCTGAAGAGCCCCGTCCGGAACTGCTGGGCATGTACGTCAGCATCCGCAACAAGGTCAATGGCGAATTCATGGAGCGACCGTTTGGAGGCGAGAAGAAGTTTGACTGGGCTGTGCAATATACAGTGACCGAGTTGCCGGACAAGAGAGCGCAAAGCATCTACTCCAAGATTAAGAAGCGCAGAAGGGACGTTCTCGCCATAGATCCCGGTGTCCGTTCTGCCGACTGGTACCACATGTTCCAGGGCAAACTACCCATGATGACCAAGAAGGGAGAAGAGTTCCGCGAGAAACGGAATCAAAAGGAGGCCCGGAGCCCGGTGTACGTTGCGTGGGCCAAGGAGCCGCTTCCCCGGAATGCGGGGAGCAGTTGACAGCATACTTACACAGCGCATAACTGGGAAATGATGACTGGACGGCGGGGCAGAGCGCATTACAGGGCATGGGCATAGGCCTTGTGGCGAGGAGGCGGCGAACGTGCCGCGTCTCTTGGGTAGACTGTATATCACGGTGTATATTATAGCTGACGACAACGGTTGAAGTCAGGCAGGGGTCAAGCGGAAGGAAACCCAACCCAGCAGGTCGATTATCTTCCTGCATCTACTCTACTTGATAATTCATCAAATGTGCTACTCACGTGGCTTCGTGCCGCCGAAGCCATCTTGCTTGATCGTCTCCCCACAGCGGAGCTGCTGCTGCAGATGTCCACCGTCGACCGCCTCGGTACGAGGGTTGGAAGATGTGACCAAAGGAGCAATAAGCTGGGTCATCCATCTGTCAACCATGTAGTCTTGTCAGGTGGGCCGCCGGCTCCAGTTCTAGTTGACGTGTTGAAATCAGGCTGATTTGTGTGGATGGCGTCCGACTCCCAGTGGACTCGAGTCCTTAAACAACGGATCCATAAACAACATCCCAGGTGCCACGGGCCATGGCATCTGGTTCTTCCTGTTCAGTGGGATCACCGTCGGCTTTTGGCACAGCAATTCAAACCACGGAACGTCTGACTGCCGTACTAACTAGCAACATACCTTGGTGAGATGAAGCACATTCATGGATAAAGTCAACATTTGGCGCCTTGGCGAAGGCCGGGGCGTCCACTGGCGGGGTTCGTAAGTACTCGAGTACCTGGGCGCTTATTAGAGGTCAGGCCAGCCAGCTGTCAGCAGCTGTCAGGTCGGCGAGACGTGAATGAAAGGGGTGTTGGCCGACCTGGTTGGAGGGTGATCCTGGTGCGTCTCCTGCACGAGCGCTGATGGCTGCATCAATTGTTACAATTGTTACCGACGACAGCGGCGGGCAGCGGGACGACCTCAACCGTCGACTCGCGCCAAGGCATACACATACATGTAGGTAATTTCCACCCTCGACACATCGACATCTCCCAGTCGCTGTTATTCGGATGACCAAGATCCTCTGAGCCTCCACCACCCTGCCGTTTTTAATGAGGTGGCTTCGGCTCGCCTCACGAGACCCCGCGATGCAAGGCACGTCAACGTCAGGATCCCGATGCGTGCCACCTCCACGGCGCCTCGCCACTGCCTCTGCCACACCAACGCCAACATCAACGTCTTGCTCCGCCAAGCATCTCCATTTCCGTCCCGAACTCTATCCATTCACTGCGGCGCTTTGTCCAGTTCCGCCACCGATCTGCCTCCCCCCCCGGCCGGCCCCCTGGCCCTGCTCCCGTGGCATCCCTCCCTGCAACCAGGAACTGGAGGGCGATTATGGGCCAAGGACTGGCATCTCCAAAATACATACCGATAACTACATACCTAGGCAGTCATCGACTTATCACTTTCGATCCCCAAGCGAGGCCCCATCTTGGCACCTGACATTGGGCAAATCTCGCTGTAAGCCGACGGGGTCGTTTGCTCCATCCACGATGATTAGGCGACGCGGCTACACTGGCGGGACGGACGTGCCTGGATGACGTTGGCTTCCGTGGTCGTCTGCAAGAGCAAGAGTTGGCTTGCTCTTCTTGCTTGATGTTCCTGTTCAAGGTGCATTCTATAAATGTAGCCATGTGGCCGCCCTCGAGCTCAGATCAGCAGTTTGCCAAGGTCATGCGACCTATCAACTTCCTCCAGGTTGAGCAACAAGCGCCCGCAGTTTGCCTCGACTGCTTCGCTTTCCTTGTTCACGGTTAACCCGAATCAAAACTACGTGTAGCCGTAACCATGCGCCTCGGCTCTCTTCTTCCACTGCTTGCCCTGGGCTCTGGAGTTCGCGCTGCTGCTTTGTCCTCCTCCTCTTCTCCGGCATCCAGTCATCTATTTTCACGAGACTTGGACTTGCTCAACACGCGGGACTTGGAACAGCTTTCTGTAGGTGATGTCGAGCTCTTAACCAGAGCCCTGGTCGAAAGAGACCTTTTGGAAGACATTTGGGAAAAGTTGAAAGACGCTACTACTTGTACCGGCGGAGAGGTGAGAACCCTTGCAATCCTTTTTACACGCAACTTTCTCTCCATCCTCTCCACGTACATGGTGCTGAATGGCGTCTAGCTGCTGCTTGGCGCGCTCAAAGTCCTCGCATTTTTCGGTGACAGAGCTTTCATCGAGGTGATTCAAGGCATTTGCAAGCTTGCAAAGGTTTGTCCTCTGCTTATGCAGGACGTCACTCGTTTGGTGTTGACACTTCTAGGTCCAATCTCACGATGTATGCGACGGGGCAGTTGCTCTCGAGGCCCCCATCATTGCAGCAGGCATTCGCAAGATGTCCATTGGCTCGAGATCCTCCAAGGCGTTTCTCACATCCTTCATGGGCGTCTGTGGATATCCCGATGTGCAATCGTGGGATATTGTCTTCCCTTCGGCCCAACCTTCTGGTGGCAGATCCGATCCAAGTGGCAAGGATCCCATCGAGATCGTTCACTACTCCGACATTCATATCGATCCCTTGTATGTGCCTGGGTCCAGCACGCAGTGTGACGGCCGACCCCTTTGCTGCAGGTACGTTTGCCCTCACTTGAACGCGGGCAAGGCTGAGACTGAACTGACACAACACAGACCTTACACCGAAGACGACCAGCCTGGCAAAACCAAGTTTCCGGCCGGACCCAATGGTGACCACATGTGTGATGTGCCCTTTACTTTGGAGCGAAGTATGTATGATGCTATCAACTCGATTGTGCCCGATGCCGCCTTTACTATTTTCACTGGCGACATTGTCGACCACGCCGTCTGGAACACCACCCAGCCGTACAACACCAATTCGAGTAAGTATTCAGTCTTCGTCCAAGTCACAATTCCTACAACTCCTCTCAGGCCCAACTGACATCCCTAGTCCAACATGCCTACGGCGCTATGAACTCGAGCCTGAAACTCGTCTACGGCACTGTCGGTAACCATGAAGCCCATCCTGTAAACTCCTTTGTCCCCAATGCCATCGGCCACGACAGCCAGTGGCTCTACAATCTTCTCTCCTCCGACTGGGAACACTGGATCGGCAAAAGCTCAACCGCCATGGTCGAAAAGATCGGCGCCTACTCGACCAAGTACCCCAAAGGTAATCTCCGTATCATCTCCCTCAACACTAACCTCTACTACCGTTACAACTTTTGGATGTACCAGTTGTACGATGAGAAGGATCCTGACGGTCAGATCGCCTGGCTCATCAACGAGCTCGACGCCGCCGAGAAAGCCAATGAACGCGTCTACATTATAGGCCATACGCCTCTCGGTGAGCAAGACGCCCTCCGTGACGGCTCCAACTACCTCGACCAGGTGTTCAGGCGGTACAAAAACACCATTGCGGCCAGTTTTTTTGGCCACACGCACGTCGACCACTTTGAGGTGTCATACGGCGACTACGAGGACCGCATGGCCTCCAATGCCTTCATGACTTCGTACATCGCACCCTCACTTGTGCCCACGTCTGGCATGCCCTCGTTCCGCGTCTATACCGTTGACCCGGACACTTTTGCCGTCCTCGACCACACCACCTACGTCGCCGACATGACAGATCCCTCCTTCCAGACGACCCCCGTCTGGACAAAGTTCTACTCGGCCAAAGAGGCCTACGGCCCGCTCGTCTCGCCCCCTCTTACCGACCCCAAGGCCGAGCTCACCCCCGCATTCTGGCACGACGTCACCGTCGCCTTTGAAAAAGAGGACGCCCAGTTTGATGCCTACATTTCGCGCAAGTCCCGCGGCTGGCGGCCTGCCGACTGCAAGGGCGACTGCAAGACCAACGAGATCTGCCAACTACGCGCCGGCCGCAGCCAGGACAACTGCTGGAAGCCCAAGCCCGGCATTAATCTCACAAAGCGGTCCGAGGTACAGCACGACAAGGGGGAACACGACGAGTGTGGTGTTCCAGTTACGCTCAAGATCCTGTCGGCCGTGAGCGCCGATGACGCCACGCTAAAGGAGTTCAAGGGGATCATGGGCAAGGTCGTTGCCGACGCCAGGACGAGGGGAGGGAAGAGCCCCGATAGTGCGTAGGGCATTTTTGTTGGGCGTGGGAGTAGATGTAGATAGGCGTAGAACCGTCATACATGACTCGTGGGATGCAAGGGCACGACAGGTTTGGTCCTCACAACCTGACGGCTGCATGCATAGTAGGTGCAATGGGAAAGATTTTAATTAAATTTTGTTGCTTCTTGAAAGGTCTATACAGGATTTAAAAGAGACTGCAGGATCAAACTGGGGCTCGCATATAGGGCAGTGCGCTGACCAGAAGATACTTGGGCATTATCGGAAGACATCTCACAAAACTCCAGATGGAGGTGGAGATGGTGTCCCTCAATTCTTCAACTCCATGTTTGCATGACATGTATGCAACTCCGTGTTCTGAATTGGTGGCTGTCCAAGGCTGCCATTCGGTGGGAACGACCCCAGTCTTCCCAGCAGAGTGGCTGGTGGACTCATCATGCGTCACCGTCTGTCTGCTCACACTCGGTCCGTAACGCTGTCAAGCATTTGTTTTCCAAGCAACATCAACAGATGTACCGATAACTCGAAACCTGCAAGGCATCAGCACTGGCGATAGCCGTTGAAGAGCACCGGCAGTCGTGCATGCAACCCGGACTCCGACCCAGACTCAAGGCTCGGCCTTCCCTTCTCGACCTCGTCCGCCACCGAAGCAACTCGTTTTCGTCGTCCCGTGCAGGAACCAGCGACTCGGCGTCTGCAGTCGAACTTCCCTTGCCAGCATCTCCAGGGGCTGGAGCCGGAGCCGGAGTCGGTGTTGGCGGTGCTTGGTCTTGGTCTCCAGCTGGCTCGCGTCGCGGATCTTTGCTGGCGGCGTCCGCTTTGGGTCCAGCCGCGTCGCCTGCGTCGCCTTCGCCGTCCGTCGTTGAGGTTGAGGCTCCTGCGCCGGCTGCTGCTCCCACGGGTGCTCCTGCTGTTGGGTCTCCCCTGGCGCCTGCCTCTGCTACATCATCGCCTCCACCCTCCCCACCAGGCACAGAGCTGCCTTTAAACTCTCCATTCTCACCCTCACCACCTCTACCAGCTTCGCCATCTCCCTCAACGTCGACGCCGCCATCCCCACCGCGTCCGTCGCCCGTCTCCCAGCGCTCTTCTTCCGCCCATCAAGAGCCTGAGCCGACGTCCTCAAATCCTCCCAAGATGCCGTCGGTATGCGCACCCCTCGTCAAGCAAGCGTCGATGCCTTCCAGCGACTCCGTCCGGTCGATGCCTTTGGTCCCGTCATGCTCGGCCTCGGTGCCCCACTGTGCGCATCATCGTCAACGCTAACCCCTTTGCTTGCAACAGAAAACCAAGAATGCTGGCGACGAAGCTATTCACTATGGTACGTGACGTTCAATTTAATCTCAACTTTGCTGACGCCTGATCGCTTGGCTGACACGTTTGCGCAGGCAAAATTTACTCCATCTCCGGGTCCGTCGAGGCTGTCCTTTTCCCATCAACAGCGATGTGCTAATCTGCCCACAGTCCCGTCATTGTGGCCGAAGACATGATTGGTGTTGCCATGTACGAACTCGTAAGTTTGGTCTAGTAACATGTTGCGAGGCGAAGCCCAAGACTCACGTCTCGTCAGGTCAAAGTCGGTCACGATAACCTCGTTGGCGAAGTCATCCGGATCAACGGAGACCAAGCATCTATTCAGGTTTACGAAGAGACTGGTACGAATCCTCGCTTGGTGGACTGAATTCTTTTACATGAAATTTTTTTAACACTCTGCAGCCGGTGTCAAGGTTGGCGATCCCGTTGCCCGAAGTGGAAAGCCATTGTCCGTAGAACTTGGCCCTGGCCTGCTTAACGGCATCTACGACGGTATTCAACGACCACTGGAGGAAATCTCCAAAGTTTCCAAGACCATTTATATCCCCCGCGGTATTTCAGTTCCTGCGCTCGACCGAAAGAAGAAGTGGCAGTTTACTCCCGCCAAGAAGGTTGGCGATCACATTGCTGGTGGTGACGTTTGGGGCAATGTCTTTGAGAACTCCTTCATCTCTAACCACAGGATCCTGTTCCCACCTCGCGCTCGTGGCATCATCACCAAGATTGCACCCAAGGGCGAGTACACCGTTGCCGAAAATATCCTCGAGGTTGAATTTGATGGCAAGAAAACTGAATACCCCATGATGCAGTCCTGGCCTGTTCGAGTCCCCCGTCCCACGACCGAAAAGCTGGCTGCTGATCAGCCTTTCCTTGTTGGGCAACGCGTCTTGGATGCTCTTTTCCCCAGTGTTCAGGGTGGCACTGTTGCCATTCCTGGTGCTTTTGGCTGCGGCAAGACTGTCATCAGTCAGTCTGTGTCCAAGTTCTCCAACAGCGATGTCATTGTGTACGTTGGATGCGGTGAGCGTGGAAACGAGATGGCCGAAGTCTTGAAGGACTTCCCTGAGCTGTCCATCGATGTTGACGGCCGCAAGGAACCCATCATGAAGCGAACAACCTTGATTGCCAACACCTCCAACATGCCCGTCGCTGCCCGAGAAGCTTCCATTTACACTGGTATTACTGTGGCCGAATATTTCCGTGATCAGGGTCTGGACGTGGCCATGATGGCTGATTCCACATCGAGATGGGCTGAGGCTCTGAGAGAGCTTTCTGGTCGACTGGGGGAAATGCCTGCTGACCAAGGTTTCCCCGCCTATCTCAGTGCCAAGCTTGCTTCCTTCTACGAACGTGCCGGCAAAGTTCAATCTTTGGGCTCCCCTGAGAGGCATGGCAGTGTGAGCATTGTCGGCGCCGTCAGCCCGCCTGGTGGTGACTTCTCAGACCCCGTTACTACGTCGACCCTCGGTATCGTTCAAGTCTTTTGGGGTCTGGACAAGAAGCTCGCTCAGCGAAAGCATTTTCCTTCAATCAACACTAGTGTGTCATATACCAAGTACACCACCGTCCTGGACAAATTCTATGAAAAGGATTACCCCGAGTTTCCGCGGCTCCGAGACCGAATCAAGCAGCTCATTTCCGACTCGGAAGAACTCGACCAAGTCGTGCAGCTCGTTGGTAAGAGTGCCTTGTCCGACCCCGACAAGATTACTCTCGATCTTGCCGCTCTGATCAAGGAAGATTTCCTGCAACAAAATGGTTACTCAGACTATGATCAGTTCTGTCCCATTTGGAAGACGGAGTGGATGATGAAGCTCATGGTGGGCTTTCACGATGAGTCTCAAAAGGCAATTGCCCAGGGCCAGAGCTGGGGCAAAGTACGTGAAGCCACTGGCGACCTACAGGCCAAGCTGAAGCAACTCAAGTTTGAGCTTCCCTCAGATGGGCAGGAGGTTGTTACCAAGAAGGTTTGTTGATTCCTCGCTACGCCTTTCTCTCCATCATGAACTAACTGTTGCCACAGTACGAAGCTATTCAACAGGAGATGATGGACAGGTTTGCATCCGTCATTGACGAGTAAGAGGAATTTCCAAGGATGGAGCCTGGTGTCGCGAGTTGTCGGCAAGGCGGGACCATAGAGAAGGACTGTCGGTGGCAAAAGTGGCGGAGCATATGATGGTATTATAAACTGTGTCAAGCTGTGCCAAACCCACCTTGTCCACGTTGCAACACTATGTGTAGACGGGAAGTGGATGTGTCAAGCTCAGATGGCGGATAGAAGGTCGTTCTCGCGAAGAGAGGCCCCACAATTTAGCACTGTGCGGAACATGAAAATCCCGAAGTGACGCTTGTGATTCTTTCTGCCATTTACTTCAGTGCACACCCGGAAGCGACGCCACCGGCCTACAATGTCAGACGAGCTGGTGGACGAGGCAGAGGCAATCAACGCCATCTACGGCGACGGCTCGCTCGTGCGGACGGAAGACGAGTGCGCATCCACGTACGTGCTCAAACTGCCCGGCGGCGCGTCATGGCTCAGAATCCAGTTCCCGGAGGCGTATCCCGCACAACCACCCGCGGTGCTGGGCACGCACCACTCGTCAGGCGGCGTCAGAGGCGCGGGCGCAAGAGACGTACGCCTATTCAGGGAGGCCCTGAGCAGCGTCTTCCACGAGGGCAGCGAATGCCTGTTTGACGCGGTGGAAGAGTTTGGCAGGCGGGCCGGGGAGCGCGTTCCCGCCTCCGAGGGGCGGGAGGAGGAGGAGGAGGAGGACCGGACGCCCGGGCGCCCCGGGGACGACGTGGACGCCGAGCGGTTCCCGGCGCCGGAGTGGACACTGTCCGAGGCGGTCGTGGAGAACAAGTCGACGTTTGTGGCGAGGGTGGCGAGGGCGTCGTCGCCGGGGGAGGCGAGGAGCCACGTCGCGCGGCTGCTGGCGGCGGACAAGAAGGTCCGGCTGGCGACGCACAACGTCACGGCGTGGAGGATGCGCGGCGGGCGGGGCGAGCAGTTCCAGGACTGCGACGACGACGGGGAGACGGCCGCGGGCGGGAGGCTGCTGCACCTGATGCGGGTGATGGACGTGTGGGGGGCGGTCGTGGTCGTGAGCCGGTGGTACGGCGGCGTGAAGCTGGGGCCGAGGCGGTTCTCCGTCATCAATGGCGTTGCGAGGGATGGCATGGTCCGCGCGGGCGTTGCTGGGAGGTGAGGCCGGGGGGACGGCCACGGTCACGGTCACGGTCACGGTCACGGCCACGGTCACGGGGGAGACGGCACATAGAGTCCAAAGCGAGAGTGATTGGTATTGTTATCCTGCTGCTACGTTTGTACCCAGGCAAGAGGCGTGTATTGGACATGTGTAAACTGGGTTGGATGCAGAGTCGCAATCTCAACAACGAACGGGTGGCACTGTTTCTTGCCGCTGCCAGAGGGTGCCCCATGCAAGAGACTACTCATCCCTTTGCAGCAGTGGTTTTAGAATAGCTAGTGCGCGCGTGGACTGCTCCTCCGGCAGGATGACCACGCCTGCGCGCGCTGTGGATAGGTACGACAGCTCAGACGTGGCCGTCATTCTCATTTCATCGACTAGACGACCAGACACTCCGCACACGATGCCAGTGATTTCGGATGGTAGGTTGACAAGATCAAGAAAGATGGGGATGAGAATGTTGTCCATGTCGCCGACGAGCGAGTCGCTGAAGAGCCCCAGGAGATTCTTGTCCATCAAAAGCGATGGTGGATCCTCATGAGCCAGAGTGATGGATATGAACCGCGGTCGCGAGACGAGAACCGATATTAGGGATGCGTAGAGTTTTGTGTCAACATTCTCAATCCACGACTTTCGGTCGTTTGTCGCAGCGTGACGGCTAATGGACGGCCGGTGTCCATACGCGTCAGCTAGCTGGGAGATTTCTCGCCCGGAGCATTGAACCAACTCAAGATCCCCGTCCACGTACGGAGAAACGTTGCGCGTGTGCAGAAGCTCAAACGTCCGCAGTTGCAGCTCATCGTCGGTTGACGGAGGCGGGGTGCCTGGCCGAGACACGGAGTGATGGCTCTCTGAATTCTTGCGACTATATGTGGGGGATGTGACAGAGTTGGACTGGCTCTCGGTCATTTCAAAGCCCTTCTCACAAAGGGCTGCCACGACATTTTGTCGTTCTCGAGCTGGCGCCAGAATAAAGTCTGAGTAGTATGTTGTGATGAAGAAGATGGGAATACCGGCCAACGCAAGCGGAGAGCTGAACTCCAGTACCCTTGTGGCAGCATCTAGACCGGCACCAATGACGGACAGAACCATGTATGAGTCGGCAAACACCGATACCGTCTTGGCTTTTTGCGCCGGCAAAGAGTTGATGACGGGTTCAAAGACATCCTTTGCCCATGCTGTGTGGCACACAATAGAGGCCTCCAGCGGCGTGACGCTAACGTTCAAGAAAACATGCTGATTTTCCTCTGAGAGACCATCAAGCTTGTCAACACCGGGTTTGAAGTCGGCACCAAGACGAAGGCGCGCTGTCTGGGGTAGGAGGACTCGAAGAATGGGCTGAAGAAATGTGGTGTACAGGTCGAGAGGGATGTGGATCAAGGTGTATGTCCCGTCCTAGTGCCTGGATTAGCTTGGATTGTTTGTTTTTGGAATCCAATCCAATGGCTGCAAGTTCTCCGAGACAGTTTCATCGCTGGATGCAACTCGTTCTGAACAATACGCCAAAAGTGGATGGAGAGGTGAATGGCAGCCTTCGCCGTTGTCGGCATGGCGGGCCATGGCCATGTGGGGATGAGGGAGTCCATACCAGGAAAGATATTTGGGCGCTCATTGCGAGGGCCAGACTTGGGGCAAGACTGCAACAAGCTGGAGCAACTCGTCTTTTCGATTGTGCGGGCAGCTGTGGCTGTGGTCGGGTTCGGTTTCGGGTTCTCTTTCGATCGCGGCCACCGAGTTTTGATGGCGACTTTGGCCGGCTGGATATCAGACCCCAGGTGCGTCACTGGGCTGCCTCGACTTGAGTAAAACGCGGGGTCAACCGTGCTGCCGAGGTCGATGCGGAATGCCGGCTAATGCTCGCGGATGAGGTGAGACGAGACGTGGTGTTTTGGGATGATGGAGGTTGTGGGAGAGAAGTGCAATGTCCGGAGTTGAGCCAAGGCCAAAGACGTCAGAAAGTCGAACACAATTTTCCGGTTGTCGGCGCCGAGTTGGAGGGCCGATTTGACCAAGATAAGGCTCTTATGAGTTTTCTGAACCCGTTCCGTGTTCCATGTTCCATCCCGCCAGGCAGCGCGATCCATTTCTGGCACCAGGCTGTTTTAGAGTTCCCGCCCACCCTTTGGAGCAGCAGCTCTGGGGCTACCTGGGCTAGCACACATGCGACCGCAATCACCCTTGAGACAACTTCGATAATCGGGTAGAACTGGCCGATGGATTTGCACATGGCGGCGGTGACGTGTCGAAGTCTGGGGCCGGCGGAGCCTCGTAGGGCGGCACGAGAGCAGGGAAAAAGTCCCCGACCCGGGGGCTAATCTGCGAATCGACGGCGCGTATTCCATTGAAGCGTGGCTTGCGCGTGCATGATCCTGCCCAAGCATCCATATTCCACATTGTGGGAGCCCACGATGCTGTGATTTGAGCGAGTTTGTGTTGTGTGATGAGAGATGGATTCCCTGACACGACATACAGCATCGAGTGCGATGGACGCGTGCGGGGCAAGACGGAAGTGACTGGGAAGGAGCATGGGCCGCTCCTGCCGCAGAGGCCATTCGCCTTCGTAGCACGGAGCATCACGACGACCAACGCCGGATGCCTCAGATGTCGAATGTTGGCTCGAGCCTTCTGACCCCGAAATCTTCCGCCATGCCCGTTTCACTCTGGCAATAGGACGGCACGGATTCACCAACGCATTTGCCGGCCAAACGTTACGTGGCACACTCCCAGTCCTCGACCCCGCCCATATGGGCCTGGGCCATGGCCATCCGTGACACCTGGACAAAAGAGTCGCGATGTGGAATTCATCGCCTCCAAGGTGCTGCGTGACTAAACTCCAACTCACAGAGACGTTGATGCTCCACGCAAGCCATGCCATTGAAACCCGTACATTGCCTCGAAATTGAGGTACAACCAACCAGAGCCGACGTAAAAGCGCAAACGAGAGACCTAGCCGAAGCGGGAACCATGTACGCTGAATGGTATCCGCATGAATAGAAGCAGGAGAGGCACTCAAGGGTCATCGAAAAGCAATGGTGCTAGGCTATTTGGTTCGTGCAGCCATCCAGCACTGATGCTGAGCCGTACGTGGACAGTCGAATCACGCCCGGCGAGGTGTGCAACCGTCTCCCTCACGAACCCGGCTCGAATTTTGTCTGGAGGAACTGACCGTGACTCTGATCATCTCACCACAATGCTGTATCGTCCGGAAAGCTATAAATCGCGCCGTTCTTCTCCAGGAAAAAACGCCCAACTGTAGTTCGTCGTCGAGCGTATCCATCGACAACGACAACATCCGGGCACGGTCATATTTGCAGCCAAAAAAAAAAAAAAAAGCCTCGACTCAAGAAATCCAGTTCTCTTTTTCTTTGCCAACATGTGTTTCGAAGGCTACCACACCTACTCATGCCCTTATTGTCCCACTGTGGTCAAGACCACCCCTGTGAGACACAGTCCTCCATGTGACCAGTTTTCTAAGACGGGAAGAGTTTGTCCTGCGGGCTTTTTGGAGATGCTGATCAAGGATTGGAAAGTCAAGTGCCCTCAGTGTTGTGCGAAATCCACGACGAATCTGAAAGCCAGATATAGTTGAATCTGCGCGATATGGGGAAAATGAACAGTGGCGGCATCGCCGCTGACCAAGTCGTGCTGTCGCTGACCATTTCTCCCCCTACTGATTGAGCCGAGATAATTCATTGGGAACAGCATGTTTTTCTCATACCGCGGTGGTGCTCTCCGGAACAAGTATAAATCTCGCGTGGTTTCCGTTTCCGCTAGTCTCGTCAACTCGTCAACTCGTCAACTCGACATCCTCCAAGCAGGAGTCAAAGCCGCTGCGTTCTGATTTCAACCACCCACAACGACTACCCCTTCATTGCTCGCCCAAAGACTCCTGATCCATGTGCTTCAGCTCCATTGCCGTAGTCACCTGCGCATGCGGGGCGACTCGAGAAAAGCACTACAAGGATATACCTGAGTGCCCGGAGTACTGGCGGACAGGCCGTGTATGCCGAGGAGGGTATAGGCAGAGGCGCCAGACGGCCCTCGATGAACGAGAGGTTTGCGTGAGATGTAGACGGCTAGGGGACAGGAAAAGGAAGAACCCAACCAATGTTCATCACTTTGAGATCATGTGACTCAACGCCTACATTCACGCGGTTGTTTAAAGGGATGCTTCAGAGTGCGCAGTCAAATTGGATAGATAAATCAATACGCTTTACATGAAGTATAATCCTCTCGCCCTCTATGACAAGTCCATTTCCGTTTCCTTTGCCGCGGCACCAGTGGCCGGCGAAGGCGACAGCCCAAGAACATGCGTCAGGTACTCGACAACGTCATCCATGCCGGCAGGTGAATTAAACCAATGCCCTCCGTCGGGATACTCTCTCGAATGAACCCGAGCTCCGAAGCCACGCAAGGTATCTCCCAAAACTCGCCCGTTCTCCACCGACACCAACGGGTCATCTACGCAGTGTTCCAACAAGACGGGCGTCTTTCTTATGACCTCGTTGTCCTCTGGGTCTGGGCCATTCTTCAAGCTCAACACGGCCCTCGTTTCCTTGAGCGTCCGCCCGGGAAACGGCATCCTGCACGAAAACCCAAGAAACGCCGCCAGCCCGCCGGATAACTTGGTGCCGTCGTCCGCCGCTTCAGGCATCTTCAAGTTGAGGAGAGCATGCGTCGCCGTAGCCGCGCCCTGGCTGATACCGGCCAAGATGATCTTATCCCAGTGTCCGCCCAGGATGCCCGCCTCAATATTGAGCACCTTTCGAATCATGTCTGTGCTCTCCCTTAGCCCCAGTATTTGCACCTCCTCCCGTTCCGAGAAGTCGCGCACATCCCAAATGTCGAACCACTGCGAGACCTTGTTGCCGCCAAATGAGAAGGAGGCGCTGACGCCGGCCTTGGGAAACACCCATCTGAAGGAGGGGAATGCTTCCTCGAGTGACTGGCTTCTGGAGTTCTTGGAGCACCTCAACGAGGCGACGAAGTTTTCGGCTACATCCCCCCGGCCGTGGAGGAAGATGACGGTATGGGTGTGATTTGTGGTGGCAGAGACTATGACGGGCATGGAAGCCATGGTGCCTTGATGAGTGCACGGGATGGGTGAGTTGCCATTGATGAGACGTGATTGGATAACGGGACCCCTCAAGAATGAGCAGGAGATGGAACTAATGGAATATTCTAGGAGTAACGTTGGAAGGGAATTCAAACATCTTGGCCGACAGACGTGGTGTTGCAATCGGCGGGGCCGCGCCGACTTCCGTGACCAACGAGATGGAAAGAATCGAGTTGCTGGCCATGCGCCTGGCCCATTGTGCACAATTCACGCATGTTAATATTGGGTGGACTGTGGAGGAGCTGAGGGTGTTGAGGACAGCCATGCGGTCGAGCTGGACTTGCGCTGCCACTATGCTGTGATAAATTGAAGAGGAATGCAGACAACGCGATTGACTATTCATGAGTCACAAGACACTTGTTCGTGCTCGCTATTCATATTCGCCAGCTGTCGACGAACAGCGTGGTGGTTTTGTAGAAAATTGGTCAGAGAAAAATGTCAAAAAAGCAAAAATAATATAAAAAAATACCAAACCAACACATTTATTCAAGGGTCAGGTTAACAAACAGCCCGTTTATGTTGTCAAGCCCTTTTCGTGGCCGGAGCTGGTAAGGGCCAGGGTTAGGGTTGGCTATGGGACACTTCTATCATGCTGTGTGCAATATCCGGGAATATTGACACTAGTGCGCCTAGACAATACCAAATCGGGATCGAGCCACCATCTCGTATCGGTGAACAAGGCGCGGAACAGAAAAGCTGAGCATACAACTATGCCCCGAAGATCCTCTTCGTACTTTGTTTTGCGGAAATTTTGCACCAGCAGCGCCTGCAGTACTTCTTATACGAGGCCTCATTCACGCCTCTCTCGCTGTCTTTGCTTGCAGTCTCTTCATACGCGGTTGCGGGCTATAGAGAGGCTGTTAAGACTGATTCCGAGTGTCGCGTTGAAACTGACAGTATAGGTAGGGGCACGCCAGGGCAACCGACGGTAGAGAAGAAGAAAAGCACATTCAGTGCCGTGTGGACCTGACCGTTGGACGACGGTATCAGCGAGCGAGCGAAAAGCCATCCGAAGCAGGCCATGCCGTAGAGTTTTGAATTGAATCATTGTTAGCTATCAAAACGCTGTCTCCTGGGCCTTGAGGTATCTCTCCCACGGTGTCTCGTACACGCCGGTAGTCCTCGCCTTGACAAATTCGTCCGAGTCGAAAAATCTGCACATGCTCATCCAGTCCAGATCCCACATGTCGTTCAGATGCGTCAAATTATTCCAGGAGCCCCAGAATCTGTTCCACATCTTGGCGTGTAGAATCCTTATCGGCGGCGCCTCTGTCGAGTCTGCAGCTTTGGCGAGGTGTTCCTGGTAGTATTCAGGAACTGCATTCCAAATTGACGGCAGGCGATTGACGGGGAAAGGACCGTCGGCCGCAAACGCAGTTTTCGAACTCAGCACCCCCTGCTCCATGTAGCGCACATCATAGTCCTCGGTGCGTCTGGCTGCCCTGAGGAGCTTGGCATGCATGTCAAGATTCGGTTTCAAGACAAACATGCCGGCATTGATATTATCAATGGTAAACTGTGGCACACCCGCGTAGACATAGTTGCACATGTCGTCCCCACCCTTGTCTACGACAGCCTTGTCTTCTGGAAGCAGTGCTTCTTTCCTACACTGCTGCTCTGGAACCAGATCAAAGATGTCGTCTATGTTCCTGACAGGAAAGGCATCCGAGTCGAGGAACACAAGTCGCTTCCATTCAATTTCCTTCCACAGATTCAGCTTTGATAGCACATCAATCCATCGCTTGGTCGAGATCTTTTCGTCAGGGATGATGTTGTCAAGCAGCTCAATTTCCTTCACTATAGCGCCTTGTCCTCTGAAAATATCGCGGTTTCTCTTGGGAATAAAAGGACAGACAAAGATGACAACGGGATACTTTGAGCGGTAATCAGACCATAACAGCCGCCAGATAATAGACTGCGTAGATTCGAAGTACGGGCCGCGCGTATCGGGGTCGCGACTGCAATACAAGGTTGCGAAGGCGAATTTGGAGGGCTGATTGGCATTATGCGGTGGGTATCTAGACAAAGTCGCAAAGTCGCGCCGCGGAACTGGATCGTGGGGGAAGGCTAAGCCGGCATCGTCTGAAGCCAACAGCGCGTGCTCGGTGCCTGTTGAGGTCGTGGATAACGACGCATTCGAATATAGGAGATATGTGGCGAGGACGAGGCAGAACGCAACAGCTGCGGCAATCCTCGGTCGAGGAGCTCGAGTCAATATCATCGGAATACGGAGCGCTTGTTGGTGGCTCTCTCAACCGTGCCTGAAGCGTCTCGATCTTTTTTGAATGGATTGTGTAGTTGAGTCGGAGTGGTCATTGTTGCCAGCCAGACGTCGGACATGTCGAAGATGTTTTCGCTCTCCACCAGTGGGCCCAATGTCCCAAGATTGACAGGCAGCACAGGATGATAATTTCCTGGACGATGGCTGACTGCTTTGGGCATGTTGTGCGATCTGAACTGGGCTCCGTCCCGGCTGGGGGTGATGAGGATTGTCGGACCAAACAGACAGACTAGTAGTAGTTACTCCGTAGGACGTAGCTGTTCGGTGCGGAGGAGCTACTCCGGAAGAAATTGTCTCGAGACGCGCCAATGGGCGTTCTGCCGTCTACGAAGGTGGCTTGGAGGAGTCGGCAGGGGCTGGGGAGGCTGGCAGGGGCTGGCAGGGGACCGCGGCCAACAATCGACATTTTCCAGTTGACATGTGAACGGACAACGGGTCCGTCGGAGCAAGAGCAAGGGCAAGGGCAAGAGCAAGAGCAGGAGCAGGAGCAGGAGCAGATGGCACCCAAGCTTAAATGCCTGATGCCCTGGTACCAGTTGACCTCGTTTCTCTCCACCACACCACCAGAGCCGTCCTCAGTTGAGGTCATGTTGGGCCTGGCCGCAGGAAATGTCGGCTCCATCTTCACCTAGCCCTCTCGACAGCGGCACATTGGGCCGAGCCGCCATGCTCAATGTCGACGACCTCGAAGCCAAAAACGCCGACTTGTCTGCGTGGCAGCCACCCCACGGCTCCGGGCTGTCCAACTTCAAGCCATGGTTATGGCTGTATACATGGACCAGGACGAGACGTCGGCCCAAGAGCCAGCATCAGCTTCAAACCGCCTACCTTGACGGCTTGCGAGGCTTTGCCGCTCTCATCGTGTATTGGCACCACCACGTGCTGTGGGCTCACAAGGAAGAGACCGAGATATTCGAGAACGGATTTGGCTACAATAACCAGTACTACTTTGCAGCTCTGCCCGGCATCCGGCTGTTCTTTTCTGGGGGGCACTTGGCTGTGTCTATATTCTTTGTCCTATCCGGGTACGTCCTGGCTATAAAGCCTTTGCGACTTATCGAAAAGAATGATGCCTCTGCCTTGGCGGAACACCTTGGGTCGGCAATATTCAGGCGCTGGCTACGCCTGTTTCTTCCCGTTGCGGCCGTCACCTTGGTATACACAGCCTCGTGGCATTTCTTCGGCCTCTGGGTGGACGGTGCAAAGCCCCATGATGGCTGGTTGCACGAGATATGGGGCTTCTACTGCGAGTTCAAAAACTTCAGCTTCCCCTTCAAGGACGGCGGTGTGCCCTGGCTATCCTATAATGTACACCTCTGGTCAATCCCAGTTGAATTCAAGGGATCCATGGTTGTCTTTGCATCCCTTTTAGCCATTTCACGATGCTCTCTCAATGCCCGCCTCTGGTGCCAGGTCTCCCTCATCGTCTACTTTATGTACATTGCTGATGGGTGGTATTGCGCAATGTTCGTTGCAGGCATGCTGCTAAGCCATCTAGATCTGCTCGCCGAGGTAGACAAGGACGGCCTCCCGTGCTTTCTTACTCGATTGGCCCCCTATAGGAAGATTATCTGCCACCATTTCCTCGCACTGGGCATATATCTAGGTGGCGTCCCCAGCGCAAACCGCGATTTGAATCAGCTTGCCCATACTCGCGGCTGGTACCTCCTTTCATATCTGAAGCCGCAAGCTGTCTTTGATTACAAGTGGTTCTATCTGTTCTGGGCCGCAGTTCTACTAATCACTTCGGTTTCAAACATTGGCTGGCTGAAGCGATTTTTCGAAACCAATGCCTGTCAGTACCTGGGGCGCGTGTCCTACGCGCTCTACTTGGTTCATGGACCGGTGTTATGGATCTTTGGGGATCGTCTATATACCGCCGTCGGCTTCAAAGGCCAGAGCCAAATCGAACATATCCCTCAATGGGTGGATAGATTTGAGTTGCCACAGACAGGGCCATTTGGCCTTGAATTTGCATTCCTCTTGCCACACGTCGTCTTACTGCCGTTGACCTTGTGTATGGCAGACTTTGTGACGCGGGTGGTTGATAGGCCAAGCGTCCAATTTGCAGCCTGGATTTATAGGAAGACACTGCCTGCCCAGGGCGTTGCAGGAAAGCACGCAAATGCCTAGGATCCCCGAACTGTGCAAATGTTCCGATTTTCAAGGTCTACGACGACGGTGCTGAAGTGTATGATGGAGTACAGAAAGAGAAGCCGCAGCTCCTGAAACGTTACCCCGACGATGGGCCACCGGCGTCTGCAGACTTCTCCTACGGCCCGCTTGGAAGCTCTTTTCAACCCGTTCTTGTTTATGGCGCTTTTCGGTGAGTGGCCAACACGGCAGCACCACAAACTGACGCCTCCATGTCGTATGGCGTAACCGACTGCACAACCGTCTTTCATGGATAGAGGAGTACCATGTGATTCTGTCGCGCATCAGCTTAAGACGTGGCACACACGAGGCTGTCCGGCGAAAGCGCCGAGTAGCTGTGGCGGGAATGACGTGCTATTGATGCAGAAGTGTCAGGACTTGGGATACCTGTTGGTGGACTTGCGATTTGCACAGTCACTTAAAAGCGGTATGCTTAGACGCCACATTTCAGATCCGCATGTCTTTGAAACATGACCCGTATTTCGTGCCTAACAGCTCTACATGAGTATTACCTTCATCATCTAAGAAAGAGATACAAGCAATTATTTCATGTGCCTCTTTGACCAACGGGCTACACGAGACATGTCTTGCTGTTACTATCCAAAATGGCAGAAGCTGTAGCCAAGCCGGCGCCATCGACGTTCTGATATCCAAGAGGGGCAGCTTTCTATAGTCCACGCGCGTTGACTTGATCGACATCATCCACAAGTCCCCGGTCCTTCCATTCTTCAACATCGGCCTCTGTAAAGTCGGGAAGCGATTCGGATTCCTTGGCCTGTTCAGGACAGGCATCGAAGCCTTTGGCGTAATTGACACTGGAATGGTCTCTAACATAGAAGACGTTGGGAAAGAAGCGCCCTGAGCACGATGTATTTTGCACGCCCACGCAAATATTGACATTCTTGGGCTCCTCAACCCTCTTGGGGAACCAATACTCGGGCGTGGTGTGGGCGTACCCAGCAAATATGCCGATGACCGCAGTGACAGGGTCGTGGCCGTTGGTCACGCGCGTCGTCGTGCCGTTCTCCTGGCCGGAAATGAATGCCGCAAAGGCCGGATCGCCGACCCGAGGGGAGCCATAGGTATACACATCGGCGGGAATGCCGCTCTTGCGAAGATACCCGGCGGCAATGGAAGCCACTGCTCCCCCCAGGGAGTGGCCCGTGACCTTGACCTGATAGCCGGGGTGTCTGCGGAGTTGTTCCTGAATCGTCTCCTTCAGGGCGTCCTTGATGCCGCGGAAGGCGTCCCAGAATCCCGCGTGAACCCGGCAGGGCTCGCAGAGAGGGAGAACCGGGTCAGTGTCCCCGGGCAATGCGCTGCAGAGTCCGTCATTAGCCGACATGAAGTGACAAGAGGTGGATGCCACGGAAGTCGTTCTTACAGGGGCGGAACTGCGCCAACGGCCTGGGAAGCCATTGCCCTCTCTGCAAGGGATTTCTTCGGGTCCTTGAGCCTCACCTGGAGGTCTTTGAATATGTCACTGATACTCGCGGTGCCCCGGAAGCCCGCTATAATCTCCCTCTCCGCACGGCTCACGGCAACGTAGCCGGCGATGCTGTCGTTGGCGTGGAACTGATGGACAGTCACGGCACCCGCGAGCTGACCACAGTACCCGGGCGTTCGATTGACGCACACCAGGTTGTTGACAGAGTCGTCATTTAGTTTCCTGCAGTAAGCTGCCGCCGCGTAGTAAGAATACTTGTCGATAATCGCGAGGGTTTTGCCGTCGGTGGGCCAAGGAGCAACAGGAGCGACGGGAGTAGGGGCCGAGAGGACCGGTGCTGCCGAGACGAGAGCGAGCAGGCATATGCTTGTAGACTTTGACGCCCGTGGGAGACGCATGCTGGAGGGCGGAGGGTGTGTGATGGTCTCTCGCCGTGGGGGATGTGTATTATTTCACAAGTGTGCCCGGGATGCCGACAGATGCTGCTCGACGCGAATGAATCGTCCTCTGCTCTCGCATCCCGAACACCGCCGTGTGAATGGTATTTGTAACGTTCTCGAGGCCATCCCTCTCCCCCTGTGACCAATCTACAGGGGAAAATTCCCTCCCGGATGACGGCGGTGGGCCAATGTCTTGGAGTCGCAAATCGGCGGCCCGTGGATGCTGAGGCAGCCCGCACGCTGCTGCAATGTATGTTGACTCTTGCGCAACTCGGGACAGGAGATGAATCGGCTGGCAGCAAGCCAATTGACACGATGGGCCGGTGATGGGTTGATGCCTCGAAAGCCGCAACTTGACTCCCGCTCCCCTCGATACGTGACGAACGCCTGTTCCTCGCCGGGCGTTCTACCGGCTCGCTGTCTGCGGACCCATCGTCGAGTCAGTCGGTGCCCGGACGGTATCTGCGCGGCTTATACGCAGAATTCGGGTTCCTCGACAAAGTGACATATGATGGGGAGACTTCGTCCAGCCGGTTGAAGCGAGACATTCATGCCCGATGGCGGAACCCCCGAACCAATGGCAACTTTGGCGCTTGCAGCAGCGTCAGCACCGCGCATGTATTGCCGGACATTGCGAGGGGAAAGAATGGACGGAAAGAAAGAGACATGGAGCGCGATTTCTGGTGTCAGAATGCAACTGTCGGTGTCTGCTGCTCTCCTCCGCCTGCGAGGTCAGTGTGCATACGGAGAGACTCCGCGAGCGAGGGTTACTCGGGCATCAAGCGTATGCGTGTTTTACAGTTGAGCTCTTTTTGTTGGGCTTCCACGTTGTGCAACGGCTGCGGTGGGTGTTGTCTGTCTCTGGCCATGAGCATCGCGTAGTTGAACTTGGAGCCTGGAGCCTTCGTTTCGTAGACTCGCCATGCCCGTACGGCGGCGTTTTGAGACTTCTTCTCGTCTGACGTCGGCACGAGAGGGACAAGGCCATGTCAGGGGAAAGCAAAATAGGTCCTGCTATCGGCTGCATAGAAGGCATTTGAGGACTCCCAGTCATCGCCGGGCTTGCAAAAACGCGGACCAGCCAAGGTCAAAGATATGGAAAAGGCATGGCCGTCGCCGAGTCGCACGTCAGCGGTGAGACCGACAATGTCGTTGACAGGCCGGGTACCAACCGCTGGGAAGAAATGTATTATCATACACTAGTAATGTACAAAAGCTTGCCACAGAAGGAGCGTCACGTTTGGCCGTTCTTTGCCTCACCAATCTCTTGTGCTATGCACTTAATGCAGGCTTCCTCCTCTTGTCTCATGTCACCTCAGCATATATGACAGGTCGGGCACTGCAGCCAGAATAGCGGCCACTCTCTCGCCATCCTGGGAATTACGAGGCCCGGGTTCGATGCCCTCTGGTCTTGAAGGAGTGGGACTCGAAGGCTGCTCCGGTGTGCAAATGACCTCGTCCTGTGTAGGTTGTCCAGGAAGGGCTGGCGAGGAGGCGTTTTCAGGTGCTGTTTTCAACGCTGCCGCTTCTTCCTCTGTCGATGGCACGTGCTGCAAAGCATGTCTCCGCGAATTATTGCCGCCACAGACCTCCGAGCCTCCCCAAGGGTCCAGTTCCTCTGTCGAAGCATTGAAAGCATAGGTCGGTTCATTGGATTCATTAGCCTTCGAAATCAGCCGCTCTGAGTCAGGCTTTGGAGTTGGGGGACTTGCTGCCTCGCTGAGAGTCATTGCATCGAACTCGACAGTAGACTCCAGAGTTGGGGACGATACCATGTCCCCCCAGTCTTCATCTTCGTCCTGTGACGCAGCTATTGGCCCCAGTTCAGCAGGTATAGACTGGTCTGCTGATAGTTTTGAACTTTGGCGAGATTCAAGCACCCTGGCAGATACACTCTGTTTGTCCAGCTCGTCTCTCTCTGTCGTCTCGGCGACACGAGGCGACTTTGCATGCCACTCAGAAGAAGTCCTCTCCGTCGCCGGGGACGTTGGGATACTGCTGCTCCATCCAAACGATGCAGTTGTAGGTGATGTGACCGTCCCTTCTCGGGTAGCCGAAGCCTTTGGGACACGTCCTTTCGGCTTCTGCTTCTCCCTCGCCAACAGCTCACCGATCTCGATGGGCGGCGCTTTAGAGTCCCAATTGAACATGCTGCTGCCCCCGTTGCCTAGCCTTCGTCCCAGTACGATTCTCCCCCCAATGCTGTCCTCCTCCATCCATCGGCGGACCGTGGTCAATGTGTCTTTGCGAATGGTTGAATCCTTCCAACCCACTCTGACATAGTTGTCATCATTACCGTAGTTGTATTTCCTCGCGGAGCCAAACCGGGATATGCGATACCAGGCCTTCCGCTGTGACACGGAGGTGAAGCACTCTTGCATCACGGGCTCGGGGAGCTCTTCAGGGATGGCGGTGACGGCTTGCGTGTTGGGAAACAGCACATTGAGACTTGAAAAGTCGACGGGGTACGAAACTGGTGATGCCCTTGGGTTGTGCGTCAAGCTCTTATTTTCAATTGAACGAGCCGTACTGCCATTCGTTGTCTCCTGGTTCGGATTTGCACCTTCCTCCTCCTCGACAAGAGCCATTTCGCTTGGAACTCTGCCATCGGTAGACTCGGATATGGCTTGTAGTTGGGGAACTGACTCCTCAGCCCTCTTATTCAGATGAGCGGTCCTTTCTTGTATGAATTCGCAATCATTCACTTCTGGGAGCGTTTCTTCCTCGTTTGTTGCCGCCCTCTCCGTGCTCGACACCCCCACACTCGACGTCTTCGCCATACCATCGTACCTTTCAACCAACTCTTGCACTTTGGATACCGGCTTTCGGCAAAGCGATCTCGCAGGCTCCGTGTCTGTAGAACGACTCCGCTCCGCAGCACCTTTCTGCTGTGGTTCGACATGTCTCTCCCAGATACTGCTCTCCTCAATCTGCGCTGTCAAGCCATCACGCCCGTCCGCTCGTCCATCATTTCCCACGCAGATGGCGGAGCCAGATGTCTTTGCCACTTCTCCCTCTTCACTCACCGCCAGAGCCCATGGATCTGGCGCTACACCCGCACTGCTCTCTAGCGGCTTCAAATTCGGACTGCTCGCCCAACCTGGGCTGAGTTTGCCGGTCGCCGGCACACTCCACCCTCCCCAGTCATCCACACCGATGTCTATACTCCGGCGCCATGGAGAGAGAGACGGGGACGTCTTGCGGGGTGAATTGCCGTAATGCGCTCGCGGAGGCTCGGAAGGCAGATCGATTGTTGGAGGTGCCGGAGCGTCCGTGACCCAAGGGGAACTCCAGGGATCCTCCATGGTGACGCTATGAGCAAACTGGAAGCATTGCCCTGAATTCGTCGGAACAGCTCAGATTGTTATCTAGTTGCTCGAAAAATCATGTCGATTCGGCGGCGAAACGGGAGACACAAGGTGGAGAGAGCAGCGCAACTCGCGTCAACGTCTTGGTCGTCCAAGATTCGTTGTCGGCGGGACGACAAAAAATCGCAGCCGGAAAGCTACCGACCCGCGCAAGCAGGAAAGCCTCGATGGCTATGGTGAAGCCATCATCTCTGGGCTGGGATGGGGAGACTTGACTGCGTCGTGACCGGCCTCGTGTGCAGGGTTGCAGTAGTACATGAGGCGGTCATGTAGTTACTCTGTCGGAGTACGGACATAGATAATAGGTTAGTTATGCAGGGGTCACATGGCGCTGCCCCACACATCCATCACACGGGACGGGCGGGTGCACCATGAAAATTTGTCAATTGATTGGACCAACTCAACACCAACAAAGAAACGAACCTCAACCTCAGGACTGACTCTCTCGGTCCATCCATCGTCAAATCTTGTGCAACAGTGCGTCGGCACAGGAGCGACAGGACAATATCTACAAGTCAGATCCACTCGACTGAGTCGACTCGCGAGCGTCATGATATCTTGATAATACACAATTCTGTTTCTGCAACTCCAGTTCCCGCCGCCATGGTGCCCAGACCCCTCCCTTACAACGGCAACTATGCGTCGCCCGATGAATACGTCTCCCATCTCCTCCACTTTGTCAACACTACTGAGCTTTTCCAAATCCTCTGCGGCGGTACTCACATCCTCGACTTCTTCACCTCGTCGCCTGGTCTCTTTCACACTGTCATACCCAAGACGTGGCGACCGTTTCTCTTGCAATGCGATGTTATGCGCCTCCTCGACATCTTGATGAGAGATGATCTCGAAAATCTCCAACTAGCTGGTCTGCCGGAAATGCCGGACAGCTTGCTTCAGTACATCAAATCCATCAGGCATCTTTCACTCGACAGAGAATTTACTCCCCCGTCACACGATTTGCCCGTTCTGCCGCAAATCGTTAAAGTAGGCATGAAGCCCAAAAAGATTCATGAAGTCGCAAATTTTGCCGACTACGTGGATCGCCTGTCCAAGAATATTGCTACTTCAAAGGCGAACCGAATAAGTCACTTTGTAGACTTTGGCAGTGGCCAGAACTATCTTGGCCGCGCTCTGGCCAGCGAGCCTTACAACAGACGAGTCGTTGCGGTAGAGGGTCGCGAGAACAATGTCACTGCGGCAAGAGGCCTCGACATATCCTCTGGCCTGGCAACCAAAGAAAAGGTCATGAGGAATAAGAGACTGTGGAACAAGATTCTTGAAGCGGCCGGGCCACACCCACATAAAAGTCCAGACGTGTTCAAACAAGTTGCCGGCACAGAAGCATTCGACTTTAGACCCCGGGAGCAATTAAAGTCGGAGTGCATAGTGGAGCACGGCAAAGGCCATGTACAATACGTTTCTGGGCGTCTGGATAGCGGCGACCTGTCGGAAGTCATTGCCAAGATTGACAAGACCTCTGCTGCGGCGGAAAAGCGCAAGCTAATGGCCATCTCCATCCATTCCTGTGGCAACCTCTCCCACTTCGCCATTAGGTCACTCATCCTCAATCCCGATGTTCGCGCCATTGCCATTGTAGGATGCTGCTACAATCTCATGACCGAAAGACTCGGCCCGCCGACCTACAAACACGCCTATTTGCGTCCAACCCTTCAGGCGCTCAATGGCCGCGTCGGCCGAGAATCTTCAAAATTCGACCCCCAGGGCTTCCCCATGTCCCAAAAATTCTGCACTTACGACGACGACGGAATTCGACTCAATGTCACTGCTCGGATGATGGCTTGTCAAGCCCCCAAGAACTGGGACCGCTTGGACAGTGAGGCTTTTTTTTCGCGACACTTTTTCCGAGCCGTTCTCCAAAAGATCTTTTTGGACAGGGGCGTCGTCAAACAAATATGTCACGTTCCGGAAAATGCAGATGGACAAGCGTTCAGAAATCCCGGACCATTCGACGTGGGCACACAACCCGTTACCATCGGGGGTTTGCGAAAGAGCTGCTACTCTTCGTTGAGAGCCTACGTCCGGGGAACAATTGAGAAGTTGACTACCAGCAAGGAATACAGGCAGTACACAGACGTGATGAATGAGAAGATGGCCGATATTACGGACGGGGAGATTGACGAGTATGAAGCTGAGTATTTGCCGAGGAAAAAGGAGCTGTGTGTGATTTGGAGTCTGATGGCATTTAGTGCCATGGTCGTGGAGTCGATGATTGTGGTAGACAGGTGGATGTTTCTGAAAGAACAAGTCGAAGTCGGCGACGCGTGGGTTGAGACGGTGTTTGATTATGGGATGAGTCCGCGGAATTTGGTCGTGGTTGGAGTCAAAAAGGATGACCACGCGAACAGCACATGACTGACGACTAAGTTATGACAAGACGACCAATCATCTTCCAACCAGGGTTCCTCGCACCCATGTTGTGTGCAACACTCGACGTGGACATGAATGGTCAGTTCACAATGCAGGAGAGCGACGCCAAATTAGAGAAGCCAAGGTCTCACAATTTGAAAATTCAAAAGACTAACACCAATTGACAGGTCAAGATTTTTCCTTCCTGAAGCCATCAGCTAGTGGCACGCCAAGAGGCGCTTTGAGATACAGAGGACTCCGTAGACAGCATGCATCCCGTTGAGTTCGTATTCACCAAACACCAAGTCGGAACGTTCTGCAGCTCATCTTCAGCCTGTGGAGACCTCAAAGACAAGTTCACGTCCCAAGGGTCTGTCTGCCACTCTTGTGTTGGGGCTCTGCATCTGCGTTATCTGCCATTCTGCGCCGGCCCTCGGATCCAACATTCACGAGGCTCTGCGCTGCACCTTGCGTCAACACCACTCTGTCAATTTTGCCTCCCTTCTCGGGCGCGTCGCTGCATCGGCCGACTGTCCCAGCCAGCAACATCTTTGTCCTACCTTGTCATTGTAGTCCAAGGCCCAGCGGGTAGGATCGCACTCATTCGACGCCATGGCACAAACGGGGCAGACGTGGCTCATTGTCCACGCCGGACTGACGGGCTTCGTCGTCATACCCGCCATCGTCGTGTGGCTCCTGACGTTGGGCCTTGCGAGAAGCCAAGGGGATCCGGCCCGCGTGGCATTTAGCTGGCTGAAGGCTTGTCATCCCTTCTTTGCGCTGTGAGTCTCCCCCACGGTACCGCAGCTTGAGACGACTTCACTGACGTGCCTCAGCTCTCTGATGCTCACCATCACCTCCGACGTTGCTGGCGTCGTTCGCCTATCATGGGAATACGAAAACGGTTCTTTCGATCAGGTAGCCCACACAACATCCGACATCGACCGCCTTGACCAGACCGACCGGTACGCCAACCAAATTGCCATTTTTTTCGAACGCATCGTCAATGCCCTGCTTGTCATTGTACTCGCCGAGTTGGGCAGTGGATTCCGCCGCGCGCAAATCAAGAAACCCGCTCCTGGCCGAAACGTCATCCGCACCGCTGCGTTTAGTGGCGCCTTGGTGATTTTCGCTGTTTCCGTGACATGTTTTGCTTTGTCGCTTGCCGCACTCCTTGAGTTTACGCAGTCAAACTCGACGTCGGATCTTACTGCTGTGGCGGACGCGTGGGACAAGGATAGATGGTTGAGGGCCGCTGGTGACATGATTAATTTTGCCATTTCGGTTGGCCAGGTTATTTACGCCGGATATGTGGTTGGCCAATATGCCGGGCTACCAGGAAGAAACGTATGTTGGAGGATCAATCATCGTGTTTCGCTGACGAGAACTTGCTAACAACTCCAGTCTGCCATCTTTTACCTTGTTTCCACGATTCTCGACGCCATCCGCTGGCTTGTCAGTATTGTACTCCTCGGAAAGTGGATTCTCCCCCAAGAGGAACTTCCCGTCGCTTGGGATATCATCGATCCCGTCCTTGTTCTTTGGCTTCGCCTCATCATCTTGGTGTTGCTCCTTGTAATTGGAAACCGTAGGCAAGCGGGTCTCTGGAGCACGATTCAACCCTGGATGCAGGACCGACGGGCGGACCATCTTCGACATTCTGTGCTTTCGCATGGGCAAGTGCCTTCTACTCAGCCCATACACTACCAGTATCCCCCTCAGCCGCAGGAAAATCCAGGATGGCGATTCCCACAGCCAAATCCGACCCCCGCTGGTGCGTGGGATCCTTACGAGATGGCGTCGCCGTACCAGGTTGCGGGACCAGAGGAGCTAGATTCAAGACAGATGCAACAGTCTTTGTACTATACAAGCCCATGTCACGTCCCCGTCGAAGCTTCTGCGGAGAAGGCGTAGGAAGTAGTGGGAAGCTGATACCATGAAGGAGCGAGGAAGAAGCAAGAGGGGACAGTGGGCTTGGTACTGGTCATTTGGTTTTGAAGTAGGACAGTCCAAATCATCGATTGACTCTCTTACACACGTTTACTTGCAACTTCGTACAGAATGGTCTGACCGTCTATGCCAATAGCCCGTCCTGACCGAGTATTCCAGATTGCAACGCGCGACGAACGGAGGTGTAGTGTACGATACCCCAGTTATGAGCGACTACCAAAGATAGCCGAATGTCAACGCCCGCACCCCGAAAACTCAATTTCCTCCGGACGTCCAGATGTCCTCCAAGTTCCCGTCCCGCAGCGGGGAACACGGAGCAACCAAGACATCCTAATGGTGACCCTAACCCTGTAACCCTAGTCATTGCGCGTGTATCCGTGAAGAAGAGGGGAGCCGCACTGGGATCTACGGTTGCACCTTCCATCCCCCGTCTCACCACGCAAAAACGTCCATCAAAACCGCGCGCTCATCGCATCCAGCCTCCCTTCAACCACGGCCAAAATGACCAAAGCGCTCCAATTGACCTCGGCCGGATGGCTTCTCATTTCGTTGGGACACACGGTACGTCCAGCGCCAGCGCCGGCGCCGGCACCATCGAACGCATCCGCTGCAAGGGGCGCGATGCCAAGCAAGCCCCAATTCCTCCGTACTCAAGTAATAACACGCTCGGCAGGCGTCCGCCAAAGACTGGCAGGAAAACGCAAAATTCCAGACCCTCCCGCGCATCGCGTATGCCTGCGCGAAAGCAGGCTGGTACCAGGGAAGCGGCTTCTTCATCATGAACGGTACGGCTCGCCGCCCCCTCCGCGAAGGCATCAAATGCGATAGCGCATTGGGCCGTGAAAACCTCGGCGCCGCCCGCTTGCTGACGACGTCCCAGCTCTCATCAACTATGCCTGGTCCAGGAACCCGGGGCTCCTGCGGGACCCCGTCCACAAGGCCATCGCCGGGGTCATGATGGCCATCATGTGGGTGAGTGGTTGGTGGTATATCAAGAATGGCGTTGCGGGCAATGCCGTTGCTGTTGGGGTCATCGGTGCCCTGCAGGGATATTCCGCCTTTTCCGTATGATTGCGAAGCGCTGGCGCATGTCGCCTGCGCGGTCGCCAATGGACCGTGTCTGGTATGATACTATGCTCCTGTGTATTAATTACATTATATATTGTATCCTTATGCTTCATGTAATATGTCAACGCAACAAGGGCTGGATCACGACAGCGAGCCATATCAGGGCCAGGAGCACAAGACCCAAATTCACACATAATATCGTGTGGTCTCAAAGATCCTTGGGTGGCACGACCAAAATGATCAGGTTGGCAACGCCCAGCGGTGACGAGGGTAAACTCGCCTCGGCAAGCTTCCATCCAAACTGTTTGTTGATGTACTGCACCAATATCAAAGTATATGCTGCAATCTTACCGACTGGAGGAAGAACGTGAGCAGCAAAAGAGGAATGTCGATATTATATTCCCCATCATATCCATGGACGACAGCAGGGTGAAGTGGGAATCGGTCCAGACGTCCAGCTGGAGATACCATGAGTCGACAAGTGCTATGGCTGACGATGGCTTGGGGCCGCTGCAGACACGAACGAGCGGGTGACTCTCGTCGCCTGTTTCCTGTGTTGACAAGCTCTACAACAAGTACTGAAGTACTCTCTGTATGGCAGTGTACGGGTCAGCCTGGATGGAATCCAGCCCTCGAGCGTGGTCCCGAGGTGAGGAGGACAATGGCGCCTGCCTTCCGGTACAAGTCCCCTATCTGTTCGGTGAGATTTCGGCCGCCGGTCCCCGTATTGACGCAAACTCGGTGCGGACTGAGCGGAGCAATGGTCGTCGCTAGGAAGTGCCTAGGAGGATTAATCATTATACGGAAAAAAGGCTCCTTCCTCATCCTTAACCTAATGCCCCTCATCTCGCCCCCACTACAGGTGTGCACCACGAGTCCACGAGACTGATCTTTTCACATCACCCACGCATCAATCAAGCCTTTCCGACATACGCGTAACCCGGAATCCCAGTCCAAACCCCAAAATGTCGTCAGAAGGCCTGCGAATAGGCTTTGTGCCAGAACACTTTTCTACGCCCATCCATTTTGCTCAGAAATACCATGGTCTCCACGCCACGTTGGTCCCCTTCCCCTCCGGCACGGGACACATGATCTCTGCCATTCGTGCAGGCGAGATTGACATCGGTATCGGCCTGACAGAGGGATGGATTGCTGGACTTGGTAAAGAGGGGACTGAAGGTGATGGGGGATATCGCCTTGTTGGCACATACGTCGACACTCCGCTCTGTAGGTGATGCCGTCAGCAACGGTCCTGCTTGATATTGCGCTACGCATAGCTAAACTCTTCCCCCGTCCGCAGGCTGGGCCATCTCCACAGGAGCCCAACGTCCTGAAATCACATCCGTAGCGTCCCTGAAGGGCAAGAAGATCGGTGTGTCCCGCATTGGCTCCGGATCCTACGTCATGGGCTTCGTCCTCGCCGACCAGCAAGGCTGGCTCGCCGGCAAGACTCCCTTCTCCGACACGGTTGTACTCGACAATTTTGAGAAGCTCCGGAGTGCGGTCAACTCCGGTGAGGCCGACTTTTTCATGTGGGAGCATTTCACCTCCAAAAAGTACTACGACTCGGGCGAGATTCGCCGCGTCGGTGAGATTTACACTCCGTGGAGCAGCTGGAAGATTGTTGCGTCGACCAGGTTGATCAAGAGCGGTGATGCCCGGGTAAAGTTGCTGCTTGAGAAGCTTGACCGAGGCATCGAGCACTTTAACGAGCATCCGGACGAGTCAGTCGAGTACATTTCTACAGAACTGGGGTACACCGAGCCAGACGCAAGAGAGTGGCTCAAGACCGTCAAGTTTCCGGCCAAGACGGAGGGTGTGAAGGAGGAGGTTGTGAAGGATTGTGTGGGTGTGTTGAGGAAGGCTGGTGTGTTGGTGGCAGGCAAGGGTCTGGATGTCGATGCCATGGTTGTAAAGTTATGATTGTTGCGGCTTGACACACACGACAGCAACGGTAGATGGTACGATAGTCCTACTAATAGACTGCTGCTGATACGGAAGCATTGTCGTTTGTAGGGGCTACTGGTCAACTGGTATCATGACCTGGTTCTATCAAGACAATAAACTGACCCCTGTTCTGCGGGCTTTACTTGGGTAAATCATGCCATGGCGCAAAAGCAAAAAAATAAAAACATAAAAAAAAAAAAAAAGACACGTTCTCGCCGTCCTACTCCGCACTGCAGTTTGTGTCAGTAGAGCTAGTGGCTTGGACTCTAAACATGCTGATGCACTTAAGTAACTGGGTGCCAGACGAACCTTCTAGTTAGTTTCTGCGAACATGGCAATATCAATGTGCACACCCAGTCATTGGTCCAACCGGGCCATTAGGCTGCCCTTTGGTGGAGACTCCATCTGGTCTCCGGTGCCTGGACCCGGCTCTCCCCAGAATGCCCATGTACCTGATGTCCCCCAGCACCCAGGCACCCCGCCTCCCCAGGCTGCGTTTCGTCCAATGGCAGGCCGCTCAAATCTCTAGAACTCGTAAGCCCCTTCGCTTCGTAATCTGTCGCAATCCAGAACTCTTTGCTTCTTCCAATGTCAACTTTCAACATTTATAGCCCATCACTCATGCAGCCAGACCCTGGGATACCTTCAATTACTCGTCCAAACAGCCTTTTTTTTTAATTCATTCGTTTAGAATCGCTGTTGCCATTCAGTTCCGGTTCCTTTCTCGGCCCGGGGCTCTCCTCACACATGTGACCTTGACCTCCTTTTCGACGGCCTGATACCACAGCATCTTCAAACGCATTTCCGCGCCGTGTTCCACCAGCTATTTTCGCCACTGCCGCCGAATGAACGACCATGGCGAGTTCAAATCTACGACACGACGGCGAGGAGGCCTTGGCTGGCTCCGCCAATGAAACCAACTCGGACCCGTGGCTGCACAGTGGACATAGCTTCGAGGCGGTGGAAATGACAGCGTCAGCGGACTCGTCAGCGGCACAGTCGCCATTACAGTCGAAGCAATCTACATTTTGGGCTGGTATGGGCTTAGGGGGCGTGGCGAGGCGGACATTAGGTGTATGCTTGCTATTGCTGACGGTTTTCCTCTGGACGCTGACAAATTTTCTGGCCAGCGTGAGTTGATATATTATCCTTGCATTGTTGTTGTTTTAAGCAAGGCTAACCAACGGTAGTTCATATTTTCCGACCATACATATGACAAGCCATTCTTCCTCGTCTACATCAATACCTCCATCTTTGCAATTTCACTAATACCAATGTTCGCGAAATACTTGGTCAGGAAAGGCGTACGAGGCATGCGTCACGACTTGGTTCAAATGTGGAACGAATACGGACAACAGAGCTCATACACGGCAATTGCACCAGAGGATGACAGCCTCGACAATGAGACATTGATGGCGGGCAACGAAACGGCTGTAGGGGCCATCGCCAGGCCCGACGAAACGCTCAGCTTGCGCGAAACAGCGATTCTCAGTTTGGAATTTTGCATGCTTTGGTTCTTTGCCAACTATTTTGCGTCGGCCTGTTTGGAGTACACTAGCGTGGCGAGCGTTACGATTCTTGAGTCAACCAGCAGCGTGTGGACATTGGTCTTTTGCGCACTATTTCGCGTCGACCCATTCTCCGTGCGGAAACTCGTCGGCGTCTTCGCCTCGCTCGTCGGGGTGGTTTTGATTTCGACGGTTGATTTGTCCGGCAAAAGCGATGAGGACAGAGGATCGTTCCCGCACAAGACGCCTGGGCAGGTGGCCATCGGTGATTCCATGGCGCTTCTCAGTGCCGTGATCTATGGCATGTATATCACGGTGATGAAGAGGCGGGTGGGTAACGAGGATAGAGTTGACATGCGGCTGTTCTTCGGCCTCGTGGGCCTGTGCAATTTGGCCTTGTTGTGGCCGTTGTTTTTCATCCTGCACTGGACGGGTATTGAGCCTGTGAGTCGGTCGGTTTACCCCATTCGAACTGCTCCTCGACTGACGCTGGCTTTAGTTCCAAATGCCCCCGTCTGGCAAGATATGGATCATTATCATTGTAAGTCGACCCTGGTGGCCCAGGAGTCCAGGACGTAACTAGCGCTCACAATCGTCAGGCCAACTCGCTGGCATCATTCGTCAGTGACATTTCTTGGGCGTTTGCCATGCTGTTGACCACCCCGCTGGTCGTGACGGTGGGACTCTCTCTCACCATTCCCCTGTCCTTGATTGGGGAGATGATACAATACGGGCAGTATTCGAGTTTTGTGTATTGGATCGGCGCAGCGGTGGTACTACTGTCATTTGTCTTTATTAGTAGCGAGAGCACGGGAGGCGGTGTTGAAATGGAGAATGGTGAGGCGCGACGGAGGACACAGAGTGTAGACATGCATTAAGGGCTTCCCCAGATAGCGCTTGCATACAGGAGTAAATGACGGCGATTTCAACGACGCCGGCCCCAGGTGTCCCAGGCTGCAGTCTGCCATGATGACAGCTTTGGAAGCCGTCGCTGCAACCTGCACAGACAATCGCACAAGCGGCCGAGCACGTGGTGGTGTGGTGGAAGTTCAACCGCCAGTCACCCACCCATCCATTCGGGTTCCTCGCCGACAACGCCCACCGCCACAATCACAAAGTCATGTATGCGTAGCACTGCTGGCCGAGCGGATTGGACAAGCAAGGGACAGTCATATTCTGATGCCATGCCCTATTTCGACCGCACCAAGCCGTTGGATCGCGTCGCATTGCGTATTCAGACCGGAGTAACCAGCAACCACCGGATTCCAGACAAACAATTGCCTAGCGAAAATGCGAGTGGAGGAGCAGCACCTCTGGCATCACCGATGGCACGCGCATTCCTCGATCCGCGGAGCCTCAGGTCCGCAAAAGTGGGCAGCATCAACTCAACGAAGAGGAAGATGAGGATGGCATGATGATGGCATTTGCAGACATATCGCACATGGCATTCTCTGATTTCCGTCTCGACCCTTCGTGTTTGCACTGCTCCTCCGCCGCCGCCCCTCCTCCCTGCGACTGCGACTGCGTCTTCACGCTGCCCACCACGCCGTCACCGACCCATCGTCACGGCTCATGGACGGTCTGGGCACGCGCCAGTTGCTGCAAAGTAGCAGCGTGAGAGACCAGCTCACAATAGGATCAACACTGCGCGCCCGCCCTACGCTGAGGAAACAAGTGGACAACGCTCACCTCGCTGCCCTGCGTCGTCCACAGCCTTGTTCCAGCACGTGAGCCTTGTCTCTTGGTACTCCCATAAACAAGGACTCGGTTTGTGGACCGGAACGAGAGTCTCCCGGCCCAGATACTCTGTTCGCTGGGCGATTGAGGTCCTTTCCAGAAGTCAACATACTGCTTGTGTTGGAACAAAGTGCACGAGGCTGGGTTCGACTTGGTAGTTCCTTCCCTTTTCGACGCTCCATACACCGCTCAGGCCATCATCCGACATCCATTGACAAGGCAATTTTCGTCATCTCGCCCGTGCCTTGACGCTCTTCTGCCGCCAAACGAACCTAAGTCGAACAATTTCAAGTTGCAAGCAGCCTTTCCTTTTTCAACGCTTATCTTTTCTTGTTATAGAAACATATTTCAACCTCGACCCAAACAAGACAGAAAAAAAGAAGAAAAAGAAAAAAAAAGACAAAGGAGAGGGAGAGAGAGAAAGAGAGAGAGAGAGACAGAAAGAGAGAGAGAGAGACAGAAAGAGAGAGAGAGAGACAGAGAGAGAGACAGAGAGAGAGACAGAGAGAGAGACAGAGAGAGAGAAAGAGACCATGGTATCTACTAACCCCTTAGATTCATTTCGCCGGGATCGACCGCTGGCCGAGTCGATAGCTATCGCCACGCGAAGTCTTCACGCCAGACTTAACAAGCTGATCATTGAAAGGCTTCCATTAGTTTTGCCCCCACAGGCTGCTGACTCGTTAACATATGCTTCTGGCCTGCTGCACATCGCGCCTATTTATGCAACATTCGAGTCACTGTGGAGTGACATTGTCCACGGCTCTTTCGAGAATAGCCGGGATGAGCGAGAAGGATCAAAGCCGAACAAAACGATAGTTTCAAATGGAACGCGAGAAATGTTGGGCGTGTTGTACATTCCCGGCTTGTTGCGTGCGGAGCGGCTCGTTGCGGATATTCAGTCCATGACAGGGTGGAAGGAGGCCGCGACGAGGGAGCAGCTGGAAATGATAGGCAAAACGGGTCATCTTGCCGAAGTTGTAAAACACATCAAACGCGCCATCAAGAACAAGCCTCATGTTCTGCTCGCCTATTCCTACATCCTGTACATGGCCCTCTTTGCCGGAGGGCGATTTATACGGGCCACACTTGAGTCAGCGGGCCAGGAGTTTTGGGATACGACAGCAGCTTCTTGTGCAATGCTGACTTCACAATCAAGATCAAGTAATGAAGACCTTGTGGACGGGATGTGCAACGGCCAGACCGGAACGCCGCCCCGCGGCTCCCATGGCCGCCAGCCGCTTCGCTTCTTCCACTTTGACACCGCTGAGGACGGTGAAGATTTGAAGCGAGACTATAAGCGGAAGCTAGCAGATTGCGACGCGTCGCTCAGCTACCAGGAAAAGCACGACATTGTACAGGAGGCGATTTGCATATTCGAAAACATGGTCCTCCTAGTTGCTCAGCTGGACACTGTCGTAGCCACAGGCCCGATCAGACTACCCGCTGACAGCCCGACATCTGTCGAATCCGCCACCGCTACCGTCAAACAATCGTTGATACACCCACGCTTCCGGGACAGCGTTGTTGTTGCGAAAGAGCGAAGTGCCAGAGGCGCAAGGGGGTCATTGAACAAAGAGTCCGGCATGCCAAGCGGCCGCAGCGACAGCGAAGAAGACCCCAAACCAGGGGAGAACAAGACACCTGCCGCCCACATGCGTGACGACGCACTGCCCTCCGAACCAGACAATCATCCAACCATGCCGGCAACCACAGATGTAGAGCTCTGCTCAACGGTATCAAAATCCGTGCGGTTCGAAAAAACACTCCCTCATCCCTCCCGAAGTGACCTCGGCGGCGTGGCAGACTCGGCGGAAGACCTGACAGTAGGCCTGACGGAAAGCCTCAAGATGGATTCAAAGCGCCTTCGCCGGGAACACGTCACAAATTGCGTATTGGGGGTCGCAATCGGGACGATTTTCGTTGGCGCACTCCTCTCCGGTCGCCGGGCCGCATCGTTGGAGACAATATGACGCTTCTCGAACGCCCGTCATTATAGCCGGGGCCCAATCCGTGGGCCAGGTGGCTGCGCGGGATCAGTAGTATATCGCCATCAGGCGTGATGGTGGCACAAGCCGCATTCTTTTATTGCTTCCCTCGCCTCTATTGTTAGGGCTCCCCATGTACATAAGCAGGCACGAGTCCTCGATAACTGCATCCGTGGCGTTTTGCCTTTCTTTCAGCTTGAAGAATTTCGGCCTCGTTCCCGCGGGTGGTTGCTAAGCGAGCGTCAGCCCGGAGGTCTGTTTTGGGGTACATGCGTACCATTGAACCTGGAGATGGCGGCTGTGGTCTCACAGTAGATGGGTTGGGGAGTCGGGGGTCAACTTCAAGGGTCTGGGTGTTTAGTCGCAGCAGTAGACGATATGCTTCGCGTGCGTGTACCCATTCATGGTGTGGTTTTCCCGAAAAAAACACGGAATATCATTTGTAATGTTGCTCAAAGTTATCAGTATTGCTATGCTCCTATATGCTATTCCAGCGCCGTTCGGAACCCAAAAGAAAAGGGGGCATTCAAAAATCGCCACAACGTTCGCAGTGTCGTCATGCCTCATCGTCGTCCCAAGCAGAGTCTACATCCGCCCATCCAGCCATGTGCCGCTCGCCCCCAAACTCACCTACCTGCCTGAGGTGCCTTGCTTGTGCCTCGCTCGTCTGCCACTGTCGGACAAAGTAGTCATCCGAGGCCGTCACCAGCTTGCCGTCGTGCGACCAATTCAGCGTCGTCACTTCGCGGGAGTGTCCGCGCACGAGGGGTGTGCCCGTGCGGAAAATAGGAACGGGCGATGGCGAGGACCCCATGGCCGCCGATGTGGGCGTGTTTGCGGACAAGGACTGCGAGGGTGTAAGCGCGCCGGCACTGGTGCTTCTCTCGAGCTCATGCGCGTGTTTCGCGTAACTAGCGCGCAGGTAGCGCTCGTCGGTGGGGAAGAGGACTGCGCAGCCGTCGGTGCTGCCGACGGCGAGCAGTTCATGCTGGTGGTCGTTCGTGGGGGTGCGGTGACGCAGGGCGCACTTGACGTAGAAGGACGAGGCACGGAACAGCTCGTGCTTGAAGCCGTACAGAGGCCCGAGCCCTTCTGCCCCTGACGGTTTGCGTTTGGGCGCGAAATGGTCGAGCTCGGGGGCGTGGCCGAGCATGAGGTGGGACGTCGAGTAGGCATATACCGTGCTATCTTTGCAGACGGCGTAGAGTCGGGAGGCGTCGGTGCTGAGGGCCAGGGACGTGATGCCGTAGGACCGCCATGCGTGGGATGCGGGCTGCGGCGCGACGGCGAGGGGTGTTTCCTCGGCCTGGCGGCGCGGCTTGATGCATCGAATGTCCCAGAGTTTGATGGAGGCGTTGGCCTCGGAAGCAGAAAGGAGGAGGTGTTCCCTGCCCGAAGGGAGCCACTGTATGGCGGTCACGGAAGCTGCAGATGTGATGCCCTGCACTCTGCGCTCGTGCGCATTGTCAATGGTGTTGATGGTCCTGGCCGCGATTGGGTCGATGGAAGTGTCGCGGGTGCCGTCGTTGGGGTTTGCTGTTGAGAAGCAGTGGCTTGGTACTTGCGAACAGCGCAAATCCCAAATCTGGACACGGCCGGCTCGATCTGACGTCGCAAGGGCGGTGCCGTTGGCCACACCTGGCTGGAAGGCAATTTGCCGTAGGGAGTCCCAGTGTCCGCCGCTGAGTTCGACTGCAACGGATTGTGTTACCACATCAACGATCCTGCCGGTCCGGTCTCCACAGGCTGTCGCCAGTCGTAAATCATCCGTGGACAGGTCCAAGTCCATGATTGCGTTGTCGTGGACTTTGATGTAGGCATCGACCTTGGACTCGACGGGCCCATCTGCGGTTGTGGTGTTGAACAGCCGCAGAAAGCCTTGCTCATCGCCAATGACGGTCACGGGGGCATTGTGGCAGCTTGCGAGGCTAAAGGGAATCGTGTTCCCTTGGCCGGTGAGTGATGTGCAGTGATGCGTGTCGTGACATTTGCTGTAAAAGGATGCAGTGAGTGTCCTGGGATCACTGGCCGGAAAGCTGAGATACTGCTTGCCAGGGTGAGAAGCAAATCCGTGGTCTCGGTCTAGCAGCTGAGCTTCAAACCCCCGGTTTTGAAGTTTGCGGATCGGCCTTGGTCGATAGCCCTCGTTGACCTGCGACATGTGAGATGACATGGCACGGATACCCCGCGGTTTCAGACATACCAAGTTAGTCCCCAGTTCAGACGACTGAAGGCCGGGAGCAGCCGTGAACGGCTTCTTTCCTATGCCGGTGATACTTCCACTGCGACTAGCTTTGAAGAAGTGACTCTGCATGGCGGTTAGTATGTTCCCAATCGGATCCAGCTACGGCACAAGAAACCCACCAACGTGGCTCGCCGTTTGTCGTCCAAGCCTTCTCCTGAATCTGGCCGAGCTTCTACCATTTGTACTTCGCCATCCCGTGACATGTGAAAGCTTCTTCCGGGTAGCGGTAGTCGAAGCGGCGGAGGAACCAGACCCTCGGCAGCCAAAGCCCGGCGTCGCTTTTGAACAACTCGACAATGCTCAACTCGCTTTCTCTTCTCCCCAGCGTTATCCTGTGCCTGTGCCAGGGCTTCAGTCGGTGATGAAGGGCAGATTGGATCCGACTCCAATGCGTCGCTGACTAGTGACTGAGGTGAAATGGGTCGACGGTTGGTTGCGGATGCATTGAGACTTGCCAGAGCGGCTCGGTTTTCGGCCGGCAAGTTTGATCGAGGCGTGAAGAAGCGGCCAAACCTTCTAGGCGTGACGGACGGATTGCGCTTTTCCTTGCGCCGGCCGGTTCTGGTTGGTGACAGAAACGGACTTGCCGGAGAGGAGCTCATGGTCGGGGGACTCGAGGGCAGCATGTCGGTGGCAAAAGGGCCATGATGGTGCATTCTGCTCGTGGGTCAGCTTGGTCAAGGCGCGACGTTGGTTTGATATCGACGCGGGCTCATCAGATAAAGGTGAAGCAATTATATATTACCACAACAGTGTCACAATAAAAATAAGCATGGTTTTGCAGATGGGAAAGATACGAAAGCAATAGAAGAGAGAGATCATGTAATGAGGTCGGTTCGGTTTGGTTCAGAATTTAAGAATCCCTGGTCTGGTTGAGGCTGGGGGTGGAGTTGTCAAGCGAGACGCGGTTGGGCGACGCGGACGTGTAAATGAATCTCGCGTCAACCGGCAGTTGGCCGGGGGGTGGATAATCACGAACGGCACTCGGGGTGTTTACAGGCGGGTCTAGCGCCGAAGCCACCCCAAGGGCCCTGCAGAGCAGCGCTGCGAACAGTTGAGGTCGACCACTACCTCGGGCACTAGCCTACTTAAGTATTGATAGGTGCTTGAGTACGGAGTACTCCGTGGGCAGTCGATGACCTTTTGGCGGATGCTCTCATCATTGCTGGCACCCCGGTTGAAAAGAAAGAAAGAAAGAAAGAAAACGAAAGTGCCCAATTGTCGATTGTGCCCAGGTTTTTTTTTAAAAAAATTTTTTTTTTTTTTCAAAAAAATCCCTTGAAAACCAGGCTCCATATCTGGCGGCGTGAACATCAAGCCTGCTTCTTTCCAATTCGCTCCCGCGATCGGAAGCAGGACACGTGCCATTTTTCGCGCCAGATTGTATCCGCCTCAGTTTCCCCAAGTCGCTTCCTGCTTTGACATGAGTAAGCCTTTGGGCAGATTGCTTGTCCAGACAATCCTCCTACGTTCCTTGCAAACTCCGTGCTTGTCTGCCCTGGTCCGACAAAGTGAATCAGAGGTATGGTGCCATTTTCGAGCGTGATTCACAATCGGTCATCAGTCAGCCAAGCCGTTAACCTTCCTACCACCAGATAGCCTTTTTCTTGTTCCAGCTCCATCTGACTCCCCTCCTCAATCTCCTATGCACTGCTGCCGTTTTTGCCTCGCCTTGTCCATTGAGCCTCGTTTTGGAATCGTCCATAGCAACTCTGGCACATCATGTGCCGTTTCTTGGTAAGCTGAAGACGGCACTCCCTCCGACGTCGGACGTGGAGACTGATGACGAGCCACCTCGCGATCCAAACAGGTGTACAAAGGCAGCGACGAGATTCTCCTCTCGAAGCTGATTCTTGACCCGACACACTCTATATTGAAGCAATCGTTTGACTCCCGCCTACGCTTAGTACGTTCCGCTCTCCCCGGCCGCACGCCCTTGCTCCCAGCGCTGACCGAAGCCAGGACACCCGAAGGGGTCAAAACAATGCAGATGGCTTCGGCATAGGCTTCTACACGGATCCAAAGCTCGGCGCCGCGCCTTGCCTCTTCACATCAACTATTCCAGCGTGGAGCTGCACGAATCTGCAACGAATAGCTTCCAAGACGGCATCACGTCTCATCTTTGGCCATGTTCGCGCCACGACCGAAGGTTCCCTGAGTGAGGATAATTGCCACCCCTTTACACACGCCAGTCTAATGTGGATGCATAACGGTGGCCTCGGCGGCTGGAAACACATCAAAAGAAGACTCGGCGACAGACTGGCGGATAAATGGTACCTTGAAGTCAAGGGCGGTACGGACAGCGAGTGGGCGTTTGCCCTATTTCTTGATACCCTAGAACAACTCGGCCACGACCCTAGCTCGTCGCCCGAAAATGGCTTTGGGCCGACCGTTCTGCGTAAAGCCGTGGAGCAGACCATTGCGCAGATTAACGAGTTGACAGATTCCATTCCCCAGCACGTCTTACAAAATGAAGACGTTGACGCCAGAAGTTTGCTCAACTTTGCCGTCACAGATGGCCACAGTGTCATCTGTACACGGTATATTAGCAGTTCCAAGGACGAAGCCGCAAGCCTGTACTATTCCTCGGGGACGCAATGGGTCACGAGGACGTCTGACCCGAATGACAGGCAGTATCAGATGGAGCGGAAGGATAAAGGGGCTGATATTGTGCTCGTTGCTAGTGAGCCATTGACATTTGAACGAGGTAATACATCATGATGCATGCAACCGTTTACCGCGTCACACAGCTAACACGACCAGAAAACTGGGTTAATGTTCCAACAAACTCTATCCTCACCATCCACCGTCAAACAGTCATGATGCACCCTATCCTCGACAAATACTACGAGCGTGACCCCTACCACGTCCGCTCCAGTGCCTTTGTCCAAACGAAGGGGTTGGTTTCCAACGAAAAAGCTCCCAGTGGCACGTCCATCAGCCCTGGCGGCGGCGCAACGACACCTAGCTTTGACGGCTATAGGAAGTTGGCTGCACAGACGCTCTGCTCCCGGAGCATAAGCCCGGACTTGGCCAGACGGGCCATGACGTCCCTTCCCGCAAATGAATCACGATAAGACACCACGCCTGCAGGAAGTGGGAAATCATTCGGCATTGTATCCTCCCCTCCCAATACATTTGCTCCATGACGAACAAGGAGGGGAAGGCACTGCAGGCCCTCGAATCGTTCATCGGAAGCAGCCCGTGGAATCTTTGACTTTGTACTTCTCGGAAGCGATGCCTGGTGTAGAAAAAAATACTTGACGCGCTCTATTTGGCAGCTTTCCCCGTCACTACGCGTCTCAGTCCATGTAGGCTTTTCGACTGCCGCAAGAGTCTCATTCAGTTGTCGAACCAGCAGCCAGTCTCGGGCCTTTGCACTCTCTAGGCCAGGAAAAAGGCGCGCTATGAAGTAATACATTTACGCTTATCCGAAACAACTTGACGATTTTGCGGCCACCTGGACAGTTGGATTGTTCGTCGTGTCAGATGATTAGGCCTCATTGGGACAAACCTCGAAGTATAATTTGACCGACAAAAATGGCCCAACAAAGCATTGGTCCAACAATACGCCACGCCTCCATTCATCAATGCAGTCTTGCGCAATGGACTTGACCGCTGTAAAGCCGAAACGCGCTGTTGAGTCTTGTCCCAGAGGCCCAACGGTAGGCGGCATCAATGAGGAATAGTCATGAAACTTTAAAGCGCCATGAGGCAGTCGCCGGCCCTGTTCCGCCAGCCTAAGGAAACAGCAAGTTTGACCCTGATAGGGCTAAATTCTCTTCCTTTTCTGTTGGTGCGGCAGGCTTGGTAGCTGGGTCTCTTGTAAATATTGTCGCCTCTGTTTTGCCCTTCTGGTACGTGTGAGGGACAGCGAATAATCATTCATCTTCACCACATACAACTATTTCGCGAAAAACAGACACATCAGTATTCTTGGCCGCCTTGAATCACCAGTTGACATCTCTGTGCGGCCACAGCCACGGAAAACGACTCTCCCTATGCGCGTCTTGGCTACTAAATTGGTAAAAACACCAGCATCCCCTGTTTCAGGCACTCTCCCCCAACCAACCCAGCGCAGACTCTGCCGTCGTATTTGATATCACGTCCGGTACCGCGGGATCAAAACTCCTCACCCACCTGGATACAAATAGCCCCTGTCCACCTGCCAATAGGCAGACACGGGAAAATGCCGTGCTGTGTTGCCACACTGCACTATCTTGGGTGCCAACATCGCATGCTCTACAAGCTTCATTGCACGACCTTTCAATGCGATGAGCATTCCATGTGCCCTCGAGAGCGTCAGAGCGTCCTTCTAGCAGCTAGATACAGATGGTCTTGCGAAGACTGCACCCGCCGTCAACACAGGATCGAAGACAATGAGCGTGCCAACAAATGGACCGAAAAGGTTGTGATGCTGGCCGGAGACGTAAACTTGAGCAAGGACGATTGGAGGAATTCTTACCGACTTCTTGAACTAAGAAGTGACTTCACGGAAGCCAAGTTGCGCAAGAAGCGTACGAAACAATTGTCTGAAATTCAACGGGCTGAGAAATGGGTCCACGAGTACGCATGGACGATCCTCGAGTTGCTCCACGGAGATGACGACTTTGAAGACATTTCCTCGGAGGACGGCGACATATCCATGTCAGGAGTGGAGGATAAGCAGCTTCAAGCCTCTCACGCAGTTGATGTCCCAATGCTAGAAGCTGGGCCCGAACAGGACGAAGAGGGACAAGAACAGCAAGATGTTGAAATGGGAGGGCAGCAGGGAATATCTTCAGAGCCAAGCTACAACTCTGATGCCGAAGCTCAGCTGGAAAGACTTGAGGAAATGTTCCTGGCCAAAGACAACGACCTGATTCTTGTTCGAGATGCTTCTGGGACGGCCTGTCGCCAGCAGGTGACTCAGAAAGGAGCGGCTCGGCCTTTCGGCTCGGCCGCTGCGTCCAAGTCTGCCGCAATGCCAGCTGCTGAAACAGAATCCAACATCCGGGAACCCAAAACCCCGCCAGTTCTCTCGTTTCTGGGTGGAATCCCAGCCTGGGGCGCTGGCCTGAGGTAGATTGTATTCGCCATGGCCTCAGCATTCGTCATGACGTTGCAACCTGCCTAACCCTCCTCTTTTCTTTCACTCTCTCTTATTTTTCTCTTGTTGTCCTTTAGCCTTCTTTCTTTCTTTTGTTCTTCTTCTTCTTCGTCTTCGTCTTTATCTTCTTCTTCTTCTTCTTCTTCTTCTTCTTCTCCTCCTCCTCCTCCTTCTTCTTCTTCTTCGTCTTCTTCTTCTTCTTCGTCTTCTCCTCCTTCGTCTTCTCCTCCTTCGTCTTCTCCTCCTTCGTCTTCGTCTTCGTCTTTTGTATGCGTGTGCGTCTGGCTGTTCTCAGTTCATATTTGACGTACTGTTTTTGCCGACCTTGACCGGGTTTGGAGTTGGGCACCAAAGAGTAGATTTTGTCGCGGCAACGCACATGATCGAGGAGAAACTTGCGACCCCGTGCTTTCTTGGGTGAACCGGTTTAGCTACCATGTAGTGACAGCGTTGTTCAATGAAACCATTATTTCTGTCGATGGCGTATAAACGGTGCCCGAGGCCTGACTATTTGCCCACCTCGGTGCTTGTATAACGAATTACTTCTACAATGTAGTTTCCAATGGCGAATCTGAATCAGGTGTCCCCGTTGTTTCATGTCAACTATTCCAAGTGGCTCAACATGGCTTGTCAGGTGGTGACGAGGGAACTTCTTGAGCATGGCGAAGACGTAACTAGTACTAGGGAGTACGGCCGAGTCGGATATCCACCAGGATCAGTCTCGGAGGACCTTGGACGACAGGTGACTCGCCCCCCGCCCATGTCCATGGATCATACAACGGGTGCGTGGATGTTGCAAGGAACTAACTACTCGTTTGCCGCGTCGTGACGTTACAATTGTGCACTCGCGCCGGCGGGAGTCCGTCGGCCCTAGATGCAACCCCCGTCACTGGTACTGGCGCGACAGAGTGTCGAGGCCGCGAGGGGTCTGAGGATTTTCCGCCATTTCTGCAGGCCCCTCCTGTCCACTGCAAAGCGTCTCGTGCCTGGAGTCACGGAGAGAGCCTCGGCGTCTCTGTGCCAAGCTGCAAAGAGTGACGGGATCGAGGCCGGGCCGGGTGCCCCGACTACCAGATCCAGTGGTCAAGGATAGGGAAAATGGCACACGGACCCCGTAAAATCGTGGGGGACATGGATAGCGCCGGGTTGATTCGTGCTTGGCAGAATGTCCCGAGTAATAGCAAGACCCAAAGTTACGTGCACCTTGACCGTACCCTTGCCCGACTGTCGTGCGCCAAGACCAGACCATTCATCATGCACTTTGATCACATCGCCATGCCAAGACGCTGGCTGGCGCAGTGAGGTCAGTTTTGCATACCTCCCCAGGTAGGCACGCGTCAACCGTGACGGTTCGTCCCGGAGTGTTGCTCTTTGATATTGCTTGCACATCCGATCCGCCATCTTTCATTATTAGACGCGAGACGCGCTCCGTGGCGCCTGTCGGCGGGAGCACGGAAGTACCTTCGCGATCGGGGAGCAAACCTAGGACTCGTGCGAGGCATCTTGATGGAACGCGAAGTCGATATGGCAAAGCACAGAATCAAGCAGTAGTAGCCGGTTCAGACGAGGCAGCGGTTTGCAACGTCCTGATAAGCATACGGCGGCCGGTTCTGCACGCGTGCAACTCCTGGACTGCCGGAGGCGGAGACGGGCCCTGTGCGCAACCAAAGTTCCTTGCAGCTGTCTTCTCGGTTCCAAATGAGCCAAGGTGCTTCGGCCTCGGTCTCGATGCTGCTTGATTTAATAGGTCCGACTTTCCCAGCACCCAACAGCGTGGGTGGCCCGCTCGCAGTACGTGGTATCCTCCGCCCCGGGAGGTTGGAAAGCGGGCTTGCATGTGGGCGACAAGAGCCGACAGTTTCGCGTCCAAATGTTCCGAATAGCCCGTGGGGGCGTATTTGGATAATCCAAATGGTTGTAATGTAGTTAACCGCCTCTGCACTGGGTAGCATGAGCCATGGCAGAGACCGCTTACTTTAAGAAACACTACTCCGAAAACCGCTCGAGCTTATCTTTCCCGTCGGTTTCTTCGCTGCCCCTTGTTGGTTGCGGAGATGAGGGGATCACTCACATGGTCATTCGCTCCAGTATTGTTAGCCCGCGCACATCGCCCGGGACATAACGAGCAAGCTGCCGCAGGAATCTTGTTATCGGTGGACAACCGGGCCACCACATCAACTTCACTGGTATCTTCCGCTTGAAGGGCAGTGGTCGAGCTCCCGCTAGCATCACGACGAAGGCGCGGCAAAGCTCCGTCCATGTCGCTTGTAGAACGACACAGGGGGTCCGCATGGCGTAATCCTCTCCCCCGTACTCCGTATTTACAGACATGCTAGTCACTAGTTCAGAATGTCGCTCCGACCGTCGAGAGTTGGGGGCCTTTCCTTATGTTCGTTTCTTCTCGGCCAAGTCAGCAACGAGGCAAGGAAACTCGGCACAATGTGGCTTGCATCGACGACTACTCCGTATTAGCGTCAGGAACCCTTCGTGGTACGAGCGGAATTATTTCTGGAAAGATTGTACAGGAACCAACCCACCCCCCCCCTTTTCTGGCTAGTCTGCTCAGATGGTATGTGGTTGTGGTGTAGTTTGACGGTCCAAACTGCTTGTTTCTGCCTTGCCAGTGATGAGATGATTGTGGGCATGCCGGGCTGTGGTTTGCAGTCATGAATGCGTACGATACAGCCAATAGACGGAGATGCCTCAATTCGGTATTGCAGTCACGCTTGGTGTCCGTCAATTCGCCGGATTGCTGTCCGCCTCTGATGCTGGTGGGGCGGGGATCATTGGAGAAGCAGACGCCATGGACCCCGTACCACAGGTAGATTTTGCAGCTAATAGTACTCATGTACGCAGTTAGTTTGGTGGACATGGGGCGTGAGTCAACTGGCTGGCGATCGACCCTAGGCGTGTACGTACGCGTGCGTGTGTAAGTAGGGAAGATGCATGTGGCTACGGAGGCCGACGGTGCCAAGCACCAGGGATCCTTCGGTTGATGGTTATCAGTGCGTCCCTACTCCGTACTCCGTACTCCGTACCCTTGGCCAAGAGGTCGCACAAAATTCCCCCAACTGGCGGGATGGCCAGTTCGTAAGGCACCGAGGGACAGACCCCGTCCCGTGAACGTGCTAGAGATGGACGCCGGGCCGAGCGAAGCGGCCTGTGAAGTTGTCCAAATGCCAGGATGAATTGCTGGAAATTGGAAGCGCATAGTTACTCGGTACTGCTCGAGCCGAAGCGTCGACGAAGACGAGATCAAGGGCTGAATTTCGAGGGGCGCAAGAAGAAGTGCTCAAGTTTATTTCGTATTCGAGGTCCTTCCGACGACTCGAGGTTTGGAGGTTTAACTTTTCTCCGATGGTGTGTCCGGCTGTCTCTTTCCTCACCTGGTTGAACAAGAGCCACGGTAGCAGCTGCCCTCCCCTCCAACGCCCACCTCGGATAATACGACCACAGGACCACGGCCTAGCTCGAAATCGAAATCCATCGGGAAACACCACAAAAATAGCTCTCAACTGCTACTACGGCGCGCCGGTCGTCTTTTATCGCCCGACTCATCTTTGGATTCGGATGGTTCAACGCTTGGGATCGTGCTATTCGTGCCGCACCTCACACCCCTCAGCTGCCACACCCCACCATGCAATTTACGTGTGTTGACGTGGCAACGAAAGGCTGCAGCCGATAGGGCCGCGGCCATTTTGCAACACCACAAAATATCGTCACTTTTATATCATCAAATTCATCGCATAGATGACGGCATATTTCTTGAATCTATTAGCCTTAATGACCTCTTTGAAGAATCGCACAAATCCGAAATTCCCGAATTCAATGACCCTTTTTGCCTCTGAAGCTGACGAGCCACCCGAGCCCGCGTTGTTGAAAAATCCACACACTTCAATTGCATCCAGCTTGAATTTTCGAACTGTAGGCTTTTCCATGTGGGTGCCTACAAATCTATGTGGGGGGTGTGGGCAAGTGAACACTGATCGAAATCAGATTCCAACGCTTGCCGCCACGCCAAGTTTCGGAGTGCGGGCGTTAGTTGATTCCTCCTGACTTGATTCTGTAGCCGACGGCTGCACAAGCACGGCTATTTTTTTCAAATCACGGATCTCTACGGAGTCGGACCCTTTTCCCCGACGTAGTTAGCGACCAAGGGGTTGCCCACGGACAAGGGTGTCATCTGAAGCAGCGGCGCAGCCCATCTGAACACGGGGAAATCGACATGGAGACTGGCCCGTTGAACAACCGATGCTGGGTACTCCGTACTGTAGATTGACCCGAGCCTGGAAATGACCCCCATCGTGCCAAAACAGGCAAACGAGACGGTGCATCTCGTGATGCCCAACTCTCATGTGAGGACAGGACGTGCTGCGGCCCAGGGGAACCTCGCTGGAGGAACTCGGAGGGACCCAGGAAAATCCAGGATGGCACCATGGTCAATGCGACGAGCACGTCATCAAAAAGGAGCCAGCGTCGACGATGATGTCGGCCGTGGAAATTCGCTCCGTCTGAACCACGTGAATGCCGTGCTATACGTGATGCGCCAACCAAATCGTCCGTCACCTCATGCCTCATGGGAGAGGTCGACGCTACTCCGGACTCCGTACTCTGCACGGAGCATTTTCGCTCGTAATGAGTTACAATCAATCGAGCTCGTGAAGTCGTGACACTGCGGGGTCCCCTGCCCGATAAGGCCCTTCTCGGCCATGTCCGCCAAAGACGCCGACCCATTAATCAATGACACATGGCATGAATGCTGCTGCCACCGCCTGTCGATATTGCCGTCGCCGGTGACGTTCGCGTGCGACTTTTATTGCGTTGCCAACAACTTGCCAACAGCCATCATTTCATCGTTTATCTTCTCTCTCGCCCATCGTGTCAAGGGCGGTGCCTAATACAAGTACACGGAGGAATCCTGACCCTTCGTCCAATCAGTGCCCCACATCGTAGATGCTGTCCCTGCCCCGCAGGGAGAAAGCCTCTTCCGTGTCGACATTCAATATACAAAAGCCCAACCCAAAATCTTTCGCTAAAATGAACCTTTTCCGTGCATGCCTTGAATGCTTGTTTTCATCGCTCATCCAAGCAAAAAGAGAGAAAAAAAAAACAAAGGAAGCGAGGCAAAAGAGCGCGCTCCTGGTTGCTGTGCAGGTATCGTCATCCCAATCAATATAAGTAGACGGGTTCCTCCTTTTTCGCCAAAATACGACCCAGATTTCTTCCTCAGCCATTCGGTAGCCTCGTCTTGTCCCTCCAACCACGTCTTCTCTTTATTCTCATTTGCTGTCGTCATTTGGTACCGGACTCGCAGACGGTGCAGCACAGTGCAGGCCCGGAGTGGATGGAGCCTTAGAACATGATCCACTCGGCTTCCGCTCCAGGTCCGCCAAAGCACTTTGCCCAATTCAATGGTCCTCGGCAGCCAGCCATCTTGGCCGGGCCGGACCTGTGACGCAAGTCGGGTGTGGCGGCATTGAACTCGCCAGCCCACAGCTTCTCTAGAATGTCCAGGGCTGACAGATTGTTCATGTAACCAGACCTGTTCATAATGTCGCGGCATTTGGCACGCACAATGTTTTGCTGCAGTTCATTGACGCACTCAGAACCGGCCACGAACAATGGCCAAAGGAGAAACTTCTCGGCCGTGCTGCCGGCATCAAGGCTGGTGGCGTAGTAAACGACTTGGCTGACCAGGTTCTGGAAGTCTGTGTGGCTCGATGGCGTGCTGGGACCCGCCAGACGCTCCGTGTAAAGGAGAGCGGCATACCGGAAAGCCTCCGACACAGACTCGAGATCCCGAACTCGGGACGGGCTGGGAGATCCCGGCAAGGATGTCGCAACGGCAACAGCCTCGAACTGCCAGTTTTGCAATGCCAGCCGCGCCTCCTTCCATTCACGCCAGAACAATGATCGGCTGTCGTCGAATGCTGCAGATGTGCTCATGGCAGAGGCGAGAATCTCGTCATCGTCAAGCGTAGACCCAAACCCGTTGCCATCAAAACGGTGCGCGGGCATCGCGTACATGGCGCCAAGTTGCTGCTGCGACCGTGGGTTTTGCTGCATGTGAACGCTGCCCACACCGGTGATGCCAGCACTGTACGGGCGGCTGAGGGGCGATCCAACCATCCGCTGACATGGTGACGTGTCTGCGCTTGGCTGGGGAGAGGCTGTCACGTTTTGCACGGGCCGGTGCTGCGAAAGTAGATTCAATCTACCAAGCTTGCTAATCGTCTTGAACAACGCCCTGTCACAGCCAACTAGGTTTTCTGCGCCGAGAGGTAACAGCGGTAATCCATCATCCACAGTTGGAGCAAGCTGGGCCTCGCGGTCATTGATGCTTGCCGATATGGCGTCAAAGTAGGTAAAAAGTGCTTCCATCCAAGCTGAGCCCCTCGAGGGCCCAAACTGTTCTGTGCGCATAGACAAGATCTTCTTCACGCCAGCAAATTGGGTGTGGAACTTGGCCACACCGGACTCGACCATTCGATAGTGGCAGAGGAGAAGAATGGTGGCGAGGACAGAGTCGTAGGTTGATTTGAGCGGGTCGTTGAGCTGTTCGTTCAAAAGGTTGACTGCCAGATTTCGGTGCTGAAACTCCTCTGCCAAGGAAGGGTCGTCCGGCTGGCGATCGCCAAGACTGTCAATAGCATTCTTTTCCAATGTAAGTTTCTCAAACAGTTCCTGCGTGTCTTGTCCGAGGCTTAATTTCCTCTTCATTCGCAGATTGCAAGCTGACAAGGCACAGATGGCATGCTGAAGGCTTTGACTGTGAACTGCCAGCTGAAGAATATGATCCCGAAAAGGATTGTGCGGTCCGTCGATATATACCATGGAAGGGGCAATGGTATTTTTGTAGTAGTCCATGAAGAATGGCATCCTCGCTACGAGGTCCGGGCTGACTCGCAATCGCTCCGTCTCTGGAAACGTGGTAGGCCACCTGTTTGATGCCTGTTCGGATTGTGGTGACTGAAGTTCGTCTTCGCGCGGGTGCGAAGACGATGTCCAGCTGTGGGCGGCAGGGCTGCAACTTGGATTGTATGCGTCGATTTGTGGAACACCTGCTGCCTCATTAGAATGGGAAGGCTGAACAGGGTGCCATGTGATGCTCACTGAAGCTGTCACATTCCCGCATCAGCTTGTGGCTCAGATGCGTGTCGAATGCGTCCAAGTGAGAGTTGATACTCGAGCTATGTTCTGATGCGGCGTATACCAAGCCAGGACACGACGTTGGTACGCGAGCGCTGTCTAGGACTAGTCCTGAAGGAGGACTTTGGGAGACGGGAGAGTGCTGGCCTCTGCCGTATCCGTCATATAGCACAGACGATCCACTGCCAAAGGGCATTTCATCGCGAGAATACGTTTGGCTGAGGGGGGAAAGATAGTCCACATCGCTTACAGAGTCGACTGATGATGACAGGCCATCGGTAATAAGCGGAAGAGGAAACTTGGAGTATTTTGATGTTGCGTCTGGTGAAGGTACGAGTCCGCCGGAGTAATGAAGATTGCCCCAGCCATGCTGAGAAGCAGTTGCTGTGCTGTTCTCAGAGTGAGACATGGAAAGATAGTCATAGCCGGGTCCGGGATACGAGCTTGCGTGAGTCGCAACAGAGTGAGCCACTGAGGGGATATCAATGGGCCCCCGGTGTCTCTGGGCCTCGTCCTGTTCTACCCAGCGAGCAGCCATAACGGCGGCCGTCGAGTTGGCACGACCGCGAGCAACAGGGGACTTCTTGGGTTCTCTGGACACCGGAGGCGCCTTGGCAATGGGAAGAGAAAGCCCACGAAGCTTGCCCCTGCTAGCAACTCCAACTCCCCATGTGAGCTGAGTCTTATATCCAGAGCATTCGTTCCCTATTTCGAGACATTGAGAGCAGTATGGTCGTCGGCGGTCACACTTGACGTTTCGTTTGGAGCAGGTGAAGCAGTCATCCGCAGCGCCTCCAGCAGGAGCACGTCTTCTGCGCTTGCGGCCCGCGGCTGCGTCTTTGACTGGGACCGTTTGTTGAGAGAGGGGTGGTGCTGTCATGATAACACAAGCCAAACCTCGTTCTTCTTTTCTTCTCAACACTGATGTGAGATTTCTACCGTGTTTCGACAGTGCTTTGTGCAAGAGTGTCGTATAAAGCGCGAAGTATTGCAAAGTACCTGATGGGAGCAACTCCGACTGAGAGGTGAAGCGGCGAGGAAGTTGGATTAGAATTTGATGGGATGTGGAATAAAGGATGGTGACGGACGAGAGACACAGATAGAAGGGAAGGAAGGAAGGAAGGAAGGAAGGAAGGAAGGAAGGAAGGAAGGAAGATAGGTAAGGACAGAGTGCCCAAATCTGCGCGTAAATGAGATACACCGGCTGATGCAGAGGTTGTATGCAGAGAAGGAAACCGGGTGGTAACACTGTTATGTATATTGAGAAGCTCGGATAGTTGACAACCACTGACAGGAACTGACAGTGATGGCCAGGGCCACGAGGGACGAACGACGGTGGTGGAAAAGGCGCTTGCGCCTTGAAGCAACCTGACCAGGGTGTATTTTCGTCTCTCCATAACATCCAATCGACAAAACTAACTGGGGTGTGTGTGGAATTAGATGACGGTATGTCCCGTAGTACTACTTCATGGCCTCCAATGTCCATGGTAGCCCGTAACCCGGTGGTGTGGGTGTCCCTGTAGCTCGTCGCCGTGCAAACATTTGTAGCCTTCATGGGACGGGAGGGTTATCTGGAGAATAGAGAGGGCGGAGGGCGCCTGCAGCAAGGCTGGTCTCGACGACACGTCGGCGTGAAGATAGCAACCGTGAGGAGATCAGCGGGGCCCGTGGCATGAAGAAGGGGGGGTTGTCGATGGGCCTCGCCTCACCTTGGAGGTCCGGGCTAGCGACGTTGGGGGGGTGGGTGACCGACGACGAGAGCCTGAAGGATTACGGGAGAAGCGTCGGCTTTGGAGCAGCCAGTCGCCCACCAGAGAAGGGGAACATTTGTTGGAGCCCGTGACTTGTCGAAACGGTCACTCGCCAGAGCTGTCATCTCAAAGTTGTGGTGTCGCACGTAGAAATCAGGTTACTCCGTGCTCCGTACGGCAGGCACCGCGTAGGACAGACACCTGGGGAGCTGTTGCCGTCTGGGGAGTTTCTGTGGTGGGTTGGCTGGCTGGCGCTGAGAAATATGCTCAGACATGAGCGATGCGCGTGAACCTGCCCCGCGTCCGCGTGGGTGCCCTTAATCATGTCTCCATGCGAGGGAAACCTGCCTGCCCAGGCCAGCGAGGCCAGCAAATGCCATGTATGATGTAGCACAGGATTGCTGTAGCTGCTCCGCATGCCTGGATGCTCTGCAGAATGTGATGAGGACGAAGACGGCGCACGCGTCCAGAGCCGTGGAGGGGCCGAGAGGGAAAGCTCAACCAACGCACGCTTTGTTCACCGTGCATTGATTGACACTTGGGTTCTGCGAGTTCGCGGGGTGAGATGCCACCAGCACGTCTTGCCCATCTAATCGCAAAGGCGGACAAGAGTGATTGGGGGAGAGGCTAATCAATGCTGCGGAGGGTGTGAGATGTGAGAGCCATGTTAGCAGGCAGGGCGTGTGGGGATGGATTTTTGGAGGCGGATGTTTTTGGGGTCGGGCCCGACGTGGGGACGTGGGGGTTGGAGGTTGGAGGGGCCGTGGCTGTGTGATGAACCTGCGTCCCGGACTCGAGGTCGACGGTTGATGACCTGGTGGAATATTCGACGTTGCCTTTGGGAGGTGCGGCGACGGCGGTAATGGAGCCATGCCGCATCACGCCTCTCCCTCCGGCGACCATCAACAGCAACGACGCCGGCTGACGACCAGCACCGAGTATCACGAGGACTAGACCCTGCCAGTCGTCAGGGGGCCATTCTTGATCTTTGCATTGTCTGGACGGGGAGGGCCAGGCGGCAATCAAAGCTCCAGCTGTCGGTTGATTCTGTCGAGAACGAATATTGTTAGGCCGAGGCATGTTCCTTGCTTGCACATTTCTGCTGCTGAGGTCTGGGCCTCTCGTCCTTCCTTTGCTTTCCTCTCGGTCCTCGACTCCGGTTTCTTTCCTGTTGGCCAGCTGCAATACGAGAGCAGACACACGAGCCTCTGCAACACCCGTTCCTTTCTTTGTCGGGAACGCCGGCAAGAGTAATTTGGTGGCAGAGGAAATTCGGGCAAGAGCAAAGCATGAACCCCGAACTTGGCGAGACGCCTTCTGTCTCCGCGATGAAATTCAGGGTTTCGGCCCATGGCCGCGAGCCACATCACGAAGAGTGTCGGCCCCCTCTCCCCCAGTTGGCCTCTAGCGCCCTCCAAAACTTGCGTAGCGCCAGCCAGGTTCTTTTGTAACGCCCACTCCAGCACCCACTTCGCGCAGGCGCTCCTGGGTGAGCCGCCAACTAACTACACTTGACATTTTGATACTGTCCCGAGGGGAGCGAACGAGAAGGTGCAAGCCCGTTGAGTTAAGGGCGTGATAAATTGCGTTAGCCGGCCACTCATCGCTTATATGGTTCTCCAGCAGAATAATAAATGAAATACTATAATGTCCCGCAAATCGGGTATGTGTGGGGGAACAACCCCTCTGCCATGTGCCTACATTCCATTCTTGTTCAAGCTCGGGTGCTCCATCAACCAGCAAAGCACCCCGTAGACTGTCGAGGCGTTTGCCCAAATGATGCTCTTCTTCCTCTCTCTTCCCCCCCCTCGTTTGGGTCTTTTTTTATTTTCCTCTCTTCTTTTCTATTTTCTCTTCCCCGTCCCGGCTATCCGTCCATGAACGCGGACAGATCCAGATGACCAATGCAGATACAGGGCACGGAGAGCAGCCAAGATGCAGTATGACACATGACTGGTGTGGCTGATGAGATGATGTTCCCATCAAGCCTCAGCGTCGGAGTGGATCACTAGCGTTAGCGTTGACGGGGAACTGTCCGCTCTATTAGTAAGTAGGATAGATTTGCTGGCGTCTGCTGGTCTCGACTTTGTACTTGCGATATAATTAGACCGGACAATTTTTACCCTGTCGAGATCGATGCGACGGACCATTATTTGACTTGAAGTTTCTCTTTGCACTTTCTTGATGCTGCTAGTGTGGTAGAGTCAGTCCCCTGTTGGCTTTGGCGACCTTGGCTTGACTTATGCACGGTAAAGGCCTGTGTTGACGATGGCGACGACGATGGCGACGATGGCGACGATGGGTTTCGGGCACTGATCATCTTGAATGGGGGACGAAACCAACAGCCCAGCTTTCGCTGCTTCCTCCACCCCCGGATAACAATCACATCATTACATAGTGTGGCTGGGCCCCCAGGCTCGTGCCTGTGCCGACTCCCGCTTGTGCGCAATTGCATCCATCCATCGTATTTCCGCGTGACTGCCGAGTCCAGGGGCATTTGAGGTTGATGGCCACAGAGGGAAGTCGCGCCTTAAGTGCTGGTGGGCACGTCATGACTGCAGACCGTCCATGTCGGCTTGTCGTCGAGCCGTCGAGCCACACAGAGTGCCTAGGCACCGAAGTACTCGAGGCCAAATCCAGGACAGGGCCAAAGTTTTCGACTCTGCACACTCAGCTCACAACACCCCGACTTCACGGACAAGAACAACGCCTCGCAGAGCCGCAGGGCGTTCCTGGACGCCGCCACCACACATAATGGTCCCACCAGTCATGACCCATTGACGCTGCTGGAGATGGCCCAGTACCTGTTTGTCCGGCCCCAAAAGTAGCCGCAGTCTTGGAAGCAAATCCCCAACCCAAACGGCATATCACTAATTGACTGCCTAGATACGAAGCACCCCAGTACGGTCGGTAGCTCAGGCTGTACAATGGTCGTCAGGCATGACGCATCGCCTGAGATGCTTGTGAGAGGCCTACCCTACAAGCAGCTGTAGACAACGGGAACTCAATCAGTGGAAGCGCGTCTGGCTCTTGAGAATCACATCATATGATATCGGCGTGTGGATCCTTGTCATCTCTATCAGTGGCGCAGAGCAGTCTCGTTGGTGGAAGGGACAGCTTTTCAACGGCCGCACGCCACGGCGGCCCAGGCCTCTCGAGTCTCAACAGGCCGCCGACATGTTTTCCACTCCTTGTGGCATCTCGCCACAAATGACGAATTGCAAATCCTTGGCTGTAGCTCAGCCCAGCGACGAGGCTGCAGGAGGTTGGTTGCTGGGCCTTTTTGGAGTCACAAGACGCCGAGGGTTCGCGCTAGCAGAGCCACGTATGTATGTCTCGCTGCCTGGTTAGTGATCCTTTTTCTAGAATGTCGTCTCGCGTCCTTATCTGCTCTGCCGTTCGTTTCTTCCGTCCTCGTAGTTACCTACCTACCCACACAACATCGGTTGGGCTTTCCCGAGCCTTCAAGGAGGCCCCAGTACTAACAAAGTCGAATTTCGACTAGGCAAACTGGGCTATTCACGTGCTGCCATACTGCTAGTTTAGAGATTCGGCGTTTGGGCGCATCATCATCAATTGCTCTTGTGACGAACGATTGTCTGCTGCGACAGGGAATATTTCCTGGTCGACAAAAGCACGTCCTCAGACGGCATGAGCATGCATTGGCGGCGGCGGATAGCAAAACACCTTTGGGCCGGCACCACGTTAGAGTCTCGTTTTACTAACAAAACCACGCATCAAGACCGTCGATCAAAAACATGGGCCGAGCCATGTTCTCGGGTACCCATCGCCAGTCACTACTGAAAAGGACAAGCAGAGTCCAGCATTTAGGTTGCGACGGCATATTATAACGGATCGGAAGCCGGGCCTCTTTATTATGCGTTTCGATCCAACCATTGGTTCTGGTTCGCTGCAGCCTGTTACCTAGTCGTTCAACAAATCGAAGCTAGCCAGGACATCCGCTTCAAGTCACAATCGGTTTCAATTGTACGCACCGACCAGGCAACCAGGATAGTCAGTCCTTTACCTGATTCGAATCAAAATTGGAAATTGCAGGACAAACATGGTTCAGTGGCTGCCAAGAGTAGCAACGTTCGATCTCGCCCGGACGCTCTGGCATTCAATGTTGCCCCAGCACAGGCGCCTCCGATCCCCCTGTGCCGCAAAACTCGGGACGGGACAGAGTCATTCCAACCAGTCGGAGACGTAGGCTGGCACCTAGCCGACCTATCGTGCCTGCTTGCCAAGCTACTTAGGCAACCAAAGACCCTCCCGTCTACCTAGGTAGTTCCTGAGCTACTGCAGCTGCCGCAAGAACCAAAGTAGTCTTTGGCTTAGCGTCTCGGGAGCAAGAAAAAACCGGCTGTAGGCTCGTCGAATTCTTCTTTAATGTACGGAGTAGGGACAGTGCCCAGTCGCCAGCGCCCGGACAAAGACATCAATGTCTCCTTTCTGAGGCCATGACAGGCCTGGCCTGAGTACTGAACCCAGATGCACCGAGGGAGTTGACGCTTTGTGGAAGTAAACCCAGGGGCACAATTGGAGTTTACGCCCCCAAAGAATGCAAAAAGCCCTGCCCAAGATGGTCTAGCTCCAGTGCGTGTAGCTGAAGGCGCTTCTCTTGCCTCGTCATGTTCACCTGATGGTTCCTTGTTGCCATTGAGCCGAACCCAGCAAAGCCTCGTTGCATTCCGTCTTTTACGCTCTGATAGATCGGATGATTTTATGTTTTTCCTTCGACATCCTTGGAGATGGAAATGTAGGTACAGGATGCTTTGGCAGTCCCTGTTGGCCTCATGAGGGTTCCAGCCTGGTCATGGCCGTCACGCACCTCGTATGTGCGTTACTTGAGGCTATTGATGAAGAGCTACTTTGGCGCCCAACCTCATGCGCCGAAGGTTGTCGACCCCGCTTGAGGCGGCCATGTTTGAAAGCTTGGCTCCCCCGCATTATCTTGATGTAATCTCGCCAATTGCCAAGTTGGGAAACTCGACGGTTATACAATATGCGGAGACATCACGACAACTTTTCGTGGCCACGGAGCCGGATCTATGTTGATACGCAGAATATCGAAATTCAAGGCCAAGGAGACGCATTGTCGTTTCTGCCCTCTCACTGAGAATGGGATTCAAGTCACCCGAGCTGGAATCTGGAGCGCAAGGCCTTTTCGGCATTAGTATCATGGATGGTGCCGTACTAGGCCTGTGCTTCTTATCTGGGCACTTGATGAGTGTCGCTCGGCATGCTTCGCCTTTTGCCGGCATCTCTCGCTGCGGAACCATCTCCGGCTCGTCGGAATTTGTCCTTGGAGATTCAGAGCCGGCCCCAGCGTGACGAATATCAGTCAGCGCAACTCACTGCACAGCACAGTTCCAACGGCCAGACTTGTCACATCTGCCCTACACAGACGGCGAACAATGTACGATTCTCTTTGAAGGTTCAACAACAAGCATATGAACTAGTCGCCTCCTCTCGTGCTTTGATGTCGTTGACAGCGTCATCACACTAGGACCTCCGACCTTTGGCCTTGGAGGCCGGAAAATTCTATTCGTGTCGGACTTCATGAGTCCAAAGACTCGAACTGGAGGAATATGCCAGTTGCGAGAATCTTGAATGTACCGGGCTACTAGTGGACTATCTTTAACACGCCCGCCTGTTCGGATGATAAGCCAGCCCAATCGGCTTTCTTGGTTCTGCCCATGCCAAGGTCAGATGCAGCTACGAGATTGATGATATTCAACAACGGAGCGACTCGATTGCAACGGAACATTTTGGCAAACGCACGACGTGAATCTTGCGCCCTCCCCGACCCTGTTTGCCAGCTGACACACTGTTTTCTCCGCCCAGACGGGGCTTATAGCAAGACGGCATGTGCGGGCATCGGCATCTTCAGATTTTCAGCGCGACGACCCGAGCCAGCGCTAGAGGTTGGCGCTTTTTTCGTAATATCATTCCCAATCATGGTTCGTGCCCAAGAATGAAATGAGTGGACAATGGCTGGGCCTGTCATAACTGAGGTCTGCCTTCATTTCTGTGTGTACCAAGCAGAGCCTAAGGCAAACGGGCGACAGACGAGCTCATCCCAAGGAGGACAACTTTGGCCCGTGCGACCAACTTGCCTGTCAGCTACCGAGAAACTCGGGCATGACCTATCAAAATGAAAAATTTCACCGTCGCGGTCAGAGACCGGTTGTGTGGTGTGGAATTCCCCCATGAAAGACGATATAACTTAATATCCGTACATATAGGTACTTGCGGTTCTGCATGTCAAGCGACCACAGCTTCCACCACCAGATGATCAACACGTGGAAATCCCCAGCATCATCCCCATGGGGTCGAGGCGCCATTACATACCCGTCCTCCAGATGTTCGCCAACCGGCAAACTGCTACCGCGTGAAGCGCATGTGGCACAGCAAGCACTTCCTCGACGAGAAGCGGACTGGTCGTTGCACGACCGAAAAGATGAGGCACCGCAACACATGTTACATGTTCGCTTGCGCGCTGCCGACAGGGGCGTGGCAGGAACCGGTCAGTCAGGATGCAACCCCCGCTCTGCAGATGCAAAAGTCCCTGGATGTTTGGACGTTTGGATGTTGGAGCGGCACAAAATAATGACGCCGCCGCCGGGAACTTTGCACACGGTTGTTTTGTCTCTGCTCTATGCGTCCGGGGCCACACCGCCCAATTCGTGGCGCCGAGATGAAAACCCCGTTCTGCATCTTGCCAGTGCAGTGGTTGCATTAACGTTTTGCGAGAGGCACATAGCCTTCGTTGTACGCACACGTTGTCGAGTCATCCAAATGCCACCAGCGCCATGGGTCCGGACTCCGGACTCGGCATCGTTGCAGTGATACGTGATGCGCCCTGGCCCGGGGAACTAGGAACTCCAACACGGCTTGCGGAACTTCTCTCCAGCCTCAAACTTTAGGAATCCATGGCTATACAAGTCCATGCGAGGCTGGATATAAGTCAGCTGCTTCTGTGACTTGCGCTTCCCTGCGTACAACATGCGGACTGCCCCCCACGGTCATGGTCCCTATGATGAATGAATCCTCGTCGCCGAGGTTCGTGACTCTACGCCGCCCTCGTTCGTTCCCCAATGCGAATTTTCGCTACAAACATCCGTTGTTTTTGCCAAATATGGGCAACATCGGACGGACCGCACATGCAGCAATGGAAGAGGCTGACATGAGGTGCTCCTGGCTTTGCACCCTCTTCTTCTCCTTCATGACCGTCGGATCATATAGCAATTGCCGCAACAGAGTCTCGCTTCCACGCTCTCTTGGGTCTGAAGATGACGTAATCAAAACATTCAATATACCCTTGGCCGGCCCAGAATCAGACTATCTGTCGTAAAAGAAACTCCCCTTGGGCCGAAAGTAGCCAGGGCCCAGGACTTACTAGCCGTCCCCGACTGTTTTGTCCCCTGGTATCAAACGTGTCGGTAGAATAAACAGAGGATGGTTAACTAGGCAAAACAGTCGAGTCCCGACTCTGACTGCACACGACATAAAATCATAGACGCCTACGCAGGCAGTGTTTGCTCAGTTCTCCATCGCCGGGGGGGTAAGAAAGGGGACCTCATCGACTCCGGATATCAATGACAAGAGCAAGTGATACTCGCAGCTTCAAGACTGGAAAACACCCACGGTCACCAAAGCGACGTTGTAGCGGGTTGGCGCTATTATGTCAAGTCTGTCTTCTTCCTTCCCTTCTTGTGATGGTACCAAGTCCTTGGTCACCAGGGCATACACTCAGTGTGGCCCTCGGTCACACACAAGGATCAAAGACGAGAAATGAGAGCAGCAAACTTTCGAGAACGAACATGGGGAATTCTCCCCCCCTGCCGTCACCCCCGGTCGTGAAGGCGGTTTTCCTGAGCACGAGTGCAACTGCAAACGTAGTAATACCGGAACGCAGAAGAGGGCTGCTTGGCACAGTGCTCCAAAGAAACCCTGTCAGAAAAAGATCGTAGCCATGCCTTTGGGCTTCGTTCCTCTTCTCTGGTAAGGTGGTATTGCATGCTCGAAATCCGCTTGGGGAAGGTCTGTGGAATCTTCTCTCATCTTCATCAGGAGCTACGGGATAGTTTGGGTTTTTCCTCCGAAAAAGAGGAAGAGATATTGGTGGGGGTGTTTGGATATGGCGAGCCGGAGTTTAGACTGGCCCGGTCCATTCAGCTCTCCTGTTCTTCGCCAAGCGAAGGAAGTCCAGGGTGGCAGTCGATCAGACTGTGGGAGGGAGCCGAGGAGATGTGGAAGGAATAGGAGAGCAACAATAGGGCCCGAACTCTCCTCGTGAGGCTTTTCTCAACGCCCTGATCGACGGCAGGACGTCCGGACTGCATATTGCAGTGCGTTTCCCGTCTGGATCCAGGGGCTGCGACCTGATGGACTATTTTCCCCCTTCAAAAATCCGGAGCTGGCGTTTGAGGGAAGGGGCTTCTCTCCTTGCCGACTTCTTCAGGTACTTTGCCGACCCATGAACGATGAGCAGATTCTCAAATGGACGGACTTGTCGCCATATTCACTCGAGAAAACGACACCGAAATCTTTGCCCATCGATCTTTCCACATCCAAAAAAGTGACTCCCCCCTTCCCTCTCACTCTCACCTGTAGCCCCCGGTACACGAAGCACGTCAAGATCATCAGTGTCACGCGGCTATTTTCGGCGTCATGTATTATCGATCGCGGTATAAGGGCGCCGTGCGGCGCACCTGAGCCGAAGCCGCAAACCGAAGAAAAAAGCAAAAACGGCAAAGTACAGTTGTACAATGGTTAGGCCGAACTAGCGGTCGACAGAGCACTATTCCGGGGCTTGATCTTGTTATAAGTCCTTGGCATATATGGCTCTACGCTCGGCAGATACGATGCGTCGATGATCGGACGCCTTGATTCTTGAGCTTAAGCGGCCGATGTTATGAGCAGGGCGTGACGGCGCGCATGGCGGGTGAGACGATTCGATGGACATTATCCTTGAGCCGCAACCCCTGTGTTTAGTTTCTGCCACGGCGTTGTGGTCGAGCCGCTGACTCTTTGTACCGTGAAGGAGACAACATGAGTACGGGTTCTTCGAGCAGAGCAGTTTGTCTGTCTCGTTGCTTTTGCTGTAACTGTATTCGAGCTTGACGAATGCATCGCCTCCATTGGTCGTTGACGTCTTGGAACAGCGGCGTATCCTCAAGTTTGAACGGCCCTCTACTACCCCGTTCGGGGTCACCGTTTCGGACGTTTATCTGAGCGGCCATGTGAGGCGACGAGTTGTCATTTCAACATCCCCGTGTAAATGGGGTTGAGGGGGACGCAACTACAATATACATTGACTGCACCTGAGGAAACTGTTGGCTGGCACATTCATTCTTGGCCCTTGTCGGACGGAGAGGGCTCGTAGAAAGCATCCAACTCTTCCCGTTTGATAGCACGCACCAAACACTGCTAGGTGCGCCTTGTGCACGCAGCGGATGTGCCCTAAAGATTATTACTACTGCCGAGGCTTCAAAGCCGCAGGTCTGCCTTGACGAGTCGACGCTGGCGTGTACGGCAAAATTGCGTTGGGGCGCTCGAGAATACGCATCATGGATGAAAAGGGGGGGGGAGAATATACATGTGATTCCTCATGTCCCGACATATTATATACAAATCTGGCATCACTTTGACATGCCGCGCATATGGCATTGAATAAGATTTATCCGGATCTGTACAATTCAACCATTCAAAGTCCAATCTGTCCACCACTCGCCTTATAGAACGACAGACAGGGCTGCGAGAACAATGGCACCGGCCATGGCGGGAGCGCGAGACCCAGAAGCACCTGCTGTCAGAGGTGGTGAGACGGTCTCTGAACCACATGTGCTGCAGGCCGTCTCGACGGGTTTGGCGGAAGCGGTCATGTCGCCATTCGTGCCGTCAATGGTGGTGGTAGGTTCAGGAGCCGTCATGACGCCGGTGACTCTTGGCTGGGCCTCGACATCTGACGTTGGAGCCGGAGGAGGCAGGACGCAGTTGTCGCCGCAGCCAGGGGCGGGAGTAGGCCTGTCGGCAGTCGTGTGAGGCTCGATAGTAACAGTGAAGACGGTCGTGGTCTCATCGCCAGGCTCACATCCATTCTCGTCCTCACGACAGGTGTGCGTTCGCGAAATGGTGAAGGTAGCCGTGGACTCGGGGCAAAGGTGGGTAGTTGACGTGATGACCTCAGTGGTGACGTGTCCCTTCTTGCAGGAACCTTGTCCTGAGCATGAGGTGATTGTGTGCGTCTCGGTCGTAGTGAAGACAGATGTGATACTCGGCTCGGACGCAATCAGAGACTGTAAAGTCATGGCCGGTTTTACCGTCTCAGCAGTTTGACGAGGTCTTCCAGATGGAGCTGTGTCGCCGGGACACCAAGTCGTCGTGCCCGTCATGGTCTCCGTCGTGACAGATCCTGTGGGGCATCCAGTGACGTAGTGCGGGCAAGAAGTGATGGTGCGAACGCTGGTGGTGATGAATATTGAAGTATAAGTGAGAGGTACAGCGACGTTTTGCCAGACAATGTTGGGGAGAGGCCCTGACACCGTGGTAATAGCTTGAGGCGTGATGCTGCCGCCGCCGCCACTACTGCTACTACTGTTGCCGCCGCCAACGCTGATTTTGACGGATTGTGCCGCGGAGGCAGTAGGCCTGGAGGACATGACGATGCCGTTGGTAGGGCCAGTAGAAATCGAAGCGGGACTCAATGGTTTGGCTGAGGTGACAGTGCTGTGCCTGCCAGGAACATCAACCGAGGGAGTGGAATGAGCCGGTGTGGTGGTGTTGAAAATAACAGAGCTGGAGCTGACTGTGAGCTTGACAGAGGCAGTCGTACTGTTGTTCATAGTAAGGGGAGTTGTAAGCGAACGAGTAGGGATTGCAGAGCTGGTCGTGGGCTTGGATTTGCCGCAGTCACCTTCTCCGGAGGGAACCGCGTCGGGACCCGTGCCAATAGCGACCAGGCGAGAACCACAGTCCTCATGATTGGCAAGGTGAATGTTGCGATTGTCCTGGTCGAAGACGGCATATGCGCCGCGCAAGAAGGTATCGCCAAGCACCGGTAAGTCATCGTCGGGTGTGACACCGAGGACACAAATGTTCTTATCGGGTTGCTTCCAGATGAAGTCGTTGTAAGGAACGACAACCTTGGTCTTGCCGAATTTGAAGTCTACCGAGCCGTTTCTAGAGCCAACGTCGCAGGGAACACGGTACAGACCGGATTTGTCATCCTCGGGAGGAGCAGATACATCGGGGAAGGCTTCCTTGATCTTGTTGAAGTGTCTTGTGGGCAGGGCAGAGACGGTGTAGCCGCTGTCGAGAAGAACAGGTTGACCATTGGGTTGATCAAAGATCACCGCCGTGGAGCCGTCTCCCTTGGTCACCGAGACGCCGTCGAGATAGATCCAGTACCGTGTGAGTTTGTCGGGGGACTCGGCGGCAGGGATAATGGGTCGCTTCTCCAGGGGACCAGAAAACTTCTTGGTATCAATACCGCCGAACACAACGAAACCTCGCTTGCTCTCAATGGAGCGGATATCAAGTGAAAAGGCGCGACTCTTGATGAAACCCTGGGCAGCCAAGTTGTCCAAAAAGAGGGGATAATCGTTCTTCCAGCCCTTCAGCTGAGGAGAAGCACCCAAGATGCCCGTTGAAGCAAACTCGCTATCGGTGGCAACGCCAAACATTTGCTGGCTGATTTTGGCGGATCCGATCTGAACGTAATCATAGCCGTAGTCGAGTTTCGCGAAGCCAGTTCCATATCCGATCCGATTAGTCGTATTTGTGTCGACAAAAGTCTGACTGCCGTTGAAACGGCCAAGTTTCTCGCAGAATCCCGGGTCAGTGGATTTACTGCAAACAGGGTTGATCCAGAGCTCGGCAGAGCCAGTGTCGAAGTTGACTCTCACGGCTTGGGCAGGGGTGCCGACCTGCAGCTCAATGGAGTAAAAGAATCCCGACTTCTCAGGATTGATAGCAATTTCGTTTTGTCGTTTAAGCCTTCTGTTCTTAGTTGGAGCGCCAGCAGTAATATCAAGCGGAAATCGAATTAAATCGAGCTCTTGAACCATTCGATTATCCATGGGGAACTCGACCAAGGCCTCTGCGACGAGTGGCAAGGCCACAAAGGAAAAAAGAGTGGACAACATGATGCTCGTAAGTCGGCATAAAGAGAGACCGCCCAGCAACGTGCATGTGTCTTGCACACAACGACAAAAAAGAAATCTTCACGCCTTCAAGTAAAATAAAGAACAGAGACGTTGCAAGAAAGGGAATGTAATCAATCTCAAGAATGAAGAGTAGTTTAGCACCACGAGGACGGGGAGAAAAGGAGGCGTACCCGCGAGGAGGGAGGGAAAAGGGAGAGGCATCGCGGACGGATCACCACCGTACCTTGTCTATGCTGGTCCATCCTGACAATAGCCCGATGAAGCAACGATAAATCCCCCTGATAACTAAAAGCCGCGCAAATTAGGAATAGCAGTTGAATGCATTGTATGCTAGGGATTGCAGGTGGCTTTCCAAGGACGTGGAATACTGTGCTCCCGGACTTGACCTACCAACCCTTACTACACTCGGCGGCAATGAGAGCCCAACACACACCCTGGTACGCCGCCGACGGAAATGTTTCTAAATGCCGCGTAGCGCTAGGGATGATGGCGCTAAGGATAATACCGCACGGGGGGAAATGAAGAGCGACATGTGGAGAGCCGTCGCCAGGCATCATTCGGGGCGGCCTGTTTTGCTGACTATCATTACTGCAGGCGGTCATTCGTCGAGATACTTGGATGTCGGTGCTAATCGTTTGGTGCCATCAATGGACAGACACAATGGGTCACACGTCTTTCCCCAGAATGTCTGTACGGTCGAGTCAGCTCGTTGCGTCATAGCTTGTTAAAGGATGGCCACTGCGAACTGTACCAATATGCATACATCATGACATGCAAGCGGCGCCGCCTGCAGCCCTGTATATGTCTGGCCTTAACAGGCAAACAGTGCATCAAGCATTCATCAAGCTTGTCGAGGTTGTTCGGGGATAAATTCTGTTGACCCAGGGGCTCAAGCCTGGCTTTAAGCTCCTGGTCTGAACTTTTGCGAGCTAAACCACAGTCCTCATTCTGGTTTGAACGTTGGCAAACGACATAACGGTGTTGTAACGGCTGCCAATCAAGTACCAATTTCCTGTCTTGTTTCTTTTTCTCTCTGTCTAAAAGAGAGAAGAGAGACGCCTTTTCCAACACGACAGCCATGGCTATTTCCATGCGCTTTTCACCTTCTTCGAGGAAGAGGAAAGGCCAGAAGAAAGAGAATCGTCCAAAGGGGAAACGGTGTTGATTCGCCAAGCTCGCCGTTCGTGGACAAGGATCAAGGGCCCCTGCGCTTCTCACACTCCCGTCCCAAGTTCCTAGAATCCTAACCCACCGGGTTGGCCGCTTTTATCGCGATCAACAAGTCCCCTGTAGTTAGTTCGGGCGACCCGACCAAATTACCAACCAGTCAAAACACACATCACACATGGTAGCCAAAACTGGTCGGCCATTGGGTTCAGAGGAGGTAGCCCAATTGTGGGCACGGTTTTAACAAGTCTGGTGCCTACTCCGTAGTCGAGTGACTCCGCCACCCATCTAAAAATAACGTTCAAAGCCGGTCGTGTAGGCATTGTCTGTGTAGCGTTCCAAGTGACTGCTGCGAGTCTGACAGACAGGACCTGCCAGAAAATCCTGGACATGACGCAGTCAGTATTTCTGGGATTCGAGAGGATCCAGTACGCAATGCCGATATTGAGTGAGACACAAGTACGTACGTACGCACGTCTGAGCTGCCAATGCCTTGCCTCTTTGGCCAGGCCAAGGCGCCGAGAATAACAATGGCCTTGTCAATGTCTCGGGAAGCTTCCTTCACAGCGAACCCACGTAAGTTTATCTTACAGGTGCAATGGATAATCCCTCCACCAGGGCAAATACCAACTGTGGATACGGAATAACTAGTACCAGTCGTACGTCGTGTCGCACGGCACGGCATGCCCAACGCGCCCTAGCATACCCACCTAGGGCTAATAGACACGCACGCGCACAGGATAAAGTTAATGCGCACCTAAAGCGTAGAGCTAAGTGCACCTATTTAAAGAGCGTATATAATTCTCTCTTTTGTAAATTAATTTAAGGCTTTTAACTATTATCTAAGTAATATCTAGCTTAGTGCTACTACTATTATATAATAGTTATAAGCCTAGGAGGTATTAATTAACTTCTGCAACTTCTACTAGTATATTAAGTACTCTTTATATATATTATATACTTATTATTTTTATTTTAAGCTAGCTATAAGCTAATCTACTAAGCTAACTATACTAGTAGGTGCTATTCTAGTGCTAGTAAAGCTTCTTTATTTCTCTATAAATTAAAAGAATTAGTATAATATAATATATAGTTATTATAAAATATAGAAGATTTAGAACTATATAGACTCTAATTAACTAGAGTAGGAGTTTAATAGTTTTCTTAAGCTTAAGCGCTTAATAATAGTAAAGGCTAAGGTTCTTTATAAAGTATATTATTACTTTAATTTAACTTATATAGTTACTAAGGTATATAACTAAATACAAAAGAACTATAAGTATTAGTATGCTAACTAGCTATATAAAGAGAAGAGTATAACTTATATATATACTTAGTTTGCTATTTTAATTAAACTAAGTATATATTAAGTAACTATAGTTAAGCTAGAGAGAATAAATTCTAAATTTACTCTTAAGTAGCTAGTTAAAGCGCTAAAAGTATAGCTTGCTCTAAATAATTTAAGTATTTATATAGAAGCTTATAGAGTCTATAAAGTAGTTCTTAAAGATACTTAATATATAAATTAGAATCTTAAGAACTAGTATCTCTAATAAAGTAAGGCCTTTACTTATACTACTATAGAAAAAATTGCTAAGATCTAGAGTATTATTACTATTTATAATTTCCTTAAAGCAGCTAGATTTTGCTATAATTCTAGCTAGGCTAAAACTCTAATTAATATAATAAGAAATAATAAGAGTATTAAAATACTAAAGACTTATATACTTAGGGATTTTAGTAATATATTTAATAGCTACCTTACTTAAAATAAGTATAGCAAGTTAAAAGCTAAGAGTATTTATACTACCTTAAGTAAATACTTAGATTATAAAGATAATAAGAATAATACTAATAATAATACTTAAGGCAATAGCAGTAATAATTAGAATAATACTTAAAATAACGCTAAGAAGAAGAAGTACTTTTATATACCTAAGAATTTATCTCTTCTCTATCTCTAAAGCGCTTAGAAATATAAAAGACTATACTATATACTTATAGAAGACTAGAGTCTTAAACTTTATATATATCTAACTAAGAAAGAGATTATATAGATAAAGAACTACTATAATAGCAATAAATAGAAGGACTTATACTTAAAGCTATTAGCAGAAGGCATAGAACTAAGCTTATAGAATAACTAGAGCTTTAATAAGAAACTATACTCTTTTAATAAGGAATTTAATAGTGCTATTATAAATCCCTAAATTACTTAATTTTATAGGTAATACTTTAGAATTTATATAGCGCTTAGATAAGCTAAATATCTACTCTCTTTAAGCATACTATTAAATAACTATAGTGCTATATATTTTATTAATAATATTAATCTACTTAAGCTAGGCTTATTTAGAGAGATAATAGAAGAATATATAGAGGTAGAAGCAATAAGCTATCTAATTATTAGAAGAGGTATATATATACTTAGGAAGATTCTATATAGTAATAATAGCGCTAAAACAGTAGACCTTACTCTTAGTAATATAGCTCTTATTAAGGACTTTTATATTAATATTATCTTAGTAGATCTTTTATATAAAAAGAGAGCTTAGCTTTAGAGTTATAATTATATACTATACTATAGACTATTAGAAAGAAGTATAGTACTAGCTTAGCTAGTTAGAAAGTTTAGCTTAACCTTCCTTAAATATAAGCCTCTTAATAACTATATAAAGAACTCTTAAGAAAATACTATAATCTTAAGCTCTTCTACTATTATTACTATAAGTAGTTATACTTAGAATATATATATATAAAGCTCTTAGCACTAGAGGCTTAGTAAGAACTCTCTAAAGCTAAGAGAAGATACCTCTAAATTATAGTATCTATAAGCTAGCTATCTTAGTAAAGCTATGCTTAAGAAGCTCTACTTAAATACTAGGAATATATATATAAAGGGAATTAAGTATAAAGACTATAATGTCTATACTTAAGTGCTTATACACTAAGTTATATCTAGGCGCTCTAGAGAGTATATATTACTATATTTATTTTAGTGTATATATTAAAACCTTTAAGATTACTTACCTAGTTATAATAGTATAAATTAGCTCTTAGTATTTAAGGATAAATACTCTAAGATAATATAAGTATATCTACTCTCTAATAAAGTATAGAAAATAGTATTTAATATGCTCTTTTACTATAAGCAATAAGTTATATAGTAATTTGGGCTGTTAATATATAAGTTTATATAGAATAATAAGAGTGCTATAATTTAGCAAGCAGGTAAATCTATATTTTAACGCTAAGTATATATATAAGGAATTAAGCTTAAAAACTCTCCCCCTTATATATATAAATTTAATAGCAGCATTAAAAGAGTAAGCTAATTAATTACGCTATACTTAATTAAGATACTTATAAGCGCAGGCTTACTAATGAACCTATAGTTAGAGAGTATATAAGCTATAGTATATCTTTATAATATAAGCTCTTACTAAACTACTAGTTAGAAATTACTATAGCAAACTCTAGATACTTAGTTTTATAATAATACTTAATTACTAATAAGAGAGTATATAGTAGACTTAAGACTTAATTAGAATAAAGTCTATATATATAGCTGCTATATATATCTACTTAAAAGAGATTATAAGGCAGGCTATAATAGATAGTACTATAAAATAAGCTCTAGAAGCTATATTAAGTATCTAGTTAAATACTCTGCCTTTAATATATACTAAATATAGATTCCTTGCCTTAATAAAGTTATAATAATAAGAAATATAATATTTAATAAGTCTATCTTCTATAATATATATATAGAAAGTATAGTTAAGCTTTCTATAATAAAATTAAAAGCTTAATTTATAGCTCTTTAAATTAATAATATACTAGATAAAGAAGTAAACTACTTACTTTTCTTTATAGAAGATAATACCATAGTAGAACTTAATGTATATTCTACCTTAAGAGTAGAAGCTTAAATAATTTCTAAAGATAAAGAACTAAGTATAGTAGAGCTAGAAATATATATAGAACTTTCTACTTTATATTAAATACTTAATTATATATTTAATATAGATAATAATACTAGTAGTAGGCCTAAGCAGCTAACTAGTATGCTATAAGCTTAACTAAGTATTAAGTTACAACCTCTTTAAATATAAATACTAGCCTAGACTAGAGATAAGACTTAAGTAATCTTACTAACTAATATATAATAAGAGCAGAGTATATTAGCACTAGAGGCTTACTAAGCGCTAAATAAGTTAGCTACTTACTTAGATATATAGTAGAGAGCTTAAGTCTTAATAAAGGCATCTGCTGTTAATAACTATAGAATAAAGAGCTTATAAAGTATAAAAGCTTTATATTATAGCATAAGGCAAGCTAGAAAAAAGCGCTAAGATTAAAGTGCTTTATATAGAAAACGTCTTAATATATATTTAATATAATATTTATAGTAGCTACTAGAGAATATTCTGCTTAATTAGTAGAATATAAATACAAAAGCTATATAATACTTTATAATAGTTTATATAGTAATTAATGTAATATATAATAAGGAAAATAGAGCTTAGCTTTAATAATAGCTTAATTTAGAGAAGGTTTACTTAACTAATTTAGTTAAAGCGCTTAAATCCTAGAAGAAGATATAAAACTACTTATTAAAAGCTTAATAGAAGAAAGCAATATCTATAGAGGTTACTGCACTATATAATAAAAGCACTTAGAAGAAAATTAAGTATATAAATATTTAGTCTAGGCTGCTGCCTCTTAAGTAGGTTTATATTTATAAGTTTAATAAGAGAAGTTATCTTAATAAATATAAAGTATATATTTATATATATAGCAATTTATAGAACTACTTTATAATTAAATAAACCTATATAGTAATACTTATAGTATATATATTTTAAATTATAATAGCGCTAGCTGCTAGGTATAATATGGAATTACTATAATTTAATATTAAGAATGCCTTTCTATATATAAAGTATAGTAAGTATATAATATTAGTAATATATAAGCTCCCTAATAGTTATAAAATACTAGGGAAGTATATTTAATTACTTAAAGCTTTATATAAGCTATAAGACTTACTAAGCTTATAGTTTAAAGAGCTAAGTATAACTCTTAAGAGAGCTAGGCTTAATTTAAGTAAAGAAGAGCTATATATCTTCTTTAATAAAGCTTAGAATATCTATTTAATATTTTTTATAGATAATATTATACTTACCTTTTATAAGAGAAGAGAAGTAAGGCAAGTAGTAAATTATATAGTTTAGTGCTTAAAGTAAGTATATAATCTAGAAAAGAAAGGCAAACTAAGCTTCTTTCTAAGCATCTAGATTATTAAGGACAGACTATACTACAAAATTTTCCTTTATTATAAAGCTTATATAGAAAAGATTAGTTAAAAGTTTAGTTAAGTATAGAAAGCTACTTTTCTTACTATACTAATTTCTATAATAGAACTTATATAGCATATTAGTAAGGCAACTAAGCAAGAAATTAAAGCCTACTAGGAAAAGGTTAGCTCTCTATTATATATAGTAATTATAATTAGACTAGATGTTACTTATACTGCTTCTAAGCTTTTATAATTTCTAATAAACCTAGGCTCTAAGCATTAAAAGGCAGTAGACTAAGCTATTTAATACTTAGCTTTAATAAGTAAAGTTGCTCTTTATTATAGCAGCAGTATAAGGGAAATTAAAGCGCTAGAAGTTATAAGTAATGCTTTATATATAAATAATTTAAGTATATAAAGGTTATTATAGAGATATATTATTATATTATTTAAAGGTCTAAGGTCTAGTTATCTAGAAAGCTATACGCTAGAATATAGTAACTATATTTATAATAAAGGCTAAACTACTTACTTTATAATAAGCAGTAAAGAAGATTATAGCTTTAAAGCGCTTTTTTTGCAATATTTATTTTAACTTAAGAGAGAATTATAATATTTAATATAATAATTAGTAGATAATTTATTTTATACTTAATTTAAGCAAGCAAATTAATATATATCTATACTATATTAATATCTATAATATATAGTTAAAATAGAAATATAAAAAAGAAAGCTTTAAAGTTATATATTTACCTACAGCTAAGATGCCTACTATAAAAAACACCTATAAAAACAAGGGAAATAACTACATTTTAAATACTTTAAAGGCCTGCTTAATTTAGTTAATTTAAGCAGCTAAGGCTAACTCTTGTAATATTATAATTACGCAAACAAGAGTACAGCTAAGAGGGGGCATTAAATTAATTACTTCTTAGATATATAAGCGCCTACTTCTTCTAAGTAAAGCGCGCTTAGAAGGTAAATAAAATTATATAAAGTAATGCTAAAATACTAAATACTAAAAATACCTATAGGCAAAAAGTAAGCTGCTACTTATATTAAAATATATATATAATAGAATAATAAAAGTAAAGCTTACTTCTTAATAACTAAGTCTATAACTTAGTTAAGTAAAGCTTTTATATAAGCTTTCTTTCCCCTAGCTGCTAATAAGCCTCTAGCAGCATTATTAGCTTTAACATTAAGTATAAACTCTTTATATATAGAGTTAGACTCTATAAGAAAGTTAAGCTATAATTAAAGTGCCTAATAGCACTTATTATATATCTACAGCTTAAAGTATTAAAATTAAGTATAAAATTAAAGGTAATAAAGCATTAGGAGCTTACCTTACTATCTATACTTAATGCTAATAGTATCTACTTAGCAATAGAAACTAATATAGTATAACTATATATATAATTAGTAATTAGCTAATTAAAGGAGTAAAATTAAGCTTACTAAGGCTAGCAAGTATAATTGCCTGCCTTATATAAGTAGTATTATTTAGAGCAACTAATAGTTACCTTAAAGCAGTAACCTTTATTGCCTTTGCTTATAATAGCTATATAAATACAGCCTTTATAGAGCATATTATATAGTACATCTAGCTCTAGAGATTTAGTCTAATAGTTAGCGCATAGAACTTATAGAATAATGCTTCTAAGCATAACTTACTCTTTACACTCTTATAGGCTTAGCAGGCCTTAAGAGATAATAATACTTAGAGAGAGAAGTTATTACTAGAACCTTCTTGCTATTAGGAGTAGAAGTAGTACTACTAGGCTGCTCCTTAAATAAGGTAGATATAGATATATCTAAATTTACTAGTATTTACTGCTAGCACTTAGTATAAATAGTTCTGCTTAATCTTAGAGGCATAATAATAATAATAATAATAATAGTAATAATTAAAATATAAGCTTATAATTATATAAAGGCAGTTGTAGAAGGAAGGAAAAAGAGAGCTTATAATACTCTTAGAAAGTATATATAAATATAAAGAGCAGCTAGCTAATAAGCATATAGTGCTTACTTTTAATTTACCTAAAAAAATAGTATAGCTATACTATATAAAATAATAGAATTAGAGCAAATTAAAGGCATTAGTAGGCATATAAAAGCTTTAATTAAATGCTCTATTAAGTATACGCTTGTATAGTCTAAGGCTTATAATAGCTTTAAATGCAGCTTTAATTAGGGGGTGTATTGTATAGTATAGTATGCCTAACGCGCTCTAGCATACCTACCTAGAGCTAATAGATATATATACGTATAGAATAAAGTTAATACGCACCTAAAGCGTAGAGCTAAGCGCACCTATTTAAAGAGCGCATATAATTCTCTCTTTTGTAGATTAATTTAAGGCTTTTAACTATTATCTAAGTAATATCTAGCTTAGTGCCACTGCTATCGTGTAACACGTCGGGAGATAGCATTGTGGGCGGTTAGGGTTACCATGGAGCCTTGCAGCCCTGTTGGCGAGCCGTTTTTCGGAAGAAGCTGGCCAAGGAAACCAGGGCCTACCTGGGTAGATGGTAGAATATGCCGGGGTAGAGCTAGTTGTGATGGAGCACGTACCTACATTGAGTTGATATCTCCATATCGAAAGGACGGAGCAGAGTACCGAGTCGAGACGTGCCGAGGAGGGCGCCGGGATGGCGGTGGCGGTGGAGGGGCAACATAACGCCCCGCGATTTTCCTGGGACTCGGGGACTGGTTGTTCCGCAACCCGCGGTTTTCTGGTACGGACTCCGGAGGAAGGTGTGAATGACTTTGAACTGGCTGTTTCTACGTGCTGCATCAAAGATCTTAACAGAGTCTAGTACTATTTGGGGTTTCCTCGGAGAGGCGTTGTCGGCTGGTGGTTGGACGCGCTTGCATTTGAATCGCGCCATTCATCCATTGGAAGCTGAGCACCTGTCGTAGTTGGGTTATGCAACTGCGACTTGCGCGGTACGCATCGATAAGCATAGAGTAATGAGTAATAAATCTCCACGCTCAACGCCTCAACGTGCGCATAATTCCCCGCTTGCGTCATGGCCACATACACCCATACACACATACACACATGTTGACTGATTGACGGCGCGGCTCAGCATCGTCGTCTGGCCCATGATTGATAACAGCTCACGCACAGGCTCCGCCAACCAACCGATCCACCACCGCCTACCCGCCAGGCAGACATCGGCCGTGCCGTACGGTCAACGTCCCTGTCCCGGCGTGCGATTCCCACATCACACCTGAAAGAGCTATAGAATTCCATCCATGGACGGGAAACGCAACATAGTGATTGTCGGTACGTGATACACAATCACCAAATCCATCCCCATCCCCATCCCATTCATCGCCGCCGCCGCCGCCGCAGCCACCTGTCCGGCAATGAAGGAATCTGACACGCATCACAGGCGGCGGCATCATTGGCTGTACAACCGCCTATTATCTCACTCGCCATCCAAAGTTCAACCCGGCTGAACACACAATTACACTTCTCGAGGCTGGCCCGTCACTTGCATGCGGTGCTTCTGGAAAAGCAGGCGGTTTGCTGGCTCTGTGGGCATATCCCGCCTGCATTGTGCCTCTATCCTATAAGTTGCACGCAGAGCTGGCTGCAGAGCACAACGGCCCGCAAAGATGGGGCTATCGTAAACTGCAATGTGGCAGTTTTGAGGCCGTCGTATCAAGAAAGAAACTCCACAGCTCCCAACCCTCCGCGGAAGGGGAGAAGCCGTGGGAAAAGCTGCCAAAGCAAGATGAGGCGGCACAAGAATTACTAGAACAAAGGACACTACCCAAGGCCCTGGACTGGGTGGACCGAGACTTGGTGACGAGCTGGGCTGAGATGGGCGGTCCCGGAACAGAAGAGACGTCCCAAGTTCACCCCCTTCACTTCACCACTGCTATTGGCGAATTAGCGGAACAGGCTGGCGTCAAAATAAGGACACGTACAAAGGTCACCAAATTGTCCACGTCAAAAGCCGCCGTGGAAAGCATCGAGTACCTGGACAGAAGCACCGGGGCGACGGGGGACATCAATGATGCAACCGACGTTGTCGTTACTGCCGGCCCGTGGACAGGCCGGCTGCTGCCGCGAGCGAAAGTGGAAGGCCTGCGAGCACATAGTGTCGTGTATGATGTGGAAGTGTCCCCGTTTGCCGTCTTCACAGATGTCCAATTGCCCAGTGACTTTGTGCCAGAGCACCGGGCGAAACTGGGACAGCAGAGGATGCACAAGAGCCACGTTGATCCTGAAATTTATGCTCGTCCCTTTGGCGAGGCCTATGCCTGTGGTAAACACCCCAAACGCTACGCGCCAAGACTCAACGGCACTGACATGCAGCACAGGTGAAGGGGATACCACCACGCCGCTGCCAGACACAGTCGACCAAGTCGAATGTGACGAGGCTCGCTGTGACGACATTGCCTCGTACATTAGCACATTCAGCCCGGTCCTCGCCGCGGCTCCCATCAAAGCCAAGCAGTCATGTTATCTGCCGCGACATATGCGGTTCGGCCAAGAGAGTGGCCCGCTCATAGGGCAGACGACGGTACCAGGGTTGTGGGTGGCCGCGGGCCATACGTGCTGGGGGATTCAGAATGGTCCTGCAACGGGAAAATTGATGTCCGAGTATTTATTTGACGGAGTAGCTAGAAGTGCGAGTATCGACAAGCTGGATCCAAGAAAATTCAAGGTATAGTTGACGAAGCAGAATGAAAAATTCCAGATGTAAACACGCGGGGCGCTTGGCGTGTTCAAATACGACTGACCGCCGCGATTTCGTGTATCCATTTGTTACTCCCCTGATTGATTGCTCTAGTAGCAGTGACCCCCGAATCCTTTTCGATTCATCTCTAGTCCTGAACAAGCTTGCGAGCGCCCCTTTTTTCTTTGTTCTTTTCCTTTCCTTTCTTTTCTTTCTTTTCTTTTTCTTTTTTTTTTTTTTAATTTGCCATTTTCTATCCTCTCCTATCCATCCAAATTTATAGGCAACCCTAACCCCAAAACACCGTATCGGCGACCCGACATCTGGCCGAGCAACCACCGCCACGCCCCGCGCCGGTCTTATCGATAAGACCGCACTCAGAAATTTTGGCCGACAGACAACCAACCTCCAACCGCAACCTCCCGCAACCCCCGTCCAGGACCAAATATTCACGTCCAACCTCCACCATGGGCCGCGAACTCCAGAAAAAGAAGCGCCGATCGAACCGCCAGCCGGTAAAGCAATCCAACAAGACCAAGAGAATCCTCAACCCCCGCGGCAACAACGTCATCGCCAAAAACTGGTGCCGTTTCCCCCCTTTCCTCGACGGCGCCCGCGCCATCACTCAGGTCCAAGCTGCTAACCGTGGGACATTAGGGACAAGAAGGAAACTCTCGCCCAGAACTACCGCCGCCTCGGACTCGTCGCGCGGCTCAAAGCCCCCGCCGGCGGTGTGGAAAAGAAACTGAGCGCCGCTACGGTGGGGATATCGAAAGACGACCCGTTCGCAATAACGTCTGTGGGCAAGGCTATTGTCTCGGAGGCAAAGGTGGAGAGGGATGCGGATGGCAAAATTGTTCGGGTCTTGGGGACGACGAGGTCGAATCCCTTGAATGATCCGCTGAACGGTCTTGACTCCGGTTCGGAAGACGAGAATGAGGATGAGTGGGGTGGCCTTGCGGAGAGGGAGGCCGAGGAGGAGGGCACGACGGATGTGGTGAGGAGTCTGATTGAGGAGTCGCATAATCCGGCGCCCAAGGTGGCGAGATACCAGAGCGAAGGGGAGAGGGAGTGGTTGGGGAAACTGGTTGAACGGTATGGGGATGACTATGCGGCCATGGCGACGGATATGAGGCTGAATCCGATGCAGCAGACAGCTAGGGATATCGGGCGGAGGATCAAGAAGATGCGGGGTGAATGAACCAGCTATCGAGCGTTTCTCCTTGTGACGACGTGTACAGGCAAAAGGGCGTTTGGGGGAATAGCTTTTACAAGACACTTGGCATGCTGCATCAAATACTTTGATTCAAAACACATTTTATTCTTATCCAGTCAGTCAGTCTACATACATCTGAGTCAAGGTATCATCTCATCGACGCCGCTAGTTGCAAGCTTTAAACCTCGATGGCCCCATCAAAACGCCAATATCCTAAGTCTACATAAAAGGTCTATGTGTAATATCTGTTATGCATCATCGCTGCCCATCCTTAAGATTACCGATCCACACGGTCGTAATTACCGGCAGGAAATTTGACAGGCTCGTCGTCATAACTAATCTGCGAGCCGCCGTAAGGGTGATCTGTGGGAGGCACACTGGCCCTGCCAGAGCCATACTCAGTGTCCTGGTTAAACAGCTCATGTCTGCCAGGAGGAAGGGCACCATAACGATCGTCGTTTTCCTGGCCATGGGGATTTGCGTGGCCGTAGCGTCCAGATTCGGAGTAGCTAGTATTCTCGTGGTCATCCACATTCACTCGCTCGTAGGCTTTTTCATCGTGGGGAGCCATGGAGAATGCGGCCTTGTCGGGATCAATGCTGTTGTCACCGCCGCGAAGCTTTCGCTTGTCGTATCCAGGAAGACTGCCGTGGAACCTCCAGTACGTGAGCGTATAGGCACTGATGAACGAGGTAGCACCAAACAAGAGGCTGTTGAATAAAGACTTAGCTGAGTGTGATGGGGTGTGCTGAGAGCCCAAAACCTACCAGACGAATACTCCCAGAGCAACGACACCCTTACTCACGTTGCACACCTGCCCGCAGAGGCCTGCTGAATTGTACGTCGCCTGTGTAGCAAAAGCTGACAACCAGATGATTGTGAAGACGATGTCGACTGCCAGCATAGCGTGAGGCTCGGCAAACTTTCGGGCACGTGCAAACCGAGGCGTCATGATGAGATAGAGCCATGCTGGGATTGAGAGAAAGAACTACGCAACGTCAGTTTAGAGTATCATCTGTTACCGTTGAGTATTTTTCGTCATCGCCATACCACTCCAAATGTCCATCCGTTGTTGCCCACAACCTTCGCATCCTTCCCCGTAAATACAGCAATTTCCATGCACCATCCGACAAGCGCTAAGAGAATCTGAGCGCAGTGCAAGCCGAGCTTGTTGCGAGGCACCAGATCCGGGTCAAATTCGAGACCCATGGTTGTCAGGTTTGTCGTCGTCGGTGCTGTGGTGTTTACTTATTAGTGGCAGGCGTACGCCGACGTAAAGCAAACTCGCGAGCCCGAAAAACAGCAACAAGCTTGCTACGTCAGTCGAGTCGCAACAACAGTCGTTGTACTTTGCTCAACCAGTCTCTGTTGGGGAAAGTGGAAAGTGGATCTGTAAAGGCCAGGGCAGAGCACCAGGTCTGAGCTGAGGCTGAGTCCGCGGGCGGCTTGGATGTTTGCAAGGACTGTCAAGGGGCAGTGTTGAAGTGTTCGGCGTCATGCACATGGAATCACCGATTCTAGGGTTTGGTGATGAAGGATAAGAGAGAGGTATGTTGAGGATGAAAAATGGGAGCCAACAAAGAAGAGGCGTTGTTGCAGAGGAAGGCCCGCATGGTGCAACAGCTGCAGAAGTGCAGGAGGCGCAGTTTGGAAGCGCCTGCCTCGTGCTTTTGCTGAGGTCCAGGGCCATCTTCCTTTTTTACCAGCCAACAACAATCAAGGTTGTGCGGCACAACAGCGCATGGAGTCGACATCATGCTGGCGGCTACGGAGTGCCTACCCAGGTATCACATCCTGCCAACCTACTACGCATGCCCACAGTAAGCAGTAAGTCAATATTGACAACCAAGGCACTTGCCAAAATCGAGAGCCTGTAGTTAGCATGCAAGGTGGCTTGGTGCCCGACCTGGCGCTGCGGCAACGGTGAGGGACATGCAGCCATCGGTCCACATGCTTACTCATTGTTCGATTCTCACTCGCCCAGAAAGTTGAGCATCCCTGCAGGTGGGACACTGTCGCGGCTTGTGGCAACAAAGGCTTTTGGAGCATGACATTCATTGCCACGACATGGCAGGAGGCCTGATTCCTAGGTACTTAGTCGGCGATAGAAACCGACCCCAAAGAGTCCGCAGCTATCGTGGAGTAAAGTTCGGCCAAATGAGATGACTGACTACTCGGACAGTAAGGCTGGCAATGATTTATTTTAAGAAGAACCAGGTTGATAACCTATTGGCATGGAGCATGAATTTGAAACGTAAGCAGCGTCTAAGCGTGGCAGTTGCGTCACATGACAGCATGGTCAAGCTAATAAACCAATGAACGCTCGTACTTGGTGCCTGAATGTAAACCAGCGTGATATGAACGGGCCATGACTATCCTAAACGATAGCCTGACATGCACTACTGGCCCCTATATATCGACGATTTATCAGGGATGGGCGAGATGACTTCAGCAAGCGAATAACACTGAACTTGAGTCATTCAGATCTTTAATCTCGATGTTGGGAAAAACCGCACCACTGTTTTCTTCATGTTTACGCTGTATACAAGCACGAGCGGTTCGTGCCCCAGTCCGCTGCAGAAAGCAGGAAAACATGTCTATCGCCTGTCCAACGTTGAGTGAAGCGTATGATGTCTCATCATAGAAACACAAATCAGAGCCGCAATAGCTAGCCCCAACATGGTAAGCCATACAGCTCCAAATGCTTCCATAAACGAATCAATCACCCCGTCATACCAGCCGTCAGGCAAGTGCCTCAGTTCCTCTAGATCATCTCTGATACGACGGATCTCGTCTGCGGCGTCGGGCTGGTCCCCGAAACGATCCCAAAGACGGGTCTTGAGAATGTTTTGGTAGACAGCGGAACCAACAGTGATTCCAACCGTGCCTCCAAGACTTCTGGCCAGGTCTATTAAGCTTGTTAGCAGCGGGTGCCTCAAAATGAGGGGCTCTGGAGCAACTCTTACAGGTCGCAGAGGTCACAACAGCTTGCTGGGAGTGATCTACGGCCGCAATACAAGCGAGAAGGGTCGTCGTAAGCATAGCACCATATCCGCCTCCGACAAGGAAGAAAGCAGGGCTGGTAAGCCAGACAGAGGCATCGCGGCCCAGGAGCGTCAGCAAAACAATACCGGCACTGACCAGGACCATACTGGCAACGCCGAGAGTGACGAACCGACCCGTTCGCTTCATAATGTAGCCAGCCAAAACTGATGAAATCGACACGCCGATAGGTGACGGCAAAATTCTGAGACCAGCATTTGTGGCGGATTCACCCAGCACCTGCAGGTACATTGGCACATAGAAGATGAGCGTCAGAACCACCATTGTGCCAAGGAGGTTCGTAAAGCATGCAGCCAGCACAGTCCGAGTCATCAGCAGCCTAACAGGAATGATGGGCTGACGAGCACGGCTCTCCCACCACAAGAAACCACCAAATGCCACCGTAGACAGGGGAATAGTTGTGAGCGGCAGCGGGTGTGTCCACGGAACCTGGTTTCCTCCTGAATTCAGCCCCAAAAGCAATAAAACAAGAAATGACGAGGTTAAGAAGACACCGACAAAGTCGATACGCGCCAAGTATGACTTGTCAGACTGCTTGGGCGGCACCGTGACCAAGAAGTGGACGGCGACGGCCGACAATAATACCGGGGGCACTTGGATCAAAAAGACGAGCCGCCATCCAAGCTTGGTATGATCATTGATCAAGCCGCCAAAGACACCTCCTAGCATGGCACCGGAGCCATAGCAAATATTGCCAATTCCCTGAACAACGCCTCGATTGCGCAGCGGGATCAGGTCCGACCCCAGAAATGTGGAAATGCTCATCAGGCCGCCGCCGCCGATACCAGCAACGACACGACCTAGAATCATGATCTTTTCGTCACGAGCTAGCCCGCATATCAAGTTTCCCAAGGCAAAGAAGACATTGCTGAAAACGAGTCCTGGGCCGCGGCCGAAAATATCTGTCAAGCGGCCGGAAATAGGCTGGCACGCGGCGTTGGATATAAGATACGCCGTCGCAAGCCAGGACATTAGACTTAGCGACCTGAATTCGCTGGCAATGGGTGCAGACAGCGTGGCAATAATGGTAGAGTCCACTGCACCAAGGAACACGCCGACCCAAGTCGTGCCCATGATGAGCGCCAGCCTGCCGAACGACTCCTCCTTGGCCAGGACAGTCTGCTCCTCCTCTTGGTCGCCAGAGACACCGGGGTCATTCTCACAAGGAATTCCATTGACAGGCCCGTCATCATGGCTCTCGTCGCCGTTGGGCCTCAGCAACGGCGTGCGCTCTGTGCTGCCGATGTGTGCGGCCACTTCGTCGCGTCGGTTTGAACCGCCGTCGCCCTGGGTTCCAGTCATGATTGCTACCGCTCAAACAACGTCAGACGGTTCGGCACTAGGTCGACGAGCTGCGCTACATTGGTGGGTTGATGGAGGAGAAATGAATAGGGTGTGCCCCGTGAGGCTGTGATTCGTGACGGAGCGAATTCTATACCTGCAACTACGTACCACAGAAAGCAACTTTGGGCCTTGATCCACATCTCGGGCGCTTTCATATCTGGCCCGAATCGCTCCATAAAATTTCACTCGAAAAGAAGCTATTCCTAATATAGTAGTAGTACTTGGAGCTCTTGTACCTTGAGCATATTCAATCAAATTAAGCTGAAAGATTTTACGCAACTTATCACGGTGGGCATGGCGGTGGAAATGGCGGCAAGAGACTTGCGGTTTTGAATTATTTTATCAAGCATTGCTTTACGCTGACCGGTCCGACGACTGCCCGGCTCCAGGGCGCTGGCATGAGGACTAGTCAGTGCTTTCTTTGCGTCCTAGGACCCCTTTTCTTTTGTCTAGGAAAAAAGAGAAGAGGAAAAAAGCCCTTTCTGATTCTTTGCCGTCATCATAGACTTTTACTCCGTATAGGTTATCGCTTCGAGACAGCAACCCAGCTAGCTGTCGCGCAGCTAATACTTATGGGGTCCTTGGGTGCAAGATGGTTTTAATGGCTCTGACAATACTTCCAATGCGATTTCAAACCTCACCTCCTGCGTTGACTGCGATTCTCTATCCTGCTCCAGACCCAAGTCGTTGCAAGGTTGCCTGCTTAAGCATTAACCAAGACAGAGACATGGGCAGACTAAACTGTGCCCACCCACCCGTCGATGTTTCGGTACGTTCAATGAGGGACATCAAACCATAAACTGATACCCTCAGGCAGTCACTGTGCCACGCCCTGATTATCGAACCAGCGACATCCATGCCCTTGTTGCAACAGAGCAACTAGTTATACCGTCATATCATCATGGATGAGGGTGTAGCAGGTGGTATAGCTTCCCAGCTGGAATGCACTCCATGACTCCATACCCCCTGAGGCACGAGCGCCAAGATTGGCGGGATCCACACTGCCGCAGGGGCGTCCTCCAGTCTGATCTCTCCGAGTTTCGGGTCGACAAGGCCATCCGTCAGCCGCTATCTACGGATTAGCATGGCATTTCGGTCCCATCACCTCGGTCTGGTCCTCCCTTTGTTTCGTACATGTCCTGATCGTCCCATGTCGTTTTTGGCATCCCACTTTTGCGGGCACGTACCGCGACAACCATTCCTTTGCATGCTTTATTCCGTACATTTACCCATTCATTCATTCATTCATTCATTCATCGCCCTCGTTTCCATCGAGAAACCCCCATCGTAGGCCAGCTGCCTTCTCGCCAAATCACCTCGCGACGTCGATATCGTTCAGCCAACGCTAGAATTTCCCTCCGACGACGATCAAATTGGAGCCATCCCCCCCTCCCCTTATTCTTTTACGTCCTTGCTACGGCTTACATACATGACGACTTTGTGAAGCCGCCCTCCTTCGACGTCGATTCGCATTACGCAGTTGACCCTGGCTGGGCCGACCAGAGGTCGTTTATTTCCCAATCGCCCCGACTCAAACAAACACCGCCAACATGCGACTCTTTCCATCACTAGCGAACATCGTGGCGGCCATGGCGGCACTCCCATCACTGGCCGCTGGCGAAAATATGCTCATATCAAACTCACTCAACTCGTGCCAAACAAACTCCAAGTTTGAAGCCAGTCTTTTCAACGTCGTATATACACCGTCGAATAACTCCGCAACCATTGATGTTGTCGCTACCTCCTCCGTGCAAGCAAAAGTCTCGTTCCACGTCGTTGTTTTAGTCTATGGTTTGAAAATCATCGAATCCGACTTTAATCCATGCGGGAAGAAGGGGCTGGAAGGCATTTGCCCCATGGTGGCTGGCAAGACTAAATTTACCTGGACTATTCCCGTTCCCGCCGAAAGCACCAAGGACGTCCCGGGCATCGCCTTTGGAATTCCCGATTTGGACGCCATGGTGCGTGTAAAAATGAACCTGATCGATACCAAAGATCAAATCGCATGCGTCGAGGCGAGGATCTCAAACGGGAAAACCGTGGATCTCAAGGGCGTCAAGTGGGCGACGGCCATCATCGCCGGCCTAGCCCTCTTGTCGTCCGCGGCAGTGAGCGGACTAGGCCATCTCAACACTGCTGCCCACGTTGCTGCCAATTCGCTCTCCTTGTTCGGATACTTTCAGGCTCAGGCCATTGTTGGGCTGACTGGCCTCCGACTGCCCCCCATTGTGCAGGCATGGACTCAAAACTTCCAGTGGTCCATGGGAATCATCCACCTTAATTGGATGCAGAAGATATTTACGTGGTACCAGCGTGCTACCGGTGGGACGCCTTCGAGCTTGTTTTCCACCCTAAAGACCATCTCTGTTCAGGTTGAGAAGCGCGGTCTCGACCTGGCGGAGGCCGCCGAGTCACTCGGCAAACGTGGTCTCTCCATGCTTCCTGAGAGCGTGTCCAGTACGGCGGCGCTCATCTTGAAGCGTGCAGGAAACATCACCAATGACTCGGGATCCTACCTAGTCTTTGGCATCCAACGTGTGGCCTTCCGCGCCAAAATCGAATCGACAAATCTCTTCCTCACGGGTCTAGTCTGGTTCTCCTTGTTCGTCATCATCACCGCCATGGGTGTTGTCGCATTCAAAGGACTTCTCGAATTGTGTGCCTCGCAGGGCCTCGTCTCAAAGGACAAGTTTCTGGAGTTCCGGAACGGCTGGCGTGTTATTCTCAAAGGCATCATGTTCCGCGTGTGCCTCATTGGTTATCCGCAGATTGCCATTCTTTGCCTGTGGGAATTGACGCAGATTGATTCGCCGGCATTGGCAATTCTAGCCGTGGTTTTCTTTGCCGCCGTTTCTATTATTCTCGGTTGGGGTTCCAGTAAAGTCATCCGAATTGCCCGTCGGTCGATTCTCATGCACAGAAACCCGGCGTATATCCTCTTCTCCGATCCGCAAGCCTTGAATAAATGGGGATTTCTATATATCCAGTTCCGTGCATCGGCCTATTACTTTGTTGTCCCTGTCCTAGGGTATATCCTAATCAAGGCCATGTTTGTCGCCTTTGGGCAAAAGGCTGGCCTTGCCCAGGCAATCGGCTTCCTCATCCTTGAACTAGCAGCTCTTATTGCCTGTTCTGTCCTGCGTCCCTGGATGGACAAGTCGACGAATTCGTTTAATATTGCTATCTATTCTGTGAATTTTATCAATGCTATTTGTCTGTTGGTATTTTCTGACGTGTTTGGGGCACCAGGTATTGTTATTGGTGCTGTGGGCGTGGTATTTTTTGTTCTTAATGCTGCGTTTTCCCTAATTCTGCTGCTCATGGTTATCATTTCAACAAGTTTTACCTTTTTCCGAAAGAATCCAGACGCGCGCTACCAGTACATGGCTGACGATCGCGCTTCGTTTATGCGATCACAGACTCATCTCACAACCACCACCGAGCTGGACGCATTAGCTGCTACTGCGCGCGGTGACAAGGGAGGATACAAGTCGCAGCTGGACTTGGAGGATGACGGGCATCTTCATCCGATGGATGCCAGCAACCGATTTGCTAGACCGTCCTCGCCGGTAAATCCGTCAATGCCGCTGTTCCCGTCGAACAGAGAACAAAGTCCATTCAGATCTCCATCTCCTGCATCCAGCGTGGGGTCGTACGGGGGCGCACCCCCGTCCTACCGGCGGGTAAATAATTCAAGGTAAGTAGGTTGCCGCCAGCTTCAGTTGAAATCATACTTGCTGACGCCTGCGTGCAGTCCATGGAAACGTGGAGCAGGATATGAGTAGTATTTACATCGGCCAAGCAATTTTGGCAGTGGAGGTGCGAAGATTGCAAATCACATGTATATTCAATGGTTGACATGCATAAATGGGCTTCGTTCAGGTCAACATGATGAAATTGAGACCAGAATGCCTACTTGCAATGACGATGCCCTGGCGTCTCCTAAACAACATTGACGACTACACCGTCACGCCATCAAACACCATTACCGCGCTCTCCCAAATCTGCGGTGGCAGAGTCTCATCGTCAACCGCCTCCGCAGATTGGCAGAAATTCACTATGCCAGCAAACACCTCTCCGGCCTCTAATTCAAACATAGATGTGCCTTGCTGGGACAGAAGCTGTGCCTGGACAACCTCAATCGCCACGCCTTGGCTTGCTGCTCCCGATCCAGCCCCAGCACAATCGAATCGGCTTCCATGCCGCCAGCTCGGACAACAAAACCCCCAAACTGTAGATATCGTACCATAGAGCGAGGCGGGACAAGGCGACTACCCGCTCGACGGGGCAGCAGCTGTACCACTGTGGGCCAATGCATTCAGTGCTGCGCAACTTTTGCTTTTGACTTGCTCACGCTGTCCGGCTTGGCGCGTTGACACAACTTTGCGTCTTGGAGGACCGAAAGCCGATGTCGCAGGCGACAAATGTACGATGTACGCCAAATTCCCGTCGTTGAAGGTTGATGATGCCCCGCATTTACTTAATTAGCCATCGGCAAATGGTGCCCCACACTTCCTTGACGAGCCATCGGCAGGCACATCTTGAGCCGGGGTAGCTCAAGCCATGCCCCGCTCACAAATGCAACCCCGCCGCCTTGTTCATCTGCAGTGATTTATTATTATCTATCAGCTTGCTTCATCTTGTTTCCCGTCTTCTCCCTTGCCAGGCTGGACGCTTGCTCGCCTCAATGCTTATTTCCGCCCCGAAGCTCTCGAGGCACACCGTCTTGCCCAGCAGGCCGCACAATCCTCAAAAATGGCACCTCTAAATGTGTTGATGGTACGAAACCTTTTCTATTCAGCCCTCATCGTTGGGAACACATCCCAGCTTACAAGCTAGGTTGGCACTGGTGAATACACCACGGGCTTCGTAGGTACAGGAGCATCCGAGTCTGACAAGAAGGTCGGTGTCGTGGGCCTCACGCTGTTTGACCTGCGACGTCGCGGCAAGGTCGATAAGCTGGCCATGGTTGGCGTCAACGGCTCCAAGTTTCCCGCCATTCGTACGTCTCGAGTCCCGACCTTGTGCCTTTCAGTCCGTCCACTGCAATCTCATCTGACGACGCCTCATCAGGTCAGCACTTGCATAGAAACATTTCGCAAGTCTACAATGGGCTCGACACCTCCTTCGACAGCTTCCCGGCCGACGACCAAAAAGACCCAGACGCATACAAGAGCGCAATCGACCGCCTCTCCCCCGGCGACGCCATCACCGTCTTCACCCCTGACCCGACGCACTATCCCATTGCCCTGTATGCCATTGAGCGTGGCATCCATGTGCTCCTTACCAAGCCCGCCGTCAAGGAGCTTTCCCATCACCAGGACCTGCTGCGCCGTGCCCGCGAGAGGGGCGTCTACGTCTATGTCGAGCACCACAAGCGCTTCGACCCGGCCTACTCGGACGCCCGTTTCAAGGCCAAGACACTCGGCGACTTCAACTACTTCTACAGCTACATGTCCCAGCCCAAGTACCAGCTCGAGACGTTCAAGTCGTGGGCCGGCCGGGAGTCGGACATCTCCTACTACCTCAACAGCCACCACATCGACATCTGCGACTCCATGGTCCAGCAGCTGGGCTACCTCCCAGTCAAGGTGTCGGCCTCGTCGTCCAAGGGCATCGCTACGGACTTGGGCTGCGTCGCCGACACGGAAGACACCGTCTCCCTGCTCGTCACCTGGGCCAAGACGGGCGACCCTTCAAAGCGTGCCGTCGCCGTCTACACGTCCTCGTGGACGGCACCCGAGCGCGCAGGCGTCCACACGAACCAGTACTTCCACTACCTGGCGTCTAATGGCGAGATCCGCGTAGACCAGGCCCATCGCGGCTACGAAGTCGCCGATGACGCCGCCGCCGGCCAGGTCCAGTGGTTCAACCCCTTTTACATGCGCTACGCGCCAGACGAGGACGGCAACTTCAACGGCCAGACGGGATACGGATACATTTCGCTCGAAAAGTTTGTGGACGGATGCGCAGCCATCAATGAGGGACGCTCGAAACCCGAGGACTTGGATGCAAAGGGCTTGCCGACCCTCAGCAACACCATTGCCACAACGGCCATTCTGGAAGCCGGCAGACGGAGTATCGACGAGGGGAGGGAGGTTGGCATCGGGATCGAGGGATCTACTTGGAAGCTGGTGTGACAGGTAGTCGCTGGTAAATCCTCGTCCAAAGCACATACACTACGTACCATCGTTTTCTGCTTCACATCCTAGCAAGCAAGCATCGGGACAAAATTAGCTGGGGCCATGCAAGTGAGTGAAATTGTGGATCCAGGTCTTAAAGCAACCACAAAAAGTTCCACCATCAAAACCACAAAACAGAACTAGAACCTCGTTCCACCACGTCACATCTCACATCTCATCATGCCCATCAACCACCATGACAGCCCCCAACACCGTGGATTTGAGCGACATTGCATTTCCCTCCCAGCCGTCACTGTCGACGCTCCTCACATCCCTCAAACGCTCCACCCTCAGCATCCACAACCGCCTCACGTCCATCCTCTCCGACGCCGAATTCGTCCGCCAAGCAGCCCAGACACTCAAGCAGCCGCCGTCAAATGAAGCGAACCACGAACGCGCTCCCCGCCCCTTGGTCGCCAACGAACGCTGCGGAAGCTGGTACATCCCCCCGGGCGACAAGTACGCCTCGGCCTACTTCAAGAGCACCGACGGCCACGAGCGCGCGTGGAAGTTCAGCACGCGGAGGCTCAACCTCCATCTACTCGGGATGATTGAGGAGCACGACGGGTATGGCGCCTACACTCATCTCGCTCCCTAACCAGCGTCGAAAATCAAAGCTAAGTCGAGCCAGGATAATCATTGTCGACTCCACCAGACGGGGCAAACGTACGCACCCTCACCACCACCACCACCACCGTCTCGCTCCCCGGTCTCGCCACATGCTCCGTCTAACAAAACGCCAGGCATGCCCGACGCCCTCTCAACCACCGTCCCGATATGGTGCACCGTCCTCAACATCGTCCTCCTGCCCTCGCACCCGCTCTCGCCCCAGCTCTTCCTGCCGCCACACCTCCTGCCCACCACCCACGCCCAAATCACCGCCCTCATCCCGCAATTCGTCGCCTCCTTCAAGGCCCTCAACCTCCCGGATCTGCCCGTCATCACGAAGCCCCTCCGCCCCTTCTGGGTCACGCAGGACTCTGTGCTCCCCTCCCTCGAACCCGGCGACCAGACCGCCGGCGCCGGCGCCATATACGCCTCCTGCAGACCGGTGATTTGCCTCACCGCCTCGCGCCGCGACACGTCGACCAGCCAAGTCGATTCCAGCGGCTACATCCAAGGCGCGGCCGACGACACGGAGAACTGGGCGCACGGCCTGACGCCCTCCGTCTTCTGGGCCAACAAGGACCTCCTGCTGGCCACGCCCGAGCCAGACCTGCCGGGCCTCATTGCGTCCCTGGCCCAGGCGGCGTCGGCGTCGGCGTCGGCGACCCCCTCCCCCATCGTCCACCTGATGCCGCGCATCTCTGTGTGCGCGCTGCCCCTGCCGCCTGGCGATGGCGGCTGCTGCGTCTCGCTGTCAAGCGCGTCCACCCCTAGGGAGGAGTGGACCAAGTCTGCCAGGCTCATGGACGTTGGGCTGGGGAGGCACAAGACGGCCACGAGGAACCTGAGGACCGCACTGCCCTACATATGCGACTTTGTGTCGACGTGCCTGCGGAGTCATCCGCAGGCCAGGGTGACGGTGGCTTGCGAGTCGGGCAAGGATGCGTCTGTGGGCACGGCACTCGCTCTGTCGTGTTATCTTTTTGACGACGACGGACAGCGCCGTCTGCCCGGCGAGACGGTCAGCTTCACAAAGACATTGGTCAAGAGGAGGCTGGCGAGAATAATGACTATCTTCCCTCGGGCGAATCCTAGCAGGCAGACGCTCCAGAGCGTGAATAGTTTCTTGATGGATTGGACAAGGTGACGCCTCAAATTGAACATGGCGGCATGGCTGTCGCATGTTGGAACAAAAAAAAACTACACAAAGATTTATATTCATCCGGGCTAGATGCACACCGATGAGACGTATTTCCCAACTATCATTGAGCCAATCGCCCTTCAGCTCGCATAATCAAGGCTGGCGGTTTATCCCGGCGGAGCAACACGCCACATTCGAAATACCGTCTCGCGGCTTTAGAGAGCCCCAGACTCAATCTTCTTCAGTGCGGCCGGGAATTCCTTCCAATCCCGCATGATAACCACCGCGCCCGCATCAGTCAAGACCTTCACCATCTCGGCCTGCTTCTCATCCGCATACGGCCCCACGTAGCCAATCGTCTTGATTCCAGCCCTTGTAGCGCTCAACGTGCCGCTCTTGCTATCCTCAATCGCCACGGCCTCACCGGCAGTCTTGCCCAACGTCTTCAGCGCATGCAGATAGATAGCCGGGTCGGGTTTGCTCGTAGGCTTCTCCAGACTCGTGGCAGCAGAGTAAATCAGGTCCTCGCCCTTTTCGTTCTTGAAGTACTTGTCCTGGCCAACCTTGTCCACAGAGGCCTTGACACGACGAAATGCAGAAGAGGAAACGACGGCAAGGACGTATTTCTTGGAAGCAGCCAGCTTCTCCAGCTGCTCGTCCACACCAGGGCATGGCCGCAAGGAGGCCTTGAGCTTGGCTATGACGGCGTCCTCCTCCATGCGGACGTATTTCTCCATGTCATCAGGAGCAATATCAATACCATGTTCCTTCCGAAGCGTGGTAAGCATGCCACGGAAGTTTTGGCCAACAAACTCCACGATCAGAGATTCGCCAGTAAACTCCTTCTTGATGCCGCGCTCCGCGCAGATCTGGTTGATGAGGCCGGCACATGCTTCGAAGGCCAGTTCCTCCGAGAGGACGAGGGTGTTGTCGCAGTCGAAGAGGAGGGTGTTGATCTGACAATTAGTATTGTGTTTGTGGTTAAAGACGCTCGGGTCAAGGGGGCACACCTCGGACATTTTGACGGTATTTGCACGCTAAATTCGAGCACAAAGAGTCTGCTTGCAGTGCCAGATGAAACAATGGATGCCCCGGAGGATCAAATCAGATACCACTATGCGTTGCAAAAAATCACGACGAAAGATCAAATCGCCTACAGTAGAGAGCAGTACGGAGTAGCAGTGGCAGATTCAAGTTCGCCGTCTTGGAGGGACTCGGGAGGGGGGAGATCTTCACCAAGGCAGGCAAGCCAGCCGCCCCCGCTGGTCACTCCTGCCCAACATCATGACACATGGTGCCTTAGCCCGCTTCAACTACGGACTGCCTAGGTAGATTCTGGCCAAGCCGTTTCTCAACTACGCGTGTGGTACAAGGATGCTTCAGTCATGACCAGCTATTGCTATCCTCAGGCACGTCAACTCCAGCCTCCAACCGGTATTCCGTAGTTTCTAGGATAGGTTTTGGTATTGGAGGGCAGATCCAGATCCATCTTCACCCCGCCCCCTCCAGCATAGCCACCCCTGTCATCGGCGATTGGTTGGTACCAACTTAGTTGCCGGCTCCTTCCGTAGTCGTACTCAACGATACCTAGGTAATTGTCCTTACGTGATTAGCTCTTGCTGTCAGCACAGATTGCAAGGTACTTGACTGCATTTATATTTCACTTGTCGACTGGAAGCGGACTTAACGTTAGTACCTTGGTGATCTACGGCCGTCATCGTCTCTGTCGTATCGGTTAATAACCCAATCACCTGCATTCTTCATCAGATCGACCCCCGACAGACACACAAAATAGTTATCCCGTTCATCACTCACCACAAGCGATAGATTCTTGCAGTCCGGTCAATCCTTGCAATCTCGCTCACAGGACATGCCAAGTGTTCTTAATTATAACTCCTGCGGTACAGGTAACTGGCCCAAATGCAATCCTACTATGCGTGCTCAACCCAACATGCTCAAGAATAAACGGTGCCAACATAAAACAGCATTAACATATACCTATCCCTACAACGCCGCATGTTCCATCATTTTTTTTTTCTTTTGTGTCGTCATCATCGTTAAATCCACTCAGCCGTATAACACTACAGCCCGTTGGTTTCCAAACATGCTTCTGCTTCATCATCATTACGGTATGCCCTCTACAAAATCTCCCGCAACTTTTGCTTTTGAGCCGCCGTCAAGCTTGACGGGAAGTTCACTTTGTACCTGATCACAAAGTCACCCCGCTGACCGGGGTTTTTGGAAATGGGCATGCCCAGGCCGGGGTAACGATCTTCGCTCCCAGGTTGTGTAGGCCCACCCTTATCCAGGTTGATTTGTTTGCCTTCAATGGTCGTGACTGTCCTTTTCCATCCAGTAAGGGCTTCCTTCAGGTCCAAAACCACAGTGTGTATGAGGTCATTGTCTTCTCGCTTGAAGAGAACATGGTCCTTCTATAGAGCAGTTAGCATCATCCGTCGCAGAGATATCTTTGGCAAGGGTTCTTGCTTACCTCCTCCACAATAAAATGTAAATCCTGTCGACCACCCTCGACCTGATCTCCCACGCCGTTAAACTTAATTTTGGAACCCTTCTTCAGACCTGGTTTGATGGGAACTTCCAAAATTTGGTCTGTCTGGACCCGCTTGCCCGTCTCGTCAAAAGTCTTGCGCTTGATCTTCATCTTCTTGGTGACGCCATTATACAACTCCTCCAAGGATAATGGCAGTGGTCGGTTGACCGTTGAGATTTCAGGTGTGTGCTCACGCTGTCTTGGTTCAGCAAATCCAGACGATCTCATTCTTGTGCGGCCAGACCGACTGCCGCCGCCGGTACCGCCGGCACCGCCGAAGGAAGAGAACATATCAGGGACATGTTCATCGCCCATCCCTCCGCCCTGTTGGCGCATGAATTCAGCAAATATGTCCTCTGGGTTATTGAAGCTGAATCCACCGCCGGGGCCGCTGCTCGTGCTGAAGTGGAATGTTCGGGTGCCCCCTCCACCAGGCATGCCTCCGCTTCCAAAGTCGAATCCCCCAAAGCCTCCACCAGGCATGCCGCCAGGGAACCCCCCAGCACCTTCGGGTGGGGGGGCGCCTCCTCCTCTCAGCAGGAATTCGAGGCCATATTTGTCGTAGACTTTTCGCTTCTCGGGGTCAGAGAGAATCTCATAAGCTTGTGAGCACTCCTTGAACTTTTCCGCCGCATCGGGGCTACCAGTATTTTTGTCGGGGTGCCATTTCAACGCCGCCTTTCTGTGGAGTTGCGTTAGGAAGGGAGTGTTATTCATTTGATGAAGAGAACATGGCATGCCAAGCTTCACTACCAACGGTTTGGCCACTGGCCATGTCGCCACATCAAGCGGCAGATCCGAATGACGCACACCGACAGTCCCTATGGCAGCGTGAAGACAGAATCATCAACAATAAATACTACGTACCTGTAAGCTTTCTTTATTTCGTCTTGAGTAGCCCCTGGCTTGACTGCAAGAGTATCGTAGAGCTTCGTTTCCTTGACCATGTTGTGTGTCGAGCGATGACGTTGTTCTGACTTGCTCCTTAGTGCTTCAAATTCGTGCCATACGCCACCCGATATGGCTATTTGTCTTGTCTATGTTTCTGGGTTCTTCTTTTGAGTGCGATTTGATATCTTTTGATTCGTTGGACTCCGGCTGCAGAGTCTTTGAGCGGGAAGGAAGACAAAATGAAAGGGAACTGGGACGTGGTTGTGAAGAGAAAAGGCTGGTTGCAGGATCAGGATTGGCAGCGGTGGCGGAGCGGCACCTGGGAGGAAGATTGGGACCAGAGTGGGGGTGCCTTCTAGGAGCTTCTTTCAAACACAACGTCTAGGTTCGGCGTACTGTTACTACTCTAGGCAGGTGCCAGTACGGCGGCGATTGGACACTATGCCAGCATTTGACTAACAAACTCTCCGACCTAAACAGGCCCGGGCTATGACGCGAAGTGAAGTCTTGGCTGACCGGCCTGGGCAGTGCCATGGGTATATTTTCTCTCGGTGCTTCACCAACAGGACAATAGAATAACTAAGTTACCTAGGTAGGTGAAGAGTTGGAAGGGAGGGGCAGGGTTACTGCTTTGACATGTATTGGTCAAGGCTCCGTACCTACTGAGTGGGTACTTGTAGTTACGTTCTAAAGTATTGGGCACTGACTTAGGTACCTAGTAGGTTTGCATTGCCATTGGTCCAGTTGTTGTATCAAGAGTTCGATTCATGACAGCACCCGAGTACGGATCACACTGGCCAAACAACACCGAGCTCGTCACACCGTATTTCCGAGACCACAGTCTGAAAAAGAACAAAAAAAAATAAAAACAAGACCAATGCCGTAGCTCGTAATTCTACCCTTTCCAATGCCATCGATGAATTAATCTTTCAACGCTATCATGCATCTTGTAACCTGTCTCGTGTCGCTGGGTATACCTCGGGTGATGGAAGTTTCTAGAAGTTTCTATCGCCAGGCGGGCTCCTCAGGTTCGTCATGTGTTTGCCTCGCCCCTCACTCGCCCTCTGCGCTCTGTCAATCAGATATACCACATGGCGCCTCCAGAGAAATCTCTCTGTCGCTGGGCATCATCGCTTCCAATCGATGCGCGGTTGCTATCCATTGAATCAATGCTGTTAGCCCGGTGCTTTCTCTTGGATGGTGAAACGGCCTCTAATGGTCCCGATCCTGGCACTTCCTTGCTTTCGGCAGATTCTGCTTCTGCTTCGGCCGCCTCTGTGGCTTCACGATCTAGTTCTTGGCGAAATGCCTGATTATCCGCTCTTGCGAAACGCTGCAGTGGTGCTGTCAAGGGCGTTCGTGCAACGTTCAAGGCTGACTCGGTAGCGTATACCATCAATGGTGTCTTGGTCTCTTGCCAGACATCCCGTAGCACACGCTCAATCTCTACTTTCTGCAGGGTGCCAGTGTCAGCAAAAGGCATGTCCGAGAATCAAGGCACGGAAAGAGCCAAACCTCTGCCTGTATCGGTTGCTCTCCATTTGGGACAAAGGCCAACCGCCACCACTGATCCAGCTGTTTCGGCTTCTCTTCCAATGCTATCAGATCGGGTTCAGCTCGTTGGCAGACGTAGGTTACGTCCGACGGCGTAACCACTCCCCGTAAAAGGAATTCCTTGCATTTCATGGGCTGTGGTCTATTCTTCTCCGGCTGTGTTAGAAGCCGGCCAAGGAACCTTTGCTTGGCCATCAGTTGTTCCGTCTGGGTGTTGAGGGCTACACAAGTCAGCACATGATACATCGAAACCCCACCATCCACGTTTCACCAACAAAAGACTTACAAGTTAACCTCTTGTCAATATCGGAGAGCATGCGAAGGAGCATCTTCAACACCTCGTCGACTCTCTCAAATGCATTGTTTTCGCTCTCGCTCATTTCACAAGGAGCCATTCGGTAGTCTGGGTATCTGTCCGTATCAAAGCCAGAAGCCACCATTCCTCGGAACTTGCCCAACCCGAGCAGGTAATCGCTATATACCTGCCACTGGTCCCTAGCCTTTTGAATCATTTGCTTCTTGTCTATCATTTGGTGATCCCAGTCATTGCGCCACTCGAATAGTTGCTGTTCTTCCTTTGCGATTTTCATAATGGCATTTTTAGTGTCGCACCATGACACCTGGATACGGCGAGCCTCATCCTTGCGGCTTGTTTGATATTTTTCCAAGTACAGCTTTTCAGGAATGTCGATAGAGTCCTGTGGTCCGTCGCCATTAACTTTGACAGCCAGCACCTCGCCCGTCTCTGTGAACATGGCCATCTTTGACCCTTCATGTAGCTCGTTCCAGGACAAAACGTCGCTCCACATGGTATGATCCAGTGATTCGTAAAGGGTCTTGATGTACGCGTAGTCGCTGCGCAAGTGCTCCATTTCCAAGAGTCCAAATTTGGCCTCCTCGTCGCCCAAGTCATCACCGAAGACGGGCGCAAGCGCCGCTGAGTGTATCAGTGGCTTCAGCTTTTCCTCATTCTTGGGTCCCAGGTACTCGTAAAATTGCTTTTCGGGCCCGAGGCTTGGGTATGGAATCAGATCCGTGAGAACACTGACACTTCCATAGCTTCGTTCCGTCGAGTCCAAGAATGCCAAAAGTCGATGAATCTCTTCCTCCACATCGGGTTTGCTCCCATCCTGGGGACCCCACTGGAGGTCCCCTGCCTGCAGTCGTTCAACTACGTGTGTTGGTAAGATCTCCTGGCCCTTCCACCACTCGCTGTTGAATCCATACGAGGTAGCAGGTTCACCAATCTCCAGCAAAGCATTTCTCGCGAGGGGAATCTGGTGTAATACGGTAAGAAGGCCGCCAAGTCCATGGTTGCCCACTGTACTCATGCCTTGTACCAAGAAGGCCGGCGCTCCGCTTGTCCGTTTCCGTAATGACGGCGAGGGGGTGCAGGGAGCTTGGGATTCTGAGGGCCCAGCCGGAACCATGGCCCAGTTACTCTGATCGTAGTCGTTTCGGTTCGCGGGGCCGAAGTAGGGGGTTGACGTTGACTGCGTACTTGTGAGACCGGATTGCTGCTCTGTCATGGCAATACCAGCTTCCTGAGCAGACTCTCTAAGCGCCCTTTGCATGTCTTCGTCTTCCCTGGACGGCGCAGTCGGCCCTGCAGTTCAGCCAGGCATGGTCAGCATCCCCTTCTTGATGGTTGATTCCCGTGCGAGAAACTCACCGGGCGAATCTCCGGCCGCCCAGTCCACCATTCTACCCAGTGGTGACCGGCCGTTTGATCTCGACGGTGGTCGCGACGGTGCCATAGACCCGTAAACTTCTGGTGGCGGGGTGTTGCTCTTGATACCATCGTTCCTGCCTATCGACTCGATATGAAATGCTGCATGCAACGCGAGAAGGGTTAGCACTGGGGGCTTCGGGGCCGGCACCAAGTGGCAGGAATTAAAATGCCTACAAATACCTGCAGGGTTGACCGTACCGTCCCTTTCCGCCTGGAATAAGCTCTCGTCCCACGCACTTGAGAACTTGCGTCGAAACTGCAGCCAAACGTCAGCGCTGGCCTTGGGCGAGCGAGCACACAGCGCCCATGTGGTTTGTAGCTACACATGTCGCATACCGACTCGGGGTTATCAAAGTACTGCATAACAACTGTCTCGACGTTGCCGCAAGTGTCCTGTCGTGAAGAGTCTCAAGTCAGTCGAGCTGGTTCCGAGAGCATGGGCATGGAACCCAACGGCTCTGGCAGAACCCAAGGTGGGAGCCGGGATACTTAGCGGCGGCACGATGCGACTGGCAAACGGACCTTGAGCGCCTGAATGACCATGGTCCGGTCATCGTGGGGGTTGAGACCTGCAAAGTCAATGACCTGCGAGATCTGCTCCTCCGACGGTGCCATTGAAGCCATGTTGGCGACGTGCAGCGGCGACGTCGATGTTAACAGAAAGATGCTGGAGAGGACTTGCTGGCGGGACAATGATGAACAAGACCAAGGTTGAGACAACGGACAGCTTTGTTTCATCCATGCTCAATGATCAGTGGACATGCAGGACCCGGGACAGCAGCGGCAACCAGCACTCGCAGTGGAGCTAGGAGTGCTTGTCATGTCGATTGACGTGTGACGTGTCATCGGTCCGGGCTAAATCGTACAAAAGAAAGTATAGATACCTAAGTAAGTACGGAGTACCTAGGTGCCCATTCAGGTACTCAAGTATACTTGCGTGGGGCTGTGCTATTCGTGCTACTAACCCTATCTATTCGTGCTACCGCCCCACCCCGATTTTAGGCCTACACCCTGACCCGCCACGCCCTGCTATATAATTTTATATATATTGCCCTAGCAACTATAGAGTCTTATAAAAATGCCTTATAATAACAAAAAAAATAGAGTGCAGCTGCTTAAGCAGCCTTTTTATAACTCTATAATAATATTGCTAAATTATATAATATTAAGCTTAATTTTAAACTTTATAATTATACTAAAATACTGCTTTTCTTATATCTTTAATAAATAATACTTATCTACTTAAATTTATAAGTTTTAATATCTTCCCTAAAGTATAGCTTAAACTCTCTTTTAATAACTTTAAGCTGCTGCTTAATAATAAAGATTCTAGCTGTTTAATTTCTAAAATACTACTACTAAAAGCTTATAGTAACTTTAATTGCTTTTTTAATAATTTATAGAATTAAAGTAAAGCAAATAGTACTATTTTTATTAAAAGCTTTATAATTAAGTTTATTAAAGTTAGCAGAAAGTAGTAGCCTTAATATAGTAGCTTTTTATACTATTATAGCTCTAAAAGAATATCTTAAGTAAGTAGAATTTAATAAGCTACTACTAAAAAGAATAACTATAAGTTTAAGCTTTAGCTAGTAATTATAATAGTTAATATAAATTAAGTTTAAACTTATAAAGTAATATATTATTAGTATAATTATAGTTAATTTCTTAACTTATTAGCTAAGCTAATATATTAAAGGTTTATAGTTACTTAAATAAAGTACTTTATGAACTTTATATAATACTAAGCTCTTCTAGTTTATAAGATAAGTAATATTATTTATAATATAGTAGAAAGAGAAGAGATAGAGGTTTATTTTTACTATAAAGACCTTTATAACTAAGTTATAAAAGCTTATATAAAGAAGCTTAATAGATTTTCTTTAATATAATAAGTTATTAAGCTTCTTAAAGAGCAAGATTTACTATATATTATTAAATATAATAATAAGAGCTATTTAAAATTAGTTATTTAAATTTATAAGTTCTATATTAATTAATAAAAAGTTTTCTCTTAAGTTCTCTATATAAATAATACTTATAAAACTAACTACTATAAATTATACTTATTCTAAGTAATTACTATTATAAACTAGAACTTTAGCGTAAATATTATATTTACTCTTATAATAAAAGAAAATAAACCTGCTTTTTAATAGATTTTACTAAGCTTTAATTAAATATAAAATTAATATAAAATTAAGGCACTTAAAGTTATTATAACTAACTTTAATAAAGTACTTAAAAACGCTCTATAAGTTGTTTTCCCTAAGATATAGCAATAAATATATATTTAGTATATATTTATAAATATAAAGGCAAAAACTCTTTTTTATTAAAAACCTTCTAATAATAATAATAATAATAATAATAATAACTTAGAAGTTAAGGCAATCAATAAATACCTAAATAGCCTTACTTTAGTAGTTAAATTACTTATCTATATATAAGAAATTAAAGTATTTAACTTTATATAAAACTAAATAAAAAATATATATAGTTTATAGCAATAAAGCATTCTTAATTATATTAAGAATACTTATTATAGTTAGTATAAATAGTAGGCTTATTATTATACTTAATTTTATTAGAATTTTAAGTATATAACTATAAGTTTAATTAAAGTAGTATATTATAATACAAAATTCTATATATATATTAGTAATAGTAATTTATTTATACTTTTTTAATTAATTTAGTAGATAATTCTTAAAAAAAATTATAAATATTCTTAAAAAGCAGCTATAATAAAGCTTTAGCAGCAAAATATATATAGATATAGCAAATAGCTTAATAATTTACTTATATAAATATTCTATAAAGCTGTTAATCTCTTAGCTTGCTAGTATAAGCTTATAGAAGCTAATTATTATAAAGGTAAATAGCTTTAACTTTATAAGGGAAATTGCTTTTTTATATACTAATTTATACTGCTTTATATATATATTATTTTATTAAAGCTATAAGTATAATAGCTCTTAAAAAGAAGTAATATTTCTTATTATTAGTAGCTTATAAAGCTACTAGGCTAGTAAGTCTTAGTTTTAATCTTTATTAATTTATTATAGAAAATATACTTAATATTAACTTATAGACTTTTAATACTTTATATCTTTAAATTTATTATTTTTATAAAATTAATTATAAAAAATACTACTTACTACTCTTAAATATATAACACTAAAATTCTAATAATAATAGTAGTTAATAGCTAAGTTAAAGGCCTTAATTAAGCTCTTAAAATTACTAATAAACTAATTTAAGTATATAATATATAGTAATATAAAATAAATTAGTTAAATAATTTAAGATGTAATAATAAAGAAGACTTATAATATAGTTAAGGTAGTAATTAATAAATACTATAAATAATATATAACTTTAATTAATAAGTAGATAAGCTATAAAGCAAGTAGTAGTATTAAAGTTGCTATAGATTTAATAAATAACTCCTTAGAAGCCTAGGCAGCGCTCTTAAAGGCAGCAGAATAATTAACAGCTTAGGCAGTAGAATAATTACAGCTTATAATATATATATATTTATTAAAAACACTAGAAATTATATTTTTAAGCAATTTAAGCGCTACTAGCTGTTAGCGGCAGATACTGCCTACTATAAAAAACACCTACAAAAAACAAGGGAAACAACTGCAGCACACAAATTGCCTACAAGGAACGTTTGCATACATTTTATATGCAAGGATTTAATATGCTTTACGCCTACATTCCTTAGTATATATAATTAAGGTTAAGAGAGGAATGCTGGCTGGAATTTAATAAAAACACTAATAAGCTATAAAGGCTAATCTACCCTATAGCAGGAAAGCAGCCACAAGAGTTATTTTTAGCCTCTAAGGTTATTTTAAGCTACTATCTATGCTTAATCTAGCAGCCCTACTATAGGATTTACCTATAAATAACCCTCCTTCCCCCCAACTAGATAGAGAGGAAATTAAGCCTTTATAACTACATTCTTTAATACATACTATTACATACAATTCTATACTATATCTAAAGTCACTTCTATTATACCTTAAGAATCCCTATTATCTTATGCTTAGTAATCAACTAGATTACATAAGCTCTATCTATTATACCTATACTATATATAAAGAGTCCCTTAATTAGCCGACAGTTATAAGCCCGGTTGCCGCAAGCCCTACGCTACGCACTATACCCTATTAGGAATACGCTATTCCTGTTTAGGCTTAGTGCTGAACCTCTAACCAATCAGAATTCAGTATTCAATTGAGCGACCCACTGTGGACCCACTTTAGACCTACTTTTCTAAACCTTATTATTATTTAACGGAATTTACACCTATTTGCACCTATTTAACTAAGCTTTTATATAACAAGCTATTTACTATAAAAAGGAGCGACTTCTACACAGAAATCTATATTAATCTACTATATTAACAAAAACGCTATTTAAACCGGCAAAAACGTCTAAAAACGCTCAAAATCGCTATATAACTATTAAAATAGAATCCAACGCTATAGAGGCTTCCCAAAAGGTCACCTCAACCAGCCCAACCGATTAGTATAAATAGATTTCTATTATTAAAAAATTCGCTATAAGCCAGGATATTTAGGACTATATTAACCCTAATATTAAGCATAATACTAATAATAAGCTTATAAAGCCTAAAGAGCCTAGCTATAAGGATATTAACGCTGTAGCTATG